TTTCAGAAGGATTCAAGTGGACTACCCGACTAGGTATCCACAGCCGTTGCGAGTTCACAAGCAGCCGAGCGTTGAAGACTCTGGTATGAGCGGGGCCAGCGTATGCCGCCAAGGAATTGCGGGATTTCTGATCAGAATTAATTTGAATAAGGCTGGAATTGTAAAATCGAAGATCACCGAGAAAAAAAAATTCATATGCAGTCCACCACGTTGCGATGGCAAAAGCCATTGGTGCGATAGAAATTTGCCCCTTCTACATTGACCCCTGACACACAACACTGTTTACCCTCGAGTCTATTTTCATATGTCATTTGCCTTTGCCCCTGCGGATGACGTCCATGGAAGACAAGCGAGCCCAGGCACAAGACATCATCCCATGGATCTGACCAGAAATTTGAAATTGGGGATTGGTAGATAAATGCGCTGATTGGTGTATATCACATCCTGCCCTGCCAAGAGACCGCAATGTTTTCTGATTTGTCAAGATAAATAGAAAGACTCCACTATGATCCAAGACTACCCCACAATATTTCCACACTTACTAAGCAGATATCCAATCGCGTTGCTTTCATCTTGCCCTGAACCACTCTTCAATAAACCGTGGCGCAATGCAAACTCAACACAAAATTAGCCGGCAAACACACAATCATTTCTGGATGAGGAGAGACTCCAACAAGAGTCTAGAGTAAGTTCGACAACATTGGCATTGCACGTGAAGTCGTATCTCTGACAATGTTGTCTCATCCGAAGAAAGAGGGGTACATAGAGAGGGAAGAGTGAACAGTCTGAGCCCTCCGAGAATTGGCTTTCAGGTCTAGCCCAAGTCACAAGCCGCTAGTGTTCGGACAAACGACCGGATCGTCCACCGAACTGCTAGCCGGCCAAGAGGCCCACCGCACTGGATTTGAAGCTGTTCGCCCGTTTAGCCAGGGTCGACTCGTCCACATCGTGAAAAGTTTGATGGAATCCACCCCACAGCATGCGTCTCTTCGCTGACGAGACGTAGCGAAACTGTCACCCAGGTACATGGCCGGATTCCCCATTGAGCTACGACTATGGAATTTTGCCTTACGCCGCTTTCTAAGCACGTCAAACCACCGTCGAGAGTCGGCCTTGGTCGTTCCAAAGCAGACTCAAAGAGGGTTCAACCACATGGAATCAAGATATGCCCACAAGACCGGTGGCTTTGTCCAGACTCAACCCAAGGGCCACACCGGGTACCCCTTACTATCCAATTTTGCAACGCCCTTGGTCAATCCACTCGTTCCAACAAACACAGTTCACAAGAAAACTGGGGGCTCCACGAATGATGAACTCCACAAGGCTTTCACACGACTCCATCTACACCTCCGGGACCACACGTATACCAATGACGGTTGTCACCGTTGTATTTCTCTCTTCGACCAGCTAATAAGGTTCACCTTCAATCCTAGCGCCAATCGCCAGACTCATTGCAAGCCACGCTCCACCCAAAATGACCCATGATGGCCTGGCCACACGTCAATCCCACGGCGTCGGCCCTTCTGGAACCAACGCCTTACAATTCTATTCGCACACTGACGTACGTACAACCCCGGCGTCACTGCCCATGGATCATTGTCCAGGTACCAGGCACCGTGGATTGTGACTGGATTATGGGTCTTCTCAGTGACAGTGGAGGCGAGCGTGGCGGCGCACCACAAAGCCCTTTTGCGTCTCAGAAATGGTATTTATATCTTCGTTTCGTCCCTCGATTAATGATTCTGTTTCACACCACACACTCTTTTTGCAAATAGAACTACACTCTTTTAGTTCCAACCAACCAGGAAGTTTCACGCTTCTGTCCTTCTTTTATACAGTCGTCCTTGAAACTATCCAAGAACATTCTTTATATTTCACAACTTTCCCAGTTGTCCCACAATCTCTACAATCAAAATGCAGTTCACCAAGTCTATTATGCTGCTGGCAGCTCTCACCACCGGCTCCCTCGCTCGCCCTCTCGAGGGTCACGCTCGCCGCCAGACTCCCACCTCCACCTCATCCGGTGCCTCTTCCGACTGGACCAACACTCCGTCAAGCGGTTCCTACTCGACTTCGGGCTTTGGTGCAGTCACCACTGCCTCCGGTAGCGGTATTACCTACTCCGGCAACGTCGGCAGCCCATACGGCAGCAACATCATCGAGGTCTCCGACTCGGACGCCAGCCAGTACCAGTACGTTGTTCAATTCACCGGCTCCAACACCGATGACTGGACCGTCGCCATCTGGAACAAGTATGGCTCCGACGGCTCCATGGACGGCTGGTACGGCAACGCGGTGAAGACCTTCACCCTCGCCGCTGGCGCCACCACTTACATCGCCTTCGACCAGGACTCTCAGGGTGGCTGGGCCGCTGCTGAGGGATCTACCATCCCCACTGACTCCAACGGTGGCTACGCCTCCACCTGGGGTGAGTTCGACTTCGGCTCCTCCGGCAACTCGGCCTGGTCCGGCTTTGACGTCTCTGCCATCGCCGCCCAGAACGCCGGCCTGTCTGTCCAGGGTATGAAGATCTGCGATGCTCTTGGCTCCACTTGCTCGTCCATCACTGCCGATGCTGCCTCCGTCGAGAATGCCTACACTACCGCCGAGACTGATGTTGGTGGAATCGGTGGCAACCTGTCTGGTGGTGCTGTCCGCCTGGCTGCTACCATCGACTACAGCAGCTAAACGGGCTGTGTATGGTATGAGAGATGCAATGTTCTTTCTGTTTGCTTTGCAGTTTTAAATAGACTTTAGAACGCCGTTTGTTTCAGCGCGCGCGCCGGGGTCGCAGCAATGGAGTATGATCTAGATCCATACCCAGCTGGTATCTTCTTTTCCTTTCTTTGTGGATATAGAGACTAAGGCAGGTCCTTTTTTTGTAACGTCTTTGTTTCTTATCATGACCAACCAATATACCAGACTGGCTCTTTGAAAAGTTTTCAAACATCCTTATTCCTTAAATTAGTACAGCTCTTTGTTTCATTATTAGATCTTCTTCGAGTAGAATAGGGCTATAATCCCGTTGTGTTGTGGCGCATGACCGCATCATTGCACACGCGGCCGAGCAGTCCACTTACCCGTTTAGGCGCTAGTGCGGCGAACTCGTCATTTTTGAATCAGCGGCAAGACTAGGCTTAAATGTATCTTAAATATCGTATGCTCTTCTATTATATTAGCTACGATGTCCGGTGTTTCACCTAAGTTTCATATCGGTGTTTAGTCGCTTATTTTGAATTGCTGCCTTGCCCGGAGCAGGATCCGAGGAATTGTGAAGAATTACCGATCATAAGAGAACAATAGATGCGCACATTGGGAAAGATATTACTCGATAGAATTCTTTTTCTGATACAATTCCAGGTCGGAAAATCAATTCTCAAGACATACAAGTGCTAGATGTCGAAATATTGGCATACTACTTTTGTTCTCGATTCTACAGCAGCTCTTGGGAATCAGGTAGATCGCTCCAGAGCTCAGAGATCTAGCTGAATTTGACCAGTATTGAGTTAAACATTTGTAAGATATGCAATATGTGTATGGTTTAATGTACAAGAAATTCGGGAAAATCCATTCAAACCGGCGTGGTCCACCACTGGCGGCCAAACACAGGCATACACTTCACCTGTGGTGGAGGGGCCTTCTGCCATTTCACCATCTCCTCCTCTTTGCTATATTGAGTATGACCGACAATCTTATCAACATACCCACGCTTATCCTTCGCATCGCGGGCCCGGTCATACTCATATGCAACATTCACCGAAGGCACAGCGAGAATCTTGCCCAGATCCTGACCCCACAGATCCTTGGCGAGTGTCATTGGTTCTCCCATATAGCACTCATCCTTTTCCGAGCTGCGGAATTTCACCTTGCCCTGAATGAATGGTGTCGCATCCAGAGTGACCATTCCACCCCAACAGGAATACACCTGTATCGGGAGAGAGTGATCCCAACGAGATGCGCTGTCGGGGTGGTCGAAGAACATATCATCAGCCAACCAGTGCTGGCTATCATGAGTGACCTCGAAGAAAAGATTCCCGGACATCGAGCGCGAGACCCATGAATCGTAGAATGATCCCCCGTTCGCGTTCCAGTCAAAAGCACATGTCATAGTTGCGGACTGTAGAACGCGCTGATGTAATAATTCCAGTATATCTTCCGGACAAAGCACGATATCGTTGATGAAGAGGATTGTCGAATTCGCGGAAAGTCGACCATGCTTTTTGTTGCCCTCTTCAATTAAGGGCTCCAGAGCGAGGTTGCGGAGATGTGATAATGCCGTGATTCGATTTTCGCCTGAAGCTTTCGGATCTAAATAGCTCCTTGACAGGAAGTAGGGCACGCCCATGGCCGCAAGCTCGGTCTTTAAACCGGCAAGAATGGCGTAGGTTCCATCTGTCGAACGGCCCTCCACAATAGATAGTGCGCAGTACTCTGGTCCCAGATAACGCATTGTCTCGATGATAGTGCCCATAAGCGGAAGGATAATATGCATGGCCTGATAGAGGTCTAATGCGAAGTAGTATTGGATCCGGGGAGAGGCGGAAGGGGATGGTCGGAGATGTCCATAGCGAGAGTCAATAGATGCAGAACAGTCAAGTTTCGCCGTGAGATTCATATCGTGATTCATGATGCTGCAGACGAATTCCGAAATATCTTCGTTATTGTAGGTATATTTCTCGAGCTTTATGGTAGAATGTAACTTTTCGGACACAGGCGCTGGGTCGAAGTCGATGCACTGCGTTTGATTATGTGTTTGGATCCCTTGATCCATTATTGAGGGCGAGGAGGAGGAGGAAGAAGAGGAGGAGGAAGAGGATGGCAATGCCGGGGCGAGGTTGAGATAGAGCCATACTGTCAGAAGGAGGCCTCCAGTGGCTATGACAAGCTGCACGAGGTGTCGTTGAGCAGGTTTCCAGTTAATTTTGGAGCCAACCAGGCGAAGGGCGGACTCCATTGACTGATATTTAGGCCCTCGAACCTCGAGGCCTCCCATGTGAACAATGACTTTGCGATGGGGTGCTGGTCAATGGGTAGGCAGTGAGAGTATGAATCCGGGGTTCGAAGATCAAAGGGACCATAGGGCTGAGAACCAGCGACAGAAGAACCAGAAATTCCAAAGGAGCGCGAAGAATTCAAAGATTGAGGAGAAGTGGGAATTTAAACCGGGAAGGCCGGAAATGAGAATGATCGACCCATAAGACTCGCAATTATTGTCTTGCGCGACCAGCAGGCTCCGGAATTAGTCGATGTACATTCACTCGCAATCGTAAAAATCAAGACTTTGATTGGCCCCAAATGCCAGTTGATCTTAGTTTGGACCCACACGTAGGCTTAACTTACCTTATCTCTTTCGGCTTTGAGCCTTTGTAGCCTGCCAAAATCCGCGAAAATCGCCCTAAACCTAGTCTAAACTCCAATAGGCGCCCTACAAAGCCGACAGAGATTACTCGTACAAAAAAGGCTATTTCATTTCCAACGCGTGCTCTGAGCCAGGACATGGCACACGTGGCCCTAGGGTCTCACAATCTGTAAGACATTCCATGTACACCGCGGGGCGCCCTTGACGACGACGGAAACGGTTGGTCATCCAAATGGACCGGCCGGTGAAATTTCCCTGTAGCACACATTACAATATGAAAGACTTGTTTGTTTTGACCCCTTTTATCCCAGCAGCACTTTGGTCAATAGCTAGACTCTTACTCTCCACTGGCTGTGGGGTCACTTCCCGAGCTGACAGAAATCGCGATCGCGATCGCGATCGCCATCTCTATCCCCTCTTTGGTGCTCTAGAGCATACCTTTCTTTTTAGCGCGTACCATTCCACCTCGTGGATCTGCACTGTCGGTAATTTTCGAACATTTGGCAACAACGAAGACAATTTTATCTCCGAGCAAAGAGAATTTAGTAAGGTTCTGCGGAGTGGAAACTGTGAATGGTAGAAGAGGGGGGTCACTACCCGTTTCGGGTGTGTGAATGCCTCAGGCAACAAGGCCATCAACAGAGAACAATCACCCAACCACAAGACCAAGATTTCTGTGGGCGCAGCCCGGCGTTGATGAAGACTATAATACCTCACCATCTTTAGGGTAATATGAATAGTACATGGACCACTGTAGTGGATTTAAACGATTGGCGTTCACCGGCAATTGGATGACTGGTCGATGGGTGGTCAATTTCGAATGACCCATTCGTAAAGGCGCAGCTATCACCAATATTCAAGCCTCCACATATTGAGGTGGGATATAGCGCCCGGTATATGGCATGTAAGATCATGGGTAGGCCGCGGCATTAACCGCGGTCATGGGGGTTAACCTCTACCGCTACCGCAACTGATATCCTGCCACCTTGGAAACTGAACAATATTTTCCAATATCACCTGATATTTGGAGACGCCTTTCTGAATCATTGGAGTTTGACTTTGTGTAAGGTGGTGTTGCTGAACTAAAAACAAAGCAGGATCAGACTAACTATATGTGGAAGCATATCGAACTTAAAACTTCTTCAATATCATTCCCAAACTATGAAGCATTTTCAGAATAGACTTGACCGAGTATTCAATTGGCTGGACTAAGCTCGAAACTGACAAAAAATAAAGCATCAAAAACAGTTGATGTTTATTCCACATGAGCGAATGAAGTCCCATATAACCAGCACACCGCTAGAAGTCTTCTAAGAAGTGCTCTTTCCCAAGCCTCCTATTGACGAGATTTTCCCTTCGACGATCTAACAGGTGAAAGCGCAGGATCCCCCTGTTGGGCAATCGTGCTCATTACTTTTACCCGGGAAACACTTTTCACCCGCGTTGCATCTTCCGTTCCCTAGAAATACCAATTGTTAATCGACTTGGAATTGCTAAGTGGGTATGTAAAAATTATCCCAGCCAACGAGGACATCCCTGGTTCATCTTCTCATTGTGTTGGCATCGTCAGTAGCAGCACTGGCTAGGGCGGCAATGGCTGAGACGAGAAGTATACTGAGAACTTTCATGGTTGAATCTGAAAACTTGGAGTTGTGATAGAGAAGGTAGGATAATAGAATGATTTCTTTTTACTAATCATACTTCCAAAGCGTCGCTTTTAAAAGTTTCAATGAACTGATATTCATGGAACTTTGCCTAATGCGTGCTGCCCCCAGACGGGGCGTTGTCCAGCTCTGGGGCCAGGGAATCACTTCGAAGTACGACTGATCCTTTCGCCAATATGTCGGTGTTCAGTGCCAACCAATCTACAAATGCGATGAATTTGGTTACGTGGTTGACGCCTACTACCGAATATCACTTCTAAAGCCGTTAATGGTTCTGCCGATCCATGTTTTTCGCCCCATCGAGTAACGGGGACATCATATAATCGCTCTCATTTTGAGCGTGGATATGTTAAAATCATATAGAAATACAGAGTAAACTAGTCAGTTTATCAGTCGATGTGGAATACTTAGGTGTGGGAGCTGACATGAAAATTCCGTATAATCGTCTGTGATTCATAACTACATAAAATATCTTTGTGATGATGGGTCCATCTACCCCATGGGGCCAGTTTTTGCGGAGTGCGCTAGTGTCAACAGCCCATGGTATGATGGGTGACCGAGGATAGCTGATCTACTTCCTTCGCTGTACTTAACCCCTTCTGTTTTGGCCCCTTTTACCCCATGGGTGTCGAACAGATTCAGTAGCCGCCAAATATTCAAAATCGGGGGAGGGACTGCCGATAGTTACTTTTTAGCTCTCTATATATTGCCCTCATCCTCTAGTAGTATACATTTTGAGATCTTGTCTAAGGAGTCTTTTTGCTTCCATAAATCTGCCACCTAGGCAGTAACCAAAGCCGAGAATCTACTTTGCCTCTGACTTTTTTCCGATCGGCGCAGAAAAGTCGGACCCTCGTGCCCAATACGAGCTTTTCATAGGAGACTAGGGCTTCTACTGAATCGCACATACACGGTAATAAAGCACACAGAAACAACAGAGATTGTCTCAAACTGAAAAAGGTCCTCGAAGAAGTGATCGAAAAACGCCATACAAAATGCTATACAGTGAGAACATGACGGCGGTTATTCTTCAAGCAACAAGGCTTTTGACGTGGAGCTCGGAGAGTTTCATCTGCAACCTTGGGGGTTTAAGAACCAAAGTGGTTTTAAAGGGTGCCCAGGCGCCTGAGTGAATGTCAGACAATCAAGGTAACAATAACAATGTCATTCGTTCGTCACTGGCAATATATATCCATAGATTTATGTAAACCTTGGAATCTTTGAAAAGTACCAACTACCAGGAATACTGAGATTTAGAGATTTTTACTGCTAACATTTACGAGGCAAGTTTGTAGACGAAAAGAAAAGATCCGACAATATCCCATCGCTCGAGCGATTCACTTGGAAATTATATAAACTTGAACTATGAGGCAATGTTCACAATCCAAGTGGAAACGTTTGCTCTCTGCTGTTTGCTTGCTTGTTGGCTGTTATACTGCCAAGGGAATTGTGAACAACTATCGAATCCAAGAGCCAGGTAAATCCCTCATACCACAACCATTTAGGAATAACTGTAGCAGACACCAATGGGATTGATCTTAAAGCAATCATCGCAGTTGTAAAAGTAACAATCAGGTGTCACGTCACAGATACTCGACCAATCTGCACATCCGGGGCTCTTCTTCTCGAGATCAGAGCTTGGTTTCGGAGTCGAAGTAGCAGAGGGATCAGCGATTTTGTTCGCATTAACCTTTTCCACCTTGGCAGCGTGCTTGCTGCGAAGATCAGCTTCCTGCTCAGCAGTCAACTGGATTTCATCCAGGACCTTTCCTTTGCTGTCAACACTTTGAAGTCGGGATCCAGTATCACTAAGCTGGATCCACCCCCGGGCATCGGGGTCTCTGGTGAGGCCCTATTTTTAATGTTATGTTAGTGAGTCCTTGGATAGGATATATGAGAAGATCTCTAATTGCAAAATATTTCAGAATAAAAACATACCTTGATAGCTTCCGCTAGGTCATCATGACCCTCTAACATAGACCCAAGGGAAGGGGTAATTGCCAGCGCAGCAAGAATGACTTGAAGAAATGCGACCTTCATCTTTTCGGATAAGGCGTAGAAGATAAATAAGAAAGAAGATAAAGAATTTTCCTGAGATGTGGCGATAAAGGGAATAGAGTGATTTTCAATGTATCTTTACAAAGGCGATGGGTTAACGCCTACTTAAATACTCGAAATCTGTAACTTTATATCATGTTGGATGCTAATCCTTAGTAATCGCTTCTGATTTAGCCTTGCACGCCTCGTTGCAACGGTGCACATGTTTAGTTACTGAAATAGCCCCTGGTCAAATGTGAGCGCAATTCAAAGTTTTCCGGGTGTCTGGGTGGAAGAATAGAAGCTAAGATCGTATGGGGCCAAAAATTTGTGCTTATTGTCTTGGGAGGCCTGACCGAAAAAAGGTGAAGATTGGTGCGGTAGCATCTGCAAGGGGCCGAATGCTCGTATTTCGCCCTGGGTATCGGGAATAAATACAAAATGGAAATTGAAAAATTCAATAAAACGATGGCATTGTAATTCGGATTAGGTATACATAATGCAGTGGCGTTCAACTCGCCTTGAATAGGAAACAAATAGAGGTCATACAGCTGATGATCTCATCTTCAGCGCAAGAATTGCACTTAGCTCCCGCGCAGCTATCGGTCATTTTAGCTTTGATTGGATGAGAACATGGTTCTCTCTGAGTGAACGTGACTCAAGGTGGGGGGCTGTAGACCCTGAATCCTCCCCTCTTTTCGCCCCATCTCTCCCGCCTTAAAACGGTGCCTGGCCCGCTTCCTGCTCCTTCCTGGCACCTAACAATATTTTGAGTCTTGATGATCGTTTAAAACTCCCACATACGTATTTCAATATGAGCTGCCGTGTAAGCCACCCACTAAAGCTGCATGTACCGCGTGCAGCTCAGTCGCCCCACTTGAAGCGATGTTGAGTATCCGGCCATAGTGCTAACATCTTGGAACCAGGTCGTCCCCGAGTTTGTGAAGCACATGAAGCGTGATGCTTCAGGCGGAGGTTTCACCCACCTTGGCAAAGACGGTGTCTTACGTACCATCTCAGGCAACTACGAAGTCCTTGATGCCCGTGGCCTTAGTCCTGAACAGATCAATGGCTTTTTAGATGTCATGCCAGCTGAGCTAGCACGACGAGAAGATTTTCGCGACGTTGATGGCACGAAAGTGACCACTCAAGAAGGTCTATTCAATCCCGCACCTGGGATTTTGCCGAGTAAACCAGGGGATAATGAGCAGGAGGACAGGGCAAGACGCGAGGCGGTTGAAGATAATCAAGCTGCCTACGAGCAGTCGAAAAGAAATCAGTAGACGAATTGAGGATAGTGAGGTCAGAATGTAATACGAGAATTGAAAATCAAAGTCAAAACAACCATGGTCTATTGCCCTCCTATCATTGCTTAGAGCTGAGGTATTTACAAAGGAGCCTTTCCTCTTCCCATCATCCGAAGTAGTTGGGGGCTTTTCTGTGAAGAGACAAGACAGCCCCTCTACATGCAGTCATCTATGTAGATCAGAGGCAATGTTACATTCTTCAACATAGCCATCCCGCAAATCTGACATTACTGAGCATCGTGGACCCGACTTTTAGCCCCTTCCGATGATCTTATGCGCTCATCTAATGAAACTCTACAAACAAGTTAGGTTTATCTTCTTTCCCACAATATCCCAGTATGCTGACGCACATACCTTGTTAAATTTAGCATTAAAGGGCTCGAAGAGGCAAAAGAGGCAGGATGGCCCTCCTGAATTTGGCCCCAAGTGATTGCCACAGAAAGAATAGTTCCATCAAATAGTAGAGCGCTGAACCGCGCATGAAAGGGCTGTAATTGGAAATTTTCAGTAACCATCTGTTTCAGACTGTTGAATATACTTTTGTTGATTTTGGGGCTGGAATGTTCTCGTATTACCTCCATCGTGGCTCTTCCAGTGACGAGAAACTACTTGTGCATTTTATTTCACAAAACAAACATGTACTACTCTCATTAACTGAGGCACACAGAGACGTGGGTATGGAAATTTCCAGTAAAATAAATTATATTTGTGGACGAATCGCAGTTAGCTTGTACAGTCAAAGAGGATATATGCAATGAGGGTTTTGAGCACTTGACATATAAAATCTCCATTGGCCGTACCTTTCAAAAGTGAAAGTGGGTCACTGTAAGCAGCAAATTGGATGTATAGTCTGCCTCGTCAATAGGTACGCCTAATTTCAAGTTATCGTGTATCTCAGTTTGGGGTCCCATGCAATCAAAACCAGGAATGGAACTTGAAGTTACCTTGGCTTCAACTATAAAAGCCCAACAACTTTCCATTGAATCCATTCCCGACACTCATCATCAAAGTCTTACAAGCACATCTTTCAAACTGTGATTAGATCAGCAAATCTGTTCCCGATATATTCTCAATTTACTCAAAACATCATGAAGCCCACCACCCTCATCAACTTCATTGCTACCTTTGGCCTTCTCGGTCTAGCCTCCGCTGCCAAACTCTCCCAGGCCGAGGCTGAGTCACTTTGCGGTGACCTTGGTGTCATGGATACCTCAAACCTCCCCGATGGTGTTGATCCCAATGCTGTCCGAACATGCAAAGAACATCCTGAGGGAAAAGCGGGAAAGACCCTCACTGAGGGCGATTTCCAAGTACGCAGCCTGGAGTCGCGTAGCTGTTGGTTTAAGGACCACCTCGGATGCAGTGCTGGTGGCCATTGCTACAAGTCTTGCGCGCAGCCTGGCTCCGGCGAATGGTGCTGGACAGCTCAGAATAACGGGTTTGGAGACTGGATTGGCTGCTCGAGCGTGAGTGATTGCTCTCCCACCGATCAATGCGGTGCTGGCGGATGCAGCGCATGTGGTTGCAGCTGCTAGGCAAGCCGACAATTTTGAAACCTTGTCACATGGCTGTGCTACTGTCGGAGATCATATTGCAGCCCCTCACTCTTGACCTCGCTGTGGTGATCCTGGGCTCAAGTTGGAATACGGTGGAACGCTGGTGGTGATATTGATGCTCACATGAATGTGTCATTTTAAGTTTCTTCATAGATACCTTCCAGAATATCAGAGTCACCATTGAAACGGACATATATAAGTAAGAACATTTAACAAGGATTCTCGAAATCATCTTGATCAATCTACCCTGAGACTCTCCTTCCTCGCTGCCAAAAGAGAGAGAGCGAGGTTCATATACCTAAAAGATGTACGAATTATGGCGAGCGAAGTGTGACGAATCTAAGCCATCATGTAAAGGGTATATTTTTCTGCTGGGTGAATGCGATATATTCATAGATATGGTGTTCTCCGACTAGAACGCTTTATTCAACATCTGCATCCAATCTGTGCGAATATGCTCTAGATATTGGACAATAGATGCTCTTGCTGAAATCATTTTCCAATCGAAAAAACGCAGCTTGGAGTTAGGTCAGCATCGGCAGGGAGGGAATTTTTATACCGTCTTTTAATAAAACACAGCACATTCTACGGTAGGTATACTCGTATCAGTGAGGCTTTCATGCCCTAGAGCTCCAGCTTCCAGTGTTCCCGCAGCTCCAGATAGTCCTTAGAAAGACTTTGGACATTGGGATGTCATTTCATTATTTATAACTTATGCAATTGGCAAGGGCACTTATAGGATAGCACTTGGCTCTGTAATATTCATGTTCATAAGTCTTTTGTATCAGGAAGTCATAAGAGGATTCTGGCGTTCAGGGGACACGGAGGAAAGCGGCTGAAGAAAAGGTGCGGGGGTTGAACCAGTCTTCTCTGGAATGTGAGCCAACTCCCGGGCAAGGGCTCCGCTCCCCTCCAGTAAAGGGACCAAACTCTTTATTCGTGCAGGTTTAGTCATAAACGAATCCATGCCAGCCCAATCGTGTCACGTTGTAATTCATTCTGTGCAACGACGGTCAATGCGACAATCACAACAGGATTCTGGATGCCATTTTTCTGCTCGAACCCACGGATTCGTCTAGCTGACTCGAGACCATCCATAATTGGCATCGAAATATATGCAAAAGATTAGCTTAAATGCAGATAGATACAGAGAACAACCAGGGTTGAAACATACCCATTAATATCAGCGCAATCGAGGGCGCGTTTGCCTTGAAGAACTCAAGAGCCTCTAACCCATTCGATGCAGTCGCATAATTGCATCCCAACTTCTTCATGAACTCGACTAGAATCCGGACATTGATATAGTTGTCGTCCACGATAAGAATCGTCGTCCTTTCTTGGTCGTTTTGGAGTTGAGAAAGATTCTTGACCTCATCCAATTTTGGATCAATCAAATCCTCGCTCGAAACAAGAATGGAACTTGGTGGTGTCTCAGGAGCTATATCGAGATCCGGCTGGTCGAGTGGACTTTCAGAGCCATTCCCCTCAATGGTGTTATCGCTTGATTGGCCACGAGACTCTTGAGTAAGCTCGTCGACTAATGAATCTAATTCAGATTCCTTGACCCCCATTACGACTGGAGAATTCGGCAATTTTCTCGAATGGTCGTCTTCAGTGACAGTGGTGTCAATTTCCTGTCGTCTGCGTTTAGAACAGGTTTCAAAGCTCTTTGCCAACTTCCGTGGACCACAGGGCTGGCTGATGAATTCGACAATATCAGCATTAGGCTGCTTCCGAGATTCCACGAACATCGAATGTGCGATCCTTGGAGAAGGGCATATGACAATCACTGGCGGCAAGAACCGCTCCCGTCGTGACGGGGCAAAGGCATTAATATCGAGATTACCACTGCTAAAAGATTCGAAGGATGAAATGTAAAAGTCGCAATCGGGTAATTCTGATAGAGATGGCGAAATTAGATGGACGTCCATCTAGAAGCACTCCTTGTACAGTTCTTGCTGGGAGGAGCGAGCACCAAGGCCAGAGTCTGAAGCCCAGTGGCCTAGAAATCCGACTGTCTTGTCGCGAACGAGGTCTTTGGTGGTTGCAAGGGACATATCGGTTGAAGTACCTTGCATATGAATGGTGTCTAACATGGAGACCTGGTCAAGATCAACCAATACTCTAACTTCGGTACCAGCACCTCGTTGAGAATCAACCTGAATCGTGCCTCCAAGGGAGAGTACTATTCGCTGAGTGATATTAAGACCCAGGCCATTACCCGTAGTCATGCTATCTTCTTGTGCAAAAGCAGAGAAAACTTCATTTCGCAAGAAGTCGGGGCCAATGTCGCACCCAGAATCTCTGACGATCAGTATTATCTTTGATCTGGCCACCTCACCATCCTCAAGAGTAGTCACCGGGTCTGCGTTAAGCGAGACATGGACATACCCATGCTGGGTGAACTTCAAGGCATTGCCGACAATATTAGTCAGGATAACGTACCATGCACTAGGTACTGTCAAAAATCTCCAATCTGAAACACTAGCGATGTCGAGAATGGCCTGAACTCCGCCTGGTGTATCGAACCGGCCCGCTCCAAAGAATGTGCCATCGCGGACGGAATCGATTGGAACCTGCATACCATTAAAGAAAGAAAGAATAGCCCGCAAAAACGGTTTCTACCGCATCCTCCGTCACGGCGGCAAGTTCAACACAGGTGTCCTCGTTGCCCTCCCCAGATTGTAAGTCCCCGCCTGCTTTTAAAATCTGATCCTTGCTAGGGCCACCGAGGTATTGAGCGGAGGCAGAGGTCGCTCGGAGGTCTTTAATACTTGCATACTCCAGAATTTGGTTGATAGACCCGAGCAGCGTGAATGCGCAGGAAGAGATCGTGTGCACAAATCCTCGCTGCAGCGAGTTCATAACGCTGGTATTCAGCAGATCCGTCATACCGAAGATTCCATGAAGAGCAGTCATTCAGAACTTGAACGAGGTAATATGCGCGTGACATAGTATGATAGTGAGCAAGGGAGACTTATTCGACAACTTGGCTTCAATAATAACCCTCTACTAGGATACTTCCTGCGCCATGCCTCCCATCTACCGCGTTTTATGTGGTTTATGAGTAAAGCCCACGAAAGAATAAGATAAAAAATACAAAATGCGCGTACGTAAACATCGTCTGACTTACAAAGCTTCCAAATTTCTCTGATTGCCGTAAACGAAATTCATTTACAATTTATTGGAAGAGCAAAGAGAGAGCCCTAGCAGCTCATCATTAGTTAATGGCAGTTTCGAGAAAGCCTCTTTTCGGAATCTTGAGATTGGGTACCCACTTCTTCAGCAGACTGATAGGCCAATGACATCAGTCCTCACTGGGACAGCCTTGACTAACTGGCTCAGAAGCATTCGCAACACTCGGACCAGCTTTTCGCAAAGTTGATTCGGGTTAGGGCCGTATATTGTGATAGAATAGCTTATTAAATATATAAACGGCAGGCTATGTCAAATATGTACCGTACTAAGGGAAATCGGCGGTGTGGTAGAAGGTTGAATAGTGCTGGTTCGATAGCGATTTGGTAAAACCCCTAATGACGTCAATTGCCGTCTGCGGACTAATGCCAGTCGCCACACGTCCTTAAGCACCAGAATTAGGGAAACCTATGTGACAAGCAAATAATCTAAAGTCGCCAGCAAAATATGTCTGACCAAGACCAAAATCAACGGGAACATGAGGGCCTTGATGTCTGGATACTTGGCTCGAGTATTGGCTCTTTGGCATCCGCAGTGTTCTTAATTCGGGGTGCAAAAATGCCTGCTCCTCGGATTCATCTCTTCGAGTCCCGCGGAGCACCAGAAGATGGACTACCCACTACAGGTGATGCGTTGAGTGGTTATGACCACCGATCTTCATGCTTGCCTATAGTTCGCGACAAATATACCAAATACCTACTTTCTCTAGTTCCCTCGATCGCCTGTTCAGAACAAACAGTACTCGACAACTTGAACACTTCTAAAGGGGACGTGGCCGCCACTCGTCTTCTATTTCAAGGTGACAATCACCTGGAAGCTATCGACCCCAACAATTTCGGTATCGGATGGAGAGTCTGGATGAGCTTGATGAATTTCGTTCTAAAATCCGAAAAGAGCCTTGATAGAAAAGTGATCCGTGATTGCTTCAAAGCAAAATTCTTTTCCAGCGCATTCTGGATCACCTGGTCTTCTACGTTAGTCTCTCATCGAAACATTTTCAAAATCATTGCTAATAAGGGAGAGCATAAAAGATTTGGTTTCTGTCCCTGGTCTAGCGCTATTGAATTCCGTCGATGCGTACAGAGATTCTTTCACAAATCACGATCTCATAACAAATCCAGTCCTCCTGATCGCTTTATTTGCGACCCGCAAGAAGACATCGTTTTGCCAATAACCCGTTTGCTTCAGAAAGAAGGAGTTGATATTCACTTCGATGTCACAGTCACTGATATAGTCATGGACCAGGAGCAAGGTTGCCGGAGAATATCAGCTTTCAAATGGATCAAAGACGAAACAGAGACTATCGTGACTGTTGGCAAACACAGCATTGTGATTGCAACCCTTGGGTCTTCCGTATCCGGGTCAACCAGCGGTACCAATACAAAGCCACCCTCGTTGGAATTACTGAAAGCAGAGGACAGATTGGATGAAAATTGGTCGCTCTGGCTAGCATTTGGTTCAACTTTAGGCGATCCGTACAATTTCTGTACGCGAATTAATGAATCTCGAGTGGAAACCTTCACAATCACGTTTCAAAGCACTGAATGTTTGGACCATTTGATCAAATCAGTGAAAGCTGAGGCTGGATCAAGAACTTTAATCATCCTTCAAAAAAGCAATTGGTCCATCAACTTGCTTATTCCATCTCAACCACTTTTCTCCCATCAATCCAGAGATATGAGCGTGATTTGGGGCTATTGTTCAACCCCTAATCATATAGGGAATTACGTGAAGAAAGCCATGCTCAGTTGCTCTGGGCAGGAGATTTCGGTTGAATTAGCTGAGCATCTCAAAATACCCCGAGAGTTCATGTTGAACAATTCGATTAACATCCCGCATGTGATGCCTCGCTTAGCAGCTCCCTTGCTGACTCGGTCTTCTGGAGATCGTCCAAAGGTCATACCAAAGAAAATAACCAATTTGGCAGTCGTGGGCCAGTTCGTCGAGATACCAGATGAGACTTGTGCGATTGTGAACTACAGCATCTGCGGAGCCCACGCTGCGGTGAATCGATTGGTTGGACTTCAAGAACTGTGAATAGGGTTTGAAAGTATAAATCTCACCAGAGGAGAATGCTGGCGGCTGTAGGGTCCCGCCTCTTGTTTTGCCAACCTTGCCGCGCTTTCGCATTTCATACCGGCTGCTGGGCCAGGGAAAGCAGGGATCAAGGGACCACCTACTACGCGCCACTCTCCTGACGTGAGCTTGTTAGCTTGAAGGTGGGAGGTAGTTTCTTGATAGCTTTCCAAAATTGGCAGAAACGGGCCCGTGTTCCAAAACCAAAGAGCTCTCAGGGGTCATTTTCGATACAGTAGTAGTAGTAGTAGTAGTAGTATTGTTCATTTACACTGACCCCTCGCCGAGGAAGACAGATGGAGAGATTTTGGGTTTGAAAAAAGGCGATTAGGTCGCTGGCATGTTCAATAAATCTGGAGGTATGTGATTGCCGCCCCACATTGGGTGGTGCTGGTTGAAGTCGCCGGCAATAATAATGTTAGTAGCCCGGTGCTCGTTTATCTGCGTAAATCAGAACGCTGATGAAAGTGCTGTGTACTAGAGTATGTACTTTGTAAGAATGCGAAAGCTGAACGCCACGGGTGCATTGGCCCCCAGCCCCCAGCCCCCGGCCCCTCTAACCTGGCCCCTCCACCCCGGCCCGATGGCCTGACGTCGCTTTCCGTTTTCACTTGCGCTCTCTCTCGTTTATTTGCGCGCTGGACTTTTCACTTGTACGAACTATTTTCACATACTACGTTTAATATCCCGAAGCTATCGTGTTCTTTATCTCCTCGGTCTGAATAAGCAGCTATGCAAGCTCCGCAGCTGATGGTATTTACCAAATTTTACGTGCCTGAGACCGCAAGTCTAGAGGACGAATACTGGGGAAATTTCGCACGAAATCTGAAAGATTGTCCCGGGCATTATGTTTCTAAATGGGGCAGAATCGAGGAACATTTAAATGATGTTCTTCTGATCACATGTAATATACCTTCCCTTAACGAGTGATAAAGATACTAAATTCTCTAGTGTGGACATCCCAAGAAGAATTGAATCAATTCAGAGCCTCATCATCACACGAGACCTACTTGTCAGCATTATGTCGATACTCATCGATTCCGCCAGAGGTCTATGAGTTTGATTACAACTTACCAACCCCGTGGTTGAGGAACCCAAGCTATCGTATCTCTTTTATATGTGCGCACTTCTCAGCTTCAATGGGCCTGGAGAAAAGCTACGAGAAGCCTAGAGTCAAGGCCCTCGAATCTAAAGGCGCTGTTATGCCCAACGCACGCAGATATGTGACGGTTACACATACACGCATCCCTATAGGACTCTGGGATAAAAGGAAAGCAGACGATGGGGAAAAACCGGAGACCTGTGTGATATTCTACTTCTGGAAGAATGCTGAGACGGAGCAGGACTTTAAACACAAGGAGGGGCGTCATGGGCAAACAAAATATCAATTGGCCGAGCAAGAGTTGAGAGATGCTGGGGCTGAGAGCTGGACAGAAGAGCACTGGGTTCCACGAAGGCTTCCGAATATTTCGAAGTGAAGGGATAAATCAGTGCTCGCAATTTTAGTGCCCTTTGCAAATGCAGGAATAAATCGAAGAAAGATCGACGCTCAGTGAGAAATTACTGCGAAAGGGGATGCGAATTCTTCTGTTTGAAGACTTATCACATAGCTATTGACTACAATATGAGATATTCTCATGATTTGAGATAACCCCCAAAGACTACTGATATGAAACTTCAAGTTATTCTTAGCGTCTTTATAATGTCAAATATGACTATCAATACTAGTAGAGCGCAGCTACATGACTAGGCAAAGGGACCCGGTCCGATAAAGTGGTCGCAGGACAGGGATCCGTTTTGATGGTCGCAAGTCCGATGTATCTTGTATTTCTTTCCAATTTCGTACCGGACCCACATGTGGAGGAAGGGGGAGGGCACCAGGGATCAAGGACTCCATCCCCGCGGAGGGCCGATGGCCAGCACGCTCCTGAGCAGGCCAAGGACCGGTAGTTAAGAAAATTATCATCGTGAAACAAATAAAAATGCCGCAAATGGCTTATGAGTGATGTTGCTCAAAATGAAGTTAGCCAATAGCTACAGAAAGGGCCTATGGGCGCGTACGGTTGCAACCATCTCCGTCCAGAAGGTATCAAAGCTTCGATCGTGTCTCACGACTCGTAGTATCCCTTGCAAACTTGTAATGACTAGCTGCGAACGTGTTATTGGTCACCGCAGCCACAGTGCTGATGTCCAGGGCAAGAGAAAATGACGCAATTAGACCCGCCAAACGACCTTTGGACCCTGGACCAGTACATCCAAGGATCTCTAACGCCTCTCTCTGTGTATCTAAAATAGTACCCCCACCAACAGTTCCAACTGGAAGACTCGGAAGGTATGTTGATACACCTAGTTCCTTGGTTTCATCATTAAATTCCGTGGCTAAGTGGCTCCACGCTGATTCCGCGATGCTGCCAGCATCTTGACCGCACGCAATGAACATTGCAGCAATCACATTCACCTGATTGATATTATAGCCCAGCTGACCAGTTCGCGTAGCAGCCTCCTTGCTATTCTGAATAAGTTGATATAGATCCCAAGTTGAAATGCCTAGAACTTTCTGGCAAGCTTCCGGTGTGACCGTCCCCCATGCCATGACAGCCACGCCGCGGGATTGGAGGATATTTCTCCAAGATAGAGATTTTTCCGCAGCCAATTGGCCCTCAATGGTGACCTTTTGAAGTTTTACCACTCGGGCATTGTCTGATGCTGCGAAACGATCACATGCTTTCTCCGTAGCGAATGTAGCCATGTTCTGCCCCACGGCATTTCCACAGTAGTATTCAAACAGAACGTGAACGGTGCTACCGATGAGTTGAGGCTCAATTCTGAGAAGTTTGGCATGTTTGCTGGTAGATTGTGCAGCGTCACGAAACTCGGAGAAAAGGCTTGGTACCAAGTCGTAGAATGATATGGCATCTGCCGGTGAAGAAAACCAAAAGACAGGCCCTCTCGTCATAGTCTCTCGGAGTACTTTGAATTGAACACCACCACTAGCATTAAAGACCTTGCATCCACGTGAGCAGCTTGCGACTAGTGTAGCTTCACTGGTTGCCAATGGCGCATGGAATACACCATCAGTTCCATCAGTGCCCCTGACGCTCAGGGGACCGGCAATTCCAACAGGGACTTTGACCGAGCCAACGCAATTTTCGATCTTGGCTTTTTTGATGGTATCTTCATCTTGGTTGATGTATTTCAGTTTGGACGCAATTCCTCTGATTGAGTCCATCTTAAGAGTAGGAAAGGTGAGCAAACATATGATTGTACTTCGGAAAGGAATTTCGTAAGTTGTCGAGAGTCTTGAAGGATGAATTAGCGAATTTTATAAACATTTCTGAGAACCGGGCAAATGGTCTCCCGACAATGACGGAGAGTGCTGCTCCACACTCTCCACACAATCCCCACCCTCCTCCCGTGAGATTCTTCCTAGGATAATATCGCTGGCACTACCATCCAGGATAACCGTGTCTTCAAGCTCCTCGGGGGTAATAGGGTTTCTGCCTTCCTCGAAATTCAAGGTTAATTGTAGCAAGTGATAATCCTGTGCAGAAAATGACCCGTAAATGTCAACATTCGGGCATAAATCTTATCTCCTCGTATTATTTACAGTAAGAGGCGTGACGATCTTCGCTAAGTAACCGAACAGGTGCCTTGGCATTCACCTGGTTCTTTTTTCTGTTTTTTTTTTCCCACTCCACTATAATTGAGTTTAATTGAAGAATCCTGCCATGGTCCCTTCAGAACCGACCTGTTATACTGTATCGTTCAACTTAACAGGAGAGGTAGGAATTGTGGAAGAATGTTAAAATAATGAACTTTGGCGCGAGGAAGCAGATAAGTACATGCTTCCGGCAGCTTCATGGTTTGTATGTTAGAATGGAAGCTATTTCCGCAGAACTCTATTGCACTGACCGCTCCATGACGTGTAGGTCGAGCGAAGAGAAGGGATCGTTGGGGTTATGGGAGCTGTAGGCCATACGTATGTTATCGTTTATCTGGATTGAAACTAAGGTTTGTGTGGCTTAGTACGGCCTGTCAAGGGTAACTAGGCTGGTCGCCCTAGAGGCCGCCCGTAACCAGTTGGCTAAGCGCGCGTACACACGCGTATTAGGAACAGAGCTGAGCGAACAGGATGGTATATGCGGTATAGATGGTGTGGGAGACATAGAGACTCAAGCGTAGCAGCTGTATCCAAATTTGAATGGGGAAAACTAGTAGTTCTAGGACACTGATGTTACATGCAGAACATTTATTCAGCCAGTTGCCGCTATGGAGCATCACAGGTTTGTCGCTTAATTCCGTCACACCGACTTTTAAATGCAATTCAAGATTTTGGCATTGGATCTGACGATTAACTCTATTTAAAACTCCCATCAGCGCAGGACGACCTAAGATTCGTCGATTCTTATGCTTCAGGGATTGTGGGTGTGGAATGACAGCTTGAATCAATGTCCCGTATTAGATTTGTGATTTCTATCACGTACCTCCTAGATTGGACGCGAAGGAGAGAAGGGAGGGAAAATGGCTATTAGAGCAAATGGCGAGAAGCAAAAGAGAAGTTATCTACGGCGGAGTATCTAATGTCCATGGATACAGAAGGCACGCCACGTCCGAGTCAACACCCGCGGGTGTTTGTTTACAGGTCAGCAGCGGCTTCCAGTAGACCGCGACCTTCATTTGTTGTAAGTTGTAATCTGTATCCTCTTCTTCTTCTGGTCAGCCCATATTCTCTATCACTAGGTGCCTGCTCTTTATCCTTTGACTAATTACTCGCTAATTAGCTCCACCTTCGTCTTTCCGTTCCCTGTCTCTTCGTCTGACTATTCCATACTGTCAACTATCCTTTTCGCATTTCCATGCTATCATTTGACTCAAGTCACTATCGCTTTTCCTCTGGAGCTTTCCCTCATATTTATAAATACAAGTATATTGCGATCCCTCAGGCTGATGGCATCATCAGTTTCTGGTCCCTAATCTCTCACAGGTTGTCAGAATCCGTCGTTGATCGAGGCAAGGCAAAGTAGCGCAGCCATGGCAACCATCCACTAAAGAGCCACCCAGGCCATCATCTCCATACCTACTACTAGTATCGTCAAGCGTTTGCCATTCACTTCGCCTTTCCACTCACTTCGCTCCGAATTTGTCTGCCCTACTTCTCACCTCTAGTTATTCCTTATTTCTCCGGTCTACCTATCTCCCACAACAAATTTACACCAGAACAATGGTGTCCGTCAAGTATAGGCCTAATATCCTGCTCCTTTCCCTCTCAGGCCTAGAATCCTTCGATGACGTCTACAAACCGCTTATCAGCCGCCTCCTCGATATCTCATACCTCACACGAGTGAGGACAGCCTCAGCTGCGCTTAAGGAAATCGATAGCACGAAATTCAAAGCAGTTATCGTGACGGATGAAGGCCTCGCAGAACCAGAAAACCAAGTAGCCATGGTCAGGCTGAAAACCTACATTGAGAGCGGGGGACTGGTCGTCGTCGGCCTACAATTGTCAACCTTTGTTCGCCAGGATCGCTTCAAAGCATTTTTCAAAGCATTTGATCTTACCTGGGTGTCAGGCAGTTACCAGGTCAGTCCTATCTGCTTTGTGCCTTCGAGTACCTTCCCAAGGTCCCTGAAACCCTCTTCATTGCCTGGACCGCGTACCGTGAATGCCCGCCATGTCCAAAATTCCAAACCGCATGAGAGAATGTTCGTTTCTATTCCAAACCCCAAAAGGCATAACGACGCCGAGACGGGGCGAGTGGCAGGCTCAGGAGCTGCCCTTGCATGAGCCAGAATTGGACTTGACGACTTGGTTTATTGCGGAGATGTCAATGGGGGTGTCAGCTCAGCAGTTTTGATTTTGGCACTCTGTGGGTTTTGAACCCACTCGCCGGCTTTACGGAGCCCATCCCAGATGGATATGGATTCTTTTTGTCTGTCTTGTCTCATCGAGAAGATTGCGGTGGGTTCGAAATATTTGGTGGACTTACAAATCCCGTTCTGTATTCCTCTTTCTCTCTTCAATTTTTTCTCTTGTTTCTATCTCCGTTGGCTTCTTCCTGGGCTTTGGCACCATCAAGTTCAATACCATGGCTGCTAGCTCTTATCTCTGATCTCTCATCTCAAATTTGACGGGTTCAACTCTAAAATCAACTACCCCCCCTTCTGCCTAGCTTATTTCACAAAATCCTGTGTAGACTAAAAAATGAAAACCTCGATTCTGATTATATCCCCGCTTATCAGAAAGCAGATCAAACGGACTATAAAAATCAGATGCGTATTCGAAACCATCAGCTATCAAACAGCAAATTGTAAGTTACAAATTCATTTTTGTCTGACAAGAAGGTACAGCCATGCCATTTCCAAGATTTGATCACAAGGTCCTCTATACTGGCACACATTCCAATATAGAGTTATAACGAGCGGAGTATGTGTGTATCTCCACAATCTTGAGACCCGCCCTTTCCAAGAGGCTGTGCCATTGTTTAGTAGTCCGTTCCAATGACGCGAGCGAGGACATCATAGCCATATCGACTTGTGTTGCATGCCAATGGACCCCAGAATTCGGCAGAACCATTTCGTCAATAAGAATGGCGGAGTCGGGTCCCAGTGCAGAAATGGTATTCTTCAATATTATCAATGCTTTCTCATCGGCCCAATCATGCAGAATACTGCGGAAGTAGTAGAATCGAGCTCCTATTTATTTTGTCCTATCAGTATCAAGGTTGCTCGAAAAGCATATCTCAAAGTAGGGGGTTCTGGGTTGATTACCTCGGACTACTTGGGGCTGGAAGAAGTCAAACACGACAGTTTTCACGCCTTCGCATGGTATAACGCACGAGATAACTATTTCCATATCCTCCACGATTATGTCATTTTTTATGTCGGGCAGTCGCTTTTTCAGAGCCAGGCTTTGATGTCCGATATTTCCTCCAACGTCCACAAATAAGGCCTGGTCCGGGCTCAGGTCCTTGGATTTTTCTTCGATCGGAAATACATCGAACCATCGACGCATTCCACGTTGTTCTGCCTCCATGAACTTGTTAAAATGAACAAAGAGGTCCGGTTTTGTCTGGGCCCAGACAAATGCCGGTTGATCGGTGTTGAAAGCCTGTTGTAAAGGTGTGTTGACCGAACTTGTAATGTCTTGATATTTGTTCTTCACCAAAAAGTCGGGAAGAGCGAAGATTGGAGGAGCAATGATGTTCACGCTAGGAAAGTTAGGAAATAGGAAGAAAGGATATTCTGGATTAAAGAACTTTGTGGAAATGAGGACTTACTTATGGTATATGGCGCTAGCGATACCTTCGTCACTCAGAGATCTAGTAATATTATTACCGGTGAATGTGTTGTCTCCAGTCTCCTTGATTGTGCCGACCGACGCGAGATAGCGTAAAACGCGGGCTTTTAGCTCAATATTAGCAATTCGCTTCAAACTTTGCCACGAGTTTATAATGGTCGCTTGATCTGGAAATCGATGTCTCACCTAAAAGCGTCGGTGCTGCATTTGCCTTGGTAGCCAGTTCATCTAAATTGAGCGGGTGATCACTTTCGGCGAGGGTTTTGAAGATGTTCAAGTCCAGACCGACTCGAACCAAGGCAGGTTGAAGATGCTGTGCTCAAAAGTCAGAAAGACCTTTAATAAAAGTCATTTTTTACATACCAGATACGAAATCCTTTGCATCGTATCCTGCGGGGTTTCAAGAGACAAGGCTAGATCGCGAAGTCCATCAAGAATCTTCCTCCGACCGGCCTCGTCCGCATCTTGTGCTAGCGATTTGATCTGATCAATGATATTCTCCATTTTGATACTGAAAATCGATTTTTGTTTAGGAGGCGTGAGGTTCCAAATTCGCTTTCATCGGGCTTTAGGGAAAGGGGGGGTTGAAAAAAAGATATACCAGAATCATGCTTTGCGGCAGGATCGAATATTTATATTCGAAAAACATACATACATGGATTATGCGAGCATGACCAACCTGTCGGAGAATGTTAGAGTTCTCTCCATCTTGTCAAAAGTTCCGAAGACCAATGGAGGAAGCGTATCAACGAATAAATACTCCGACTTGAATCCGATTGGACATTAATCAGTTAAGAAAAGCTGACCATTCTCCTATTTTGTGGTTTTCTCACTGTCTGTTGATCTTCCAGGCTACCCCGAGGACAGTAAGCGCTAATAATTCGACGAATAATGATTTGGTAATGCACTTCCTGTCTGACATTCCCCTCATTCCGCGAACTGACCTCCACTGGTAATGAGATGTATATTTAAGTCCTGATTGGTAGTGAGAATGTGTGAATTGCGAATACGGTAAACCTCAGCCGCAATACCTAATGGAGTTCTAAATATATTAATGCCAAATGCTCGAACCTAATTTCCGTAAAGCAGAGAATTGGAAATGTATATAGAGAGCTTTGCCATATGCATTAAGGTATACCAACGCATGCTCTAGAAAGTGAGCTACATGGTACCAAAACTTTGAGATTCGTGGCGCAGTTGAGCAAAGCGGTGTCGTCGCAACGTTCCGGGGGCTGATTGCTGAGCGATGAAGTTGCGGTAATTTTTACCGAGTTGTCGACCAAGAAAATGAATGCACAAAATCTCTGAAGCTGAAACTTGATGTCTTTCTTTTTGACTAGAATATATTTTGACTACATGTGATTTTTCTGGATTAACTAGTAGTAAGTTACAAGGAGTACAAAAATGAGCAAAACATGGCAGGTTTAGCCGAGTTGCCACGTGGTTGATGCCTAGTTTTACCCTATCCCAACTTGACTCTACAGTGAGCTTGTGCGTGGGAGCAATTATGATATGGAGGAAGCGGGGTTCCATATCGTGCTTTCATTCAGATTACAACGGACTAGAATGAGTGATTACAGGCTAGTTGCCGATGCATTATTCGAAGCTACTCAGGGCTTATTCACGAATCTCTTTCAACATGGCTACTCTCATCCATTTGGGGGCGAAAGACGAGCGCAGAGATTGGAGAATTTGTTTGATTGATGGAGGGTGATGGTTGAAAGTGGTATATGGACAGTGGATGAAGACGGTGTGGAGGGAGGAATCGACAAATTTAGAGAAGGAGATAGAAATGACGGGCTTGAATATGCTATCGCACCAAGTTGGTGATTTGATTTATTTTCATGTGTTATAACCTGCAGACGTGTGGGAGTGGACGGGAAGCCCTGTTCTCTGACCTATCTGCATGTACCAGATTGACCGCGCAATTATCGGTGCATTCTCTGCTAGTTGACTGGGAATTCATATGAAGAAGCTGGGTGAAAGGAAGGCCTGGTCTATTGAATTAGCGATTACGGTGTGCCTTCTGGTATGGCAAGAAACAATTCCAATATTGGAAATATTATCAGCACTATGCCATCTAACTTAACAGTCACAGTAGCTTGTATGTGGCCACAGGGGCTGCTCTAGCATGACGTCGTTCATGGATCTTCAACTATATTTAGAAATTGTGAGTGATTGACGAGATCGGTGCTTGAAAAGGTTAGCGAGGCTCTTGAGAAATACTATCTTCAGGGGGGGCAGTGGGTCATATCTTAGCTATATCCATGCTGCTTGCGTGCACATTAGGCATATATCATCCAGGCACGATCTGTGGACCTTAGGCTGGGCATGCATGTACCCCGCCTTTTTCCGCAAAATAAATATGGTTCATTCTTAACATAGTAGAGTGGCTCAGCCTTTATACTATTGTGTACCCATATTTGTCATCTATCATTCAACAATGTATATACAGTGGTGTTGCAAAGGTTTGAACCCCCCTTGTTGACCGCTCAGATCTATGCCTTCCCAAGGGGAACAAGTAGCTACCCGAGATGGAATAGATTGGCCAATCCATTCTACTAGTATCTTGGGGTAGTTAGTGTCTTGTCAAATTCGAGATTCGCTCCAGCACCCCAATCCGTATTGCCTATTGCCTTTTTTTTCATTTTTCATGAGCACAAACAACTGGATTCCAATTAGTACTTGCAATTCAAAGTGTTTCTTTCTTAAAAAACCAAAACAGAAAATCTCCATAGGCAGATCTATAGTAAGGAAGGCACCATGGCTCGGTCCCGTCACCTAATTACGGAAATTTGTCTCCGTTCGGCCTATTCTGTCCCCGAAGTGCGAAATACGCTTTCCCCGATACCGATGCCGAATCGGGTGATTCATTTCGTACACTTTGCATTCGTTTGTGTTTACTCCCTGTCAATTCAACTCAACTTTTCTCACTTCTTTTAAGTTGACCATCTCATACCGAACTGCTTCATTGAACCCCACAGGATTTCTCATCTCGATATCCAGGGTGCGTGTGCACCCTGTGCACCTTCCCACACAGCTCATTCAATCGCGATCACAGGCCAAGTGACCGACTCGAAGCCAAGAAAAAGCAACCCACGGCGTCTATCAAACAAGCAACTGACACGAAATGGAATCCCGTCCAGACATTGATTCCCCTGCAGACAGCTCTGTTCTGCTTCCCAGTGGTCAACTAGTTTGTCGCCCGCATCAACTGGTTGTCTGCAGCCTTTGCCGTACCGACCATATCCTCCCCGATCAAACCCCCTCCCGCAGGAATGGCATGAATAACCTTCCTATCAGATGCCTTGGCTACATGCCAACGACAAGGCTGATCCTCCCGGGAACCTTCGTGCCGCCAAATCAAGAGGATACACCGGACACTCTGTTCAAAGCCCTGCATGTGAGTATGACGCCGCCGATATGCCGCGTTGTGCGCAAGGGCTACAATGCCCAACACCTGATTTACACGGGTGGCTCATGCCCTGGTCTTGGTTCACTAAACCCCAAAGCCGGCTGTGCATATGTGTTTGCTCCCGTGTTGCAACGAATCGTGCGTCCCTACGCATATGTTTCCTTTCGACTAGAGAACAAGGGTCCGACAGATGAATGGCATTCTCAAACAAAGGAACGCGCTGACCTTCGCGCGGTCATTGGAGCACTGAGATTCCGATCCTGGAAGGGCATGGAAGAATGTTCAAGTCTAGTTATCGCCACAGACTCCGGTTACGTCGTTGAAGGCATTACATCTCGTGTCATTGATTGGTTGAATAACGGCTGGAGTACTCAAGTGAATACCCCGGTGAAGAATCAGGACCTGTGGAAATATTTGCTCAAGGAATTAGAAAACGCATGGCTCGCAAGCGGAATGCGTGTTCAGTTCTGGCAGATCACTCGAGAGCAAAACTGGGTGGCCAAGCGTGTGGCCAAAGAAGCTGTGAATGAGCGTGGGGAAATCGATTTCATTCACGACATTGGTCCTCTGGCGGAACTTTAAGGGGATGAAGGGCACTAGCACCAGGGAACGCAATACAGTTCTATGAAGGAGGGTTTATCAGGCTATCTGAACAGTTTACGATGTACAATATGCTCGTGTTGAGAATAGTCATTCTTCTTTAGCACGATATCATCAACATACTACTATGTTCAAGAGATCAGTAGATTGAAAAGCCTCGGTAAACCATCACAGTGTAATTCTCTGAAGAGAAAATAGCCTACCTGGACTCACTCATAAATGTTCGGTACCTCCCTAAACCAAATCACAAATTCGTGGGATGTCGCTCTTTTCAAAATTATATGAACGGTGTGCAAATACTGTAGTAAAAGCAGTTTCGTTGAATAAGAGACTATGCCTATGAATAATACGAATTCTTTGGAGATATTAGAGCATGACCCAGGGCTTACTGGGCGTGTGTAGACTTTCAACCAGTGATATCAACAGCAAAATTTAAACATCGCGGCTCTGACTTCGCATTTCTTTCCCTTTCTCCGCCTCTTGAGCCTCATCTAGTGCAGCCGTTTGGTAATCTCTGAACTTCCTCACAGGGACACCCTCGTGGAAAAGTCGATCCACCTCTTCGAGAGATTTCCCTTGACAATCCGGCACACAAAGGTATGTAAAAACACACGCACACACTGCAATACTCCCAAAGATAAATCCAACTTTGGAGTGCAGACCCGCGTAGCCGTCGTCCAGTAGGTATGGAATCGAAAAGGTCACCGCAAAATTGACCGCAATATTTGTGAGAGAAGAGATACGTTGAGAATGGTCACGAAGCGACAAAGCCGGCAGCTCAGTGATAACCACATACGTGAGTGGTCCCCAGCCCAGTCCGAACCCAGCTCCGAAGATCGCCATCATAGCTGCTATCGCGGTGCTTTCAGAGAAGGTCACCGGGCTCGCTGTTCCTAGGCCACCCATTGTAAATAGCGCCACGGCTTGGATGCCTGCACCTGCGATGAAAAGCTTCCGCCGACCGACTTTGTCGCTCAAAAGGTTCGAAATGAGACATGCCGCCGTGGTGATACAGCTCGTGATGATTGCGAAGTTGTAGGGGTTGACTGTGCCGAGCGATTTGACGAATATGGCGCCGTACTGACTTGAAAAGGCCTGGCCGGTAGCTTGCTGGAAGAAGCTAATGGCGATGACGATCAGGGTGCGTTTCAAGTTTGTCTTGTCGAACAACTCTTTGAAATGACCTTTTTCTGGTTCGATGGCAAGTCCAATTTTCAAGGAGGCCAATTCATCCGCGATCGCTTCCCTCGTCATCGTTCCATGGCGGAGCCGTTTTAGGGATTGTTCGGCTTCATCAGGCCGGTTTTGAAGAAGGAGCCAGCGGGGGGACTTGGGAATAGCTATTAGTATGGCCCTTTTGTAGTAGTTTCGAGGGGATGATACCTCTGGGATTAACCAAATCAAAGACAGAATCACGCAAGGGATCACGTAGAATAGACCAAATGGTATTCTCCAGGATTTGTTGCCTTCCAAGGTACTGGTTCCTCTGCAAATACTGTTGATAATAATTCCTCCTAGCTATACGTCGATGTCGATTAGTGTGGGCTTCGCGTGCCACATTCTGTTTGAAACTCACACCGATGGCCAGTTGATATGTTCCCACCACAAATCCGCGGACTGGAGCTGGTACAATTTCTGATTGATAGACAGGTACAACCGATAGCTCCATGCCGACATAAACATCTAAGTCGGAATAAGCAAGATGCTAATGGATGTTGGGCCGACGTCATACAATTCAAGATCCGCGCCGCGAGAATCTGACCCTTGCTCTGGGAGGTCACGGTAATTGTTGCCGTCACAAGAGCATAGCAGCTCATGGAAAATATACAGACGCGACGTCCATATCGTCGGCTGATAAGGCTTCCGATTAATAGCCCTGTAAATCCGTCAGGTTCTATCCAATCACTTCGGAATTCATGTTTTTAACCTACCCAAGGCAAAGCCGATATAGTTCAGACTATTCAGCAGCGACAAATAATATGCCGGAATAGCATATGCCCCTGTTTGAGGATTGTATTCGCCAAATTGTTTCGTGAAAGCAGTCATCGACTGTGTCGTTGCGAAAGCTTGATTATCGAATCCATAGTTGAGCTGGGAGATGGCAACCAGCGTGCACGACAACGCCAGCGTTCGATTGAAATATTTTGTAATAGCCCAATTCGACATGATGGATTCCAAAATTCCGCATCTCTGTTGATTCACAATCGACCAGGGCGACCCCTGACTTTTGAGAACGACATTTCATCTCCGTTTCGTGAAGCTGGACCTGCTAACACCCTCTCCTCAAGCGGAGTCCATATGGCGAATGACCGACTGCCGTATATATAGCCCGGTTATCGGTGACCGAGAGCCGTCCCTGCTTCTAGCAGGGCGCTTTTAGTGTCAAGTCGACGCGAAAATGCGGGGAAAATAGTCAATAAGAACCTCATCTGTTGTGGAGACACCGGTGGCCTGGGGCCAATGAGGGGTACTGGGGATTCCGCCATAAATAAGGACCATGTTCTCATCAGTCTGGCCATAATCCTTCTTCCGGAGGGGTTTGGGCATATTCTTGGATTTTTGGAATGATGGGAGTATCTCGCGACACAATGGCAGAGGATGCGGCCAAGAAGCAAACATGTTTGCAATGTAGAAAGCGAAAGGTAAGGCCTAATGGCACATCTCAATGTCAGCAACTGCCAACATTCATATCAGGTCCGCTGTGACGGGAAAATCCCAGGTTGTTCCAATTGTACCAGACTCGACTTTTCCTGCACATTTCTACCATCGCAGAATATACCAAACGACTTTGCCAGTCACACCGCACGTGGCGTAAATGAACACCTCCAAACGGCGGCAGCAACAACCTCAAGAAATAAATATACGATTGGGGGAATCGAAAGGCGCCGTGGCCTCAAAGCTTGTCGACCTTGCCGTGTCTCAAAGTCACGTTGTAGTGGTGGCTGGCCAAAATGTCGCCATTGCGAGCAAAGAGGCTTGGACTGCCAGTACCTGCCCAGCAAGCGAAGAAAAGGCCCGGTCGATCCAGGGCAAATGCAGCCGTTTTACCCGGCCAAAGTTCCTCCACGATACATGACCTCCGACATCAGTTTTCCCACTTTCGGAGATGTTCCTGATATAACTCAGCTCGCCGAAGGTCAAAATGAACCCTCGCGACCAGTCAGGTCCTTGATAAAATCAAATCCAAAGCCAAATTCGAACTTCAACTTGAACTTGGATTTGGGCCTGGACTTACCAGCAAACAAGATGTTCCTCGAATCCCACATCAACGCCTACTTCGAATATATCAATCCCATTCCGGCGTACAGCTTCATACACAAACCCTCCTTCCTCCGGAACTTCCATCGCAATAAACTCGATTCACTATCCCTTCGCTGTGTCTGTGGAATCGCCTCTCGTTTCCTTCAAAGAAGTAATCCACACCAAGATTACGTGTCCGAATGGCTGAAGGAGGTCGAAGGGCGGATGTGGCCCAGAATGGCTGAAATGAAAATAGAAAATCTACAAATTCTCCTGCTTCTCATCTGCTGGTACTCACTGGATCGGAAGATTTCGAATATGTGGACATCTTCGGCCATGGCAGCAAGGGTCGCCTATGGGATGCGTTTGAACTATGAGAGCACCGGCCCGATGCCCTTCATTCCCAAAGAGGTTCGACGTCGCATGATGTGGTCTATCTTCATGTTGGACAAATTCTACTCCGGGGGGTTTGCAGAATTGACCCTTTGCAATGCGAGCACAATGCATCTCAATTTGACATGCGAGGAAAGGAATTTCGAGCTAGATATCCCTACCACTACGGCAACCTTGACACCCACTTCTTCTTCAGGGACTTTGGAGTCTGGAATCGGCTTGATGGGCCATATGTCTAGACTTGTCAAAATACGCAACGAAGTTCTGGAGTAAGTTGACACGACCAAATCAGCGCGTTTGTGACATCGGAATCTAATGATTAAATACATCGATAGGGTGACGAAGCGAATTATCTCTTCAAAAGAAAGTCCCTACGCAGCGAAGAAAACCATCCAAGCCCTCGACGCGAACCTCCTTGATTTCGCCCACTCCCTACCAACTCATCTCCAAAATAACAAACGCAACCTACTATCTCGTGCCTACACGACCGAGCTAACTGGCTATATAACCCTGCATTCTCTCTGGATACAATGTCACTGTGACTTATACCGAATGATGATCCCAGGGATTCGTGAATCGGTGCCGGAACTCATCCAGCGTGACGTCCCATTCGACTATGCGGAGGAGTGCAGGGAGCTCTGCCTACAATATGCGACCGACATGTGCAGACTTTGGTCCGATACACAGTTAGAATGTGATATGTCCAGGATTACGGACCAGTCGCTTGGTATCTATGCATACCAGTGCGCAAATATACTCGTCAGGTTGTGGGACTTGGATGCCGATAACTCGCTGCGCGATTGTTTGGTGATACTTACGAATTTCTTGGAAAGGCTGGCGGATATTTATCAGGTTGTTGCAGAAATCGTATGTTTCCTTTTCTCTTCTCGGTCACCAACGCTGTGTGCTGTTGCATTACTGAAACAATCCTAGCAATTTGAGATAAATGGCTTTATCGGCAGTCTTGATGTTGTTACCAATTTCTACGCGACACGCAGTGACGAACTTTCCTCTCAGTCGCTTACTGAAATCTGGAGATCTTCTCTCAAGCAGCAAAGTGCCCAGGAAGAACAGACGACATCCAGGTTTTCGCTATTGGAATTCTTACAGCAGCAGAATAAGTCCGACGGGTCGGAGGAATATCCAGATGCAGTTGAGCCTTCCGGCGATGGTGAAGAAAATCCGCACATGCGGGCTGATGAAGGTCTCCATTTGGATGTCGACATAGCTTCGGTTGAACAAACTGAGGAATTAAGCAACGATTTTTGGTCGACATCTCTAAACATGGATTTTGATAGCTATGATACGCGTGTGGATCCCTTCTGTCGAATGTTCGATGACTGGGCCTTGGTTGAACCATAGATAGGTAACGTGAACGATAGACGTCACTGGGTCTGTTATTTCCAAATCACGCTGGATATGCACCTAAAAAAGCTCTGCTCGGTTATTTCCAAAGACTGGGGACATTGGGAGCTTGTCCAGGTGTTTGAATGAAAATCTAGGTGGTGCTACAATTTGTATCGAAATATTTCCCGAAAAGAATAGGAATTTAAAGACTCGTGTTAGACATTCACATAACAATTTACTATAGACACATTTCATTACTGACAATCATGAATCGCTAACTAACCCGAAGAAACTGAAATGTCTGCAATCTCACATAATCCTCGTATCACAAATAATTTGGTATAATCATCCATCATCCATCATCCATCGCCGCCCTACTTCTTGCGGGGGCTCATAAGCAGGTTAAACTCCAGGGGCTTGACACTGAAAGCGCCATTTGAAGTCAACTTGTAGTTCTTATCAGCAAATTCAAACGAGCACTCCTTGATAATACTAGCCAGAGTGAAGAAAGACCACTGCCAGGCCCAGGTCTTGCCGTAACATTCACGCTTGCCGTTACCAAAGCCCTTCTTTGCAGCCGCGGGGAGGTTATCCCACTTCTCGCCGAGAACACGCTCGGGTCTGAATTCCTCCGCATCCTCGCCAAAGACAGCCGGGTCGCGGTTGACAGCGTTCAGAATCGCAATCATGGGCTGGTTGTGCGGGATTTGATACTCACCGCCAGCGAGCATGATGGGGGCCTTGCTTTCTGAGGGAATGGGCTCGATGTTGAAACCCGGAGCGGTGGCGGATAGACGGATAGATTCGCGCAGACAGGCCTCGACGTAGTGGAGCTGCTTCAATTGGTCAAGTTGAATTTCGCTGCTGTCACCGACAATGCTGTCGATCTCCTCGCAGGCCTTCTTGTTGGCCTCGGGGTTCTTGATTAGGTAGTACAGGGCGTAGGAGAGGAGGTTGGCGGCGGTTGCGGCACCGATGTACATGGAGATGATCTCGTCGATCACCTGGGAGTCCTTGAGCTTCTCGCCGGACTCGGGGTCGGTGTTGTTGAGCATGGCATCCAAGAGATCCTTGCGGACCTGCTCAGGGTTCTCCTTGCGACTCTTCATGATCTCCGCGCAGTATGAGCGCATATGCTTGATCTGGCCGGAGAACTTGCTCTGGTACAACAGGTTCAGGAGCTTGGGGCGAGTGGGCCGCTTCATCGCCTCCATGGTAGCACCCTCGAAGGCATCGACCATGCCGAGTGTCTTCTTTGAGTCCTTATCCAAAGCATAGTAGCGCTGGTTGAAGAAGCACTTGTTGCAAGATGCCACCAGGATCGCATCCAGATCCCGAGACGCCAGAACCTTTTGCTTCTGGGTGGAGGACCACTTCTTGGTCAGGTCCGGAACAACCTCCATCATATCCTTGTAAACCTCTTCGGTCGCTTGTTGGGTGACATAAGGCGCCATGATGCGGTGGGCAATTCCCCAGCTCGACTCGCTATCGTAGGCAGTAAATAGACTGTCGTGCACCGCATCTCGGATAGCAACGACAGGACCGGTCACGCACTTGCGGAAGCGCTTCTGGTCGCAGATTTCCTCGAGAAGAGCGACGCTACCGACGAAAACGATCTGGTGGCCGAGGGCATTGATCTTGAAGATAGGGCCTATGGATCGGTTGGTTAGCTTTGGACCACCATGGGTAGCCTCGGTTGCTTCGGGGTAAGCTCCCTTGCTCTGTCAGTCACTTACCATATTGCTTGGATAGCTTGATCAGCGAGTTCCAGGTCTCGTTGGGGTTGACATCAAAGATGTTACCTAGCAGCGGTACACCGGGGGGTCCAGGGATCTCGTTCGACATGATGGGTAGTGGAATATCACGATAGTATACAGAAAAACACAACAGGAATGCGAAGAGAAAGTGACAAAACAGACAGCTCTGCACGGGAGGGGCGGGGGAACCAGTCCTAAAGCCAAACAGAGTCCTCAGCTTTCACACCAATCTTCAGCTGGGCCTCCGATCGACAGATCTCATTTCTGGCCGTCATTGGACACCAGCGGGGAATGGCGCATGTCCAGACTCCATCGTTCACGACCAGTTCGGGACTAGCTGACAAGATCGGCACGATCGCGATGTAATAGCGCAGATTGGCGGTCGCTGATCGAACTGGGATTGGCAATTCATCAGGCTTTCTGGAGCAAATCTGGCGGAGACCCAGCGCACTACAGCCCGTAGTGCAACCACCGGGAGGCAATGGGGTTCATCCCAATTGTCAGCGTGTGATGCAGAGTTTGTCTGCTTCGGCTCCACGTCGCTTGACCGCTCGTCTTGCTCCCTGCGTCATGCTGGTTAGCTTTTTGTTGTTGTTACGCAGAGCGACATAGCGGGAAGCAAAGGGGAATGCTGTCACTTGTCGACGAATGAATCTCCAGGAAGCTCTGGTGTGAGTAATTCAGCATTTGCAGCCATCTTGATTGGCACGGACTCATCAATCTGGTGGCTGTCATAGCGGGTCTGTGGTTGCTGGGGATTGACATCATCTTGATGGCCCACAATAGGGCCCTCAGGGGGGGTCCCAGTCCCCAGCCTCCTCAGGGCCATGCCCTGCGCAACCCAATCCTGTAGGGATCGCAAAGAATCTCAAGATCATCTTGATTATGACCAATCCATACCATTATCCGCCGATCCCCGCCGACTGTGTGGATAGCTTCAAGCCTGGTCTTCCCCCGCCTCGAGATTTGAACCTGGTAACAAGTCAGCATTCCCTCCCCTGCCTTGCTCTGACCAGTGACAGCTACAGGGGAGTAAGGGGAGATTGAAAAGACAAGAGAATCGTAGCGTATTGACAGCTCGTCCCAAAATTCTCTAGGAACACACTCAGACAAGTGGGGTCCACAAGAACTCGCCTCAGCTAGAGCTCTTCGCGAGACTCACGTTCACCCCGATAATGAACGACTGCTGCGCACACATCATCGCTCGCTCGTGGCATGCCCCTTTGTATACCAGGCCACCGAGACTGGTGGCAACCAGATCTGGGTAGTGAGCATTGAACCTAGCGTCCCCATATATGATACTCACGCGGCCGGTCGCGCGATCCACATCCAACCCGAGTTTCTGCTACCCGAGCTGTCGCACACGTATCAAGGGACTCGTAAAGATCCTCTGCACCGGAGCATCAATCCGCGACGGTTTTTGCCAGCGTCGGAGCTAGAGTTGCTGCGTAGGTTCTTTCCTGCGGCGATTGGCGCACGCGTGCTCATTTCGGGGTTTCTCATCGTGCTGTTTCGTAATCAGAAAGACATCGAAGCATCTTGGCTGGAAGGATGTGTCCATTCGTTTGGTCTGCTGCGCTTGGGATACGATGTCGCTGTTCATTATCCCACCGAGACGGTCGCTGAGAGTGGGAATGCCGTCGCAGATGCAAAGAATGGCTCAGCCACGCCTTTGGGCCTCAAGCTGAAGTTTCTCGATGACTCTGAAGGTATCACCGTTCCAACTCATGCCTTTGTTGACATCGAGACGCCGCAGGATAATATTCCACGTAAAGAAGCCAGTTGTTGGGCCAAAACCAAGGCGGCTTTGTCGAAATCCACTGCGATGAAATTCAAAGAATACTTCAAGGGGGGGATCGAGAGTGACATCTCCACTGGGAAAAAATGTGTGGTTTGTGGAAGAACCAAAGGAGGTAAGCTATTGCGATCTGTTGTTGTGGTGTGGGTGTTTGTTCATCAAGCAAGGTTGACTCGGCAAGTAGAAAGTTGGAAATATCTCAACCACCTTCGACCACCACGTAGTTCCCTCCTCGACTTTCCCCCAAACCATTGATCATGATACTTCCATTGTGACTGGAGATCAATTGCCTCGAGTCTTGAATCCCCCACGGGCCCCCAGGATAGTCGGCTGGGGCGAATATTGTCATGCGCTGGACGGTCACTCTGCTTTCGCCATGGCACTCAATACACTTCTCAGTGAATCAGATGGTCGGGAAAAGGAAGACCAAGAAGAAGAGGCAGAGATTCGACGAGACCTATTTGGTACAATGCAGAAAGTCGTCGTCGAGGGCGTCGAGTATCTATGGAATCGCAAGTCTCGCACGCAGTCCGCTGCCCTGCTTTGGCGCGCAATGCACGATGGAACCGAGATGGAAGGCTTGTCGGGATCGGTCTTGTGCCTGGGACAACCGACCGATCCAATTTGTCATGCAGTACTGGTGAAGCATTTCGAAACGCCCATCTGTCCCCAGAATTTTGAGCCATCGGACAAGGTGTCGGCGCGTGGCGATGTTGCTTGGGGGAGTATCAAGGGTGGTTTTCTACTGCCACCGGAGATCCGAAATGCTGAGATTATTTGCGAAGGTGATGAATCGACTGCGATTCCTGAGGATGTGCAGACTTGGGACGTTGAGTTTGTGTGAAACTTTTCACCATGAGATCGGTATAGATGGCACCTGGGCATATATATATATATTGTATCAAATAATAGAGACTACCTACCAACTTGAACTTGAACTTGAACTTGAACTTGAAGTTTGAAGACATTCAAGTCCATGGGCTTGTCGAGTGCCCAGGTGTCAGTGGATGTTCCAATGTCCGACGACGTTCACATAATCTAGATAAATCATACTATTAAAGGCATCTCGATCTCACAAAAGGGCTCAGCTGTTTCAAGTAGCAACCCCTTTATCATTCATATACCAACATCTTGGCTTACTGAGCATAGTATCGCCTTGTTGATAATATCGAGACCATATCCAGGATACCACTGTACAATCCATGAAGTGTTTGTAGTTCCCTTGCGCCATCTTTGCCTAGCTCCTAAACTGATAGAGTTCCGGAGATGTTCTCGATTCGGCCATACTCGTTTTTTTTTCTTCTCATTTCTTTTGACCTTTGCTTATCTAGCTGGCCCAGAAACCCTGCCTTTTCCTAAGCGGGTGGTCAGTAAATAATACACGATGAGCGTGCATAATGCAAACGGATCCTTTTAGACCGGTGGAGGAATACACTGTAGAGATAATTGGATTTTTACCTCGGTCCATCTATTTAACCCCACTAAGGGGCATCATTTGCATAAAGCTATTAGTCAAGTGGGGTCCCAACCAACAAATTTCCTAAGACTCGGGATTCATTCCATTTATTCGCTTCTTTTTCTTCTTCGGCTCGTCTCAAGTTTTGTTGAGGTCGGGCCGAATCGGGTTTTCAGGGGAACGGGGATCCCAAAACTGTTGATATGCAAAAACTCTGATTTGTTTATCGAGCTAAAGAGCTCCACTAAAATAGAATAAAACCAGGAACACCATTCAATGCAATTCAAGAAGAAACCCACTAGCCCAAGAAAAAAATAACCTCGGCTCCTCCCTAATCCAGCCAGCATCACTCTAGAAACAAAAAACCTCATCGCTCAACTTCGTCACCGTGCCCGGCTTCTGGAAACCCAACGCAGCTAAATTTTTCTTAGTCGCACTCACCATACCCGGGGGTCCACATAGCATGATCTTGGTATCAGGCGAAGCCGCAGGCAATCGCTCTGCCAGAACAGTCTGATCCACATATCCACTACCGTACGCCCAGTCCTCGGGTGGCGCATCAAGCATGTACCACAGCTTGAAGTTCTTAGGATAGCGGCGCGCGAAAGTCTCCAATTCCTCGCGAAGAAGGATATCAGCCTCGGAGCGGTTCGCGTAAATCAAACTGACCTCCGTCGTGTCGGTGTCATTCTCGCAAATCGCCCGAATCAATTGGAACATGGGTGTGATACCAGTTCCACCAGCCACCATGCCGATCTTATTGCAGAGGTCTTTGGTATACTTCATTGCGCCCTTGGGGCCGCGGAACTCAACCTCATCGCCGATCGAGAGGCCTGCGAGATATTTGCCGCTCAGAAGACCGTCGGGATAGCATTTGACGACTAGCTCGATACGGCCGCGGTCGAGATTGTTGGAGGTAGGAGTGTAGGAGCGAGTCACGGTCTTGCCATCTACTTCGGCTCTGATCGCGACGTGCTGGCCAATAGGCAAACCCAAGACGCCCTTTGCATTGGGCAGAGCGAAGACAAAGCGGTAAACGTTGGGTGAGAGTTGATCCTTCTGCACAAGAGGTAGACGCTGGTATTGTTGCGGCTCGAGGAATCCGCGTGTCAAGTGCGGATCAACGCGAATCACCTTTTTCGCCTTGATGCGTGGCGGGTATCGCATAAATCCAGACTCGATCTTGGTGAATCGGCTGGCTTGCTTAGCAACCATAACGCCGATAGAGCCACAGATCACACTCGCAGCGAGGAAGCCATTCACGAAGCCGCCTCGAGGCAGACGAAGACCCTTTACTTGGCTGGGAAGTAGGTGGGAGAAATGAGGGAGGTGCATAGCTCCCTGGTTGCAGACGAAGAGCGCTGGAATGAGTGCCAAAGCTCCACCTGCAACTGCGATAGTCCGTAATGAAAGCGACGACGACTTCTTCTCTTCCGCGGCCTTTTGGGAGATCACGCGAACTGCCTTTGGCCGCACGAATTGCTGGGCATCCTTCAGGGTACCGATCAGGTAGGGTTGCATGATTTCACGCGCATCTTCAGAGTGACCAACATCTTCATACTCGGCAGTGGCATCTTTACCACCGACTTCAACAAGTACCTCTGCACCACCAGGATGATCTTGACAGTACTCCGTGATATCGAAGACTGGAGATAGTCAGTAGAGCTCCGGTCAAGATGGATAAATTCAGTCAAACCTTGTCCGTGGATCACGATCCATGTATCTTTCTTAGTATTATGCGCCGCAATATCCTTCAATGTGTACTCTGGCAACTCAACTTCGGTCTGCCATTGAGCCTTAGGCTCCTTAATATCTGAAGCAGCCATCCTGTTTTGCAGAAGAAGGAAAACTTAAGGCAGTAATCGAGAGAAAGCACAGTACGGGTCGAAGTATTAAAGTGGAATGGCAACTCGACAGACCTATGTATAATCAAATCCTGGGCCAACCGAAACTCGCCGAAAGGAGTTATCGTAATTATCTTTGCATAAATCTTCCTAGCCGTTTTTCCGCTCGTCATTTGAACCTCGGGATTAAAAAGGCCTCAAAATTCTAGACTACGCGGCTCGGACAGCGCCCGCAAACGGCACGGCGTACCGATGCCGATTTCACCGCGAACCCGAAGAACAGCCCCATCCATTCCTGTTGGGGGAAAGCGTGAAGATATTTGCTTCGCTCCAGTGGTCTGATACCAAGTTAACCTTGGACAGAGTGGGGCGAGCCGCGGATGGCCATTTCCCTATTCAAGAGCTTTGATATTTCAATAGGAGAAGCTACTCGATTGATGAGACACTTGTTTAAAGGGCATATATTTCAGTATATTGATAGAGACGAGCCCTAAACTGAATATGGCGATCAATTAGAAGTTTTTTGGACGTTTTTGGTTACAAGAAAAACCCTGCGTGGGCAGGCTTAGCTTCCTATTCTCGTTAGTGACAGCGCCGATCGTCACTACATTTGATAGTGGAGTCAGTCGAATAGACTGAAACTGCCGAGGCAGGCAACCAGGCTAACAGGATTTCCAATCCAAACTCTAAGGCTCGAGCTACAGTTATGAAAATGTCGCAAATTATGCGCGAGAAATTTCTTCGCAATAAGACGTAGGCTGGTGGAGTCATCGGAGTCAACATATTTGACCCGAGACTGGTGGGCGATGCAATTTCGATATAAATCGGGTGTGTCCGTGGATGCATTTAGTTGGTATTCTGGCTAGTAATTTCTACTTCAATTTGACAGAACAACATGCCTGGAAAGTCATTCCACCTGCTAGGCGAGCCTAGCTCTTCGTCTCAGTATGTCGAGCTGGAATCGACATTAGATTTTCAAGGGCTGCAACACTTGATTGCAGGTCAATTTGCGATTGTCGAGCCAAATGGTATGTATTTTGTGTTTCCCCCAAAAATATCCAGAATACCCACTCACTCCATTATAAAGGCATTGGATTCCAAGCTCAAGACTCAACACTCACAACTGTGACTGAGGTCCTAGCCACCGAGGAGCCCATCGCCATCAGCATCGATGGCGCGCCAGTCCGCGAGATCCCAGGACCAAAGGGTCTACCCTTTGTGGGCAACTTCTTCGAAATCTACCCCGACCATCTGGGAAACCACCAGCGCCTTTTCGACCAGTATGGTCCAATCTTCCAAACAACCAACATGGGTCGCACGATATACCACACCAATGACCCCCAATTGTCCGCCATCGCCTTCTCCGAATCAGACTTCTTTACCAAGAAAATCAACGAATCTCACCCCCTCTACCCAATCAAGAACCAAGAAGCCGGCGTCTTCCTCGGTGACACTGATACGCCAGAATGGCGCGCCGCGCACAAGTTCCTCCCCCGGCGCTGGGGCCCAAGGCTGTCCGTCACTACGCACCGACCATGCAGGAGACTGTTGAGGATGCGTTTGGCGTTTTTGACGAGCTGGATGAGCAGGGCGAGGCTTGGAATGTGTATCAGTATATGCTGAAGCTGGGATCGCAGGCTGTGGGAAAACTTGTTTTGGGAATTGATTTCAAACACTTCACCTCTCCCAATGCCCCGCCTCACGAACTGGTCTACCGCATTGCGGAGTCATTAACTTTGAACAAGAAAGTTGCTGCGTGGGGTAATTGGTACGCGAAGATGCCATTCGGTGACCCCAAGAAGCTGCGCGATGCTAGATGGCGCATTATCGAGATGGTCGATGAGTCGATTCAAAATGCCTCGCGTGGTGGTGTTGAGGATCTGCCCCTTCAAGATGCTGCCTTGAAAGCAACCAACATGGTTGGTAAGTATACCAAGTTGGCTTTCTACGCGTTTCCTTTTAACTCCAACGCTAACTTGTTTTCTCTAGACTACGCCATTCGCGCTACGGACAACAAGGGCGAAAAGCTCCCAAAAGCAAGCTTAATGTCCGCCCTCGTCGTAGCCACAGGCGCGGGCTTCACAACAACCTCCTCCCTCCTCTCCTGGCTCATCTACTCCGTAGTAAACTACGAAGGAATGCAAGAGCGCCTCTTACAAGAACTAATCGACAATGACATCGACGCCGACACTCAAATAACAGCTGATATCACCGACAAACTCACCTTCATGGACCACTTCATCAAAGAGACCCAACGTCGTCACAACCCCTCCTACCAGCCCGGCCGCACCGCAAAGGTCGACATGATCCTCCCAGGTGGCTACAAGCTTCCCGCAGAGTCAATCGTCATCCCAGCTCTACACCACGTCCATAATAACCCAGCTGTCTGGGACAATCCCGCCCGCTTTGATCCCGATCGCTGGGATACGGAGGCAGTGAAGAATCGCCACAAGGCGGCTTATATTCCCTTTGCTGCGGGCCCGCGCATGTGCATTGGTTTTAACTTTGCGCTGCAGGAAGTGAAGGTGTTTTTGCCAAAGTTGCTTTATAGGTATAAGTTTACCCAGGAGCAGTTTGGAACTATTGAGTATGATCCTATGTTCCAGTTGATTCGGCCTAATAATTTGTATGTGCGTGCTGAGCGTCGGGTGAAGTGGCCGCCAAAGTCGGAGTAGATGGTTCTTTGTCGAGGTGGAGGTGAAGAAAAGAACTTCAAATTTACAATCTTTCAGATATCCAATACATTCTATTTTATTCTATTTCCTTTTCCTTTCCCCAGTTTGTGCGCTTCCCGAATAATTTCCAAGGAGTAGAATGACTTCTCCCTCCTCTCGAGGAGGCGAAATGATATACCAGGCCTACTCTTCAACCTGTGCCCGGCGAAATTCCTCCGCCCAAGGAAAATTCTCCCATCGTGACCCATCGTCTCTAAGACGAACAGTCGACGGTGCATACACGCCATTCAACATCCACGGCGTATCATCATCTTTTAGCGGAAGTTTGCGCATCCGCATAGGACAAAAAGAATAAGTGGCCACCGCAAGCCGACCAGTCGAGCGGTATAGTCTCATAGCATCAGTAATAAAATTCCGATACTGCATATACCAAGGCTCGTTGGATAAGTACTCCTTCCACTGCTCGAGGGGCCATGGGCTTTGCATTGCCGCACTGATAATCTCGTGATTCTTCGTTGAGGGTGAAAATCCGTACTTAGTGCAAAATTTAGATGACACCATGTTGTTCATGTGCTCCTTCCAGTGCCAGACCATTGTGAACTCTGTTGCGAGGAATGTTTGCTCCGGGCGAATGCGGGCTAGACAATATTCCAGCATGCTTCGGTGGCCGTCAAACGTCATCATATGTGGGTGTAGATCAACACCTTCGAGTTCTGGAGTGACAGCAATAAAATGCAGGAATCGTTCTATTGCTGGTGTGCGTTTGAAGGGGAGGTCGAGTCTGTTCAGAGCTCCCATGTACAAGCGCGTCGTCATTGCGTAGTTGTGTTTTTGGCGGAATTCAATGACAGCCCAGGCCATTGTTTCATAAAATTCATTCAAATGGTCATTTCTTTGGTCCGATTTCGCCTCAATAAATGGTTCGTTGCCGATGACTAGGATATCGACTTTGCCCAGGACGAGAGGAAGCAAACGATCCAAGATACTCAATTCAGCATCTAATTCCGAGCTGCCTGATGCCGGAAAATTAAGTTTCGTGCAATCCCATTTGAGACTAAGAATGACATTGAACCCGGCATCTATCGCTCGGAACAGAGCCTTGATGTTAGGGTCTTGGTCTGGGTGGTGGCTGTCGATCTGATGCATGTCGATGAAGCCGCGGATCCACTTGGCGTTGACGCGTCTCAGTTCGTCGTGCTTGATCCAGATCAATTTCTCGTTGTAATTGGCCCCGAGGGCCCCGCCGGAACGTGCTGTCGCCATGCTCGCATCGATTACCCGGACACGTTGATGACGTGAAGATGAAACAACCCCGCAAAGATCGGCTTTGCTGGTTTCTGGTCTGAGTGGGTTCGTGGAGTCGGTGGTCCAATCATGTAAAGCGTGGGTACGCGGCAGATGAATGACAGGAGGAATTGTTAAGATGAGAGAATCTGAATGTTTTGAAATACCATGGCAACTTGCATTGGATAGAGTTGATTGGGAGGGAAAATGTGGTTACTTCTTTCTCTAATACGTCATTTCATTTCCTGCGTACGTAGACACAGCTATCATTCAACTTTCTAGTACGGCGCATTTCATGTCTTTGCTGAACCAAAAAGATAATATAGACAATACACTAGAGCCGCGGCTCTGGAAATTTAAGGTTTGGTTCGACTGGGGAAAAGAATTGACGGGAATTCTCAAGATCGCAAGAAAAAGAATCGCATCACCTTGTATCTAGTAGTTAGCATTTTCGAGAACGCAGATTCGAGATGGGGCCCGATTGAACTATTTTAAGTATAAAGAAGGCAACCGAATTTCTCTCTTTTCTTTTTTGGTTTCTTTTCTTTTTCTTGAATCCTTCTTGCCCCCCAAAAAAGGCGGGGCAAGAAGCAAATAATGCGGACTTTGAAGCGTCAACGCACCTCTGCGCTCACAGCTATCTTCTTTTACAGTCCTTCTTCTTCTTCTGCTTATTTGTTTACTGTTCTTAAAGGGGGTTTGTGTTCCATAAGCTCACGAAATCTTATTCCTCAATTACAAATTATGCTTATCCCTAAAGTAGTAAGCCCATCTCACCTCAGCCTCGCGCTAGTGGTGGACCCTGCGATAACTAGTTCACCAAAGCCTTAAAGCAGTACAAAATTGGCGACCAGCCCGAAAATGACGCATAAAAGCTCAAATGGCCCCCAAGAAATAGTGCTTTCTCCCCATGGCAGTATATTGCATTTCCGACTTTCTGATTGTAGTTCTGAGCCCTATTTGGCCCCCTGGCGGATTCCATTAGGCACCCGCATTAACAACCAGTCACAACGACGCTACAAACAACCCCCCCCCCTCCAGGCAAACGAATAACGCGAAGGTAACGCTGGATCGGCAAAGGCTATGGCAATCAAGCTTCATGTCCTTCCTTGGCATGTCACGACCCTCGACCCTGGTCTCTGACAGTGCAACCTTGCGGGGAAATTTCCACCGTCATCATATCACCATAAGCAACATCAGCATCACCACCACATTCTTTTTTCCCAGAGCATGCGCTCACCCCCACCGATGTCGCTACATTCAATTCCGGAAGATGAAGCCCTGTTATCGATGGATTCGATGGAATCGATGGATCTGGAGGATCCGATCCGTGTCCGGAATCCTCGATCATGCAGGTCTTGGTCTTCTCGGCAAAAGCTCAGATCCAAGATGACCAGCTGTGATATGAGGTCGTGGCTTCAAATGAAGACACTCTGGAGATTAAGCCTGAGAGTATTCTGGGCCGCTGTGATGGTTCTGTACGTCTATTCTCAATGAGTCGAGCCTCTATCGCCACCCACATCCCTATATCTCTATTCTCATCAGCACTATACCCCATACGCATGCAATGCAATGCAATGAAATAAGTACTAATATCTAAACAGCGGCCTCACCACTCTTTTCACCTTAGCATATGACAATATCGCCTTCTTCATCTCAACCCACGAAGACACTTTCAGCAACCCCAGACACAGACCATCCCTCTTCACAAATTACTTCACCCACGGCGTCAGACCAGTACCCTGCCACTCGCACAACGACTACTGGAGACGAGTACCTCTATATTCCGCCCTCTCAGCCGGCTGCACGAGCGTGGAAGCCGACATATGGCTAGAAAATGACATACTTCGTGTCGGCCATACCCAACACACAATCCTCCGCGGACAAACACTAGACAGCCTCTATCTAAATCCGCTGCTGGAGATGCTACAACAGCATAATACACCCCTAAATGGATCGGCCCCAGTCTCCGCCTCAACATTAGCAATTGCACCATCATCAGATTCGACTCCAGAATCACAATCGCCATCAGCATCAGACCAACCCTCAGATCTAACCTCAACCTACGCCGACGCCCACATTCACACCCTCGCCCACCCTCCCAAAAAAATAATCGGCATATTCCCCACAAACCCAAGCCAAACCCTCATTCTCCTCATCGACTTCAAAAGCGGCGAACACCAGTGGGAACACCTCATGGATGCCCTCAGCCCACTCCGAGAAGGCGGTTATCTCAGCCACGCGATCACCAATTCAAGCTCCGAAACCGAGATAATCACCCGCCCCATCACGATCGTAGCAACAGGTTCAGCCCCATATCACCGCATCCTCTCCAATCCACACAAAGACATATTCTACGACGCCCCGCTAGACAGCCTGGACACTACACCCACATCCTCAATCCGAACCCCCTACTCCTGGCAAAACAGCTACTACGCCTCCGTCGATTTCCACCGCTCAATCGGGTCACTGCCACTAGCTCGACTTTCGCAGGCCCAGTTGGCGAAATTGAGAGACCAGATCCGGGGTGCGCATGAACGAGGTTTGAAAGTTAGGTACTGGGGGACGCCTGGGTGGCCGGTGGGCTTGAGGAATTATGTTTGGCGGGTTCTTGTTCGTGAGGGGGGTTGATGTGCTTAATGTTGATGATCTTCGTGCGGCGACTAGGGTTGATTGGGGGAGGGATGGTTGGTGGTGAGTAGGGAGGGGAGCTCATTTTACCGAGTTAGTGAATTGCTGATGAAATGAAATGAATATCACATATCTTTTTTTAAGTCTAATTTTCTTTGCTTATTAGATTCTCTATATCATGGACGCTAGTGTCCTCGATCACTTGCTTAAAAGTAACTTACCACTGACATCTGAGAGGCCTGTCGTTTTAATTATCTCAGATTTTTGCTGACTTTAATGACTAACTCGAAGGTTCATGGATATGCACCTTTGAGGACGAAGGCTTTCTATTCAAGTTACTTAACAGACCCTTGTGCAGGTACCTAGTTATACTAGTCTACCCCACCTAGGGTGCGGCAAAAGTACTAGTAGCGAGGTAAACATAAGCACTAGAGCTGACGTGATTGTAGCAAATCCAATGGTGATTAAGAAGTGAGCTTTGACCCTTTGTGCAAACAGTGGAGATATTATACATAGTGAGGTTTCAAATATCACACTCGGAAAGAAATATTTGTCATGAAATATGGTGGTGATCTCTTTAGGAAGACTAAAAGATTGAAAAACAGCCACTCTTACATATATAGCCAATTGACCAGGGCCTGATAAATGCCACAGGTAGTAAGAGATTCAAGATATAATAATATTATTAATTCCGACTAAAATAAAAATTCAAGGTCAATCGCTATTCTCGAATCATCGCCATATCTGTGCGCTTTTCGTTTATCATCGCTAAGGCTTCCAAGGTTTCCGAATTAAACCTAATTCAAGCGTTCGGCCCAGGAGTATAATTATCCGCAAAGTCCGAACTATCATCATACTCCGATCTGGAGAGCTCTTTAATGAACTTCTGCCCTATGAGATCTGTCACACTCAAATCAGTTTCGAACTGCGTTCCCATTCCCGGCTGCTCGAACCACGGAGCGACAGGTCCCAGCGTGACATCCAGCTTCTTGATGATCTGATAAACATGATAACTGTAAGGGAAGTTGCCATCACTGTTATTCAGATTGCGAGGTGGAAGAGCTCTCTCGATATATGGGGCACCCAATGGACTGAAGAAATTACCGCTCGGAGGTCCAAAGCGATCAATCTTTCGGCCAACGGGCAGAGTCACATTGGCCTTGATAGGTTTTCCATTGGCTTTGAGGACGAACCCATCCTGGTCTGGGTAGTGGTAGGATCCATTGGGCCAGGTCCATTTCGCGAGGAACTCGTACGGGCATAGATCGCCGAATCGATAGTAGGTGGCCAGTTCGGTTGACAGTGGGAATTGTCGCGGAAGCTGGACCGGGCCTAGCATGGTGTCTCCACAAACATACGCGGGATCGGTGAAAGTGATGTTCGCACACGGGTCTGGGTAGCACCTAGCGGGATAAGATGACTCCTGTAGGGAAAGAAAAGAGGAATGACTAGTTAGATGTATATTCAGGCTGAGATTTGTATGAATGTATTTGTGTGTGAAGTACCTTGACATTTCCCGTGGATCCAGCTTGGAACGCGTGGGCAGGAGCCACGGTTGCAATAAGCAGTAGAGAACTAACGAGACCCTCGAAAAGCATCTTGACGGAGAGGATTGCTCAACGCTGAGAAACTGATATTCTATACCTAGCAGACACATCGTCCCTGACGGGCGTCTAGTTCCAGCATTTATATGCGCTGGAAATGCAGTCTATAGCAGACGGAACTTTTGAATAGGCATGTTCTTTATCGAGGGTTAGAATTCTCGACATACTATATTAATATCCCTACGACGAATTTCAAGTATTGTGATTTGCTGAAGTTGCCTTCTTTTTACTATGAAATGTAAGCCAGATGAATGTTGTAGCGCCACATGTGCAGAGCTAAGACGTGAGAGAAATTCAATTGGCGGAAGCCGTCAAATTTCGAGAGAAACTAACCTGGTATCCCTTAATTCCATAATGTGCCATATAGTTTTAAGGATAGCAATATCCTTGTCTGGGTTTGCACCGGCCTCGTAAATGTTTGAGCCGAAGTAAGGGGTCGTTGGGTAACATTTCCGAAATATTTTCTACCACTGATTCGTGGAATCACGGAAAATATTTCAAGAATGTAAGCTCAATACACCTCGAGGTCAAAGCTATCCCCCTACTCCTCATTTCAGGTCAATAATAGCATAAACTGTCCAAAATCAATATGGTAATAGATTTGGCGTAGAGTTAAAACGCTCAGTGAGGAATGAACGCCTCGTCCGCAAATTACTTAAGCGTTTCTTCGAGCGCCTCACTCGTCGCACGAACCATTCTCTTCCGAGTCTTCAAATAAGAAGTCACCACTGGGCTGGAACTGGGACGAACTGAGGCAAATGACTTTGTTTGGTTTGGCACCGGATTAGCCGTTCAACCATGGGCTTTGGGGTTCTAGAGGCCCTCGGAGGCTGCGGGAACCCCGCGGGACACCGGGAAATGTGAACACTAATAGTCAATGATCGTTCCAGCTCAGCATAACTTCAATATGGTCTTTCCAAGCGACGATGACGGACTTGACTGGATAACAGAGGGCTGTAGTCTGAAGGCAGAGAATATTTATTTATGCTGAGAAGTGGCACGGGCGAGCGCTGTCAAAATCACACTTGATCCTCAGAACGTCCCAAAACCAACGCGATTCTAAGAGTGAATTTCAAAATGACATTCTACATAAGACTCTACTTTACCATTGCTCTACTGCTCAGACTTTCCTTTGCACAGGGTCCTCCCCCGACCAATAGCCGCTGCCACTCAGACTGGATCGACAACGACAATGTCGGCGGCACATGCAAATGCGAGTTAGGAGATCTCACAAAATGCTCCCAAAGCGATCTGGGAACATGCAACGGCCGGGATCTTCTATCCGCAAGCGAGCTCATGACTGGTCACGAAACTGAAGGCTGCACCGAAGCCAATGCCGGCTGCGATTCCTGTTTCCTCTGGTTTGACAAAGTGTGCAATTGCCTGAAAGATGGCTGTCCTGATAGTCCGGCCACTCATTCATGGATCCGGTTACCCGATGGAAAAATTACTAGCAAGAGACGGATGGCAGGGATTTTGGAACTCTCGTCGGAGGAGCCTTGGGAATGGGGTCAGAGCATTGCGAGCCCCGAGCAGGTTTTGGTGATCAACTCTGTGAAGGCGCGAAAGCAGGAGCAGATCCATATGCATGTTTGTGAGGCGAGGACTGGAAAGCCGGGAGGTGTTAGGGAGCTTCTTGGGGGCTTGCAGAAATCGGACTATGGCACACTGAAGCAGGTGAAAAATCAAGAAGATTGGTGGTGTCGGGCTCAGAGCTCCCCAAATACCCATATCACTAATGTGATCAGTGATATCAAATCGAAAGTTACGAAGAATCCCGGGTGTAGTAATTTGATCGGTGCTGCAGTGTTGACGGACAGCACTGGTTACAAATGGGTGTGTCTTACTACAGGACTTGGTTCTACCCAAGGACAGTTCTGTGCGGCTAATGAAGGTTGAGATGGTGCGGGATTGGGCTGTGATCGTTGGGCTTAATGCATTTTATTTTTATTCTCCACTTTCGGGTCGCTATTGCTTTTATAACAAGAAATCTAAGCTTACCAGGTGGGCTAGAATGACGCTGGATTTTGTTTGAAAAAGTCACTCAGCTTAAAAGCATTTATTAGCTAGTCGTTACAGAATACGAAACGGCTTGGGGGTCACACTAAATTCAAGTTGGTAATAGTTACTCTTAATCGCCAGATACTATCCATAGGAGTCAGCCTGGGAAGGGCTGACTCTGACCTGTGCCCCTCAAGTTGAGTTATGCACGATAAATTCGCCGGATCGTTATAATATTCATGAATTATTATATAACATATTCCAATTCCACATTTCCTCCATATTTAACCAATCGCAGATCGTTAACATCGTGCATGTAGTTACTGATGTACTCATCTATAGAACAAGCTTGAACTCCGGGTTCCGATCATCAGCATATCCAGCATACTGATCATACTTCCCATTTCGCTTATCGCGATTCACCTTGGCGCAGTAGAGCACATTGAAAAGAATCCTAAAGAACGAAGACCAGTCAGTATTCAAATATCCATATCAATTCCGAGGTCATCGGCCATTGCTTTTCAATTTGGGTACCGGGACTCGGAGCAAAGCAACTTACATAAACCATGCAAAGACCAACAAGCCAAGAATAATTGTATGACCACGGTGATACAGCGGCTTGTCTTTAGCGGGATAATTAAACGCTAAATTGAACACGTTAGAAAATGAAATCCCTGCAGTAACCACGGAAGTTAACTGGCTGGGGGTAAACTTACTAGCAACAAATCCACCACAATTTGCAATAGCCAACTGCAACGCCGACGTCGTAGCCCGCTTATAGTGACCGGCTGAATTGTTCGACATCCAGACCAAAATGCACGGCACACTTGCGTACATGCCTGTCGCCATCATAAAAGTCATTCCATACTGGACCTTTGGGTTGCTGGTATTGGCGATCACGGCGTATCCGATTATAGCGATTGGGAGGGAGAAAAGCATGACTACGCCACGCAGTTTGAGACGGTCGGAGAGGAACGCGACAAAGACTGAAAACAAGTAAAAAGGGAAAGGTGAGTATATGCAGATAAGAAAACCTATAGTTAGAGGGGGAGATATGGGGCTTACCTGTCAGAACGGCGGCCACTGCGTAGGGAATCACAGACCACAACTGCACTTCGTTGGCGTTTTTGGCAAAGTTCATACTTTGGATGATGGTTGGCAACTAAGGAAGTTATAAGTCAGCATTCTAGCCATTCTTGACAACCTTGAGTTCAATGGGAAAGGAAAGAGTGGATGGATGTCGTACAAACAGGCCAAAGGAGTACAGCCCAGACAAAATCGCGAAATATGCCGATGCCGAGAGCCACAGCTGCGGCTCCAAGACACCGCGGCGCACTTCGGACCATCTAAACCTATCATTCTCGCCGGAGAGTGTTCTGCGGGTGTTGTGTTAGCAGTAGTCCAATCTAGCTTAGGCTTTCAAGGCGACTGGGAACTGGATGAACCCCAGCCAATCCACTCAACTTACCCATCTGCCTTCGGGGGACTATCCAAGAGCAAGCGGTCTCGTCCAAACTCCTTCTCCTCTTCAGTCAAGAAGGAGGCTGTCTCGATGCTATTGGGGAGAACGAAGGAGCTCAGTACACCACAGGCGAAAGTCTTGCAAAATTATTAGCCGGACATTTTTATCGGAGAATCTGACGCTGTCGGGTACTTACCAGAAGTCCCTCAATAATCATAATCCATCGCCAACCCTCGAGCCCGCCCCGAGGACCAATTTCGGATAACCCACGAGCAAGGAGACCTAACAGTAGTTCAATATTAGTATAATAGTTCCACCAGGTCAATGTACAGTGCACGAAGCATACCTCCAAAGGCTCCCGACAATGAAGCCGCCGTATAGAAAAGACCAATGCGCAAAGCCAAATCCCCACGCCTGTAGAAGCTTGACAGATAAAGGACCTATGAGTGACAATGTCAGACTTGATCCCGAATGGTGTAACCCTTCAAGGTTAAAGCAAGGCATACCATTCCTGGAAGCAAACCACCCTCCGCAATGCCAAGCAAGGCCCGAACTGCGGTGAATTGGCCGAAATTCTGTACAAAGCCCAGACACATGGTGATGATACCCCATAGTGCAGTCAAAAACGGTAGCCAGATTTTCGGTGAGGCTTTCTTTAGAACGAGATTACTCGGCAGTTCACTAGTGTTCCCCAGGGAGTCCAAGTCAGTAATGCGCTCCGCGATGCCCAGCTTGGGGGGAGGGATGAGGGCGAGAAAGATACGCGGGAGGATAACTTACCTGCACACATAAGTGAGATAAAACACAGTCAACCCAATATCATACTGGTTATCGGTAATATTGATATCCTTCTCCAGACCATAAATCTTCGCATTTCCGACATTCGTTCGATCTAGAAATGAACATAGAAAGAGTAGGGCTAACATTGGGAGAATCCTAATTGACGCGCAGCTCCTGATTAGTACGATCGCAGTCGCAAAGAATAGGGGGCTGTGATTAGAGCTGGGGCTAAGCTGACATACCGCGTATCCAGCTTCACCAGAATCGACCGGGTCAATTTGGACTGGTGGGCATCGTCTCCAAACCGATTCAACGGGGTTTCCTTAGCATCTTCCAGCACTGAGCTCACTGGTTTTGGCTCCATTCTGTCGTGTGGTGTGGTTCAATCTGATCTGATCTCGTCTGGGATAATGGTGGGAGATGCAGAGTACAGAATGCAGGTGGTAGGAGGGGAAGAGAAGAAGCACAAAGTGAGACGGAGGCGAGATAAAAGACCCGGGAGATTAATACAACTCGGGATTCAATTCTAGAGCCGGATTTAGCGAATTAACTAGGCAAAGTTCAGCCCCAACTTCTTTGATTTGTTGAGCCAAGCCTAGATCCCCGCACTTTTTTCCCCAGATTTTTTTTTCTTGGTTTAAGCTTGACTCGGGTGAACTGCATTACGAGTATTACCAGTGGGGTTGGTGTGTATTTTTAGTATCTTCGGGTAATATTGGTCACACCATTACCCGCGGTCGGAGTTCACTTCTACAGCCGAGGCTCCTCCTCTTCCGCTTCTTCCCTCTTCAACCTCTTCCAACCTCACCCAAGACACCTCCACCACTACCACACCTCCACCATGTCGAAACTATCTGCCGGTCTCAAGGCTCTCATCAATAGCCCGGCTGCACGCCCTCACACTGTCCCCGCGCCCAAGAATATCACCGCCATCTACCAGGACATTCAGCAATCCGCCAAAGCCAACAATGTGTCGCAACCCTCATGGCTGGCCCTGTCAGTGAGTACACCCTTAGCTGAGCCAATTGCATAAATTCCTAGTCCAATGCTAACACTACATCAGACAGCAGCAACAATGACCATGAACTCCCCCCGAATCCCTCGCCGCCCTCTTCACTCTCGCATCCACCTCCACCTCCACCTCCACACCCACAGACCTCGAAATCGCCGAACTAATGCGCGAAGTCGGTCTCAAATGCATAAGTTTCAACGGCATCCCCCGAACAATTAACAGCCTAAACGCCTTCAAAACAAGCCTCCCCGACCCAATCGCCGCCAACCTCTCCAAAACCCCCACCCGCACACCCACACCAGAAAACATCTCCGCAATCAAAGACCGCGGCCACGCCCTCTGGGACTCAATCTACCGCCCCTTCGAGAAAAAGCTCTACAACCGCCTCGCGGACTCACACCCCGATTTGCCAGTCATCATTCTGAACAGCCACTACGGCGCTTTACTCTCGGACCCCGCGGAGCGTGCCGCCAGTACCAGCGCCAGCAGCAGTGCCGGTCGTGTGCTCACTTCTATCGTTGCCATTGCGTGTTTACGCGCGCAGTCGGGTGTTGCGCCGCAGGTTCTTTCGCACGTTTTTGGTCTGCGGAAGGCGCTGGAGGATGGGTCTTGGGCGAGTGATGTTGAGAGTGAGCAGGGGGCGCGGTGGTTGGCGAGTGATGAGGGGAATGAGTGGATTTTGAATAGTGTTGATAAGATTGTTAAGGCTATTGGGCGGGGGCAGGGGTCGAACTTTGCTCCTACTGCGAAGTTGTAGTCTGATGTGCTGTGCTATGCTGTGTATATACTTTAGATATTTAGATATGCCCTGCTGTACATAGTGGGTTTTGTATATAGCCACTTCCGTCTACCCACTACGCTACGTTGGTTACTTTTAAGGTTTCTTGTGTAGTACTACTAGTACTACTGCAACCAATGAAAGAGCTGACGAGAAATCCCGCTGGTGTAGGTACAACCTCGAATCCTTTCTCCACTTCACAATGATCATATTAGAATCATTGTAACTAACGAAGTTGCTATATTTCACGAAGAGTATAAGAAGAAGATACTCTTGCAGATGTCCCTCTCTCCGGGGCTCTTTGCATAGTAGGATTTGAGAAAGGCCAGTCCCATTATTTAATCCAAAAACTACCACCAATATGTCCATGAAACAATACGCCTACCCAGGCTTCGGCGAAGCCCACCAAAAAAGCCACCGCTTTTCCTCCGCCGTCCGAACAGGCGATTTCATCCACTGTGCAGGCCAAGGTGAGTCAACATTGCGTCTCGATAAAGCATACTAGTCGTATCTAGCCCGGCCTATCTCACTAACATCCCATAGGTGGCTTCCACGACTCAAAAGGCAACGAACGACCCGACCTCACCGACGCAGCCCAGATAAATCAAGCCTTCAAAAACATCGATACGGCCTTAAGATATGCCGACGGCGCAGGATGGTCCCAGGTTTATCGAGTGAATTCATTCCATATATCGCTCGACGACGAAGCGATCGAGATCATGGATCGCAAATTTAAAGAGTGGATGCCGGATAATTATCCCACTTGGACTGTTTTGCAGGTTTGTCGGCTCGGGGATCCGAGGATGAGGGTTGAGATTGAGGTTTCGGCGTTTGATCCTGTTGGGGGGAGGAGGGAGGGGGGAGTAGTAATAGGTAGTACGTAGTAGGTTATTTTTATTATGTGCTAGTCAGTAGTAGATGTGCCAGTGGGTGGTTTCTTTGATGAATTTGATATTGATTTTGTATTGCTCAAGGACTCGGAATATTCGCCACTGGCAGGGATATAGATAGTACCGTGGTCAGTGTTTGATAAATGACTGTTTTTGGGATAAAAAACTTGAAAAACGCCGGTAATGAAATCCTTTCACATGCTCCAGTGGTTGTTAAAATATCGAGATATACCAGTAAAATATGGCGTCTACTATGATTATGATGATTTGAGTTGTCCAACTCGCTTGCATTGCCCGTGGCCGACGTTAGCGTATAGTTAGCTCAAAGGAATCGTCCCCCTGCATCCTTGGCGCATTGCCTGAAAAATTTCGCTGCCCTATTTTCCCCGACCCCAGAATGCTTAAAAAAGAACGACGAATAACCAACTTGAAGGTATAATCACTTCACCAAATCGAATTTCTCGCATTTGGAAAGATGGCACCACCGGCCGAAGGTGGCCTCGTTTGCCTTCCCGTGGAGCTCATTTCAATAATATGCTCTTATCTTCCCAACTCTAGCATTAAATCTCTTCGCTCGACCTGCACTAAGATCAAAGAAACTGCTCAGTTACGGTTAACTCGTGTCTTTCTATCAGCCAACCCTATAAACATCAGGGTCTTCCGGGCGGTCGCAGATCACGACCAGTTTCGCAACCAAATAACTGAGATTTTATACGATGATGCACACTTTCCACCCTTCCCGGAACCAGATATCTACGAGATAGAAGAAAGTATGCAGATGGATGACCCTGAAGTCGGATTGGTTGATAACGAAGAGGGTTGTCCTCATTGGTTTGTCAAAGTTTGCAAGGAGAATCTCAAAAATATGAAATACCGAAAGAGCTTCGATTTAGACCGTCCAGATCATATTCTGCGCGCACATCAAGCCAATGCGCAGCCGCCTCTTCGCATATGCTGGCAATATTATCAGAATATACACATGCAACAGTCTGACACGATGAAATTGAAAAGGGACGAGGAAGCCTTCATCTACGGTTTGAAGCAGTTTCCTTCTCTCACTCGGGTGACTATCACAACAGCCACACATGGCCATCTTTATGAGCCGCTATATGAAACACCTAGGATCCGGGCATTTCCTTACGGTTTCAACTATCCCATTCCACGAGGGTGGCCAGGGGGGAGAGGGGAGCTTTCCTGCATTCCCGCAGAGCCGTGGGAGGAAATGAATGAAGCTGAAAAGGAGCAATGGCACGGATTCCGCATGGTCACGCGAGTATTAGCTCAAGAGGAGTCGCCTAGTCTTCTTGAACTAGTGATCGATACCAATCGACTTACTGGTATGGGGCTGAACTGCACAATGTTCAACTCGCCTAGTGATGATTTCGGATCTCCTTGCGATGAGTACGCCAATTTGGCGAAAGTTCTTACCAACCCTGGAATCCGGCGCCTTGAACTCCCTTTGCTCATAGGAGGGGAAGAATACCGAAGATGGGCAGCTTTCCGGAGCGGTTACCTCTATCGGATGCTAAGTAGTGCCACTGAACTGGAATATTTCGGTTTTTCCACAACAGAAGACAATAATGCCGGGGAAGAGTACACCATGGATAATTTTATTCCACTGCAAAGCATTTTGCCCATCACTAGCTGGCATAAGCTGAGACATTTCCATTTATCGACATTGATTGTGGCTCAATACGACATCATGGAAGCGCTTATCATTTTATCTGCAAATCTTCAAACCATTTCGTTAAATTTCTTGCAATTCTTGAAAGACCAAGGAGATTATCGCTCACTGCTCAGTGAGATACGTGACAAAATGAAATGGGACCAGCGAGATGTTGCTTCCAGACCAAAACTTTCTATTTGCATCCATCGACACGGCACGGTGTCCCTGGGAAGATCAGTTTTTGGATTGATAATGAGATAAAAACATTCCTGTACAATGGTGGAGAAACCCCCTTCAAGTGGGACACCCTTCCTAATTATGTGGATTATGGTACCGGCATATACAAAGACGATTTTGATGAGGCGTTTGAGCGACCGAACGTTTTGCTACACGAATTGATACAATTGGGGATTAGTGAGGATAGATTGCCCTTCCTAAAACAATAATATGTCTGCCAGAAATGCCAACATCCATCAAAATGATAACCAAATACCAAGTCCTACTAGTAGCATAGATATAATGTGAAAGCACAAATCAAACCTGCATCAACTTCCTTGCAATCCTAGTCCGAAGACACACTCAACCATATATATCAACTCTTGAAATATACTTCTCGACTTTTGGCAAATACAGATGGTTGCAAAATTACTTATAGGCCGTGTTCTTCCGACTGTTTGGGAAATGCATGTGTAGTATAATTGGAATCTTCTATGGAAATGAAACTCATTTCAAGTTAATAGAAATGTCCAAAGTAACCACTGAATGAGGAGGTCTCAAGCAATCGGCCTTTAACCAAATGCGGAAAAATTAAAGTTTGTCCACCATGAACCTTGGACGCATCGCGCTGGGAAAACGTTTATCTCAAAATATAACCCAATCATTGATATCAGCCAATACTTGTTGTCGATGGATCTGCCTTCCGACAATTTATTTTAGAAACAATTAACAATGAACCCTGGGCCCCAGCGTCGCCCAAACACAGGGTGGCAAGTTCCCGCCAGCCTGTCGCCAAGATTCGCCAAGTTAGTTATGAGCCAAGAGATGAACTACCAGAGCTCCAAATAACATCGCTATTAGAGAATTGTTCAGAAAAGATCAAGAACGTCAATTGAATTTCAGAACCAGCGGAAATCGTGTTATTTCCCGCTGCATTATTTTAATTTTAGCAATACAAAGTTCCAGCTCGCGTATCGACAAACTACCCTCCACAAAATCAATAATTAAAGTCGAAAAAAATCAGAAATAAGTCAGTAAGTTCCCCAGGCTAAGAAAGCCCTATTCTGCGATGCTTTTGAGACTGTTCACTGGCATTGTCTCACATGGACATCTATTATTGTAAGAAAGGGGAAATGTTAGAACTCATCCAAGAACTTCAAATGATCTGAACAGGATTAGAAAAGAGGGTTTGCCTACCGCAGCGTGGGGGCTTGTTGTCATCTCTAGCCCACCATCCTTGTGCATTCTGGTACCAGTTCCTAAGAAAATAGATTTAGTAAAACACAGCGCAGCCAGTCAAGAAGATAAGAAGGACATACTGGTACTTGCAGACGGGTGCAAAGGTGTCGCCAACCCTGGCCTGGCCAACTGTGCTACTGGAATCACAAGGATACTTATGCCACCAGAAAGGATTCTTAATCTTGCAATTGTCCTGAGGACCTTGGTGATTACCTCCCCAGTCCTTGCCTCCATTATTCCAGTTGTTGTTGCCTCCTCGTTCTTCCAGGGAAGAGTCAGGGTCGGCGACTGGACTGGCCACGGCCACTTGGGCAGCCAGGGGAAGAAGGGCAGTGAGGATGAAGACGGGGGACTTCATGATGAACTAATGGAAGGGATAGTTTGAAGTAGTGAGACTTTAGTGTTTTGGATTGATCTTGTCACTGAAGGATGGTAAAAAAAAGCTGTAGATGTTGGATTCGAGAGGCTTTAAGTATTTGCGTGTGGATACTTTCCCTCTTTCTCCTCTGATCTAAAAAAACATTCTTCAATGGATGTAGGTGTCATCAAGTGAGCTACAATATGCCTGTAACCTCGACAAAAAAGCATGAAGCTCTTCCTTGATTCAATTATTCCATGGTCATGAATGGCAACATGATAAAATTATCGCAGTTTAGGTGATCTAGCCGCTTGAAGACTCATTCCCGATCAGGAAAGCTCAATAGCTGCCATAGTATAAGGTTTGATCCAACAGCATAGATGTAGCTCTAGGCCAAAGGAATTAGACACTGTGAGCTCTTTGTGGCGGAGGGCCCCAGTTCAAGATCTCCTACTAGGTGGTTCTCAATTTGGATTCGTCGGGTTCTAAGGGAAGCAGGGGAGAAAAGAAGCGAGACCGAGAGCGACTATGAGGGCGAGGGCGAGGGATCACAAGATTGGATAATGCAGCAAGAACTGCTTGGTTGAGAGAATATATTTGCTATTTTCGTTCGTATCTCACAACGAGTCACAACTGTTTTCCGCTGGCGATGGCGGGCTTGGCATACATCCGGGCTTGGCAGACGTAAGTGACCAGAGAGTCAACTGATCAGCCAGCCATACGGGTTGGATAACCTAAGATTGATTTCTTGTTGTTCCATTGGTGCTCTTAATTCATCCATGGTATGGATGTGGATGAAATCCTGTAAGCTTGTTTGAGTTTGAGACATGGTCAACTCCTATCCCTGTTTACAAAAACGCCCACTCGGGAATATTCACTCAGCCTCCTCATGGAGGAAAAGGTTAAGAAACAATGAAAAGGTGTAGGTGGTGACGCCAATCAGCAGGGGTATTACTGCAGTAGACAGGCAGTGCGAGCAGAAAATGAAGAAAATCAATGACACAAGGACTGCAGGAACTTAAAACAGACCGTGAGAAGTGTGCATTCGCACTGGCAACTGTTGCTGCGGGAGGCGTTTTATGTCTCGTCACGATATTAATCTCTGAGTTCAACTGAACCTAACTAAGTCATTAGTCTAAGTATTAGCTGGTGTCATACCATTCACTACTAGTAATGTATAGGAACTACTGGTAGTCTACCCGATCATGCAGAACTATTCAGTCTTATTTCAACTTCCCTGGTATACAACTCATTCCCAGTGCAAGTACATAACAACAATCGCAGAAGAAGAAAGGATATTTCATACTAGAAGCACAGAAAAACAGACCCTTGGAACCTAAAACAGCCTAGATACCAGTTCTCCCAGAAACATCCATCAAATCCAGAACCCAAACATTCAACTTTAAACCCCAAATCAAACACCCGTCAACTTCCTCGCAATTCTCCCCCAAATCCCCCTCTTCTTACCATCCCCATCCCTCTCCAGCCGCGAATGAATCGGCCCATCACTATAATCACCCTCCGCACTCTCATTCTGAAACTGTAGCTGTTGACCCTGCGCTTGTGCTTGTGCTTGTCCCTGCTTCCCCGAGTCCTTATGCCGCGCTTTTTGCGCTTGCGTTTGTGTTTGTGTCTGTGGCAAACCATCCTCATTCAAATTTCCAAAAGCGTCTTCTTCGCGACTTTCACGTTCACGAGCTTGTCGCTCTAGACCCGTCCGCCCAGCGGCGTCGATACTAGTACTCCGCTCGCCTAGCATACTTGTGCCCGCGGGTCCGGAGGCTAGCATTGTTTTATCGAACATGGCTGCCCACTGCAGAGCAACGGAACGAAAGCGTGGGGAGTTCCAGTGGGGAAGAGGGCGGGGTGATTTGAAAAGGTCACGGTTCAAGTTCAAGCTTATTATGGCCCGGGATTGATGGATGTTTGGTACTCCTAGACCTCGACCTCGAGTTGACCTCGACCTCAAGAAGCACTGACAGTGATTCTAGTTCGGATTTCCTTTCTCTTGGAATGGAATCGTTGTTGGAGGATAGGTACGAGTATGTGCAGATATTTCATTCGGGCCTCGATATATACAGTTAAAAATAAATCAACCCTTGGAATCCAAGTCCAAGTGAAGTTGAAGTTCGATTCACCCCGGGATTGTCGGGATTGGAGAGCGATGACGTCGAACGACAAGGCTGAGTGAGTCTTGTGAACATCGAAAAGAGCGGTTCTTCTCCACCGCCGCTGTAACAACCACCAATCATGCATCGCCCGCATATACATACAAACAGTATCCCCGTAGCTTGTAGTAACTAGTTATTGCATGCTTTTCAATGCAATGCAATGCCTACCTAAAACGAAAATTCCGCATTCGCGAAATCCGGCCAATCCCAACTAAGCATATCATCAAAGGGGACATCAGGAATTGAAGCCCCAAACGCACTCCCGCCTGCACGATTCACCGCGTCGATGATTTGGTCATCTGACATTGCAGAGAACTGAAGGGGTTCAGTCCAGAGATCGGTTGGTGGTAGTGATTGTGATTGTGATTGTGCTGGGTGTGATGGGATAGTTGGGAGGGATGATGGTGGGCCTTGGCTTTGACCACGGCCCTGAGAATTGACATTGGCATTAGCACTTGCATTAGCATTCGCACCAGCATGACCATCAAAACCTCTATTCGACGACTGTAAAATCGAATCATTCAAATCCACCCGTTGATGCTCTCCACCATGACGATTCTGCGAAAGCGAAAGAGGAAGCATAGGACCACCCCTCCTTATAAGTTCTCTCAAAAAGCGCCCATACAAAACCGAAGCACCATGTCTATGATTCGGCGTCGCGCCAATACGTTCAAGGACACCGGCCGTTTCTTCAATGAGTGTTCTCACACTAGGCGCGAGACTGGACTGACTATCACCCGGCGTGACGCTGAGACTGAGCGCCGAACAAGCCGCGAAGGAAATCATGATGACGGTATTATTTGGCATTGATTTTAGTCGGGATTCGCCTTGGATTGCGGCTCGGAGGACATTTAATGCGGAGGATAGACCTGCTGCGCGGAAAAATCGCTTTACGGCTGTTGGGGCTGTTGGGTGGTTGATTACGCCGCCGTAGGTTGAGAGTTGGGTGTGTGTTACTAGGATTTCGACGTAGGGGGGGAGTGAACGGGCTGTAGGGAATGTTAGTTGTGTGATGGGTGTGGATTGGCTGGGAGGAAGGAGTTTATACCGCCGTCTTCGCTGATCGCTACGGCCCAAGTCGTGAACCATTGTTCGTAGAAATTTTCGATAGTCGTTTTTATTCTGTGGTTGGTTAGCGAGATCAAATCAGAATATTGTCAGGCCAGATGGCACGGTACATACGCGTGGGCAGCCTCGGAGCCAGTATCACCAGTGCGATAGCTGTCGCAACTTGATTTGACTTTTCGAAATAGTTCATCCTATATGAATTAGCCAGCTGCAATGCACTGCATTGCATTGTAAAACAGGAAACTTACCAGATCCCGCCGTAATATAGCCATAGAATTCATCGGACCATCCCGTCGATCCGCAATATCAGACCGATACCACATATCGCAATTCTCAATCAACGCCGTCGGCGGAACCGTATAACTTCTCCCCCTAGCAAGACAGACACTACATGCATAATTAGCATCCATCAGCTAGCCAAAATCCGAATCCAATGCACTCGAATTAACAGCAGTTGCTTATACGTACCCCCTCTCAACAACAAAAAGCGCAATCCAAGCCCTCTCCCTCCTCCTCAACAACCGTCTCCCCCACTCCGACCCAGGCTCAACATCCTCAAACCCATCCATAAGCAACGCCCGCTTAGCATCAATACAATCCGCCCTCGCGAGTTGAAAAGTAAGATCCCTCCCAAAACTCGACGAAGGCGTAACGATCTTATTAAGCGACAGATCAAGGGCAACAGTCAATGCGTTCGCAATATACGCGCACGTATCGTCGTCGCCGAGGCGGTCCCCGGGTGCCATCCAAGGTACGTTTACCATGAAAGCTAGAACGATCTCGACGGAACGGTGTCGGTGGATCATTACGCGGTTCGCGAGCCATTTTACGTGGCGGGATAGGCGTTTTGATAGGGCGCTTGCGGATGGGAGGAATAGAGCTGCGCCGGCCATTATTGATGTGAATAAGAAGGATGATTGGGTGCGGACGAAGTGAGCTGTGTGGACGAGGGGGGTCTGAACCCCATCTTGTGTGTGCGAGATGTTGGTAGAAACTGGGTGAAGGTTAGTTGGATCGGGAGTTGGGAAAGCTGTATTTACGGGGGAAATCAAGGCAAGGAGAGAAGCCAGCGACAAAACGTACAAAGAAAATAACGACTCCGACTCATCAAATGTAACAAGACCCAACTCCACCGGATCCAAATCATCCCCAACATCCAGATTCGCTCGGGCAGGTACAAAAAAAGATTTAGCACTCTGTTCGCGCCGATCAAGCTCCGCATTAGAATCCCGGCTTTGGTCTCGACCCCGATCCTGACTCCGACTCCTATCCCCCGGATCCACGGCAAGACCTTGCGGTAAAGATAAAGACGGAGCAACGGATATCAAGGGTGGCGACTTGGGCATATGCCGCACCCCGACAGGCGAGAGCTGTAAATCCGACGCCCGCGCCAGAAGCTGTAGTGGATTCTCCGCATCATCCAGTGCAAGATTTTCCTCTGGGGCTTCACGCGGTGAATGAGAGATGTGCGGGTGATCTCGATCTCTTTCCGGATCTGATGAGAATGATTCAGATTCTCCTCCCCCGGGCCCGGCTCCGGCCCCAGACCCGATCCCGAGTCCGCCATGCTCTGGTGAGTGGCTCAACTGGCCCTGGAAGCGTGAGAGTAGCTCCTGGAGTCCGGAGATAGCGCGTTGGGCTTCATCTGCTGAGCTCGCGGATGAGTCGAGTTTTGGCCGTTTTATAGCTTGCTCGATTTGGTGGATTGCCTTTTCCAGGCCTTTTCGTTTGCTGGGGGGTATTTGTTAGCGAGTGTTCTATCATGTTTATGTCCATGTTCAATTCATAGTCATAGTCATGCTCGGGCTCAGGCTCATAGTCATAATGATATTTATATTCCATAAGATTCCATGTCCACAAAATTACAAGAAATAATCAACTTGAATAAATCACCAGTCCACTCACTTCTTAACACCTTTCTGCCGACCCAAGTGGTGGTTCGGCACAACACAGTCAACATTCGACTGGCGACATTTCTCGCAGCGGGCATGGCTGGAGGGCCTATTGCAGCGGATTTTACTGCGGCGACAGTTGAGACAGGCGGGTTGTTTGGCGTGGGAGGCCGGCTCGTCCATGTTGGTCCCGGTGGGTGGTTGCCGAGAGCGGCTCGGTAGTTGAGGGTGAGAGAGATGAGATGGGATGAGATGTGGAGATGGAGATGAATGATATCCGGGGACTAAAGTGATCATCTGGAAGCATCTGCCTCATGTAGCCACAATCTGCACTCCCAAACAACAGCCCTGCCGGGCTAGCTCAATCGGTAGAGCGTGAGACTCTTAATCTCAAGGTTGGGGGTTCGACCCCCCCCGTTCGGCTATTCCTAAAGAACCTTATCTGAGATATCTTTTTGCCAATCATCAAAAATCACTAATATTTTTTGGTTAGGGCCATTTATTAGCTAGTGATAATAATCAGTATCTTTTCCTTCTACTCCTTAGGAGACTCAGAGTACATACTGAAATAGTCTGGTCTTGAGGGTACCTTATAATAATTTCGATCTAGTGTTAAGCAAGAATGTCTTATGTAGAACAGTATAGTATACTATCTACGTTGGTTTTCGAATTCAGTTTGACCTAGCAACTGTAACGAAACTAGGTCATTAATATTGCTGTTGAACCGTGGCATAGTTAGATCGCATCCGCCTAGGCATCCACTTAAGCATCCACTGCCTATATGTGTATCTAGAACTCGTCCTAGCTTCTTCCTCTCTGATCACTGATCTGAGAAACCGCCTCTACCTCGAAGAGACAGCTCTATTCCTATAGGCTGAGTTGACGGTCATTGTTACCACCTCCAGCACTAAAAGAGCCCCTATCTCCAAAGGCTGGTCTAAAAAGACTGCACTAAGATGACTGCCGGGGACGTACTAGAACAAAACCTCAGTATCTCTGCCTTCTTGCGGTCATCGAATCTCCCACTACAGTGGATACCCCGCACCAAGAAGTCTAGACTATTCCACTCAGACTTGAAATTCGACTTACCGTGGAATAGATTCCAAGTTCCTTTAGCCGGCGGCAATTGCAATTCAGAAAATGACGTAAAGATTCATGCCCGCTTCAGCCAGGTCCAACTAAACCCCGTCAAGATTAAAAAGTTCGCTGGGAACTGTCTTCCAACTAGAAAACCTTTTGCTTCACGGCAAATACACTTTGGAACTTGAACTTGAAACCTGAGAATACCCTCCACAATGCCGAACGTAGTCAAGATCGGCGATACCTATCAAATTGAAGGGTAAGCAACTTAATATTCTGACAACTACAGTATGCCTCCAGTATGCCCACTTTACATACAGACGTCCACGAGAGAGCTTCAAGATCATGAATATCTACCATCCATCCAATATCCCCGGAAAAGCCGTCGTCATCATCTCAATCGATATGGTTCCAAACGCAGCTACACCTCCGCATACACACTCGGGCGCAGCAGCTATTGCAATAATGATTGATGGTGTTGCGTTAAATCAAATGAATTGCGATGATCCTATCATATCGAAGAAAGGAGACATGTGGTATGAAGCTCCCGGCTGTCATCACGTTCGATCGGAGAATAATGGATCGGAAAAAGCTAAGTTCCTGGCGGTTCTTATTATTGATGATGAAGTTATCAAGGATGGGTTGCATAATATTATTGTTTTAGATGCGGATCGGGAGGGTACTGCTACGGGTACTACTGCATGAATTTTTTTGTAATTTGGATTGAAATAATTGCGACTACTACAAGTATTTCAGGATGTATGTTACTAGCGCTTCCGGGAACCTCATCGATTAGTGCTTCTTATTGCTGCTTATTCTTCTCTGGCTGAACTTCATTGTCGGATAATTCAGCAGGAACGTTTGTTTCATCACGAAGCCATCTTAACCATTGAGACTGATAACTTCAAATTGATATTTCTAAAGTAAAACTCTCCAAACATCCATTAATATTAGACAGCTCCAAGGAGCTCTGAATCATATAAGCATCAAAGACTTCTTAACCCCCAGCATTCACCCCAATTAACGAGAATGGGCCTGTCCAACTCCCCCCTGACCTTCACCTTCACCCTCAGGCAGCGCCCCCGACGCCTCCGGTACAACAGCTCTAGGCAAAGGCTGCAAAGGCTGCTGACCCTGACCGTGAGCAGGAACCTGAGTCTGAGTATGAACCTGCGCCATCCCCGGAGCTGTATTCACCGGAGCAAGTCCCCTCGCACTCCCCTGCAAACTCCCATTCGACCTCAAACTGGCCTCCGGCCCCAGCAGCGGCGCAGGATGAACCCCATCCGCATTGCCATACCCATACCCACCCCAAGCATATCCAGGCCTCTTAGAAACCCTAACCTGTGGCGGCGCAGGCCCCAAAACAGTAGGATACTTATACCTGAAACCCCAAACCCAAAACAGACAAAACTTCTTCCAAAATCCCATCTTCTCCCACCTCTCTTTCAAAATAGCCGCATCATCCACCGACCGAGCCCTATACCCCTTTCTAAATCCCCAAAGACAACACAACGACAGCGGAAGAATAGTCATAGCCCAACAAACCGGCAATCCTCGACGAGTTTGCCAGCCTAGCATTAGACGGCGGAATCGAATAAATGCTTCTAAGATCCCGGCTAGGAACCACACCCCAATCCAGCCTAGAACGCTGATTAGGATGACTGCTAGGAGACTTATTCCGCTGTAGTATTTGCCGTTCCATTCGTCGTATTCGTCCCAGTAGCCGTAGCCGTAGTAATTGTATGGGTAGGATGAACTACTGGTGCCGGAGTCAGAATCGGAGGAAGTGCCAGAGGTAAAAGTGGTAGAGCCAGGGCCTGAGCTTAAGCCTGTATTGGGATCGTACCTATCGGTAGTGGAACCAGTGCTGTCGACGTAGGAGGAGTGATAGTAACAATTAGATCCCGCTCCATAAAGACTGGAGGGGTAATTTTCATTGCGCAGTGAAGCGAGCGAACTAGCCGGGACTTGTGTCGGCTCTACCCAGACTTGATCATATGTGTAAGTCGTTGGTTGAAAAGCAACGCTCGTATCAACGGATAGCGAGACAGAAGTCTTTGTTCTGGGCAACAGGGCGGAAAGTGTAGCAGGTAGAGCGCTCAGGGTTGCGGCTGTCGTGGTGGTCCATGTAGATGAGCATCCTGTGGGCGCGGTGTAGGTCAAATCGACCACGAAGACGGTTGTATGTTTGTAATCGGAGCTGTAGTAATTGTCATAATAGCCTGCGTTGACGTTGATTGCTGTTCCGACGCCGGAGGGGTATAATTTTTCGACGGCGGTGATGGTGTAGTCGTAGTATGTGTTTGTTTGGGTTAGTGTTGATATCGCTTCCGGGAGGGAAGTTACTGTTGGAATGATTGCTTCGATGGAAGTGGTTACTTTTGTGATGTAGTCTTCGTTTGAGTCGTAGCTGAGCTCTGTTATGGGCACGACTTGGTTTGCTTCGGTGATTATCCAGGGTGCGGCGTGAACGAGTGGAGACCAGCCAAATTGGAGTAGGAGGCTGGTTAGAACGAGGGACTTGAACGAGTGTGTGGATATCATCTTTGCGTTTTGGAACTCGATTGCTCAGCTTGAGCCTCGAAATGAGTGAGTCTTCCCCTGCGGAGAGGGTCAGGGAGTGTGGCTGCTGCCATGGTTTTATGTGGTCAGTGGCGTGCAAGGTAAATTTTTCTTAGTACTATTTTAGTATGCGTTTAGGGAGTAGCAGGTAGGCAATTTCCAGGGTCACTGCATGCTAGTCTAACCTTGAGGCGCTTGTCGACACTTTTTCTTCGACTAGAGCAGGGTCCAGGAGGCTCTAGTCGTGAGGCTAGTCGAATTGGGAGAAATCTAAGACAAACTAGCATGGATGGGGAATGGTGGAGATTGCGATTTGGGGCGAAGAGTTGCTGATTGGAGGAGATGAGATGGAGGATTCGCTTGGGCAGAAATAGTCTAGATGGGGGCAGAGTAGAGGAGAGGAGAGGAGAAAAGAAAGAAAAGAAAAGAAAGGAAAAGAGTGTGCAGTAGGTGCAATAGGTAGAGCATAGAATATCACAGAGTATCATCCATATATTGTATAATAATATCAAAGAGTGAGCCGTGTAGATACCAACGCCCTCGCTAATTCTAACAGTCACTCAATAATAGACAAAACAGCCGAGCAAATCAAAGCAAGCAAAACCAACGGAATAAATCCGGGCACTCCCCGAGCCCCGCTGGTTTCCATCTGCTAGCGATCCGATCTATCTCTATTTGAGGCACAATGCCCGAAGAGGCGAGTTGCCTCTGTCGGTACTACTGGTACTACTGGTACATATCTTGCCTCTATGAACAGATTCCAATGCATATAGACAACGGGTCCACGAATTAATCCCTCATATCTTTCCAGCAAACTACCTGAAGGTGCATTCGGTAGATGACCGAGTAATACTCTACTCCCCACAACTGCCCAGAAGTAAAGAAGTACTACTTGTTCGTAGAGAAGATCAGTCCATAACACCTATAGACAACTTGAACCTATCAAGACATCGATAAGAAAAGCAAAGAACAATCCTGTGCAGGGCGTAACTTCGTAAAACAACCACCTTATACCACTACCAACCACCATATACCAAATCCACACCACCACAGACCACTAATTAGCAGCCCTCAAAGCCCTCAACCTCGCCCCAAGCCCATCCTCAACCTCCCCCGGCTGCTGCTGCGCCTGCGCCTGTTCTTTCCCCTTAACCTCCGCATTAGGAACCTCCGTATCCTGCTCCAACGCAATCCTCATATCAACACCCGCCTCATCAGCAAGTTGCTCCATCATCCGATCAACCTCATGTTGACCCTCAGCCCCATACTCCTGCAAACTAACACCCTGCGCAACATCCTCAATCGCACTACTAGCAATCTTAAAGTCTTCACTCCGGGCCAAGAAATTATTCGCATGCGAGACCAAATGTTCCAGATTAACGCTCTTGCTCGCTGCGTCCAGGCCCCGACTTGCGAGGGCTAGCGTTCGTGATGTGTCCCGGGTTGATTGGGCGGCTTTGAGTTCGTTGATTATTACGTCTGCGCGTGCGGCTTCGGATTTGAGAGTTACTTGGCGGCGCTTTTCGCGGACGGCGCTGGAGGCGTGGATGCGGGCGATTTGGAATTCGCGGTTTTTCATGGCGCGGTCGGCTTTGGCTTTTTCGGATTTGAAGGTTGATTCGGCGCGGGCGGCTTCTTTTTTGAGACGGTTTGAGTGGAGCTGGGGGGGGGAGTTAGTAAATGGGTTGGTCATTGTGGTGAGGGTAGGCTGATGGAGGGATGCGATGTGATGCCTGGATCTGCGGTGCGGGGCGGGGAGGGGAGGAGAGAGGGGGTGTACCTTGACATTGGTGCGGGCTTCGAAGATGGGATCTTTGCGGACCATGATGGCGGTGTGTGGGGGGGGTGGGAGAGGAGAAAGAGGGAAGTGAGAGTGTAGACTGTGGGCGTAGGGTGAAGAGTGGGAAGTAGTGTTGATGTCTCGTGAAGTGCGGAGGCTGAGCAATTCCGAAGTGGCAACTTGAATGTCACTGACCGCATTCGTTAGCGCAGGCGACAACACCGCGCTGTGGTAGTAGGGACTAGCGAGAAATATCTTAGAAATATTTTGGAAATGTTGTAATTATATTATAATAATTAATATAGTCAAATCTCAGTTACCATACCCGAGAGCATGATGTCTACAGATCTAATCTACCACAGATCTATTGGTTGATGCAACCAACTTACACTCTCAAAAAGCAATATATGTACAACTGAAATATGTCAAATTATGCCAAAACAAATAAGAATTAAGTACTACTAGTAACGGGTAATACTAAGTAGTTTCCTCTGGCGAGCATCTATCTACTGATTCTGCTTCTAAAGGGGAATTCTGCCGGGAGTTGGAGAGTGATAGGATGAGACGAGGCTGGACAAGTGTAGACTAGACTACTATGGTGGGAGGTGGGAGACTTCGAAGATCTTTTCTTGTCTTGGCTACGCTGGTTGATGAAGGTCTCTATTTTACATTTACATTTACATCCACATTACAACTAGAATTCGGACATTGTGTTGGTTTGTTGAAATATTGAGATTGATCGGCAAGCCATAATCCAGCCATAGCTATAGTATACATTTAACCCAATTGCTTACCCACTCTCGATAAAGACTCGAGGGGGGGAACGCCGAAAACTCCGTGTCCGTACCTTTCCATGTCCATTGCTTCGTCGCCGTCCGGAGCGTTCGCCTTCACGTGCACTCTCACGCTGCTGTCGCTGACCACCCAGTCTATCAATAGCCCAGATCATAGTCAACAACGACTCCCACCGCGGTCGGCCCTCCGGGGCGTTAACATCATCAGCCAACCGGGTCCGTGTCTGCTCGAATGTAAACTGCTCGCTAACCGCTAGCTGCAATGCTCTGCCCGTCGCATCTCGAAGTGGACGCGCCAAGGCTGGGCTGCACGCTAGCAGGCGGGCAAGCAGATTCATCCGAAAGACCGGTCGATTGGTCGACGACGTTGACGCCGTCAAGGGATCCGACAGACTCGGGGTCAAAATCAACCAATGAATCAAAGGGGAAAGAACTGAGATCTGAGACTCCGTCGAGAGCGCCAAAGGCAAACCCGTCTTCAGGGAATGAAGGATTAGACTCAGCGGCGCTGTCACCGTGGAATAGGCGGCGGAAGTCATCGTCAGAAAGAGGAGCTGCAACATCGTGATGCGAGTGAGTGAGGTCGAAGAGGGGGAGGGCGGCTCCACTGCCTTCGAGGCTACCGACGGACACTGCAGGTCGCACAACATCGCGGCAGGATGTTGTGTCGCGTCGGAGGCCTCAGCCAGCGTGGAGGGTTGGAGGGTGGGGGAGTATTCGAGGGTGGAGGTGGCGGGGGTTGGGAAGGGGATGCGTTCCATTTGGATGTCCTCGCCTTCTTGTTTGAAGAGGGTGGGTGTGAGAGTGGGAGATTCGGTGATGGCGGGAGGAGGGGAGGTGGCTTTGTTGGAGATGGGTGTTGTGCTGCGAGAGCCGCGGACTTCGGCGGATAGTTGAGCGACTTGTTGTGATAGTCGGTTGTTCTCAACTTCCATCTGGGTTAACCTTGAAAGAAGGAACTGATTTTGTTCTTCCATTCGGATCTTCTCGGTCTCCAGCTTCTCCATTTCTGAGACGCTTGCGCTCGCGGGATGTTTGGGCCGCAGCGCGATTCCTGAGTACGCGCTCGATGCGGCGTTGCTCTTTCTCGTCGTCTGTCTTGGCTCGTTTCCTGGGGATGTTAGTGGGGAGGTGGGGGAGTGGTGGGTGTGACAGCAGGATTAAGCATACCTTGGGGGGAAGGTTGGTCTTAGGAGTAGGGAGTTCTTGACCCCATGACTTTCTCTTCTTTGTGGGCTTCTTATCATCTTCCTCCTTGATCTCGACATCATCATCCTCGCACTCGGGCTCGGGTGAGTCGTCGAAGGTGTCTGCGGGGGAGACGGTCAAAGGGAAGTCCGATGGTGAACCGGGGAGGTCCATCGGGTTTATCGTGTCTGTCATAATGTGTGAAGGCGTAGTAGAAGGTGTGTGTGTGTGTGGTGTGGTGTAGTGTAGTGTGGAGGATGGTGGCCGGTGCCGTGTGTGGAGGACAAGATCAGAACCGACAGGACGAGGGCGATCAAATCAAGTCAAATCAGATCAGATAGAGTCAGGCCACGTCTACACGGTCGACCCCATATGAGTCAGCGGGGGAAAAGGACAGATTGTTCATAAGTTGGTTGGGGGATGAAAGCGGACGTGGGAGTGTTTAAGTAGAGGCCACTTGTCAAGAGGGAGGAAGTCACGGGATCCCCGTGACTGGCCCCTGTTTCTCCCTCTGTCGACTGCCAACGCCCTGCCAACTCTCTGTCGACCCCCTCTGTGTACCCCCTTTGACCCCTGGAACATCCCCCATTCGCCAAGTGGGCCCCCGTTTCAGCTACTCCGTACTGGACTCGCACTTCGCTCAGCCTCGCTATGAATAGCACTTGGCCCCAGGCCCCCCCTCCCCAGGCCCCCAAGCAGATCACTCTATGATCAGCACTAACGGCCGTATTCTCGCACTCTACTGCAAGGCCTCCTAAAATTCACTTCATGGATTACGGAGTACAGAGAGTCTACTCTGCCCTCACCCCGAGGCTGGAAGTTGACTCGCTTTGTTCTCCAGAATGTGGTTCGGTCTCGCAATGGCGTACTCGTACCCCCCCCGCCTAGACCAAGTGGGCCCCTACCTACGTTGCGCATCTCTCGGAAGAATGTCTCCCGTCGCCACACGCCCCTCCTGCACATTAAGGAGTCGAGTCTGGAATCTGGAATGTCTGACTTGTATCCCATTGGCCCTGATTACACTCGCCCCAGACACTTCCACTGAGCTGCGTTGTTCAGTCCAGGCCCCCAATGTTCCTAATGCCCCCAATGCCCCCAAACAAGGCTGTCGATGTCGATCCATCATCACTCAGCTGGCCCTCCTTCACTCACCCCACTGGATTCTGCAGTGTACTCGTCTATAGCACAGTATTGTACATATGCAACGACTCGTAGACTCGATTAATCAACCCCTGCCCGCTCTCCGGGCACACCACACCATTCTGTCGCCATTGGACGTGGCCGGGCTCCACAGGGGCCGCGCACCGGAGTCCGTGTCCCTATTACGTTCCTTGACTGGTCGCACGGATAGATTCTCCAGACTTCCGTGGATCATTTTAGAATGGTTTAGAATACTGTACTCCGTACTCCTCTTCACCCTGAAGGTCCCCCCTCCTCCTGCAGGCACGGAGTCACGGAGTCTACGGAGTACGGAGTATCTAATTAGAGTAAGTCTCATTAGTGTCGTTGTTAGCGGCTTCTAGAAACAGGGGGTCGACTCTAGTCTCGAACGGAGGACGGAGTACTGTGAGAAAACTACCGAGGACTCCGTCGCAGTGCGTACTCACGAACCGATATTGCGTTTCACCATTTCGCCCATGTTTGATCGTCACGTAGTATCCTCCCCTGAAGATCCGTACTTTTGTCCTGACCTTCTTTGGTAAACGATAGTTACTCCGTACTGTACCTGGCATGCGAAAGTGGGTACCGGAGAAATTATTTCGAGAAAGACTTTCGATTCGTGATTGTCTGCTTCATTGACGAGTACGAGTCTGCACTGCAGTGTCAACTTGAAGTCAATATTATGTATTCTGTGCTTGGTGCCTGCAGTAGCTTGCTACATAGTAATGACTAGTCTGATGAAGTGCCGCAGGCGCGGAAATTATGGGGCAGAGGAGATTACTTAGAACTGAATAGACAGACCTCGAGGTAATATATTCCGTACGTCATATCCACAAATGTAGCTGGATAACATGATTCTAATTAAACGACATCGCAAAGGGGGCGGGGCGAAGGCGGTGGTGGTTGTCCTGGGCATGGACTGTGTACCGAGCCTGAGTGAGGAGTACGGAGTACCTCCCTACTAGTCAATTGCAATCAAATCTTGAATGGAATGAGGATTCTGCACGGAGTACGAGTAAAGATACTCCGTTTAAAAGCAAATATCTAGTAAATGAGCACTACTACGAATTATTGGATACTATCAACTCAGTCGTCGTAAAATCAATTTAGTAGTACTAGTAGTTGTAGTTAGTATGACACAATAATAGGGTGTTCTGGCATCGAATATAGTTAAATATGGCGAGATTCAGGTATCGTGCGATTGTGCCCGCGGCCGTATCTGCCATGTTAATAACTTTTGCCATACTCCGAATCCGATTCTTTGTCCGCACCAATTGGCCCAAGTTTATTTGCATTGTGGCTCGGTGTCACGGTGTTTTGTATCAAGTTGTCCTGATTGAAAAATATATTTCTGATCTCTTTGACTGGAATATATATATCACTAATACCAGGAATACAATAATAATGGTCAATTTGAACCTTCGATATTGAATACTATTCCGCGATGATGGCCAAAATGTGAATCGGCTGTACTCGGATTCTTTTATTCTTGGCATTTGTAATAGCTGTGTCTTTGTCGAGCAGACGAGAAAGGGGTTCTCGAAGCATGTCAATACAAACAATGTAGGCCGCTGTGGGGGGGAAGGACACGGAGGTGGAAGTGGCCGCAGAGCGCAGCATGAGCTGGCAGTAGCCGATTACAATTACTGAGGGTGTTTTGTTACCGTCATTTGAGATTTATTTCATTTTTGTTATGACAATACGCCGTATGCGGCTTGCCTTTTGTTACTATGGGCGTGGTGTTAGATGGAGGGAACGCCTACATCGCTATTCCGTTCGAAAGAGGCTGGATGAGGCTAATAGAATTTAAGGTTGTAAATATTCAATTTAACATTCTTTCTTTTGATAAAGTTGACAAAAATAGTATAGTAATATTATGAAGAGGGGATGAAGAGAGAATGTGCTTTAAAATGCCTTGTTTGTCAGGCTTGGAACGCTTTTCTCACCAACGAAGCAAAAATGTACTTTTGTCAACACATTCATTCAAAGCAATACTATCCAAAATGTGGAACAACCAAAGATGGTGACAGATATATTGAAGAGCGAAGAATCTGAGCAATGAAGCCATAGCCCAAAGTGCTATGTCAAACGAAATACTATTCAAATTACAGTTTATCAGGTTAATAGTCACCTAGGAGGCGCTAGATGCGCTCTGTCTATGGCGACTATTACCCCGCTTTCCCTCGTATCTCTACCTGAATCTGTGAGCCTCATCTGCGGCCGATTGGGCACGAACACCTTGAGACATCCGTTCCTTGGATCGGGCGACGGTTAATATCGCGACCTCATTTTTCCGGGGCAGAATTCATTCGAGATTGACCCCAGGTGACTGGCTATCCCACTGCCGGTGAAGAGCATGAGCAGACGGCTGAAATCAACAGTCTTCCAAGGATGAACCATCATGGCGAAGCCAGTACAATAGAGAGTCGTGCAGCGGCCCAAGAAAATATCGCATCTTTTGGTGCCAGAAACGCCGGGCTTCAGGTTACACAAAATCATGGCAATATCACTGCAAATTTCAATTATCAATCCGGTAAGTCTAGCCAAGCTATAGCCTCGACTAAGCGCTAAATTACCTTCAGAAGAAAGTGAGATTCAACTGAATCGAGAATGCCTGCAAGCCTTGTGCGAGACAAATCCTCAGCGCGACAAAGATCGGATCGAGAGACACAAGGGCGGCTTACTAGAGGACGCATACATCTGGGTTCTTGAAAATGCAGAGTTCAAAAGATGGCGATTTGAGGAAAAGGATCAACTCCTTTGGATCAAGGGCGACCCTGGGAAGGGCAAAACCATGCTTCTATGTGGTATCTTAAACGAATTGATGAAGTCTACTGTCGCTTCTGAGACCACGATCATCTATTTCTTTTGCCAGGCAACCGACGCGAAATTGAACAATGCTACTGGCGTTCTTCGCGGATTAATATTTATGCTAATTGATCAGCACCCAACTCTCATCTCACATGTGCGACGCGAGTACGACAAAGACAAGAGAATTTTTGAAGATCGTCGAAATTCTTGGGAGACGCTCTCGCAAATGCTAGTTAAGATCCTCGAAGACCCAACGTTGCAGAAGGTATATGTGATCATTGACGCCCTGGATGAATGCACCACAGACTTGAACCTTCTTCTCGAATTCATCGTGCAAATTCAATCTTCGAATATGCATGGAAAATGGCTTGTCACAAGCCGCAATGAGATATCAATTGAAGAGATTCTGGAGACCCATGAAATCGAATCCAAAAAAAAGAAGCTTTCGCTTGAGCTCAACGAAGATTCAGTGTCCAAGGCTGTTGAATTATTTATCAATTTTAGGGTTCGGATCTTATCGAAAAGAAAGAGATACTCTCCAGGTACTCGGGATGCTGTTATTCAACATTTGCTATCGAATGCGCATGGAACCTTTCTGTGGGTGGCCTTGGTCTGTGACGAACTTCTTAGTCCCCGGCTTTCGAATTTACAAGTTCCGAAAAAATTGAAACAATTCCCTGCCGGTCTTGATAAACTCTATCAACGAATGCTGGACCAGATAGACAATGATCCTGACTCTGAGATCTGCAAGTATATACTTGGTATCACTACAACAGTATATCGACCTATCACGTTGGAAGAGCTAAGCTCCTATATCGACTTTTCCGAAGATGATGATATCTCATATCTAGCGCAGCTAATCGGTCTCTGTGGCTCTTTCCTTACGCTTCGAGGGTCTATAATTTCCTTGGTACATCAATCTGCAAAAGACTTTATCCATCAGAAGGCTGTTGACAAAGTTTTCCCTTGCGGACCTGAACAAGTGCATTATGACATTTTCTCGAAATCATTGGACGCTATAACTAAGACGTTGCGACGTGACATTTACGATCTCATTCATCCTGGGTACGAGATAGGCAAAGTTGAACAGCCAGATCCGGATCCATTGGCGGCAGTACGATACCCCTGTATTTACTGGGTCGACCATCTCCGGGCCTGCTCTCCCCAAGTTCGCGCAGAGTTTCCCGATGATTTTGCTGAAGGCGGCACAGTCGATATATTTTTCTGTAAGAGCTACCTTCACTGGCTCGAAGCTATTTCTCTACTGGGAAGTGTATCAAAAGGGGTAGCAGCAATTCTCACGCTTGAGGATTTAGTTGAGGTATGTCTATACACCCATTATTATAGGTTCAAACCGGCTAAGATGTAATAATTCCAATATTCAGTCAGAGACAGACAATGCGGAACTGGTCGATAGAGTGAAAGATGCCTCTCGATTTCTTCTATATCATCAAGTTGCCATTAGGTGCTGGCCACTTCAAGTGTATGCATCTGCACTGATCTTCAGTCCAGTCAATAGCAGAACGAGGATCCAATATGAAGATCAACAGCCCTTGTGGATTACTCTACAGCCAGATATGGAGTATCAATGGAGTCCATGTCTGCAAACGTTGGAAGAACACAGCCTTTCAGTCAATTCGGTTGCTTTCTCTCACGATTCCAAGTTCATTGCTTCAGCATCCGATGATTGCACCGTCAAAATCTGGGATACCAGCAGTGGAGAATGCCTTACTACCCTTGAAAACAGCGATCCGGTACTTTCCATGGCTTTATCGCGCGATTCCAAGCTCCTCGTCTCTATGTCAAGGTCGTTGGATGCTGTATATTCCAGTGAATATAGATCTACTATCAAGCTGTGGAATACAGATAACAGCCATTGCATCATGACGATCGAAGACGATGAGATATTGACTTCTGTCGTCTTATACGAACCCGATTACATTGTCTGTGGGTCACACATTGGAACTATTAAAATTTGGGATACTAAAAGCAGAAAGTGCTTCAAGGTTCTAGAAGGACATGATAGCTTAATGTCAGCAGTAACAATATCCCAGAAGCTGAGTCTTATCGCATTAGCCTCAGCTGAAAAGACTATAAAAATTCGGGATCTTCGCACTGGGAAATGCGTTCAAACTCTGGAAGAGCATAGGGGATCCGTCTACTCGGTTTCCTTCTCACCTGATTCTCTGCTTCTCGCCTCGGGGTCGGATGACAATATAATCAAGCTTTGGAAAACCGACAATTGGAATTGCATCCAGACTCTTGGTGACGATGTAACAGGCATGCGGCGCAGTCAGAATGTGATGTCATTGGTGTTCTCTGACGATTCTAGAGTGCTTGCCGCCTGCACAGAAGGCCATGATGTCTATCTATGGAATACTAGCAATCGGCTGCTTCTTCAGATCTTCAAAGGTCATGGAGGCTCTATTTCTTCGATCGCCTTTTCTCATGATTCAAAACTCCTCGCCTCGGCCTCAGCAGATACTACAATTCGGATATGGGACGCCACCAGCAGAGAGCGTCCACGCGATTTCAATAGCCATAATGCTGCAGCCAGGCCTTACTTTTCCCATGATTTCACGCTACTTGCCACAAAGGCTACTGCTAAACCACATGATGTCAAGATCTGGGACGTCCATAGCGGAAGATGTCTTCAAACTCTCAATGACTGGCCCGACGACCCAGACAACTCCTTAATATTTTCAAACGATCTGAAATATCTGGCGTCATTCTTAGGTGGTCAACAGGTTCAAGTTTGGGATATCAGCAGTGGGGAAAGTTTACCATTATACAACGAGCTCTACTATGGATACTCGAGATTTCCACTTGAACCATTTGTTCCAAATTGTGAACTATCTGTCGACCCTCTTGCTTCTTCAAGTCATGCTCAATTTCAAGTATCTACCTATGACTTTGGGCCTCATTATTCTGAAGGCCTAGGCTTGACTCAATATGGGCCATGTATCATGTGGAACAATGAGTGCTTGCTCTGGCTGCCACCGGAGTATCGACCGGCCGGACTCATCTTATCAGAAGGCATGGTTATCGCGGGGTCAATATTATGCATCTCATGTGCTTCGGGACGAGTACTTTTCTTCAATTTCGACTCCAGTGCGATATCACAGCTCATTGCGACTTCCAAGGCCAAAGAATTGGAACGTCGTACCAGTCAAAGTGATGCCGAACTGGGAGCAGAAAACTGAGAAGTATGATCGCTGACCTGAGTCCAAAGATGAAAATTGCAATGTTAAATCCAGTGATATTCTAAGGAGTTGCTTGCCATGTGATCATGATATAGTAGATTTTATAGACTTGCCAAGCAACGGTGGGATGGAAATACGAAGACCAGACATTACCGCCACGGATAGCCTGCCCCAAGATCTACAGCCCAGTACAAGCCACACAATGGCCTGCAACTATTTTGTGAGGATGTTCATAGAGCTAAAGAATGATGGGACCGTTTTTATTTACCTAGAAAGGATCTATGTGAACCACGCTATGTAGGACACTGTACATCTAGAGTTCTAAGTCCAGTATGTCCGTTCCGAATGTCACTTACGCCTCAAACCGCTACAACAATGACAAGAAAGAGAACGGATCAATACAGAAAAGAAATTTTATCTCGAATGCCCCCTTCACTTTGACCGCTAAAAAGATAAAGGAATGAATAAAGTGTGGACAATAAAAACTTAAAGAAAAGCAACCGTGAATGGGAATTTTTTGAAAAGAAAATGTCGAAAAACCACAACGATGACAACAACCATCAACAAAGATGGAGTGGAAATTTACGTTTCGAACTCCAGTACGTACCCTGAAGTTGAAAATCTTGAACGTCTGGCAAACTCCCCTCCGTCTTGGCCATTTTAGACGAAAATGGAAAAGTAAATCGTGAAAAGTCTCCCATGAACAAGAAATAAGGATAGAAGAAAGCTAAAACACGAAGAAATGAGAGAAAAACAAGAATGGTCCTTTTTTCGAAAGAGAAATTCCATCGCTTGCAGCCCGCCATTCCGGGCCTTCAAGAAAAGGTCTTGAAAACCTCTCTCGATCCCACATGCACATCCTCTTCATGAGAACCTAGCAAAAACAGGGGTTGTCGAAGCCAGTGGCTGAAATTCTGCATAATCGATTTTGGAAGGATTTCTGTCGTAAGCGTCCACCTTTTCAAACTACCACTCCGTCTTGGCTATCTTGGATAGAAATAGAAAACAAAGCATGAAGAGCCCCGCAAGAACGAGAAACAAACATGGGTGAAAAGTAAACCATCAAAAATAAAGGGGAACATGAAAGAAAGAGTCAAAAGGAACAATTGAAAAAAGATACCGAGAAGAAACCCCCCTGCACATAAACCTCCGACCCGGGCCTTCAAAAAAAAAAGTCCATGCAAACCCATCTCGACCCCCGATGCCGGTGTTCAAACGAAAAGCTAAATGTCAAAGGAAATAGCTTCCTCGATATCTTCCTCTTCACTGAGTGAGTGCTTCCGTTTCAGACCCGTGGACATGGGAGACATCAAATATTCAGACAGAAGGTCAGTATCCTCCTCCTTGACCACTGTATCTGCCGCAGACTGCGCGCCTTGGAGGTGAGCGGCACCCGAATTCTCAACCGCTTGAGGGTTGGCGGTACTGGAGTCGTCCTGGGTATCGGTGACATTTTCTTCTGGAAATAGTGTGGCGAGTTTGCGCTTCGCCTTCCCGAAAAGGACCTTGGCCGATGCCTTGGTGTATCCGCCTCGTTTGGCGAGGAGGTCGAAATCAACCTGGGGCGAATGTTAGTGGGGTGTTTCTTTGCGGTATTCTGGGGATAGACAGGGGGATTCTGGGCTGTGAGAGAAAGGTAGGACAGACTGAAATGCAGTTTGAAGATTGTGCTGCATGGTTGATGTGTTCGGGATGCTTGGTTTGGGGGCATGGGGATGAAAAGGGATGGGAATTTTGAATGCAGAATGAGTGGTCTTTTGGGTTGGGAGAGAGAGGCGAGATAGATCAAGATGATTCTCGAGTATGGTGTTCGACGCTAATCGCGTTTTCGATGCTTGATTTGGGGGATCGGGATGGGGTGGATGGAGGTGAGGACATACCTTGCCAGGAGTACTACATGCGAGACCGAAGATCAAAATCTTTATCTCTGCATCGGAGATGTCGAGTCCCAGGCCCGGGGCCGGTGTGCCTTTCGATCGCTTGTTGGGAGAGCTCATTGTGACTTGAAAGTCGTTGAGAAGAGTGTGAGAGAAGTGAGGTGAATGGAGATGAGAAGGAAGAAGGAAGAAGGAAGAGACGAAGGGAGCCGAAATCAAAACAACAACAAACACCCCGTCACATCGAACGGAGGCAGTCACTGATTCCGGCGGCAGGAGTGACTGGGGTGAATGTGGACGTGGATATGCGTGGGGATATACGTGGGGGTGTGGGGATATAAGGTTGGGTGCCTGGTTTGATGACCGTCATTCTCTTGTTCACCTGCTGAAAGTGAGTATACACTGACTTTGAGTATATAATGTAGCTGAATTCAAGAAAATATGCACTGTAGAAAGATGCTAGACAATTTATTTAAGGTTAGCTAGCGCCGGATTCGCCCGGCGCTTACAGTTTGGTAGGAGCCGCAGTACCTACGCCAACAGAACAGCAACAGAACAAGAATAGGAGAACATCAAATTGTTGATTAAAGTTGTTAAATGCTTGGGCTACCGTACTGGTATATACTGTAGAATTAATCATGAATTCATCAAGTGTTGATCTCGTGAGAAATCTGGGTAGAATTAAGGTGTAGACTAACGAGTACATAGACAACGGTTAGCCGCACAACCCTGGGAAATCCCTCCACACTTTCTCCCCAAAACAATCGCAATCACAAAACGGAATTTCCAAGAGCACCCAAAATTTGCAGCATTATATCTCCCAAGAAGCTTCTGACGCCTGAATACTCATTGAACATTTGACCAGCGATTTGTCTCCCGCAAACTACACAAACCAGGGTCCCAGTGCGAGAACCTCCACTTTCCAATACAATCGCTCCCAACTACCTACAGGCACACGAGGACTTAAATACCGAGCGACTGAACATACTATCTCCATTTGAATTCACGGAATTGACTCTCATCGTCGTGGTCGAGGACCTGACTGTCAAAACAAGCTTTTGAGATCTGCGGTGTCACGGGGTGACCACGTGCTTTTTCGCCTATGCAGTACATCAACAGCCCGCCGAGAGGCTCTCTTACCCTGCATATACTGCGAATCAACCCTTATATCCGTTTGCCCTCAATGTGAAATTGAAACCTTTGTCGTTTCTCGGGGCCGCTCTCGATCGTCTCCGGTGTCGCGGGATTGGTCGTCGATTTAGGATATTCCAACGCAATACACGGTCACGCCGAATGGAGCGGAGGAAGAAAGACGGACTCGAGGCTAACATCCTCAATTGACACGAGGAAACTATTTGGCTCTTGGGAATAGATACTCCGAATTGTGGCTGAATCGAAGCCGTGAGTAAAAAGCTCCAACTGAATGCGGGGTGGATCTCACGATGCAGATATCTAAAGGGCACGGAGACTGATATGTTTGTCCATGTGCACTCATCGCGACGGCATCCGCACGGCTTACTTTTTTTCTAACCTCGCAGGATTATTTTCAGAGCGAATTTCTGCCATGCTTGTCCCGTAGTTGTCAATCATCCAAACAAAAAGCGGATCGGCGCCATATCTCGCAGATGGCAGGGTCCTCTCGAGTATATTCACATCTTATCTTATTTAGAGCAAAAATTCTAGAAGACACCCGAATTTACGGAACTATGAATAAATGTCCAATACTTTTAGTCCATAGAGGCTGTGGTATCTATCGACTCCACTAGTTCCGACACCAGGGGAATTATATGCACAAAGAGAAAAAAAGTAAAAAAGTAAAACAAGAACGCCATTCCATCAATACGTGCTCATGACCAGGTCGTAGGTGGTATATGCAGGGGGGAAATTTTCATAGAAAGAAACCGTAGCATCAGCGTCAGCTTAGCGTCAACAGCGTCTCTACATAGTCACATCCATCGTATCATCACCAGCGTCGATAGCATTCTGCGCCTCCGGGTCGGGCATCACAACACCACGACCACGACCAGCGAGCAATTCCCGACGAACCTCAGGACCAATATCCTTGTGTCCGCGGACCAGAAGAAGATCCAGCAGAGCCTCACGCTGATCCTCGGTGATATCGTTGCGGTAACGCTGGGCAAATACGAGCAGAGACTGGTGCCACAGAACGGGGAGCTTATAAGCCTTGGCGCTGCCAGGACCATCACCCATGTTGGTGTCGTTGTCGGTGCGGAAACGCATAAAGTGGAAGACCAGCGCGTCGATGACCTTGTATGGAAGAGCGTACTTCTTCTCCAGGAAGACTCGGATGAAAGTGTTCACGGCACCGGTGGCTTCCAGCGAGCGCATGGATTGTTCCGCGGCCAGGTCGCACATGCGGAGAAGAGCTGCGGCGGAGTGAAGGACGGGGATGGAGACGCGAGCAATCACGGAGGAAACGATGTGGGCTTCGCGGAGGGAGCAGGTGCCGCTCTGAACGAGGGGGAAGAGCAGACCCTTGAAGAAACAGGCGGGCTTGTAGAGAGCTTTGCGCAGGGCGTTGTAGGTGTGGACGTTCAGTTTCTTGGTCTCGTGGATCTCTTCGCGAACTCGTTCCAGGAGGACGGTGGAAATGAACTCTTGCGCAACGTGGGGCTTGGAAGAGATGAAGATGCGGGTTCCGGCGTAGATGGCGTTACCGGTCCAGTTCTCGGGGTGGGTGATGTCGAGAAGGGTGGGCCAGTTTGGCACGGAGGGGAGAATCTTGAAGGGCTTGGGGAGGGGTCCGGACTTGTAACGAGAGAGAATCATACCGACCCTAGTGGGGTGTTAGCTTGGTTCTTCAAAATAAAGAAAGAAATAGCGTCGCTTTATAACATACTTCTCATAAACTTCCACAGCCTTAGCCGGGATCTGAACAGCATCCTCAGCCAGTCCACCACCCTGGATCTTTGGACCGCCAGTCTCAATGCCGGCCTGTCTGGCTTCGTGCTCAGCAATCTTCTCCAAAATCAAGTCGGCAAGGTTGGTAGTCTGGCCAGCAGCATTGGGGTCTCGGGGGTGGAAGATCGGATCTTCTTCATGGTCGCCTGGCATGAACTTATTGAACAAGTCGAGATCATTGGGATCAACCTCCTACAAACAAGCATTAGCGTCTGCCGCATATCCAAACCATTCGCATAAACGATTTCCCTTACAGCGTTCTCGACATCCTCATCAAGCCACTCATCATTCTCATAATTGGCGTTCTCATCATCAGAAAGAGCCTCCATCTCCTGCTCATCCAATCGGGCATCAAAGTCAAAGGCAGGGTTCGGCATGGTCTGTCCCGCACCCATCGCGCGCTTCGTTTCGGCCTCATCCTCGTCCGCCAATTCCTGACCAATCTGCAAGATCTTGCGGGACATCTTAGCATCGATAAAGCGTTGTCCATTTTCGCCCTCTCCCTCCTCCTCGCCCTGCGATCGACTCTTGCCCTTCTTGTTAGACTGGGCCCGGAGTTGCCCCGCGGACGTAATATCTTCCGCCAAAGGGTTGTGGCGGCGGGCCGCGGCGGCGCGCGAGCTGGTGGCCTTGGGCATATTGCAGAATTCCGTCGACTTGGGGAATCTGGGTGAAATCAAAGAAAGCGTCGAGCCTGTATGGCGGTTTACAATGCAATGCTTGATTGCTTGTGGGTAAATTTCTCGGTCACGTGGGTCTAATCAGTATTTTTTTCTTTTTTGCTATCGCGACCGCCTTCCAAGTTTGGCCTCACCGCCTGTCGGTCACTTTTCTGTCGGCAGATTTGTCACCGCCCGCCGCGTTGTTCTTCCTTCGCGTTGAACGGAAAGAAAGCTGACATTCAATCCAATCCAGTCGGTCCTGCTGGTCTCGTCAAGTCTGATATTCCATAATTTACGCCAAAGTTTGACTTTTATCGGCCAAGGATAGCTTCAGCAGGGAAGTTCCTTACCAACTCTGCCCGCGGTGTTCTCCACCATGGCCTCCGCTCAAGCTCCGGGCTCATCTGCGCCTTCATCCAATATCAACTCCCCCATTATACCTCCCAGTAATGGCCCTCTGCTTAACGGCGCACTCTCAGATCTGAATTCGCGCTCCTCTCCAGCTCCAGGAAGCAATGCATCAGTACAAGGGGATGCCCGCGCAAAGCGGAACAAGCGTGACAGTCGCAAGAAACGCGAAGCAAAAGGCCTCGATCCTGAAAGCGCACCACCACCACCCAAGAAACGTGCAGCTGCAGCTAGTCTTGCACTCCCCAGCTCAAATCTATCCATACTCCGTCCTCTCCTACTCGCCGAACCACGCTCCTCAGATCGATATCCTCCACAACCTCGCCAACTGAGCTACGTCACCAAAAAGTCCTCCGGCGTTCTCGGCCAGAGCTGGGACTTCTATGAAGTCGTCGATAAGCTCACAAATAAGAACGGCTTCCGCTATTCCTACGCCATTGCCGACCCAGGCTTTCCCCATATTAAATATCGCCAAACGGACGTCCGCCCCTACCATGCCCGATTCAGTTTCGAGGACTCCCCAGCCGCCATATCCTTCTCGCAAGATGCGACGGCGGTAACGACCAATGATGCGTGGCATACAGCGCGTGCAAATGTGTGCGCCAGAGAGGGAACATACTACTACGAGGCGCGGGTGATAAGTGGCGTTGTCAATGATTCACAGGCTTCCCCTCGACCCGGTGGTCCTGCTTCTTCATCTCGTGGTCATGTCCGGCTAGGATTTGCCCGGCGCGAAGCCGATCTCGACGTCAATGTCGGAGTTGATTGCTACGGATACGGAATCCGAGATGTCAACGGTGAAGTGGTTAATCGGATGCGCTGCGAGTTTTTCTTCCCGAAGGGCGAAGCTATTAACGAAGGCGATGTCATCGGCATGCTCATTACACTACCGCCTCTAGCTACACACAAGAAGATTGTCGAGGGAACCTATGATCCAACCGTGGATGGAGTTGGAGATGGCACTGATACCGACCATCCACCCCGGGCCCAGTCGCCTCCAATTTAATTCGAGACCGCATTCCTTTCCATTATAAGTCTGATTTCTGCTGGCAGCAGTCGAACGTCTTTTCGACCAAACATCTCCGCGACTACGCATTCAACTTGAAAGAAACACCTACCTTCGGCCACCCCTCTCCACTGAACAGTGAAGATGCCTCTCTGCGCACACTTCCCGGCTCCAGCATAACGATCTTCAAAAATGGAGTCAAGATGGGATCTCCATTCAAAGATCTCTACGCCTTCCTCCCACCAGCTAGTCGTCTAGCAAACGGCACGAATAACCTCGGCATCGGCGAGCGTGAAAATGCAGACGACGGCATGATCGGCTACTATCCCGCTGTCAGCTGCTACGGCGGCGGCGCAGTTGAATGTCGATTCGAAGGGCCGTGGTGGGTAGGACCACCCGAGAAGACCGAGACCGGCGAATTCATCCGTCCCTTCGGCGAGCGATTCAATGACCAAATTGTCGAAGATGTTGTTGCTGATATCGTGGATGAGCTTGAGGCAATGTTTACATGGGGCGGTGTGGATGGCGATGTCATTGGCAATAACAATACGCCGGATGGAACTGCTTCTGGCGCTGTCGGTGGCTCGGAGATTTTACAAGGTGGTGTTGGGGCTGCGCTTGATTCGGCAATTCTTGCACCGGAGTCTGGCTCGGCGCCTGGTGCTGCGGCGGCTTTTGATTCTGCGGCCAATAGTAACCAGGCTACACCTGCTGCGATTGCTGATGTCTCTGCGACTCCGGTGGGAGATGGGATGAGTAATGGGGTAGATGGGACACCGAGTATTAGTGTGGAGATGCCTGTTGCTAAACAGGATGAAGATGTTGAGATGACGTGAGGGACTCCGATGAGATACTGACTATTGTGTCCTGGGTTATGTTAGGCGAGGCGTTTGGGGTTTATAGTCACATATTCCAAGATATGATACCATTGAATTGAATTATTAGGTTAAGATAGTATCATGGCCATGGCCTCGCATCCAGATCTGAGGGGAAATATATTAGTAACAGTAGTATGCAGGTACTAGTAAACTTTGGATCAAAATATCCATTTGAATAGAAATTGTACAGTAGATGGTATCGTAATAGTAATACAAATATGTAAAGCATAGCCAGCCCACCGTCGACTTATATCGTCCACGGCGTTCTGCAATTATTGCTCCCCAAGTCGATTGCCTGCAAGCAACTCCCCAACACTCATAACCAACTCATCATCTCCATACTGACCAACAACTTGAATACCAGCCAGTTCTTCAGCATCAGCGCCAGAATCCTGGCTAGACTCGGCCACAGTCACAGGCACAGAAATAGCCGGGAGACCCGCCAAACTAGCCGGCACGGTAAACACATCATTGACATACGCATCCAAAGGCGAAGACTTTTCAGAATCACCCGTTAGATCTGACAAACGTGGCGGAGACGAAGGTGCAGTAGGACAGACAATCACGTCAACCTCAGCACCAGCGCTAGCACCAGCACCAACCGAGTCAGAGTGAGCAGCTTGCGCATCGAATAGAGGATGTTGAGCCGAGAACACATCATTAAAGTCCCGCTGAACAAGTCTCCGCACACGCTGCGCCTGAATAAAATAATTATCCATAGAATCCGCACTTAAACTAAACGTGCCAAGAAGAATGCGGCGCTGGACCTCCGACCCGAATCCAGTTCCACGCGTATTAGAGTAAAGAACTCCATCGGCCTGGCCATTACCATCTGGACCGTCGGCGCGGGTGCCGTAGCGAACGCCGTCATATTTGGCCAGGTTTGAAGAAGCTTCCGCCGGTGCGAGGACGTAGTATGCAGATAAGGCGTGTTTGGTTGTTGGCAATGAGACCGGGTGGATGGTGTGACCTTGCTTTTGCAGATGTGCGAGAGATAAGAGCCAGGCGGTTCGGACTGAAGGGGTGAGTTCGGAGATGTTATATTCGAGTGGGACGCCGATTCGGAGGGGTTTGGATGTTAGGCGCGTGGAGAGGGGGGGAGGTTTGTAACTGGGCGAGAATTCGTGATCGTGAGGATTTGGAGAGACTGGTTGGGTCGCGGGGATCGTGGTGGTTGAGAATGGCTTGGAAAGGTGTTAGTTAGCTGGTCTGGTTCTGCAGAGCAGAGACAGCGCAGTCTTGTCTTACAGAAGATATCTCGAACGTTGGAAGTATTTGTTCCCAAAATCCCAACTGTGTCGAGTGAATTGGCATATGCCACAACACCCCATCGCGAGATCAGTCCGTATGATGGCTTGAAGCCCACCGTCCCCGTGTATGCAGCGGGCAATCTGACAGAGCCACCAGTATCTGTTCCAATTGCACTGCGCGAGACAGATCATATCAGCAGCAATCCCGACAATTCCAAGGTATATCACAACTCACGCATAACATTGCTCTGCAGCAACAGCCACTGCACTCCCACCAGAGCTCCCACCGGCCGATATCTCATGTCCCGCGGAGTCTCGCCGGAGATTCTTCACAGGTCCAAATCGCGAATGTACCGAGTGCGATCCCATTCCAAATTCATCTAGATTCGTCTTTCCAGCAATCACAGCTCCAGCTCCTTCCAATTGCTCCACTACTGTCGCATTGAACGGGCTGGTGAATTTATCGAGAATGCCCGAGGCGCATGTCGTTGGTAGTTGGCGCGTGCAGATATTGTCTTTGATCGAGATCAGGCGGCCATCGATTGCGGATTTGGGAGTTCCTATCGTCAAATAAATCCTTGGTTAGCCTATGGTAACACTTGGTGGAGATGCTTTGGATCATTCGGTGCGGTGCGGTGCGGTGCGGTACGGTACCTTTCTCGCTGCGCTGGTCAGCTTCCTTCACGCGGTCTAGCCACTGCCCGGAGCGTGACAGTGGGGTTATAAAGGCATTTAGATTGTGGGCATGTTGGTTAGCGAGACATCTCTCTGCTTCGCGTAGCAGGGACATTTAGGCTGAAGGTGTGAGGAGAAGAAGAGAAGAGGAAATGCGGCGTTGCGGGCGGAAGTGAAGATCTTCGGTGGTCCGTGCGGAGTGATTGTATACATCGCAGTGACCTTGGAGTAAATATTAATATTTATTATCAAAATAATATTGAGGCTACAGAACTTGTTTGATGAGAAAATAGAGATATTCTTGGAATTTACAAGGGCAGTTTAAAGGGGAAATTCCATATTGCTGCTCACAAGCGTTGCTCAATCTCAGCTATGGATACTGTATGACCACCTGCTGACTCGCATGTCTACAATGTATTTCATACTGGTATGTCACTTATTGGACATCAGTGAGTTTAATTCATGGTAGTCATTGACGTATATCCTATCATAAGAAACATTGACAGAATAGAGCCCACACTCATTCCACATTCCATAGATACGAAGAGCAAAATCATAATTGAACTTTAACGGCAAGGAACGAATGAGACACAGAGAACCAAGACAGAAACATGGGCAATCCCTGAGCTCCCTTCAATATATCCATTTGGTATCCCCCGAGCATTCTACCAACCATTCAGCAGTTAACCTTGAACGCTCCCATGTCACGACTCAGCTCGTGGTTCTTCCAATCTCTATCAGCAATGCCGATCTGGTTGTCGCATTTGCTGTCACTGAAGATGCGGATGGTACAGCCACGGGAGCTCCAGTCATAGGTGGTACCCTTCTTGTTTGGGGCTTTGGTGCATGCCTTGCTCTTAGTGCCATCCCACTGGCCGTTCTTAGTGGTGAAGATCCATGCATTGGTCATGGGGAGAATGGTGACGAGGGCGAGGAGAGCGCTGGCGGAGATCTTCATTTTGAATGGTATAGTAGAGAGCTTGGAAGATGATTTAGGTCAAGGTGGATTTTCTTTGGAAGGCTTTTGAATCAAGATGGATAGATGAATGAATAATTTGATCTCGGAGGAAAAGTCGAAGGTATTTATAATTTTGAGGTATTTATAATGTTGCCCAGATTGAATCTGACAAGACAATTTGAAAAGAAAGTTGGTAAAAAACTTGCTTCGAACCCACATTCAATTCCAACTTGGGAAAAACACTTCTTGGAAATTCACGCACTCGTATTTTCTGTTCTCTTGTTGCTCGCAGTTTGAAACCAGAAAAGGTTATCCTTCAATAGAGTCCCCAGGAGCAAACACAAGACCCTGCATCGTCGAGAACACAAAGTGGAGTATCAATACGCGCTGATTGGGCGCTCACCTCAAGTTATTGGGCGATGAAAAGGCAGCCAATTTGTTTGCACATTTTCTTCGAGATCGAAAAACGGGATGCGGAATGAGGCTAATGCGCTACCCTGTCTTAGAGCCAGGAATGTTGCCAGACTAGGAGTCATTGCCCGAAGTTCTCCGCGGATGTATCAAGGTCTAGGTACTTGGCAGTCTAAATAATGAGACCGACTCTAAATCAGCCTTGCAGATGCAGGTTTGACCTGCGGCCTTGACCCGATGGGGCTGGACCAAAATCGACAGTGGAGCGTCACAGAGACCTATCCCCGCAATAATATGCATGTGATATGGGGCGTTCGTCGGGTTAATTAGCCTCCGCGGCTGATTCACGTCCTGCAGCTCGTATTGCGGGGAGGAGCCACAATATTTCTGCAGGGTTTCACTACAGGAGTCCGACAGCCCCTTGAGGGGCTTTTGGCATCACCAGACGTCTTACATAATTTAGATTCGTCGGCTCTATAGGCTATACCGAGTGGATATTTTAAGCGGTTTAACATAGAGGTTGTCTCTACTGTTCTCTAAACCTACAGACTGCTTGATTTCTTAATAATTGAGAGAATACTAGTTAGTAGGAAGCGCAATTTATTTTAGTACGCATGAAAAATACCGTAAACACGTTCAAGGTAAAACTTATAATATATATGTAAAACAAAATACATGATACAAAGCTCAGAATAAGGAAGCTAAAGTGTCCTCTTGTAATCGTGCAATCAGAGCGCTCTATGTGCAGGCACCCCATCCTTTTTAAACGCCCAGGCACTGAAGGCATGCGCATCCACTGATAAGATCAATATGGATACGATTCCAGAATACTAGAAGCTTAGCGATATCACCATTGGGGTCATTCTCTTCCGTCAGAGTCATGGCGGGGCCTCGACATCTACCCCAAGTTACATAACCCCACTCTGTTTCCTCGAGCCTCCTTGCAGTTTCGACGGCATAAGTATCACTATAATCATAACCCTGGAGAGTCAGTCGTCCGATTTGCCACCCGACAATATTGAATACCTGGGAAATATAATAAAAGGAACCGACAGGGAAATCGCGTGTGTTAGCATCAAGCCCCCTTTCCTTGAGCCAATCAGCCTCGAGCCACTTATCAACCTGATGCCACACAAACTCCAATGAATCCATAATCTTCTGGACCTTTTGATGAAAGCAATTGCCGGTTTCATCGCCACGTAGATCGTCCCATTCTCTCAAAATCGATATCAGTTGCCTAATATCGTAGATGATTGAATCTGCCTCTTTTTGGTTTAGCCGACCAGCCCAGCCTGAGATTTGGTCAACAATTCGTTTACGTTCAGTGATGAATGCTTCGCACGCAGCCCGGTTGGGCTGGGTAGGAGCCGGAGGACGCATGATGGATATATGGAGCTGGGTGAGCTAAATGTGATAAGGCCGGTGCTGAAGTAACTGAAGTAACTGGCCCAGATAGGCGCGAACAGATAATAACGTGATGTGATGATAATATGATAGTGAGAGAAGGTCAGGCCTGGGGTTTTTATAGCTGGAAACTCCATAGTACCAGATTAAACTATATCTTTGTTTTAACCGGACAATAAACTCGAGGACTACCGAAATACACTGAAACAATATCAAGGTTAACATTGTCTTTGTGTTGAACACTAGTCTCTTTGACATCAAAAATATGATAAAGGAGAATCAAAGCCACTTTTCTCTCTGAAAGGACGTCTTGTCATATCATCCTTTGAAAGAATTCTCGAAGATGCCGTCATTCTACTCTCGAGGGGCGGAAGTTGAGTAGATTCAACGATAGGCAAAATTGAGTTCAGGATAACGTACTTCGAAGACAGCTGCTCACGAGCCAAACTTCTTTTCAATTAATGTGCATGAGTCTATCTCTATGATTGAGTAGCATGGAGTTTTTAAGCATTGAAGGATCCCTCCCATGCTTGAAATTATAGAGATGCGTCGAGATCCTCGGTGGATGGGGCGGCAAACTAATGACACCACCATAGTAGTCAGCCATTGTTGAACAGATTTGTGCCACAATAATGTAAATTGAAGATAATACTAAGTTTATTTGTTGTTCACTACTACGAGATCCTAGTACTTTCTTCCAGTTCCCTATTTTAATCCCCATAACATATCTGTCTGCTTTCATTACTTATTGGTCTGAAACAGCAACCTGCAATATTCCTTTGTCATTATGCACCAAGGTCGCTGAATATTATCCGACCTGCTATGATGCCAAGTAAACAAGTGAGTCATTTCTCCTTCGTATTGCGGCTAAGCACGGATATACGAGCTTAATGTATCCGATATCGGCATACCATTCATACAGCATTTGGCATATCTTAAATTGACTCCTCGAAACGCCATCGTGCCTGCTTCCCAAGATACTACTACCCACGCGAAAATCAACAATGTTGCAAGCCGTGGGAATTTCCGACCTAAATGACAACCCCTCCTCCGACCGCATATTTATCATCGGAGGCGGTATAGTCGGCGCTTCCCTCGCTTACTTCCTCTCTAAAGAAGACAATGACCGCAAAATTGTCCTCATCGATAAATATCTCGATAAATTGTTAGGATCAACAGGCTATGCACCTGGCTTTGTAGGTCAGTACAATGAGTCGCATGTTCTCACCAGTCTTGCGAAAGATACGGTATCCGAATACATCAAAATCCCTGACGGATTTAATGTTGTCGGCGGACTCGAACTTTCGTCAACTCCAGACGGTGTCGAGAACCTGCATCGCCGAAAAGAAGCCGCGCAGTCTTCCGGCCTCCCCGCTGAAATAATCTCACCGGAAGTCGCTGCTTCCTTGGCTCCGGACTTTATCGATGCCAAGAGTGTGAAAGCCGGACTGCTCTTCTCAACGGATGGAGCGGCCAATGCTATTCGGATTGCTTCTTATTATATTCGTGAGGCCCAAGCTAGGGGCGTTCAATTTCTCGAAGCTGAAGTGACTGGTTTCGCAACTGAAAGTAATCAAATGACGACCATCAATTGCTCGAATGGGGACATCACATTGAATGGTAGCATTGTCATTCTCGCCACGGGTATCTGGACTTCTCCTTTAACAAACGATATTGTTAAATTCCCAGTGCCTATAATCCCCGTTGCACATCCATATACCTTTACCCCTCTCCGACCTCCTCGATCTGGAACACCGTATCCATTTATCCGCTGGCTAGACCACCATGTCTACGCCAGAGATCATGGTGACCGCGATGGCTTGGGAAGCTATGATCACCCGCCAATGCAGGCGAGCCCAACAAAGTCAGCAATGGGGCCATGGCCCGCAAGCTTTGAGAACGTTCTGTTGGAAGCTACCTCGCATTTGAAAAATCGCCATCAATTTTTGGTGAAAGGACCTAGCGAGGATCCGGACGAGAAGCGCCCTTTCAATGGGATATTTGCAGTGACGCCAGATAACCTTCCTCTCGCAGGAAGAGTTCCAGGTTTATCCAACTTGTGGCTATGTGCTGCAATTTGGGTTACCACTGCCGCTGGAACAGCAAAATTGATATCCAGGCAGATCCTCGGGGGAGCTGAACAAGAGGATGAGGCTTTGTTGAAGGCTTTAGATCCTGCCCGCTTCCAGAATATTGAGGACGAAATTCTTGTGAAGCAAGCGCTGGCCAAGTACAACGATATCTACAATAGAGATTCGAAGTGAGTCTGGGGATAAGAAAGGGGTTGCCATGGTAGTATTAGTAGGGACTACCAAAGGTGGCTAGCAGCCTATGGGGTATTTTGATTTGGGATGTAACTGTCATAGATTGAGATCAACATAAGCAGTAATGTATAATATTTCAATAGTCATCTTAGTATGAATTATTCATATATTCATTTTCACTCTCATTTTCTTTTGCGCCCTATCAGACCTTCTCCACGACTGTTGTTCCAGGCTTTTCAGCATCTCCACAAGGTAATTCCGTCAAATCAACCTTAGCCTTCCAACCCATCCACCACCGTCCAGCGAATAGCTCCTCCATTCTTTCCATCGGAATTCCCTTGGTTTCCGGTGCCATCAACCCCAGCAATATGAGCCCAATCGCACAAACTATCGACCAGAATATGTATGCACCGTATATATCCAGCGAAACAAACATATTGGGCGTTACCCGCACCACAGCAAACTGAAAGAACCAGTGTAAAGCCATATTGCTCGCATAGCAAACGCTGCGAATGCGTGTCGGGTAGATTTCTGTGCCGTATAGGTACTGAACTGTGCATAGACCGATCGACCAGCCGACGGCGTAGATGAAGACCGAGGCAATGGCTGCATCGGATGCAGGTTTATTCCCTCCGTCTTGGAACACGGACATGTAGATGGACATGTAGATGTGGGTTATGCACTGTAGGCCAATTCCAGTTAACATGCAGCGTCGTCGGCCAATTTTATCAACGAGTCCCCATGTGAAGACCATGGTAAAGACTAGTTTGACGATGCCATAAGCGCCCGAGGTTATGAGCGAGGTATTGCCTCCAGCTACTCCTGCGTAGGTAAAGATCTAGATCGTAAAAAAGGAGTTTTATATGTCAGGAAATCAGGTCGTATCATTTTTCAATGAAATGGGATTGGTTTACACACCTCAGGGATGTAGTAAGTGATGCCGTTGCCCCCGCTCCACTGGGCAACTGTTTGCATGAGTGCACCTAGTATAAACCGTTTTCGATAACTTTCAGATGTTGCGATCTCTTTGAAGATTGTCAAAGTTGAAACGTCGCCGACATTTTGGTCCGTCATCTGTATCTGCTCTTTGATGTCTCGGTACTCATGCGACACAGCCAAGGCATCGTCCGGGGATGAACGTCTAAGAAGTGTGAGGGCTGCTAGTGCCTCTTCATCTCTTTCTTTTGATGCGAGCCATCGAGGAGTGTCTGATAAGAAAAACGAGCTGAGGAACGCGACACCGACGGGGATAAGAGGGATTCCCTGTACGAGACGGTACTGGGCCGCACTGAGCGCCATCGTAGAGTTGACACCATAGTTGACGAAGAAGCCTGCAAAACTCGTTAGTTGTAATTTGGGAAGATATTGAGAGGAGGAAATAGGAACAACCAATTGTAAGGAACGAAAGCAAAACTACCATGTACATGCTGACAACAGTTCCTCTGGACTTCGCTAGTGCAATTTCAGAGAGATATAGCGGTGCGACGACAGTCAGGCCACCCGCACCGAGACCTCCCCAGATCCGTGCAAAAAGCATCAGACCTATGATGCCAGAGGAAAAAATTTGCATCAATGTCCCACTAGCCCAGAGTAATATGAATAGTTGCCATGATCGCAGGCGACCAAGTCTGTCTGTAATTACCAAGGCCAGCAACGAACCAAATCCTGCTCCCAGCACACCAAATGAGGATATATTTGCTTTGCGATCGGCGAGACCACTGGGATCGTCTTCCCAGTGCTCGGCAATGAGATTGAAGTCTTTCTTGAACGAAGCCAAATCGATGGAGGCACTGAATCCGCCTTCATCGTAGCCTGCGAAAGTTTTAACATCTGATTATAATATGGAAGACATTGGCTTGTTGGCTTGCCTTTCGGTATTCCTCCGGCGGCTATGATGATAATTGTGAGCACGTAGTAAGCGTTAAGCTTCTTCAAGTTGAACATGGTTCTGATTTGAGCGCGGTATTCAAGAAGTGGTCTGATGCTACGCCATTTCCCAAAGTGAGTCCGAAGGAAAGACACTTATAGTTATTCTTGCGTTGGAACAATACACCTCATACCCCAGAATTACCCCGCTACCCCGTAGAGCAGTGAAATGGACGTGGCAAAAATTGTTCAGTCTCTACTCGGAAGTTGGCCGAGGTATAGATGACAATCCTATATTTCTGTCGACCGTGGAGAAGTAAGATGAAGGGGATGAAATTCGACCAGTGTCTGCTCGGAAGTTGACCGAAATATAGAAAACAATTCAATATTCTTCTTCCCGTGGAGACGTAAGCTGGAGGGTATGTATGGAATTTGATGAGTATCTGCTCGGAAGTTCACCGACACTGCAAAGCATTGAATTGTTTTCTATATCTCGGTCAACTTCCGAATGGCGGGCTAATTAGGCAGACCTTCATCTTCAGAAATTCTTAGGGTATCAAGCGTTGCCGACGACGTACATTTGCTGAGAAATTGACATTTGGGGTCTTACTCGTACTTGTTCTGATTTTTTTGTGGAACCCTAGATCGGATATGAAGCTACTAGTACCGAATTCAAAATGCATAATGTTTTGACTTGTAAAAGATCCTGGTAAGATATCTCAGGGGAATTTCCCATAGACGAGTGTCCAGTTCACTTTTTCCTTTCCCTCTTAATACACCTCCTACGCTTTTCGCACTCTCATCTGCTCCGAATAACACTCTCGCATCAAGCGCAATGATTGCTCTACAGATGCACCAATTCGTCAGAACTGTTAATCAAGACATTTCTCGGCTTGTTCAGTCGCTGTTACACTTTTTATCTTTAAAACATGATAGACCACAAATCAGCACAGGTCATGCTAAAGCGGGATTTCCCTTCAATCGGATTCCCCTGGGTCTTGGGACAGCCATATGCATGTAGTAAGTGGTCATATATGAAGGGCCATCCCCGAAGCTAATAAATGGAATTTGAATGAACTAAACCCTTGGAAAGCCAATGCAAACTGATTCCTGTCAAATTTTAGACCGATCCAGTCAAGTACACCCTCGCCGAGGGCGCACAATACATACCCAAAACTCACCTTCTCTCTGAAGCCCTGAAGTTCGAGAAGTCACTCGGCCTCCGCAATGTCGTCCTCGTACAGCCTTCAATCTACGGAACTGACAACACATGCATGCTAGACGCACTTCGCGCACTGGGACCAAATCACGGGCGTGCGGTGGTGACCTTTGACCCGGAAACAATTGACCCAGAAACCCTGCAACATTGGCACCAGCTCGGGGTTAGGGGAGTCCGTGTCAATACGCAATCCATCGGAAAACGCATGAAGGAGGAGGAGATGGTGACTATATTACACAAATATGCGGATATAATAAGGCCGTACAATTGGGTTTTACAGCTGTACGTGCCGCTTGATGCTGTCATTATCTTGGAGAAGATCGTGCCGAAGTTGGGAGTTACTATCTGTTTGGATCATTTTGGATCACCGGCTCTCAACGGCCATTCGCATTTTGAAGACCCGTACAGTCTTCCTGGGTTTCAATCGCTGGTCAATCTACTACTGCAAGGCACCACATATGTCAAGCTTTCCGCACCTTACAGGATATGTCGGGATGAGGCGTGGGAAGATTTAGAACCATTGGCGAAAGAATTGGTAAGAGTCGCCGGCATGAGTCGGGCAGTGTTCGCTAGCGATTGGCCGCATACTCGGTTTGAGGGGTTGGATATCAAACCATACATTGAGGCATTGATAGAATGGTGCGGGAACGATGATGCTCTGATCGAGAGAGTTTTCAAAGGAAATGCCGAAACTTTATGGGGAGTATGACCCTGAAGTCGGATATCATAGAGTTACAGAATAGACTAATTTGATTTACAGAATCACTAGTGCCACCTAGAGCAGGATGAAAACGTGCGTAGTATATTTTTGACGAAGCCTGCACTGGAATTTCTACGCCTTCCGAGTTCTACTGTGAATTGCACGTCACGTAAAAAAGGCCATTGCGCGTAATCCCGTTTTTCCACAAGTTTTCTATTGTATAGCAATTTTAAATACACTGCATCCAACGGTTTCTCTCTTTTCTTGTATTAAATCCCTCTGCGTATTCAAATAGTTCGAAATTTGGGTAACTAGGCATATTGAGGTAGATGGCGTTTTGAATCATGGAGAGTCAGACTTAAACTCTGCAGAATTTTAGGAACTATCCAGTCGTAGCTCCGGATTTCTTCTCGGTCAACTTCCGAGTTGTGAATTCTGTCCTAATAATTCGGGCACTGTCCGTCTGGGTGTAACGAACTGATGTTGTTATCATCTGTGGATGCCTTACGCCCGTGGCATCCACCTAGGCACCCACGCCTACAAATATATCTAGCCTTCCATCTCAGCTTTCTCCTGGTCAATTTCCTGAAGCTATACTTTTGTCGGATTGCTACTACTTCATTGCATCGTATGCTACGTCGTACTTTGATCTGTGAGTATATGAGCATTCTCACAAGCAGAAGAAAGCTCATATTCTTTGAATACTGCAATTCTTTCATTTAACTGATTTCAATGCAGAAGAGCAACAATGGAAAGAAGACAGAAGTTAAATCAAAGTAGCCCACCGGCTATCAGTACAAAGCTTCTGGCAGGTGGCATTGCGGGGGCCTCAGAGACGATTATAACTGTAAGCGACCTATTTCGGGAGAGCTGGATTCACGCTCCTACCAGACCATTAACTCAGTTGACCTTATAAATTATAGTACCCCTTTGAGCTCCTCAAAACCAAACGCCAGCTTCCTGAAAGTGGTATCTCCACACGCCCATCCTCCTTCTCCCTTCTTCGTTCAACTATCAGCACACAGGGTTTACCTGGACTATACGCCGGTTGTACCGCTCTAGCAAGCAGCAACGCCCTGAAATCTTCTATCCGGTTTTTCGCATTTTCCAGTAGTAAAGAGTGGCTCAATACGTTCGGGGCCTTCAACGCAACTACAACAACGCTGTTATCTGGTATCACGGCTGGGGTTGCGGAGTCGGTTCTTGTTGTCACGCCAGCGGAAGCACTGAAGACAAGAATGATCGAGGCGGGAAAAGCGAGGACAGAAACTGGGAACTCGGGAATAACCAGGACGATACGACAAATTCTGAAAAATGAGGGTGCTGGTGTCTTCTGGAGAGGCACGGCACCGGTGGTGGGTAAACAGGCTATGAATTCTGCCGTGCGCTTTACGACCTTTGAGATACTGGAGGACGAAGTTGCGAGGCGATGGCCTGAATTTTCCGGGAGAGTCAGCACAACATTAGCGATAGGGGCTCTCAGCGGAATCACTACGGTGTACGTACTTAATGCACCGCTTCTCTGCACCTCTGGGAAGCCGAACTTCCTCCGCTGACAAGAGACAGATATGCCTCTATGCCATTCGACACTATCAAAACGCGCCTCCAAAGCGCTAGATCTGAGTACAATGGTATGATTGACTGCGCGGCAAAGATTGCGGAGAGGGAGGGGATTTGTGCCTTTTGGAGAGGTACAACACCACGTCTAATGCGTTTAATGGTAAGTGACTTCGTACCAAGTACCATTCTTTCGACTGACCTGAGTTCTGTCATAGCTTTCAAGTGGTATAACATTCACGATGTACGCGCAGGTTGTTCAATTTTTGAGCTCCGATTCACGGAATATCATGCGCCTGTGAAAGGTAGATAATAGGATGTTCCAAGACATTCCATTTAGAAAGCTTGATGGTAACTAGTTCCAAACGCCGCATCTATGGGGGTGAGAAATGGGAATGCTTCCAGGGTCTCATCGGATATAGTAAATTCTTCGGGGTCGGAACCACAAATGACTGGCTCGGGGTAGTCCAAATACCCTGTCCGGTGACCTGTATGATTGGATTCTGCGGAGAGAAATTCTTTTTGAGTTTCCGCTTGTAATGTGGCATTCGCAATTTTGTCTTCGTCGTTCGTGGATACAACGGGGAGTATATCCGGTCTTATTTTTGACAATGAGTCGGTTATAAGACCCAGTGCGCTCTCAACAACTACAGGGGTCGTTAATAAAGTTCCCGTAAATGAAAAGTATGGTAGCCAAACCTGGGTTTGAAACGCTGAGTTGCTCCAAGGCACTTATACAGAACCTGAGCCGTGGCAAAGCCTGCGCGTCCGGGCGTGAGGCAGCCTGGATCTGGAGGAGAAAAATGGATGCTGCGGTATAGATGCCATAGGATAAAGAGAGAACAGTATATTCAAACCCGAAGGATTGACAGAAGAGGTCATAGATTGTAATGATTGACGTTGCAGACGAGATGCACTCTAGCAGATGATGCGCATTTGCTCGGGGTCGGTTGCCTTTCATCGAGTCCTTTTGGAACAGCATCGGCCGATACAGGAGGATCTTGAAAACGTGGTATAGGCAGCTGGGATATGTTAGAAAAGTGCTGTATTGATGGCATGGTGACTTTACTTCAAAGTGACAATGTGACTAGGAGGACAGTATTGCGGAAGGTTTTCCGTATCGATTTTGAGGACGTTTGGAAGATCTTCCCACCACCTGAGATAGTCAATAATTGGAAAGTCGGAAAACACATATCGATTATATTCACATACTGTTTCAGGGAATGCTCTTCACTTTGTAAACAAGCCCTCACCTCCGCATCTGTGTGCGGCTTCGTCGGGTCATAGATGTGGATGAGAATTTCATTAAAAATGATAGAAAGCCGACACATCCATCTAAAGCAAGTGACAGAGTGCGCCATAGTTGGTGGGTATTCTGAGCCTTCAGGATACACGACCCCATGAGGGGACCAGAGTTCATTCTCTGCAGAATCGTCCACTAAGGAGACGTGGTACATTAGCAATCCTTATGATTCTCGCAAAAGCTCTCAGGAAATGTCTTCAAGCACCTGGCCTAGCATTTTCTTGCGAAGGAATATACTGACATGTTATCTGGTCGGGGCTGATGCCCGAATGCTGCAGCATCGGGGTTCTACCCAAGTATAAACTGACCATCTTGTCCCAGAAATAACAACTCCAGAAAAGGCGCTGTCGGATTTCGACGTCCTCATCCTCAAGGTTTAGTTCTAACTGGCTCCTACCAGTATTGAACGTGATCCCCATATCCTCAATCAGTCGGATAGCCATTCCGGTGTATAGCCAGGCTTGTGTTCGGTTTCCGGCGCTACATTCTTGCGCGCTCAATAACAAGAGACTTTGTATGGTTGGCACCTTTGGATGGCCGGTCGAAACTTCGGAAAAGACCAGCGAGCGTGCTTGTCTTGAGAAAAGAGCTCCATTATCGTAAGGCTCAAGGAGAAACTGAATTTCTGCGTTATATCTGCACCAACGGGCGGAATGTGAGAGCACGGCATTGAGAAGGGTATGTGAATAATAAGGGCCGAGGATCTCCATATCTCCTATCTTGTGTTATTTAAAACTAATGACACCGATAAGGTCCAACCACGAGTCGTGTATTCAAAACGTACGTGTGAAAGCAGGACGGTAGATGAAGTTGAACAAGGGTTGTATCCAACACCAGTGAATATTGAGCAAGAACTGGAAAGGTTCCTAGCACATAACAAGGTGTCAGCATAGATTACAGGTCCACGGAATGATGTGACACACTGGAGTTTCCAAAAATCGCTCTAAAGCACGCTGTTGCCATGCATTGTTGACCAGCTTCTCTTTCCTTCGGTTTCCCTCATCAAGGGTTTCGAAAGCACCCCCACTTTGCCCCTCAAATGCTTCGTTCAAGTCCGAACTTGGTAGCTGAAAGAAGCTTGTCGCGCCATGATAGGTAATTGCGCCTTTTCTATCGAGTTTCAGCCCCTTTATTGACTTAAAATACCGCTTTGTTGGCGCAGGCGGTAACGCCGCAGCCGTCGACGTGCTTGAGGGAGATTGCTCTGCAGTATCAGACGTAGATCCGTTTTCCTCTGCAATTGAAAGAGCATGCTCTAATGCCTTGACCTTATTTTCAAGCTTCTGGGTATAGGATAATGTGGGTGAAAGCTTGTATTCACAGGTTTCGCTGCGGCGAGTGCAGCGAACGCAAGTGGGTTTATGTCCATCGCACTTTACTTTCCTCTTTCTGCATTGATCGCAGGAGAATGCACTTTTTTTGGTGGCCTTGGCGGAAGACACCGGCATCCTAGGATATTCGAGGTCAAACGAATATGGAGAATTGTTATTATGAGTTGAGGGAAATCTCGCTGGAAAGTGAGATCAGATACTTCCCAAAGCCCACGGCTTACGGTTCCAATTCAAGTACGAAATTTCCGTCAAGCGTGTTCGACGATCAAGAAATCTTCGAAGCCGTAACTTGTCAGTTCACGAAATATATGTAGGAGGAAGGCAGCAAATGGAATTCTCGGAAGACGTCCGAAGCAGTACACCATCACGTGGGATTAAACGGTAGTCAACGAAGTCAATTCCATTCCAACTGATTGGTTGAATGCAACCCCGCATTTCTTTGTCAAATTTGTTCTCTCATGTTTATCCAAAATCCCTGCATATATTGACGATCAATCTAGTACTCAAAAGCTAAGAAGCTCAGCGATAGATTTCGATTCTCATTCTACGCGACGGGGATACTAGGTTTGAATAAAACTGAGAACAAGTAAAAGATCAATCAATAACTCGGAGCAAGTAATTAACATGGGCAATTAAGCGATTAAAAATCAGACATCAGACAGAACATTAGAAATATCGCAACGGGCTTCCGGCTCAGTCAAGATTCTCATCAGACATACCGTCATCTAACAGTCGTGAGTGTTGTAATGAAGTCCACCGGCATTAAAGATAAGTGGCGCAAAATCCCAAATCACGGAAAAAGCTCACTTCTTAGGCGGAGGCACCAAGCTTCCGAAGAAGATCCAGGGATGGGGTGAAAAAGTAATCACCGCCTTGAGCTTCGATCCAGGGATCGAAAGTGATTCTCTTGTGCTCCTTGTCGTGATCATCGTAGACCATGATGTGCAGGAGCTTGTCATCCTCATCGATGGGGTTTTTGAGCGACTGGCCAATAAGGGCATCCTGCCCAGGTGGATACTTGCCACCAGTGAACTTCTTTTTGCCGGCCGGAAAAGTGTCGGGGTTGATCCAGCCTAAGAGGAGGAAGTCAGTGGCATCATCAATCGTCCCAAAGTGAGGCACAACTTACGGTTCTTAATGAACTGGAAGCCGTTGGAAAGACTGGTTTGGTAGCACACAAACAAAAGACCGCGGTCTTTTTGGGACTTGGTACCTTTCTTCTCATCCACATCCATTTCCTCTCCATAGGGGATACCGCGGCGCATAATGTCGAACTTATCATCGTTGTCGATGACGGATCGGGGCTTGGTCTTGCGCATATGGGAGGCGAATGGGCAGTTGAACTGGTCTTGCGTGGGGTATTCAATATTGTTCCATGTTGCGAGCTCCTTTTTCTTTGCTGGGTCGGTTTCCTTCGCGACGGGGTCCTCCCAGGGATGGAGCTGAACAGGCGCTCCTAAAACTTTGATTAGCGCCTAGTCTGGGCAATGCTGTAGCGACTTTTAGCCTACCGCTCTTCCAGCGTCCAACGATGCGAGCGCCAAGCTGGTCCGCGGTGAGGTGGAGCTTTGGAGCCTCTGCTTCCAGGAACCTGCAGCGGCGGAAATTAGATCATAGCTTCTAATTTTCAATAGGATAGATACCTGTCAAATTCCGGCACGAGTTGTTTGATCTTGCGGAAAACCATGATACTGCCGTCCTTGGCCCACGGTGGATGCATTAACCGAGGTTCATTGTCCATCTCTCCATCGTGTCCGAATAGGATAATTCTGGCATACGTCAGTCGTCTGGAAGTAAGCTTTAGTATTCTTATTTACCCAGGACGAGTTCGTTGCGGGATGGCTCCTGGCTTCGCTGCAGCTTCGTCATCCAGGCCCTTGAGGAGTGGCTGCGAAACGCCGTCCAAGTATCCGAAGCTGCAGCAGGTCAGTCAAATCTTTCCTAATACCAGTATCAAGTTGCTTACTGCTCATGTCCTTCGGCGCCGCATCTTTCTTTACCCTCGATTGTCGTGACAATGCTCTTCTGACCCAGGTAACTTTCAACCAGATGTTTCGCTTTTTCCTCAACTTCGTGTTTGGTGCCAGCTATATGAATCACTCCATCAACTGAGTCGCTTTTGAATGCAGAAAGCCATTGCTCTTCACGATCTCTGCCTTCGCCATGGAGATCTGCGTACATGCCCTTGAGAAACGGGTCATCTTTGAAGAGCAGGTCTTTGTTCAACTAAAGCATAGGACGTTAAGACTTGGCTGGAATCAGGAAGGCAAAGAAGTCATATTTTACCTTAGCCATGCCCTTGTTGGTGAAGGCAATGTTTGACCTGGCCAGGGCAATATCACTCGATCCTTGAGCCCTTTGGATGTGATCATGCTCCGGTAGAAGATCGTGGATGGATTTGATCGTTGTCTCGGTCAAGGAGAGAAAGCTCCCAACTATACCCGGCTTGCTTGGTTTTCCCTTCTGAGCCTGAGCGACCTTGCTGATGGCCACACGATCCTTCAGGGCGTCATTGGCAGTGGTAATCACTTCATCATCCACCAGCCTTTTCAGCATGGGTTTGAAAGTAGTTGCGTTGTCGATGGTGAAGAAAATGAATTTCTGGTATCTCTTCAACAAGCCAGGCCTAAATAATAGTTAACGCTAATATCCTAGGCACTTTGCAGATTCTAAAGCTAACCAGATGTCACCCTGGATGTTGTCCAGATCGAAGCTGGCAGCCGTGGACCCCATTTCTTTGCTCGTGATGATTTCTTGAATATGAATTCTGGCTCCGAAAAGTTGCAAATCCAAACTGGCTGGAATAATTAAAGGGAACGTGCACTTTATAGCTTCAATTTCTTTTGAAAGAAACCCGCAAGCAGCGTCCATATATATAGTCAACCAAGGAACGCTCAACTATGATATATTGCCAAGTAATTGAATTGACACTGATTGATGTAACAATGCCAAGTGGAGGCGCCCATACAAAGTTCTAGTCAACTTCGATTGCTTCTGTTTGCGGAAGAAATGAGCAGTAGGTGCACTGATAAGTTGCAGATGGTTTCTGATACACCTCATCTAACGACCAATTTGAGAGGAAGAAACGCTAAAATACAAATTATTAAGGAGACTACGTTATAAAGTCGTAAACTCAAACATGAGGGCTCACACAAGAAGGCTAATGACAGTCTAGTCCCTGTGTAATAGATATGGGGTAGAGTCCGACCGCTTTGAGCCTCGGGTTGCGGAGAGCAAATTCCAGGTCATGAGCCTCATTGTATCATTGATTCCCTTGAGTGGTTCGTAAGAAGCTGTACTGCTTTGAAGGTGGCCGATCTGTTCTATGGAGCAAATAAGATATTTTGAGCAGATCATGAAAACTACTGGTGTTAGTATCTCAGGGGTCAATGACAATAGCCAGGCTTGAGAGATACTTTAAAGGTATCCCTTGCGACTAGGGTAACAGAAGCGGGCATATGAACCAAAGATAACCACCAGCCACTTGCAAGAATGGCTCGGGCCGTGGATTTGCCTGCATCACCACTCAAATCATTGGAAATTACATTGAGAAATAAACGTGTACGTACATGATTGACTTGTCCGGTACATCCAGGGTTAGGTAGAGTCTTGGCCATGTAGCATTCTTCTGGGTTCATCTCTTCGATCTGATGCAGCCCCGTGGCTGTAAATTATGCCGACAAAAATACTCATCCTTTATTTGACAGGCAGTCTGGCCGAACAAGAAGGTTGACGAACTCCTTGGTAAAAACGGACATTATACTGGGAGAAAGCAGGTAGGCAAACACAACGATGCGATAGTGCAAGTCATTCCTTCAAAAACCATTGTATTACATTGTTAAATTACCCAAAGACCGATAAGATGGTGCGTATTGCAAATATCGACTACTATCCAAACGACTGGAGCCGATGGAATCTGGTGGCATTCAGCTCCACCTCCACCTCCGCATTAGGGCTTGCTTTTCCTCATAGTCCGCATAGGCCAGAAACGCGAGCGACATGTAGACTGCCTACGATGGTACGGTAACAGTCCATACCGAGGGTTGTTTGAGCGACTGATTGCCTAGTTTGGCTTTTGGGTTTCCGTAGAACGTGGAAGGCGGACCTAACCCTAACTTAATGTAGGCCCCACATTTTATGCTCCCACTTCCGGGCGTTGCACCAGCGCCCTTCGCGTCGGGCCGCGGACCTTAACTGATGGCAGTGGAGCGCATTCCTTGATTTAGCCAATACACCACTGGATATTGTCAATCCCTGTCCACTGCCAGTACATTTTTGCTCTTAGGTATTTCTCCCCTGAGGATATTCTTTCCCTGATTTTGACCGCATTCCGAGTTCGACACACTCAAGCTCGAAAATTCCGTGGACATGAAGCGATTAGCAACCAATGTGTGAGTGTGTAGAAGCTCTTTCTGGGAATGCCTGGAGCAAGCATCCCTTCTCTTTGTGACCTTCATCTGTCCAATCAGTTAGTGACAAGCGTGGAAATATTCTTCAGGTATATTCTGGGCCCTGATCGTCTGCCACCCATGTCTGCATTCCTCTTTCTGCAGGAGACATTGGTACCTGCCCTTGCATAATTCGTTATGCTCCAGGCATAGCCCGGCAATGCTTGTTGTTGCCATCGGATCTTTGTAGAGCTTCATGCCCCTGGCCAAAGAGTGGCTTAAAAACATGAGTTTCTCCGCTGTGAAGATGAGACCATCATTTTCAAACGCCAGATTGAGGGCATTTCTGTTTGGCATATAAGACACTGAATCTCAAAATGAAGCCTGATTGGCGGGTGGCGCTACTTTTCCTAGGCACCGTAAGGGCTGCCCGGGAAATGTCCGAGCTTGAGGCGCTTTACCAAGAAGGAACAACCCCGGATACGACTGACGTTGATGGAACCAAGGTCGCAACACTCTCACAACCGTTGCCACAAGGCAAGCCCATCCCCCGCGACACCTGGCAAGTCGACTGTACCTCTGAGGCTGATGGCCACACCTGCAAGCAGTCCTTCGATGGCAACAACAGTACCTATTGGCAAAGCCTCAACACAACCACTGCTCAAAACATCACCATCAACTTGGGCAAAGCAGACTGGAACATCAGTGGTTTGACTGTGGTCCCCAGGCAAGATCAGCAGGCGGCACTCATCGAGGAGCACCAAATCTTTGTTAGTACCAATAAAGAGGACTGGACCCTGGTCGCATACGGAACCTGGTGGCCGGACAAAAGCCAGAAACTGTCAGCTTTCCAACCACAAAAGGCCCAATACCTTCGCCTCTCTGCCTCTGCTCCGAACGGCATTGCTATTCAGGATATCAAGATCTACAACTCCGTCTACATCCAAGCGAACCCCGCCCTCGGCGCATGGGGCCCTACAATCGACCTTCCCCTGGTTCCTGTCAGCGGTGCTGTTGACGTACAGACTGGGGAGGTTGTCGGCTGGTCTTCTTGGGGCTACAATATCTTCGTCGAAGGCAAATCAGGCAAGACCCAAACCACAACCTGGAACGGCGGAAAGCAGTCAGTGACGCGCCGCACAGTTGATGAAACTGAGCATGACATGTTCTGCCCGGGTATCTCGATTGATCAAGATGGAAAGGTTATCGTGACTGGCGGCGTTGACGCGGGACAGACCAGCATTTACAATACCAGCAATCACGAATGGTACGAGGGAGGAATGATGAATACCTTCCGCGGCTACCAAGCGACTACCACCTTGTCCGATGGACGCATCTTCGTGATCGGGGGATCATGGAATGGAGGTGTTGGCCTCAAGAATGGCGAGGTCTACAATCCTGAGACCAACGCCTGGGAAAAGATCAATGGTGCGCAGGCATCAAAGATGCTCACCGACGACCAACGGACATACCGACAGGACAACCACGCTTGGCTTTTTGGTTGGACTGGTGGATCTGTTTTCCAGGCCGGTCCCAGTGAGATGATGAACTGGTTCGGCACGTCAGGCTCTGGCACTACTGCCCCTGCCGGCAACCGGACTGGTGACAAGGATGCCATGTGTGGAAATGCTGTCATGTACGAGCAGGGCAAAATCCTTGGATTTGGTGGCTCTCCAGACTACGAGAACAGCGAGGCCACCAAGTATGCCGCCATCATTGAAATTGGCAAAGTCAATGAAACTGCCAAAGTCACTCAAAATGCCGGTGATGGTATGCAGTACAAGCGAACCTTCCACTCGTCCGTTGTCCTTCCGGATGGCACGGTGTTTGTCCACGGTGGCCAGGTGGTCGGCCTTCCATTCAAAGAAGATCAAGCCCAGATGACCCCAGAGCTGTTTACACCCGATCCTTCCAACTCCAGTGGAGGCAAGTGGACACCTCTTCTGACGAATACCATCGTTCGTGTTTACCACAGCATCGCCCTGTTACTGCAAGATGGTACCGTCTTCACTGGCGGTGGCGGTCTCTGTGGAGATTGTGAAGCCAATCACTTTGATGGTCAAATATACACACCAGCCTACCTCCTAAAGGAAGATGGATCCCCTCGCACTCGTCCCACGATCAACACTGTATCATCGGGTCCTGTTAAGGCCGGCGATACTGTTGAACTCACCACTGATAGCGATATCAAGTCTGCGTCGATTATCCGATATGGTTCCACCACGCACACAGTGAATACCGATCAACGTCGCATCGCCGTCGATTTGAAAAAGGCCGATGGTGATGGCAACAAGTACACCTTCCTAATCCCCGGTGAGGCTGGTGTCGCTCTACCTGGGTACTATATGCTTTTCGTTCTGAATGGTGATGGAACCCCCAGCCACTCAAAGAACGTCCATGTAGTTGCTTAAAGGAAAGACGACTTTTGGCTTAACCTTGGTATGAATGGAATGAGGGTTATCGTTATTTTGGCCTGGAGGAACCACATTATTGTAAGCGCAGTCATCAAGCCCGCTACGTCGGACTTTGGTGGTTCGCTGGATTTCGGCCAGCAGAAATTCCAGAACAAGTGAACCAGCCAAGGTCTTTGTCTATTGCCTGTAGAGATTATTTGAGAAGGACAAGCATGCGTTCAGCGCCATCTTTCATCATGTGTTTTAAGACAAGATCAAATAGCATGCAAACTTCCCAATAGCATCACCACAGATATAGGAATCATCTGTTAAACATATTGAACCATGGCCACTGCTGAAAATGTGACGTGAGCTAGAAGGCCAATCTATATTTCACGTCATTATTATCTTGATCTAATACATTATTGAGCAATATCTAGAAGCTTTATACAATCTTAGCTACACACCTCCATGGGGAGTTGGAACAAACCTGGCTTAGGCCCATCCATAAGATTGACGTGGTAAAGCCGCAGAGGGGAAGACGCGTTGGAAGTAGCCAAGTCTAATCGGCGAGTGTATAGCTATAACGTCTACATAGCCTGATCAGCGCGTTTTACGCGTTATTCAGGAGAAAAGGCGGTTTTTTTCTTCTTTTTTTTTCTACTCCATTTCCTTACTCCCCCAACATGTAACCTGTAAGAGATCTTGCTCTGCGACTTGCAAGATATTAAAAACCGACAGCCCAGACAGACAACGGAGTTACGTATGATTTTGGCACTATGAAAGAGTTTGTCTGTTATTTCATATTCTGTAGTGTACACAGTCGTGGGAGACGTACCTGGCAGCTTCAAAGTACAGATGAACTGGCACCCTGCCATAAGCATCAGTTATAACTATTATTAGTATAGATTCTGTGTTTGTTAAAGACTTATAACACAGCACCCGCGCTGTAAATATCAAATGCGTCAGTCAAGGTCTAGTATATTTGAAGAAGAATGCTTACAGCGTAACAGTCGTCTCCCCTAATACAGACACCTCCAGTGTTCAGGTTCTTCCTTTCTGGCCCTCATTCAGCTGGTCGAGGTTGACTTGACCGGGAGCTGGGGCCTGAGCGACCATCGACCATAGTGGCCTCGAAGAGAAAGACGGGAGCGAGGATACACAGCTGCACTTTGGATGAAATAAGATGATTGAATAGTTTCCGGTTTTTGTGTTTGTTTTTAAATAAATAGGATAAAGAAAGTGGTTTGAACCTTCTTACTGTAGTGAGATTTAAACCATATTTATACCCTGATCCCAATAGATTACAATATACAAGAAGGAAATGGAAAGCATGAGCCAGATAATATGTTATTAAGGGGAGAATATCCCAATGCGCTGTTAGCATGATCTACGGCACTTCTATCCTGTTATAAAGCCGCAACATGCCACTACTGATCAATTGTTACACAGCATTGTTTTACATGTTCAAGGCATACCCACCGAATCCGGATACATTCCTTAAAGGCATTCTTCGTCCCTGACCTAAATTCTGTGGTGAATGACAGGTCATATTCCGACGGTAATGCTTAGCTTTAATTTAATTAAGGATTTGATTGACATTCACTCAATAGATGCGACTAATTAGTATAAAGGAAGTAGTTTTATTGGGGTAGCAGCCGAGAAAGGAAAGCCCCACCTGGCAGACAATATTTAGTCTGTATAGCTGCATATAGACAGGAAGACAGATTGATGTTTGGCAAGGCTTGGCTTTCCCTTGCCGCTTTTTACTCACTGAGCAATCCGATCCCAGTCACTGAGTGCGGCCTGACCGCTCTGACTTGCTCTACACAGCACCTGTCGAGGATGAGAATTGGCGAGCCAATCAACCGAAAGGAGATGAGACGTGATCGATGCCAGACAAATTGCAGAGGAGACATTCGCTCTTTTCTATACCCTGCCCAGCGCTCTGCTCCATTATTAGCTTTGTGGTTGTCGGCGTGTTGGTATACCGCACGAGTTTAACATCCCTCTGCGGCTTATGGTTCAAGAAATTATCTTGATCATAAAGAAACTCACAGCGTAATGCCTGGTGCTCGAATTGGTGGTTTTCAGGCTGGCGGAGCTCCCCACAGGCTTCGAAATTTCATCTCGCTGGGAGAGATCCGGTGGGCGTTTGAGATCTCGGTTGGATCAAAGTACACCCACTTTCAAAGTTAACAGTTAAGTTATATTCAGCGGAACAAATTGGATATCGCTTCTTTAATCGCTAAAATGAACGCCTTTTCTACTCCTTGCCGCCGAGAAAGCGAATAATCATCCCTCCCCTGCTAGATGTCTTGGCTCAACAAGTGCCGAGATTATCCGAAGGCTCGACCCTTCTGTTCTCCATGCCAAGCGCATCAACCAGAGATTACGTTTGAAGGCAACCCGAGAATAAGCCGATGTATCAACAAACCTCAAAGACAATAATATCCCGCATAATACTGTCTCAGCTTGGCAATATCGTGTTATCATGGTTCCAAGACACCCGGCACATCTGGCACGCAGCCACAAGAGAACGCAAAGTTAATTAAGCAGGGGATCAAGCCAAAGATATAGCCTGTTGGCGGAGTTTACTTCCCCATTCACAGACATGTCCTGTCCGTATGCCGTTTTATTCGAAGTGGCTGCCAGCCAAGCACGGATTACGAGGCTGTGCTCTCTTGGAAGCTGGAAATCGACCAGTCGTCGGCCATCCAGATTTCAAGAGCTCTTGGTTTTCTTGTCTTTCAACCTTCGACTCGGGGTTTCTCCTCCTTCTTGGAGACCTATTTCACCTGGCATAGGACCAGAATGCCGACTCGTTGTGCTTGCTAATGCTGGGCATGGCAAGACTGGGCCTGTACATGCCGTTCATTGGGTCTCCGTTGTCTGGTTTAGCTCTTGAGTTAAACTCAGTTAGTCTGATCTAATGGGGCCCACATTGGCAGGATGCGGGGTGACATGTCCGGGGCAAGCCAGCTTTCCCCGCGATATGCTGTGAAGCTACCAGGACCACCACAGAGGCGAAATCATATAAAATCACCTGCCAGGTCGGAAAAGATGAAGGAACAATTCAAGTTGCAGTCGCACTGCATCCTACTGTCAGTCTCCCTCTGCAAACAATATCGGCGCCATGACTGGAGACAAGATCTCCCCGGAGATTGATGACGAAAAGCCCGGTGTCTTGCACCGTGAAGACACCATCGACCAAGAGAAGCAGAAGCAGCTGAAGGATGTCGACTACTCTGGCGCGACCAAAAAGACCGATCCTGCTGAGATTCGTTTGGTCCGCAAGCTCGACATGTGGATTATGCCCACTTTATGGCTGATGTACTGGCTGAACTACCTCGATCGTAATGCCATCGCTCTGGCACGGTTGAATGACCTTGAGGACGATCTGAACCTCTCTTCATCCCAGTACCAGACCTGTGTTTCCATTCTCTTTGTCGGCTATATCGCTGGGCAGGTTCCTAGCAGTGAGTCTATCTGTCTGCAAACGCCTGACATTGTCTAACCACTAACGATATAATAGACATGTTGATCACGCGACTACGGCCTTCATACTACATGGCCAGTGCCATGGCCGCATGGGCTGTTGTTAGTGCGTTGACTGCGTTAGCTAAGGACTTCACCGGCCTTCTACTAGTTCGCTTCTTCCTCGGCGTCACAGAAACACCATACTACCCTGGTGCTCTCTACATGCTGTCGATCTTCTACACACGCAAGGAGATCGCGACCCGCATTTCCATACTCTACACCGGCAACATTCTCGCTACAGCTTTCGCTGGCCTTATTGCTGCCGGTATCTTCCACGGCATGGATGACCTCGCTGGCATCAGCGGCTGGCAGTGGCTCTTCATTCTCCAGGGTGCCGTAACCTTTGTCGTAGCCGTCTGCTCCGTCTTCGTGCTACCAGACGACCCTCTCCACACCCGCTGGCTGACCGAAGAAGAACGGCAGCTCGCCCACGAGCGCATCCTTGCTGACACCGTCGGAGCCCGCCACCAAACCAGCACATTCAGTGGTGTCAAAGAAGCCGCAAAGGATCCCCGAGTCTGGCTATTCGCATTCATGCAGCACATGCATCTCGCAGCTAATGGCTTCAAGAACTTCTTTCCAACAGCTGTTGAAACACTCGGCTTCAATACTACAATCACTCTAGTCCTCACATGCCCGCCTTATCTCATTGCCGGTATTATATCTGTATACTGGTCCTGGAATTCTGGCCGCATGAACGAGCGAACATGGCATATCACCTTTGCGAAGGCGGTTGCGATCTTCGGGTTCGTCCTTGGATGTGCGACTCTGAATACCGGTGCGAGGTATTTTGCCATGTGTGTCTTTGCGATTGGTACTTATGCTGGTATGTTACAATGCAGGCTAATTTCTTACTTTGTCTCTGATTACTGATTTGCCGGAATAGTCAACTCAATCATCCTCGGTTGGGTCTCGAGTACGTGCGGTCAAACAAAGGAGAAGAAAGCTTCAGCTCTGGCTATCGTCAACACCTGTGCTAATATCTCGTTTATCTGGACTCCGGTATGTCTCCCCTTTCCTTCCCTTTTCATCCTTCGAAAAGGAGAGTTGGTCCTAACTGTGAGCAGTACCTCTGGCCATCCTCCGACGAGCCACGCTACACAATCGCCATGGCATCCAGCGCCGCATTCTCGATTACCTGCGCGGCTTGTGCCTGGGCCATGAGGATCTGGCTGCAACGCGCCAACCGCAAGATCCGCCAGAATAATGATGAGACGAGTCTTTATTATGCTTACTAGGTCGAACCTGTGGGTAGCTCTACTTGAAGAAGTTTATTACATCTCATCATATCGCTCATCGTCACCGACAGACGGCTGGACAGACAGGGAGACAGATGATGAAGGGTAGCTAGGGGTTGGATAAATCTGAGGTCGAGTATTTGCTTGGATGGTAGAAGAATATATGGCTTCATCAGAGGACGGACTAGAATTCCTATCGACGTGCGCCACTTTCTCCTTTTTCTTACGTACTAGGCTCTTTCTGGGCGTCATGCTTCATTGGGAAGTCTTTATCAGGTGGGCATGATGCTGAGCCTGCTAGTTATGTATGCGGGGGACGTGCCACCCGTCGTATTATATATTAAATGAGTTCATATTATTTCAGACCATTTGAGCCTGTCAGTTACTCTATTTGTTTCAACCCGGAACTTGGCATCCTTGATTATATATCGGGAAATAATGGTAGAATAGTAGAAAGTAGATATCGGTATACTAACTGGTTGCAACTTCCTGCTCAACGGTGAGAGGGGCCACGATGCTCACTCATATTCAAGAAACCTCAGCAACAATGCGGTGAATGTTCTAGGGTCTTGTAGAAATCTGATAAGGACGTAAGCATGTAAGCCATTCTCTCATACGAAACGTACTTACGCGAAGTGGCTGACGCTGGGTAAAAGGGCCAACCCCGAACCAGGGATCTGAGACAAAGATCTGATCAGTACGATGACATCTCCAAGGCCCCTACGTTTTGTGATTTCTTACCCAGTCACGAAGGACGGCAGGTACGGTCCGATTCACCACTTCTTCGTTGTCTCCATCCACGATCCATACCAGAGGAGCCGGTTGGTCTCCATATAGTGTCGGTATCCGGCCAAACGATTCTTGATCCCAGACTGGCAGGGTAGACCACATTTCGTTCATCTTGTCGGACAGTTCCGGCCAGCGTTTCGGATTTGGATTGAGTCGCTTATACTCCTGCTCCGTGCGCTTGAGATATTCGATGAAAATTGGGTTAGTCTCGACCGTCGTGTTTCCGTTGGAGAAATCGTAGCTTCCGCCAAAGGAGAATAATCGATCCAGACGGGAGGAGTGGTTCATGGCGATGTCAAAGCCAATGATCGCGCCGTCCGACCAGCCAACCAAGGCGACTTTGGGGATCTGAAAATGATCCAGTATCGCGAGGACATCGCGCGCCATCCGATCGTATGTGATCGGCCCCGATCCGTCCGTGGACCGCCCCTGGCCTCGAGAATCGATCGCCATCAGAGTGAAGGGCAAGTCGAGGAGTGCCCTGATCTGATGGCCAAAATAATCGGAGTTGGCGAAACCACCGTGCAGGAACAACACCGGTATCTGCCCGCAATTCAGTGGGTGGGAGAGCTGTTGCCCGTAGAAACTGTACCAAATGGCCGCCTCATTGTCGACGTAAACGTAGCCGGTCTCGATCGCCGTTGGCAGGGAGGGAGTATCCGGCAGGGTCGCCCATGGGGGGACATACGGTTTCGTGAGAAGTTCAGGGTCTGCAGACTGATCTCCCACGCAAATGCCGAGCAAAAAGGCAAGGACGCCGATCCGAAAAATCCGCATTTTCGGGGTCAGATACTTGCCACAATATCGTAGATTAGAAAAGATTAAGCCAAAGGATTCTGTTAGGTTTGCGGTGGCTTCCTAACCCTTACATTATCAGTACTTGAGACGTGCGCTTCGCACGCTGTGGCCTGAAACAAAACCGAGTGGAAAATGATGCCGAGTTGAGAGATAAATAGGAAAAAATTCGAGCGCTTGGTTTGGTTCTCGCTGTTTTGGCATCTTTGTCGCTCAGAGAAAAAGGACCAAAAATGCACCATGGGCAACATTCTCAGTCTATTCCGTCATTTTCCAACTCGACAATCTTTTTACTGAGGTTCGATCATAAATACATAACTTACCGAATCTTACTGAACTGAGTTTGAAGGGAAACAATCCAATCAAATAATTACTCTGAGTTTCACCACAAACAGAGTTTGATCTCTCGAGATGAATGGCTTGTGGTCTAACACAAGGCGAGCGTTTCCGAGATCACTCATGGAAATTACATCTATAACATAAAAATGAGTCTGAGGATAAGAGAATTGATGTACCGACGTTCTATGACATCATCTGTGAGATGATTGACATTCTAGCCGATGTTCTATGAACGTTAACATCGTCTAGAACATCAATGTCATACTCTGTATAGATGGATCTGTCTGATCTCAGCATGACCAGCCCATAGGAATAAAACCTTTTCATGGCTGTTTCCGGTGCAGCAAGGTTATGACTTCCGCTTGCATCAGTCCAGCTGGAGGTTCAGCTAACAAATCGGCCACATGAGTATCTCGATTAGTTCAGTCGTGTGAACTTTTCTCGCAATTACCTTGGGGCCTAGGCTCAGGAAATGGAACCCTGGGTGAGATACGGGAAGAATGGGTATAAGAAGGACCCGTTTGTACGGCTAATACATATCATATCCACCTTCCCCAAACATAAACTCAATCAAGCCAGAGTGGTATCCCTACAGGCTTAAGTCAATCAATTTGTCAGCATTACCTCAATCGCCTCAAAGAACAATGGCTGGTCCTCGCGTTCGTCACAACTTTCGGGACCTCCAAGATGAATATGACAAAGGCAACAAGAAGCCCTTGGAGACCCTGATCCGCGCCTTCAAAGGGATTCAAGAGCTCCCTCCCCATGATCACAATTCCTTCTTCTTCCTTGCTGGCTTGCACGGGGAGCCCTTCCGCGGTGCCGGCTGGGGAAACGCCAGCTGGTGGGGAGGATACTGCAATCATGGAAATGTATTGTTTCCTACGTGGCATCGGGCCTATTGTTTCGCCCTTGAATCAGCTCTTCAAAGCATTCCTGGCTGTGAGGATGTCACTTTGCCATACTGGAACGAAATCGAAGAAAATACCCTGGAACGCGGGATTCCCGAGACCTTCCTTAAAAAGAAATGGACATTTGAGGATGGTGGCGTGATCGATAACCCACTGTACTCCTACACGTTCCAAAAGAAAATTACGGATAATCTGAATCCGTTTCCTGATGCAGATTATAGCAAAGGCTATGGGTATAAGACCTGCCGCTACCCTTACTCTGGTCTCGTTGGACCTGCAGATAAAAAGAAAACCGAGGAGCACAACGCAAAGATTAACGCGTTGGGGCATGATAAGGTTAATGAAATCCTCAACGAGAACGTACAATCCTGGCTCCTTCACACAGATGTTGACGGTGTAGAGGGGAGAGGTGGTGTTCTTGAGAAATACTTCAATTGCTTGAAGGCTCCAAACTATACAGTTTTCTCAAACACGACTTCCGCCACTCAATGGAACGAGGACCACTTTAATGTAGGTTTACCTGCACCGGCTACTGTTTCTCCGCATGTGGTTCCCCTCGAGAGCCCTCATAACGATATGCATCTCGCCGTTGGCGGATATGAGATCGGCGACGCCAATTTTGACGGGGAATACCCCGGTGCCAATGGCGACATGGGTGAAAATGACACGGCGGGATTTGATCCCATCTTTTATTTCCATCACTGCTTTATCGATGCCATGTTTTGGCAATGGCAGAAGAAGCATGGGGAAGTAAAGCAGCTCCATATCATCCCTCAGTATCCCGGGACCAACAGTGTTGACAATCAAGGTCCCACCCCGGGAACACCTGGGGGTGCGTGGTTGAATTTGCATACGCCGTTAGACCCATTCAAGTTTCCTGGCACAAACAAGCCCATGACATCGAAGGTAAGATAATAAAGACCAGCCGAAGCAGAGCACGCTGATTCTAAAACCTTTTTTCAGGATGTGATCGACATCGAGAACCAACTTGGCTATACCTACTCGCCTATTAAAGGTCTTTCCCACAGTCTTGCTGATGCACCGGCTACAGCCTATGTAGTTCGTATCTCAGGTGTTAACCGTGGAATTATTCCCGGTTCATTCATACTGTCAACCTGGACGACTGAAAACGGTAAAGAAAGACTGATTGGTTTCCATTCTACGCTCAGTAGATGGCATGCGCAGGGCTGCGCGAATTGCCAGAGTCATCTGCTTGTCACAGCTTTTGTGCCGCTGTACGGACTGAGCAAGGACCAAGCAAGTCAGGTAAAGGTCAAATTGCACACCAGAGATAATCGCAAGGGAAGCACAGGTCTGAAGGGACAGAAACCGATTCACCATGTTGTGGGCCATCTTTTAGGAAATGATTGAGCGGCTTTTAGTTGTTTAATGGGTTATTTTCATTTACCAAGCTGTGGCCAGATTGTGAGATAAGTCAAATTGAATATAATTAGGGTTGGTAGAATTTTTAGGGCTACTAAGCTTTGTCATGGCACTATTATATTACTAACTATAATATCTTTTTACAGGTTCTCTGTAATGGGTCAGGTCCCGATATATGGCCCTATACTCTAGGACGTGATGCACCCAGCCCTCAGTGCATGTACTCCGCCCCGGATTGGTTGAGTCGGCCGGCCCGACCCGACCCCACCTCCCATCTTCTCTCAGACAAACACTGTGTGGATGTGGCGAGGGTGCTCTACGAGACGCTGCGGGATGAAGGGATGACGGACGTAGCGGTTTGCCGAGGACTGCACCGAGCTCTGCGAGAGTTGCGCGCTGGCCACATTGACACGGGGCAGGACACAAGGAAGGCCTTTCATCTGGATTTGGGGACTTCCGAAAAGGGGCTTCTGAAGACTCACTGGATTCCCTACGTCCACTTCGGTGTTTAGATTATGGCAGCGGCGAACACGGGTTGGCTCGACTGTTTGTAGAGAGAATCACTTTATAAGTTTTTTTTTTTTTTTTTTTCAAGGAATATAATGGAAATTGAATAGGGTATCTGGAAGGCTTACTGGAAAGCTTACTGTGTTAAAACGCTGGTTGCTGAGCATTCTTTGATCGGGATAAAACAATTCAACAGGGGCTCTTGAATGAGCCAGCTTATTCTAGATCGCTGCCCTTTCGAGGTTAAGTTACAGGCCCAGCAGTGGGGGCCTGGGAGAAGAGAAAGCAGTCGGGAGGGTAGAAGCCGTTTTCGCTATCGACTGTATCCGGTCTGGTCCGTCTTCGCTGTTCTCGCTAGCTGCCGAAATACCCACCAGATAATTGCCACGGTGGAGCCGTATCAGCACCAGCAGAGCCCCTAGACCTGCGGCTACTCCCGCGAGACATATCGCTTTCCCTAACCGCAGTGATGAGTACCAACGATTTTCGAATCGATGTTCGAATATGGAAGCTTCTTGCTTGGGCATGACACTCACGTTGTTTTGATTTTTGCTCAGTGAGCGAGGAGTGAAAGAAAAACAAACTCAGCCCCACGGTCGCAGGAGGAGGGATTGGGTATACACGACCATATGACACACGAGCAGAGGATAGGGTATGTTTGTTCACCTTTGCTTTTAGCAATGAACATTATCATCAGTCCATTCCTTCTTATCTTCAAAATGTCCAAAAGAATATCGTCGGGTCTTCATTGCCCAGGTAGATAACCAGCATTCTTTGATAATCATAGAGTGAGAGCTAAGCCCCGAGAAAGAATTCTGCTTGGCATTCTTGAGCCTCAGCCTCAATTCTGCTGCTGTAAGTAGCCAGACATATTCATCAAAGCTACCTTCTTATTACAACAGAGGAATGGGACGGTTACATGAAGGTCTGGATGTTTCTATTTAGCATACAGTGTGACCGTACCTACAGCACGAAGGCACAACTATAATTTGGCTGGACTTAGTGCCGCCAGGAGTAAGGAGGAGCTTCGTATTAACTAGGAGAACCCCTGGAGTCATATAACAGTTCAGCTACAAGTAAATTTCCGGCATCTTATGTTATAATATTGAGTCATGGTGTACTAGAGAGTGGGGGTTTTGGCCTACATATATAAATAATAAATTCTCTCAAGTCTCGCATTTTATTTCCCTTGTTGATAAGCCTCCAGGCTTTCGCATGCAGCCTGGTTAATATTCCGCGTGACACATCACCTTGGCGCCTAACTAGCGAGTCTTTATAGACATGTCATGATGCTCATGAAGCTAATCAATATCGGTTCTTGAAGACAACTTCAAAAGCGGTCGCATCAGACTCTCATCTGATTTTGCTATTTTCCAGTTCTCATCATTAATAGACGCAAAGGACGAGCTGAATATCATCCAAGCTTGAGGTTGCCTTTGCCAGGCGATCCGTCCGACTCCTCCAACCAAAACGAGTATCTCAAATGTTGAGTATGAGTTCGGCAACCTGGATGGATCAGACCTCGTCAAAGGTCTTGGCAAGCAAAATTTATTAATTTCGAGTCATTTAAGGTCGACCATCTCGTCCAAAATGAATAAATACTGCTGGAAAAAGCTCTTTGCATGTATGACGCTAGCTACAGCTAGTTTATACCCCCACTTTGGTTTTGGAAAGGGCTTAGAAATACCATTCGATCTCATGCTGTCTCTCTCGGCTACCGAACTTGCGTTGCAAATTAAAGGGTGTTGTCTTCATCGGCTACAGCACTTTGTTGTTTCCCACCGGCATTCTTAAAAAGTCCGCCCAGTTTCATCTTCTCACCAGCAATGAGAGGCAAATCAATCCCTACATACAAGGGTACAAGAGCAGGGTTCTCACAAATGATATATCTCAGTTCAAGAAAATGCGATGTTTCCTAGGCTGGGGTACTCATGCTGACGTCAACCTGGGGACAAAAGAGCTGCCGAAGTCCATCAAATACTCGGGTGGGGCCAATAGGGGAAAGTCATTACAGCTGGATGTATTCAGTACTTTATTTCAAGCAGGTGCTTCTGCTCCTTTTTCGGCCGTTGGAACCGTCCAGGCAAATTCCAGCTATCACGACTATGGACTGAATTTTCCGCCCCATAAACAGTACGAGAAATTGCCCCAAGGCACAGCCCGAGAGGTTGCTCTGGTTTACGACTCCGGTGAACAGAGATGTTGGCTAGTGCCAAAACTAAGCCTACTATTGCATATGAGCCAGGCGTATGCCTCTTATTGCGGCAGCAATCCAACACATGGAGTACCCTATGTCGGGCCTCACTCTGAAGCTACTCTATTAGCGAGACTTCAGTTTTCAACGTGTCACTCAACGTGTCGGATAGGCTTTCACTATATCAGCTTATGTGTGGCCTGAACACCAACCTCCTGAGGACGGTGAGGACGGTGAGGACGGTGAAGCCGAGTGGTAGTCGCAGACTGTATGGGTTTGAATACAGGGAACTTATAGATGAGCCTGGTAGAGGAAGTTGCATGAAGGAGCTTGACTTGGGATTATCCAGCAAAGTATGGATTGAAATTGCAAACACAGCAGATGTCGTTCTTGTTTGTGCGGGTCTCGGGGATGCAATTACGGCTACTGATAAACCAGTCAAATGGAACCAGCAATGTGGCAAAGTCCCTCAGGGCCAGGACTATCTGACGGCAACAACTAGCTGCCTCAAAGCTATTTTTGAGCGTAAAAGTGGGGCCCTGAATAACACACTCGCAGCTCGCCAGCTTAAGATATCCGATGAATGGCGTTGGAATGTCTTCGAGAGCCCTTTCCTCTTCTGTTCTCATCATGGCAGTCACGGCTCCGGAGATTGTTGGAAAAATACTCGAATGATTCAGCATCTTGATCCACAGCCATCTCTTCTGCGCAAGCTACTGGGAATATATGCAAAGCCAGCTTCAACTTCAATAACAATTACCGATTCGGGCGCAGTGGTATTTGGCGCCTTATCAATGGTGCCAAATACATGAGCTAGTATATCAGCCTCCCTCCTTTATCATGATCCATCTACATCTTTCATCATCTTCTTCCTCCCTCAACAAATACGCCTCGAAACATGCGGTGAATGGCCCCTTTGCCAATTACAATAGTTGATTAAGAGAGTCGAACCCCATTCCGACTCGAGTCATGCATGAGCCGTGACGGAGGTGTATATATTAGGAGACGTACTAGTAGGTCAGGTGATAGACCGTATAGTTACTACGACTTGAACAATCACAAATAATTTGCCAACCACCCAAACAAAACTCCTAGTGAGAATCCAGAGATCCTTGCACGGAATAATTTAATAAAAAAGACATGTGAACACTTGAGACTTTCTAGCCGGTGTTATATAATGAACGTGAAGTAGTTGCATGCGGCTATATGCTTCTCCTTCGGCCCGGGCGAACTCCCCGACGCCGACGTCATCTCCTTCCGCTTCTCCGCTTCTTTTCTTTTTCTCCCTCTCCTCCTCTCCTCACCAACTCCAACATCCCTTCTTCACCCTACACACACCGACAATGCTATCGCGCAGCTCCCTCCGAGCTGCCGCCCAAGGCACTCGACAAGCTGGCCTCACTCGTCCAGCCGTCTTCCCCGCGGCCATCAAAGCTCAATGCACCGGCATCTCCGGCCACACCACTACATTGCCCGAGGGCCGCAGACACGTCTCCATGTACGGCTACACACAGGCCAAGGCATTGATCTATTCGAAATATGGCGAACCGAAGGATGTTCTTAGGTATGTGCCCTGCACCAGCTACAGCAGCAGTTACGGCTTTGCTCCCAGTCCATACATACTAACCACATCCTACCTCCTCCAGCCTCCACAAACACTCAATCTCCGCCCCCCACGGCTCCCAAGTAAACCTCCGCCTCCTAAGCGCCCCAATGAACCCAGCAGACGTAAACCAAATCCAAGGCGTCTATCCATCAAAGCCCCCCCTTCGAAACCAGCCTCGGCACAAGCACCCCCGCCGCAGTTGGCGGCAACGAAGGCGCCTTCGAAGTCCTATCCGTCGGAGCAAGTGTTAAAAACCTCGCCGCAGGCGACTGGGTAATCATGAAAAAAACCGGCCAAGGAACCTGGCGCACACACGCCCAACTCGACGAGTCCCAACTCATCAAAATCGAAAACAAAGAAGGATTGACACCGTTGCAAGTCGGTACCGTCTCCGTAAACCCCGTCACAGCTTACCGGATGATTCGCGACTACTGCTCTTGGGACTGGATGCGGGCTGGTGAGGAGTGGCTTATTCAAAACGGGGCCAATTCCGGCGTTGGGAGAGCTGCTATTCAATTCGGTCGGGAATGGGGTGTTAAGACGCTGAATGTTATTCGACAACGTTCTACACCTGAAGAAACTGAGGCCTTGAAGGCTGAACTTAAGGCCCTTGGTGCTACGGTCGTGATTACCGAGGAAGAGATGCTTTCGGGTAATTTCCGGGATATGGTTCATCAGTTTACGCGTCAGGGTAAAGAGCCTATTCGACTGGCGCTTAATTGCGTTGGTGGGAAGAATGCTACTGCGCTTGCGAAGACGTTGGCTCCCGATTCGCATATGGTTACTTATGGTGCTATGTCGAAACAGCCTGTTGCTTTGCCGAGTGGGTTGTTGATTTTTAAGAATCTTTCCTTCGATGGGTTTTGGGTTAGTCGATGGGGGGGATAAGAATCCTGAGCTTAAGGAGAATACTATTAAGGATGTTCTTGAACTTACTCGCTCGGGTAAGTTTCAGGATATTCCTGTTGATAATGTTTCTTGGAGCTGGGATAGTGAGGGTCCTGCGCTTGCGGAGAGTGTTCAGGGGACTTTGGGTGGGTATCGGTCTGGGAAGGGTGTGTTTACTTTTACTGGTGGGGATTAAATGTTTCCATTGGGGTGTATTGCAGAGTTGAGATGAGACAGTGTAACATAATATCCAATTCGATTAGATGAGCAGCTATGCCTACTAGTAGTAGTAGTACTAGGCTCGAACTTGAAGGAAGAATGGATGCTTCAATGTATCAAACAGTAATGGTTGCTAGTGCTTCTAGATGCTGAAATATAACCAAGTGAACGCCAAACTAGAAACTCATCCTCAAATCTATTCTCAATAGGACAAGCATACACCACTTAATTGCATGGCCAGTTCTTCCCCACCCATTCCAAGACCAAATCCGTCAGCGTCGAGCCTGGCATATAACTCTCGCTCTCCTTGGCGAAGTCAAGATCAAGATGTGCAAACTTGGCCGCCAGCGTGAGATACGACTGGAGGAATTCAATGTAAACCAAATCTACTGTCTCAGGCGTAGCCGACGCATTCGCAGACAGTGTCGCTTGGAAGACGTTTGGTACACGATAAAAGGAAATGGGGGAGTGTATCGTGTCATCTCCGTCGTCGCCAGCATCATCTTGGGTTGTGTACCCGGGAACAACCGCACCAGATGGGTTCTCGGCCGACAGGGGAATTTGGCCAGTGCCGGCCATATCTGAGACCAGACCATTCATTCGATGGTTCCGGGCTCGTAAACACACTATCAAGATGGTTGACTTGAGCCGGGGGGCCCAGGGCATCAACGCCATCGAATGTCTCCTCCAATGAGCCTGTCAAAACTTGTGGTTGCTTGTTAAGAACTTCCATAATCAGTTGTACTTTATCGTAAGGAACGTCTTTCACGTATCGAAATTCGTTGGTAAATGGTGAAATGATCCACATGGTATCCTGAGTAAAGGCACCCTTGAAGATGTCGAAGCGAATAGCGCCTGTATTCAGAACGGCTACTGCAGGGCGGCCTCCGTCACCACGAGGTTCATTCTTCAAGGTCTCGGGCAAGACCTCCTTCTCCAGCCAAGTATAGATGCTATCATTATGTGGGTACGGAGCTCGTGACATCCAAAGGTCACGCGGATTACACCCGTGGATCTTATCCAGGTGAAGGGCACTCCGCGAGTCCGTAATGAGTTGGGATACATTTAGACCCTTATCCGTAGGGAAAGAGCTTTCGTCAAGACCTGTATGATGGTAGTAGGAGTAGAGGTTGTTATCAATGTATCGTCGCTTGAAGACGGGCCCGGCGGTGATGCTTGGGTCGTTAGTAGAAGAAAGACCATCGATCGACATAAACCCGATGGTCTCCATGAATCGACCGCTGGCAAGAGCGACAGCCTTTGCATCGTACTGGGCATAATCTCGGATATGCTGATGTCCGCCAAAGAACTGGATCGGAGTGTCCCCGTGGCCCCGGGTGGACCGAATCTCGGTGAAGATAGCCTTATACTCTGGGGAATGGGCGGGGACGTGTCCAGCGACGAGGAAGAGATCGACCTCTTCGTCGCGAATAGCTTCTTGAAACCAATCTTCTTTGATGGTCTCCTCCACGCGCTGCACGACGGTATTATTATAGTTGCCGGTGAAGTCGAAGAGGAAGCCGAAAGCTACGATACGGATTCCCTGTTGTTTGGTAGTAAATTTCTTATATCGGGAGGCCAGCGGGACCAGCTCTTCAGTCTCCGGGTGGATTATATCGATGTTCGAGGCGAGATAGCTACCTCGGAAATTGGGTACGGTGACCTGGAGTTCGGCTTCGGAGGTGTTGTGTTTGTATAGTTCGTGATTTCCCGAAGTCATCACATCGATATGTTGGTGGCGGAGGATCTCCGAGAGGTAAACCCCTTGTGGTTGGGAAGAATCATAGAGGCCATTTCCCTCGACTCGGTCCCCGGTATCGATCACTAGTAAGTCCCGACCTTGAGCCTCAATCTTTTCCCGCATGCGCTCGGCGAAGGAGATATAGTCGCCCCAGTCCGCCGAAAAGGAGGGCCTGTGAGAAAGGTATTAGTGGAGACTACAATGGAGAACCTCCGATAGGCCTACTCCTGCAAATGACCGGCTAGCCAGCCATGAGTATCGGTGGTATGGAGGAAGTTGAGTTGTCCGAGAGGGAGGTCGCGCAACGGAGCACGGATGGGGGCGGGCGCGGCGGGTTGAGCGGCGAGCGCCGACGGGAAAAGGAAGGACAAGGGCAACACCGACCACCACATTGCGGGGGGGGAGGTCGGGGAAGTGTCGAAGTGGTGTAGATGTAGAGAGGGAGGTGTAGAGGAGAGAGGAAGGAAAGAGCAGAGTAATGTGTAGTGTGAGTACCGTGGCTATACTCGTGACTCGACTCTCGTGACCAAGGTACTCAGTAGTCAGTGAGTACTCAAGGAAGGAGCTATAGGATAGCTCTGCGGTGTTCTCACGGAAGGAGCGCCCGGTGTGCAGTACCCGCACCACCACTGTCCTGCTGACTCAGCGCCCAACATCTTCGGATTTGCTGCCATCGTCAAAGTTTCTCCGGCGCGGCTTCTCATCCTTCCCCAACCAACTTACCTTTTTTGGTCTCACCTCCTCTCCACGACTTGGTGCTTTCGACCTTTGCGGACTTTTCAATTGTCCCTTCCGCACCTTCGATTCCTTCCATTTCTACTTCTTATCCCTCCATTCCTCCCACCTTCGCCATGGTCGCTCCCCGAGTTTTCCGCCCTGCGGCCCGTCTGCTTCTTTCGCGCCTCTCCACCCCTCTGCGCCCGGCTTTCACCCAGACCGCTTGCGCTCCCTCAATTCTGCGCTCTCGTGGATATGCCTCCGAGGCCATTTCCGGTGTCAAGGAGGTCACCGTCCGTGATGCCCTGAACGAGGCTCTCGCCGAGGAGCTTGAGGCCAACCAGAAGACTTTCATCTTGGGTGAGGAGGTCGCACAGTACAACGGAGCGTAAGGGCCCCCTTATCATTGGAGATGGAGATGGAGATATTCAAGAATGCTTGCTTTGGAATTGTCCGCTGACATTGAGCTTTCTCGCAGTTACAAGGTGACGCGAGGTCTTCTGGACCGCTTCGGCGAGAAGCGGGTCATTGATACCCCCATCACTGAGGCTGGTTTCTGTGGTATTGCCGTTGGTGCTGCCCTGGCTGGTCTGCACCCCATTGTGAGTTGAACAGAGAAATGCAATTGCAATTGCGATCCACTCATCGAGAGTGGATCGCGGAACATAACGGGCAACAAGCTAACGTGTGGACACCCCTCCAGTGCGAGTTCATGACCTTCAACTTCGCCATGCAGGCCATCGATCAGATTATCAACTCCGCCGCCAAGACCCACTACATGTCCGGTGGTATCCAGCCTTGCAATGTCACTTTCCGTGGTCCCAACGGTTTCGCCGCTGGTGTCGCCGCTCAGCACTCCCAGGATTACTCTGCCTGGTACGGCAGCATCCCCGGTCTGAAGGTTGTCTCCCCTGGAGCTCCGAGGATGCCAAGGGTCTCCTTAAGGCTGCTATCCGTGACCCCAACCCCGTTGTTGTCCTGGAGAACGAGTAAGTGTTGAGCCCAATCCAATCCCGAAAACGAAAACATTTCCCGAAGATCGGCGCCCGGCGCACGGGTAGCATCGGGAACAACCCGAAAAGCAATAACTTTAACTAACCTCTTTTCTTTCCCGCTTAGGCTTATGTACGGTCAGGCTTTCCCCATGAGCGAGGCCGCCCAGAAGAACGACTTCGTCATTCCCATCGGTAAGGCCAAGATCGAGCGCCCCGGAAGCGACCTCACCATCGTCTCCGTCTCCCGCTGCGTCGGCCAGTCCCTCGCTGCCGCCAGCGAGCTGAAGCAGAAGTTCGGCGTCGACGCAGAGGTCATCAACCTGCGCTCCATCAAGCCCCTGGACGTTGAGACCATCATCGCCTCCCTGAAGAAGACCGGCCGCCTCATGGTCGTCGAGTCCGGCTACCCCATGTACGGTGTTGCCTCTGAGATCATGGCTCTGTCCATGGAGTATGGCTTCGACTACCTGACCGCCCCCGCTGCCCGTGTCACCGGTGCTGAGGTTCCCACCCCTTACGCCCAGGGTCTTGAGGACATGGCTTTCCCCCAGAACGACACCATCGTCAAGCAGGCTGCCAAGATCCTGCGTTTGTAAGTGGAGTGAGCCGAGCGTGTGAGCGTGAGCAATAATAAAACCAAACCATTGTGCCTAGTACTACCCTTTTTTTTTCATCTGTCCCATTTTCTTGTTCCCTATATCGTTGTTTCCAACATGTCGTTATTTTTATTCTCGCCCTAGGCAGATTCTTGGAAAGCTATGTATGATTACATTTTACCTTTCACAGGTCTGCGTCTTGTTCGAGTTCTTTTACAGCGTAAATTGCGGGTCCGGTGGAGAACTGGCCTGCGATTGTTAGATTGATAGACATTGGAATTCAGTCGTGATATCATTGAGCTAAGACTACCTGAGTAGATAGATTGTGGAAGGGGTAATTGAGAATGTAGCCATAAGCGTAAGCGTAAACCAGTGAATCCGACCCGGTCTTGAAGATTGCTAACGCCGGAACAATGCTGATGAAATAAAAACAGAAAGAGAATCATCGCGGTCGTGGTTTGTGATTGTGGTCGTGATCCCAGCTAAGGTAACTCTCCCTCCTTATCACTGAAAGTATCGTCTCCGAGGCTGGCTCTGGGTTTGCCATCAGATGAAAGACCTCATCTCAGAGATCTTCTCGACTTGAAAGAATTCTTCATTTTCCAGCCTTCTGGTGTGGTCATGGTCACCAGATAGTAGATAATCCCATCGTGGAGATGCGAGGGATCAGGACATCCGAGTCTGTCTGTATGTTCTCTGAAACAGAAACAAGACGGGCTGCTCTTCTCAACAAACTCGGACGGGGGTGCTGGAGACGAGACGAAATGAAGCACTTGTCAATCCTGTGTACAAGCAGAGGATATAGCACTGGGATGCTAAAACTCGCCAGTCGGCGGGAGTCATGACTGTCCACTGAATGAATGTTCAATGGTGTCCTGTACTGTCCTGTCCTGTCCTATCCACTGAGTCCGACGAATCGAATCAAACGATATCGAGGTTCTTCAAATCAGGCCGTTCCAGCACATAATCAGTGCCTGTAACTTTGACTGGACCACGGACTTTTGTCTAGACATCAATGCTTTGTCCAGTAACAAAACAGAATCCTCCCTCCTCATGAGAGAGCCTTAACCTCTTTCCCACCCGCACCCACACAACCACCCAAACACCCCGTCGGCCGTCTCGGATCATAATACCCCCCACCATCCAGATCCCGCGCATACTCCTCATCTGTATCGCTTTCGACGTCATCGCGGACTAGTTTCGATCCAGTAGTCGTAGCCGTAGCCGTAGCGGCAGGCGCAGTTTTCGCAGCCTCTTTCCCACCACCCTGCCCTTCAATCCCAATCCCGGCTTCAGTATTCCCATCATCATCATCATCCCCGAGAACATTCCTCTTAACAGGCCCCGCCCCCGACCCAGAAGACCCCTTAACAGACGCAAACGAACTCTTAAACCCACCCTTTTTAAACCCGCCGCCTCCACCACCAGCGCCGGATTTCTTCTGCGCAAAAGAAACACCCTCAGCTCCACCTGCTCCTCCGCTACTTGCGGGCGTGGGCGTATCAATAACCCTCAATCCAGCCTCAGCATCGGCCTTCCTCTCCGCGCGTCGCGCTTTCTCCGCAGCATTGGGATCTCGGGAAAGTTGTTTTAGATCTTGGAGGCGTTTGCGGTGTTGGTGGTCGTAGGAGCCGATGTGGGCTTCGTATTCGGGGTGGCGGGAGTAGGATTTGTTGCAGAGGGTGCAGGTGAAGGAACTCAATGCGGATCGGGCGGATTCTGTCTGTGTAATAGTTAGTGGTGGTGGTGGTGGTGGTGGTGGAGAGAGGGTATAGTACCTTTGGGGCGGGATTGGTGAATCCTCGCTGTGTTGATTGTTAGAAGGAGGTGAAACTGGTGGATGAGAGGGGATTTGAGGTACCGGAGGCATTTTGTAAGTTTGCTCTTTCTTTTCTTGGGGAGGTGAAGGTGAAATTGAAGCTGAAGTTGAAGATGGAGTGAAGAGAGGAGGACCACCGAGGTAGGTCCAGCCAATCAGAGAAAGCGGCTTGCCCGTGACGGCCTTCCCCAACTTTTTCCCTTTTTTGCTTGTTTTCCACTTCAACTTGCACTTCCACTCAACAATGCCCTGATAGTCGACGATTCTCCTTGTTTCTTTCTATTTTTTGTCTTTCTTAATTGTCACGAACATAAAAACTATACAAAATACCACATCCACATCCACATCCACATCCATCATGACTTCCCTCTCCAAACCAATGGACAGTGACGCCAAATCCATTATCTCAATGCAAGAACTGGACCCTTCACCCGTGGACGACTCAATCTCCGACCTGGAGAACCTGGAGAGCGGCGAATACACTCCTAAACCCGTGGATGAATCACCCACACGCACCTGCGGACTTTCCTCAACATTGGGCCTCCGCCCCCATCGTTGGGATGCATTGTGTACGTCATGCCAGAACAAGCCAAATTACAATTACAATTACAATTACAATTAAAAATACTAACTGATCTCAGTGTCCGGTCTCCAACGATACTCTACATACCCCCCAACAGCCTTCTTCATCCTCCACTTCGCAAATACATCCCTAATCCCACTCCTCACCCAATCCATCCCAGCCAGCGAACCCTACCTCCTCCTCACGCGACCAATTTACCAAGCACCAGGACTCGAACATCTCGTCCTCACCTTGCCCGTGCTAGCACATATCGGCTCCGGAATCGCACTGCGCAATATCCGCGCCACACGGCGAGCCCGTTTATACGGTGCCGAAACCCGTGGCCAGCGTGATCTTCTGCACTGGTGGCCGCGAACATCCATCCAAGCAAAGACCGGATTTCTTATCACGCCGTTGATCGGTCTTCATGCGCTGATCAATCGCGCCACGCCGTTGATGGTGGAGGGTGGTAGTTCGGGTGTGGGACTGGGATATGTTGCGCATGGGATTGCGCGTAGTCCGGTCTTTTGGAATGTGTTTTATCTTGTTTTTGTGGCGGCGAGTGTGTGGCATTTTGTTGGTGGGTGGGCGACTTGGTTTGGGTGGAGAGTTACCACTGTGCGTAGGGAGCGGGGGTCGAAGGGTTCGTTGGAGGGGTATTTGGGATATTCGGAGAGCCAGGATCGGGTTAAGAGGCAGAGGAAGATTTGGTGGGTTGTTAATGGGGTCGCAGCTGTTGGAGCTGCTCTTTGGATTGCGGGTGCGTTGGGGATTGTTGGGCGTGCGGGTGAAGGTGCTGGGTGGGAGGCGAAGGGGTGGAATGAGGTTTATAGTCGAGTTCCGGTGATTGGGCAGTGGTTATAGCCCTGTATTATTATACTCTATACATACTAATAGCATAATACTATAAAACTATAAAACTATCTACTTTACCTTAATATCTCTACTATATCTACGTATCTGCTGTATACTCCGTCAGTCCCGCTTGGTCCGTGCGGAATCTTTTTTCGCCGACGCCGCCAACTTCTTTTTCTGTCGCATTCATTCATGACGCGCTTGTACCAGTCGCTCTTCGCTGCAATCCCAAGATGCCAATTGACTACTGCTACTAGTACTAGTACTCGCTCAATCTCACACCTCAATCCAAATACCGTCTTCCACCGCTTCGCTGCACCGTTCAGCAACTCCGCCAAAGCCATGGAGCCCTCAACCACAACCACAACCGCAGCTGCAACCGCACCCACCCCTCAAAGCAAGCTCGTGGAATTCCGCGGCGCAGAGTACAATGTCATCAAGGAGGGTCTGGCCCATATCCTGAACCCTCCTTCACAAGAAGCCGCCTCCAAGGCAACGAGAAGGGACCTCAAGACCGAAGACGAGTCGCAGTCCGTCTTTTACAATCCCATCCAGCAATTCAACCGTGACCTCAGTGTTCTAGCCATTCGCGCTTTCAGTGAACATGTCGTCGACCTGAAGAAGCAGAAACTTGACCTGAAGGCCAAGAAGCGCACTGCGAGTGGTGGTTCAAAGGGCCAAAAGCGAAAACGTGAGGACGAGGGGGATCAGGACCAGTCGAATAAAAAGGGAGAAGTTGCTGAAAAGTCGGAGACAGAGAATGCGAATGAACAAGTGGAAGTGGAAGTGGAAGTCTCATCGGCCCCTGATGCTACTGCTGCGCCGTCTACCACCGCTGCCACTGCTGCCACTGCCACAAATGGAAAGCAAGAAGACTCCTCTACCACCACACCATCCCACCAATTCACCATCCTAGACGCCCTCTCAGCAACAGGCCTCCGCGCCCTCCGCTACGCCTCCGAAATCCCCCACGCAACTAAAATCGTCGGCAACGACCTCTCCCCCTCAGCAATCCAGTCCATGAAAACAAACATCGACTACAACGAGCTAGGAGACCGCATTCAACCCAACCTAGGCGACGCACGCGCCTACATGTACACCCTCGGCCCAACGGAACGATTCGACGTAATCGATCTAGACCCCTACGGCACAGCCTCGCCCTTCATGGACGCCGCAGTCCAAGGCGTCAAAGACGGCGGTCTATTGTGTGTTACCTGCACGGACGCGGGAGTCTGGGCTTCGACAGGGTACGCGGAGAAAGCCTTCTCTCTGTACGGCGGTGTTCCCATCAAGGGCTCACACTCTCATGAGGGTGGTCTGAGACTTATCCTAAACGGTCTCGCCATGTCTGCGGCGAAGTATGGACTTTCTATTGAACCGCTACTTTCGCTAAGTATCGACTTTTATGCCCGGACTTTCGTGCGTGTTTCTCGTTCGCCGGCGCAGGTTAAGTTCGTTGCCGGAAACACGTTGCTGCATTATAATTGTGATTCAGGCTGTGGGGCCTGGAACAATCAATACCTCGCTTCGACCAAACATAAGCTCGATAAAAGAGGTAATCCCATGAGTTACCATGGTCTGGCCCAAGCACCGACTGCAGGACCTCACTGCGAGCATTGCGGTTTCAAGACTCATCTCGCCGGCCCGATGTGGGGTGGTCGTTTGCATAATCCGCAATTCATTCAGCGGATCTTGTCGATCTTGCCAACGCTTGATAAGGAGGTTTATCAAACTGTTCCCCGGATTGAGGGTATGCTTACTACGGCCTTGGAAGAGGATTTGGATCTTACGCCTTCATCTATCAAACCTGCCCAACCTTCGTCAGAGACAGAGATGACAGAATCCCAATCCGAAGAGTCGTCCAAATACCCCTCCATAATCGCCAAAATGGACCCCTCCCTCCGCGACCCATACCCATTCTACTTCATCCTCGGCGCACTCTCCAAAGCCCTCCACTGCCAAACACCCCCAATCGACGAATTCCGCGGCGCAATCCACTCAATCGGATACAGGAGCACACGCTCACACGCAAAGCCGAATTCAATCCGTACCGACGCCCCTTGGTCCGTTATCTGGGAAATCATGCGTGAGTGGGTTCGTCAACATGCTCCCATTAAAGAGGGGTCTATTAAACCCGGGACTCCTGGTGCGGGGTTGATGAGGATGGATCGGGGGAGATTTAGTAAGGGCGGAGCTGAAGCAGGCGTTGGGGCTGGTAATGGCGAAGCTGAGGGCAGTGCCGAAGCTGCCGCTTGGCTAGCCCGTTTAAAATCAGACCTTCTTTCTGACATCGAGTCTGGTCGAGATGTTTCTGATCTCGTTACGAGGGTTGAGGCTTCGCTTTATCGATCGGGGCCTAGACATGCGCACCAGCAGCAACAGCAAGAGAAGAAACAGGATGGTTCTGGTTCTGCTGCGCCAAAGACTGCTGCAAGTGCAACTGCCACGCAACACCCGAGTACACTGAACATCCGCTTCGATGCGCAATTAGGTCGGGACTCGTCGGTTTCACATACTAATAAGCGGTTGGTGAGGTATCAGATTAATCCGAGGGCGAATTGGGGGCCTTTGAATCGGGCTTCTTGAGGGGGTGATTGAGTTGATAAGTTATTTGGGGGTGGATGGAATGGGATATGTACGATGTGGAGGTTTTGCATGTAAGAGAAGTGATGGGAGGGGCGGGAGGCTTATATTTTGAGGCGGTGCTGGGGAGCTGGAGATTTGCATGAGAGGTGGTGCGGTGTGATGTGGTGTTATTTTATTTTCATGTTTGTTTTATTTTATTTCTTGGTGCCCAGGTGTAAATAGTAAATATGCAGATGAAAAGAATTTGTATCACTGTTTAATCCGATCCAATCCAGTACAGTCCAATCCAGTTCCATGCCTGAGGTGTAGTTAATTCCAAGGTTTTAACTTCAGCATTCCTTGCCTATATATGTACGTTACGACCTGCAGTAACATAGCTCATCCATTAATGAGAAATATGAGCTAAGCCCAGATATCCTTGAAGGTCTCGACGATGTGGTATCTCTTGATATGCTTGTTGTGCGTGCCAGCTTGGTCCTGACGGACGCGCTTGAGAGCACCAATCTTTTCTTCCTTGGACAAGAAGCGAGCGCTGATCGGGGAGTCGGGAAAGAAGAGGATGACGACGATACCATTAAGTATAAGGTTGCAAGGGCGCCAAAGATAATGTATAATAGGGATCCGATCCAAAAAAGCCTACTGGTATCTGGACGGCCGTTTTTACTGGATGAACAAGCCCGCTCTCATACATAAGGAAACCCTAGCCTACTGGGATGAACAACATCCCACTTACCCCCATGGGATAGAGAAGTGGAAAAAGTCAATAGGAACGTAGCTGTAATGGCACCCTGGAAGTAACTATAATCTACCCCCTCGGGAAACCCTAAGCCCATACAAAAAGGTGCCGACTAAACTGTAATTCGCCTCATTACAGTTAACAATAGAGTATAGGAACAATAGAGTATAGGGTTAAGAATTGGTGTATGGCAAAGGCGAGTGTCACATTTACTCCAAGTACTCTCCGTTGGTCTCCTTATGGATGACATCGAACAAAGGCCTGGCACTGAAGAAACCAGCCATATGAGTACCAACGGTCTTGTAAGTGAATGCGGCATCCGCATCGTTGACCTTGATGGTTTGTCCACCACGGCCAGCGGCAGAAGCATCAGCGAGCAACTGAGAGTGGCATAACTTGTCTAAGGCGACGAACCAGAAGATGCACTCGTCGATGGTTCTGCCGACAGTGAGGAGACCATGGTTCTGAAGAAGAGCAGCCTTCTTGTTCTGGAGAGCCGCAGCGATGTTCTTGCCCTCGTCCTCAGCAAGGACGATGCCGTTGAACTGCTCGTATACGACATGATCCTAATCAGGTAGAAGTTGTACTCGTTAGCGTCAGGAAACAATGCAATAGGGTTGGGTTGTATTCAAGGTCAAGATGGGAAAGATCTTGTTATATTCTCCAGCGTACATTATAGAAGGCACACGCATCCTGGGAAATGATGTCCAATGGACGGCCCAAAGCGCAAAAGGTACGTCCATAAAGACTGTGGGAGTGAGCAGCGCAGATAACATCGGGTCTGGCGGCGTGGATAGCGGAATGGATCATGAAGGCAGCGGCGTTGATGTTGCGGTTAGGGCCTCCGTCAATAACCTTTCCCTCGTGATTGACCAAGATAAGATCGGAAGCCTTGATAAGAGAGAAGGCAAGACCAAAGGGATTTACCCAGAAGGTAGTAGGATCAACAGGATCACGAACGGTGATATGACCGGCAACACCCTCATCGAAGCCGTGCTTGCCAAAGATGCGGAAAGCTGCAGCCAAGCGACCCTTGAGGTATACGCGCTCTTCGAATTTGTCGTCAAAGGTAGGGGGACCAAGGATCTTCATCCTGACTCTAGCTTTGTCAAGGCTTGTCTCCTGGGAGTTAAGAGGACCCCGGGAGAGACCTGGCTAGTAAGAACTTCAGTAGTAGGAGCCATTGTGAAATGATTCAATTGAGGCGAGTAGATAGATGCTCGGTAATTGCAGATGGTTCCGTTTGGGATGATTTTTGGAACACATCGGGTCTGAATGGAATGGAGCATGCTATTTATATTGTTTCCGTGTTGAAGGGTCATACATATTTCTCAAAAGCTGGATGTTGGAGATTGCCACTACGGCCCCTCGTACTTCTACTGAGATCGGAGATATCATATTTCGGAGGTGCAATTTCGCCGTTGCCCCTTTGGTTTTCCAGGAGCTTCAAAGTTCTCATGTCCGAGTATTTAGACACTGTGGGGCTAGTTGCGGTGGGAGAGATCGCTACCGCATATCCGAAATTTCGGATATGCGAGCTAATCTTCTAATCAAAGGCGAGGTTCCGCGGCATTTTGACCCGAACGGTGAACGGGGCTTTGATGTCTGGTCGGTTTTTGATAATACGAGCTTCACAAATCAGAACTAGAAGAAAAATGGATTTCCTAACGGATCTCGTTGGATGCTTGTATAAGCAAATTTTTGGTGGAGGTGGAGAATAAATAAGGACATGGCGACAAACTCGTAATGTCGGCGATCATTTAGATTGGAGATTGAAAGTAATAGTAGTTGAGGGCGCGTGCGCCGCTGAGTCCTTGCGTTTGTTAGCTTAGGGATATGGCTACGGGCCCGGGGCCGCTTAGTTCTGTTTGAGCCTGAAATGCTGTGCTGTATACTGGCGAAGCTGCACCCGTTTGAGAGGGTTTTGACCATCCCTTGAGACGATAGAAAATAAACTGATAGAGTACTACCAATTCACTCAATATCCTAAGGACTGGCTGGCCGAGACGCGGGAATTTTTCAGATAATAACTTCCATAGAGCCTTAGGTCCCGTCTGTCAGCTAGACCTAATCCGCACCCCATGCCACTCCAGGTGTGCCTCGAGATGATGTTGTGAACCAATTAGCAGCATCACCTGGTTTATGAACTCCTTCTCCGCTGATCCTTCCTGAAAAGTATCGCTGGCCACCACAAGTGGGTAGACTAACTTCATGACTAGAGGGTTTGGAACCCTTTGAAAAAAGTACGACACACTCCTGCAAATATTGCATGCGTAGAAATAACGCTCACTTTGCTCAGCCGACTCATCGGTTGTTCGAATCGTTGAACAGAGCAAAAGTGCCATGTTGTAAATGCATAGGCTTATCGCAATGGTTGGGTTAGCAAACGATAATGGTGGAGGAGAAACGAGCTGGCTCATATCAGAATTCCAACATCGGAAAATGGGTATGACGTGATGATCTGATGACGCTCGAAATTCTGGACCATCGGGATATGTGTCGGCATGATCTCTCTTCCACCGACTCAGCCGAGACAAAATAGTAGCTGACCAAGCGGACATGGCCACCCTCATCGATGTAATCTCCGAAGGACATAAGCTACCAGCCCTCTTGAGATATGTGTATTGATCAAACTGTTCCAGCAATGCAGGTATCTCCACAACATGATCTAGTAATTGCTGAAGAGCATCTTTCTGGTTGAAAGGTCCCTGCCAGGGAATAGACTTCCATTCCTCTCGTGACAAGAATGTCGACTGGCGTGAAACTAGCGTCCTAATGGCCTGGAGGAAGAAGCTTTAGATTCCGCCAATATGTCTTTTTAAAAGGACAAGAAGAAATAATACATACCCAATGAACTCTGAATTCTACAAAGAGCGAGTGTTCAATTCCAACAGTATGACGTAGCGGACCTCGGCGCTCCAGCATGGAAAGTGAGGCTTTCCAATGGTAGTCCAACGAACCTTTGCTGTTCTTTCGATACAGCTTAGCTAAAATTAGCACATCTGTACGAAGTTAGGAAGATCTATACACACCTCGAGAATTGAAAGCAAAAGAATAGTGAGAAAAAGCTCTGTTGAGGTATTGCTGGTCGGACAACCAAGTTCGTGATTGACAGAGCCCAAAACGCTGATATATAGTTGCTGGCTAGATCGTTCCGACTGTACGTTACCTGTTAATTTGCTGTAGACAAATTTTGAAACTGCCTTCAGAACGTTTCTGAGCAGGGGCTTCGTCTCCATCATCTGGATTGCGTCGCGCAGCCATAGTGAGGAGCCTTCACCGACTCTAGGACACCACAAATTCACAAACACGGCAAGTTCGTTCGCATTGTCCTCAACATCAACAATATTGAGCTGTTCAATCGCCGTTGTATACTCGGGCACAGCAGCCAGTGTATGAGGGGCTTGGGGGAACCTATTCTGTGTTTCAATTCCCAGTCTTGACCGCGAGAAGGTTTGTGCAATTGACTGGGACGACATATTCCTCGCCATGGGGAGGATATGATAGGATTCATCATATCCCACATCTCCAGTACTAGCCCTCGCATCAACATTTGACCCGTTGTCATTTGTACATGATGCGTAAAGTTGATTTGGATTATTTTCCAGGGTATGCACTCTTCGGTCTATCGCAGTCAGGATATTTCGGAGACCGGGAATTGGGCCCGCCTGTATTTCCAATAGCATTGACCAAAGAGACTCTACAGAGGTGGCCGACGCTAGATCATCTGCTGAAGACCGGCCCATCAATACCATTATGGCCACACATGCGCAGAAAGAGAGAAGTAGGGATGACCGCCGGAGACTGAAGACGTCTCGGTATTTGCTAAGATGTCTCCACACCGAGGTTGCATCTTCTGCGCAAGCGTCCTCCATCATCGAAACATCTTCATTGGAGAGACAACTGCGGAGATAATTACGCTCCAGGAAAGGCCTCCGGCTGAGGATCTTTATGGCGTGAAACTTTATTCTGCTCAACTCCATTAACCCGTATCCAGAGTTTGATGAACGAGACAAGTTACTCACAGCAACTCAATTTGGTGGGGTGGGGGTGGTGGGTCGAGTCCAGGATCAAATTGAAGGTGTGCAGGGAGGGACAGTTGCCAGGAACTGAGTTGCTCGTCTATTGTGGTTTTCATTTCCCAAGAAGATTGGAATGTATTCCGTACGCCTGAATTGTTGTAATACGCACAAAGTATTGTTGACGTTATCTCGAATAGACTTATTTGGGCCGCAAATGTAGACACGGCATGCATTGGCGTTGGCACGTAAGTTTTATGCCTTGGGAGATTGGGTGATTGAAGCGGATCGATATATGGCGACCAGTTTTGCAGTTCCTCGAATGTATCTAGAATCTTTGTCGAACTATGGGCTGACTCCAGAATGGTACCAGGAAAATAACCAAGATAGAGTGCCATGGACACATCAAGAGAGAATAGGCCCAAGTACAATCGTTTCCGACTTTCCGTTTCGATGTCTGTGGATAGTTCAGGGGCACGGCGAGGAGGATCAACATCCTTCGGCTGCACGGGTGATGGAAGGCCCAACTCACTAATCATCTGACGCGCCATTTGATGGAATACTAAGCCATTGTTTACCATTCCCCTTGAAACGAGCGAAATGCCGCAGAGAAGTAAGGCGACGGCAGTCACACTGCTGGGCGTGCCCAGTTCATCGACTAGTAAATAGCGGAAACGATGATAAAACTGCAGACCAGCAGTGCTACTATCGTCTGGGTTGGAGCGCACAACGATTCGCTCCGTGTAGAGTGAACTTGAGAAGTAGATCGCATTGAGAAGTAACTTATTCACATGCGGTCCACCATAAAGCAAGCTCTCCATGATTGCAGGGCGGTAAGTGAAAAGCCATGTGAAATGGCATGTATTCCAGTGTAGGTCCAGGAGATGCATTGCCAATGACGGATCAACGCCGTCAAAGTCGACGTCAAATTCCCATCTTTTGGAATATAGAAATCTTGCTTCCTGCTGTTGCTTTACAGCAGCATTTGCTATGAGACGGGCTTGTTTGACCTCATCATCTGTCCGTTGATCGATTTTTTTGTTTCGACCGGCTCCAGTCCATTGCAGAGGGCGATTGACATCTTGGATGCAGCCAAGAATTTCAATCGTCTGATAATTCTCATCGTTGACTAGGTTGTAGCCATCCTTGGCTCCTTGCGGGACCCATCCTGGTAGATTTAGGTGTGGGTGAGAAGGAATGTCAGGATCCGCTTCATTGAGAATTTGCCCTATGGAAGGGTATTCTGGATATGATGGCGAAGTGCGGTGAATGTGATTAGGGCCTTGTGTCGCCACATTGCCCTCTAGAGACCGGTCCAAGAAGTTGGATGCTGGAATCGATACATGAGATGAAAGGTGACGGTCTGAATTGAGTATCGGTGATGACGGGCTCTCTGCCTCCCCACTGTGATCGGCAGCGCCCAACCCAGGGCTATCCCGGTCTACCGGATGAGGTAACAAGGAATTTTGCGAATCTACAGGCACAGATATGACAGGATGGCGGTAGCGGCCATCTCGTGGGTAGGTACACTGGCACTTTCGTCTCACGCAAGCACCACACTTTGGCCGGGAATCATCACATTTCACCTGCACATTCGACAAGCCTTAGCGTTACTCGGTATTTTACGTCTCCTGGAATTACAGACCTTTCTTCTCCGACACTCATCGCATGTTTTGCGTATTTGCGAGTCCCCTCGCCGCAACCCTTGGGAACCACGACGGCGCGCCCTGCCTAAAGGATGGCTTGGTGAAGGGTTGCTCATTGGTGTTAGTCGTGGAGAAGGGCCTATTGCTCTGGCAAACTCGGAGATGGTAGTACTCAAAAGACCGAGGCCTCGGTCTTGGGATGATGGGAAGGGCACATGAGCAGCCCCCGCCTTATGTCATACTGGTACCGTTCGGGTCAAAAATGCCGTGGGACCTAGCCTTTGGTTACCAAAACTAGCTCGCATATCCGAAAGCTTGAATATCCGAACTTTCGGGCATTAATTGAAAGCTGAATAGCGATACATTTGCCACCCGGGCGGTGGCAGTTGGAACTTCTCCGAGTTTGGTACATTGAAAGTTCCTCGGAGTTGAAGATGTCCGCCCTGCCATTGCAGATCGATCAATGGAGGACTGGGTGCGGTTTTGGCAATTTGAAAAAAATTCAAAATGGAAACGAAAAGGAGACTAACGATAAATGCCCCGAGAGTTCCATGATGTATACAGCAGGCAATTTTCCAGGGTATAAATACCTTAAAAGGTCATCCGTCAAAATCATTGCTGGTCTATTCTTCTAGTCTGCATTCTTTCACTCCATCTGAAATATTCTTCTCAAAACACCCGTCGTTTTGTCCAATAGTCACACTCACAAAAGAACAACAATGGCCAATCCTACACCTCTTACCTATCATAATGAGATCTATGCAGCTGGTCTCCGAGACAAGAAACCCGGAATCACCTTCAATACTCTAGAGTGGGAGGCGCTCGCGAAAGAACGCCTGTCAAAAGAAAGCTTTGGATATGTCTGGGGATCCGCTGGCACCAGAGAAACGGACGACAACAATCGCGCCGCATTCAAAAAATGGGGGATCCTACCCTCCCGCCTGGTGGACACGGAGTTTTCAAGTTTGAAAACTACACTCTTCGGTCAGGAATATGATTATCCTATTGCAATGGCACCTGTTGGTGTCCAGCGTATCTTCCACCGGGATGGAGAGATTGCCTCTGCTTCGGCGGCTAAAAGAGAACATGTGACATACATCCTCAGCAGTGCCACTTGTACAAGCACTGAGAATGTGGCAAAAGCAAATGAAAACGGTTCCCGCTGGTTTCAACTCTATTGGCCAGCCAATGAGAGCAATGATATTACTGCCAGTCTCCTGAAGAGAGCCAAGGCGAATGGCTACAAGGTTTTGGTGGTCACGCTTGATACTTATACCCTGGGATGGCGTCCCTCCGACATCGATAATGCATTCAATCCTTTCCTCCGTGCCGATAATATTGGTGTTGAGATCGGGTTCTCTGACCCTGTCTTCCGCCGCCAGTTTTATGAGCAAACTGGAAAACAAATTGAGGAGGACATGGGGGCTGCTGCCGCCGAGTGGATACACAATCTTATTCCCGGAAAGAGTCACTCATGGCAGGACATCAAATTTCTTCAGGAACACTGGGATGGGCCAATTGTTCTCAAAGGTATCCAAACTATTGCTGATGCCCAACACGCCCTTGAGGTTGGAGTACAAGGCATCGTTGTGTCCAATCACGGCGGACGCCAACAAGATGGATGGGTCGCTTCCCTCGAAGTTCTCCCCGAAATCGTGGATGCTGTGGGTGACAAACTTGAAATCATTTTTGATTCGGGCGTTCGATGCGGTGCTGATGTTGTTAAGGCATTGGCGCTGGGTGCGAAAATGGTATTGATTGGAAGACCATACATTTATGGTCTAGCATTGGGAGGGGAAGAAGGAGTCTCTCATGTCTTGCGCAGTATTCTGGCAGAACTCCAACTCACTCTGCACTTGTCGGGGATCCCGTCGGTATCCCCTGTTCACCTAAATCGGTCTGTATTACGCCGAACAGCTTAAGGCCCAATGTTCTGCTGTGCCTGCATTTATGGGCTCTTATTACTTTCCTGTTACCCCTTGTACATGAATTTGAATACTTAGGTCCCTCCCTCACTTTTCAATTCAGTATACAATTTGTCAAAGTGTGCAAATAAAGTAAAAGGTTGTTCTAGTAGACGAATCAGAAACGCCAGTCATGATTTACCCACCTTGTTTGCGAAACAGACAGTTCCCTAATGAATTATTGGACCATCATTTTCTTCGGTGGTATAAAAGGTTGCCTTGTGGAGTGCAAGCATGGTTATACCCTTAGCGAAGCCACTACACAGATAACTACATAAACCTCATTGGGATATTATGATCATTATTGTCCAAACGCAATAGTAGCTATCCCTCTCCCTCTGATATGGTTTGCTTCGCAGCACCTTGTCAGTCTGCCTGTGTTACAGACCACTTTTACTTAGTGTGCTCAATACTGCGAATTATCAGATATAATGAGCAAATGTTTCGGATCCAACATCATTCTATTTTTAGGTCATCCTATTCATACCACCACATTCAGTGGTTTCCCCCGCAGCCCACTGTTCAACAATTTGCTTCAACACTTGGAGCTGAATTTTCCAAGTGATTTCTCCTAGCCATGCCATGTGAGGAGTAACAATTATGTTCATGTCCTTTGTATCATCCCTAAGCAGAGGTGAATTTTCAGGCCCGGCAGGTTCCTCATAGAAAACATCTGTTGCTGCCCCTGCAATGTAGCCCTTGCTCAGGGCTTTCACGAGCGCTTCCTCATCAACAACCCCGCCCCGAGAGACATTGACGAGGAGTGTTTGCCGCGACATCTTCTCAAATTCTTTGTTGGAAATCAGATTTCTTGTTGACGCTGTAAGCGGCACTGCAACAAATAGGACGGTGGCCTGCTCCATGACAGTGTGATATGAAGTACGATCCACACCCTGTTCATCATTTATCGAGTTAGTCGCGTGAGAATCCTTCCTTCCAGCCACCAACACTCTCATTCCTAGTCCACGGGCAAGGTTGGCGATTCGTTTGCCTGAGTTGTTCAGTATTAGCCTTCGATGAATACAGATCTGAGACCGAGATTCAAAACTTACCCACACCTCCAAAGCCAATGATTCCGGCAACTTCCTCTGAACAGGTCAAAGGGGGTCGTCTGTCTTGATCCAGCGCCCGACACATAACAGCTTCTTTCAGCCAATCGCCAGCTCTGGTACGATTATTCATTTCACAAATTCTCCGGCGAGTTGCAAAGTATAATCCAATTGCATGCTCCGAAACACATTCCATATTCGTATTCTGGCAGTTACTGACGACGATCCCGCGAGCTCTACATGCATCGAGATCAATGCAGTCTGTTCCTGTCGCAAGGACCGCTATAAGTTTCAGATTCGGTGATACCGCGGGCGATAGAGCGACCGCATCCAACTTGATCGCCGAGATCACTAGGATGGACGCATCATGTATGCGCTCATGTAGTTCGGATAGTTTCGTCTGCTGGTAGACCTTCTTGGTGTAGCTGTATGGTTCCGGTAAATCGAAATCGAACCCCGGGCAGAAGTCAGCCTGAAGAAACACAATACGAAGGTGTGTAGACAGCGGCTCCGCGGTGGTCATTTTGTCTTTCACTGCGCCTCGGTGATCACCAATTCCTTGGATTAGAAAATTCCTTCTGGTGGCCTTCTCTGTGCTTTTCGACTGAGTACGTGTTTTCTTTGGACCGCGATCGATTGGTGCCTGCTAGAAAAGCAAGCATGGAAGAGTTTAACTCTAGGGAATCTATCAGCTTGGGGACGACTGGCGCTATTTATGCTTTTAGAACGAAGGACCACAAGATATTGCGTAGGTTCCGCTCGCTCTCCATAACGAACGCTTGAAATCAGTGCCGCGGTAAGATCGGACTTAAATGCGATATATTAGAGCGCAAATGATTGGTTGATAAATCAAATTGCGCCAACATTGAGATTTGTAGTGAAGTAGTGGAAATTCGAGCTGAATATTTGAAAGAGTCAATTTGGCCCGCGGCACTCGGGAGTGAGCAGAAGGGTCTAGATCCCTGTTTGTTCTTGACAGCCTCGGCTCTCGAGAAAAAGTTGAACATCTTCTAGGTTCTCCAGCTATGCAGTTGAGTTTGGTTGCGAGACCCGGGCTATCACTCCATGACCCGTTCGGATCGAGATGCCGTGGAATCTATCTATTGGTAAAAACAATATGTAGCTCGTATATCCGAAATTTCGGACATGCTGTGTGGGTCTCCAGCCGCAAGTAGGGTCCAAGGATTGGTTTAATCTCTCCGCTGTCTGCTTCGGTCGAAGATATCATATTTCGGAGGTGCGGTTTCGGAGTTGCACCTGTGTTTCCCCAGTGGTGGCAACTCATCCCCATCAGCCGCGGATCTGACGGATCATAAACAATAACATAACAAATCCAACGCCCGTAATGCACGTAAGGGAAGGAATACAAGAAAAGCGAATGCGGTGATTATCAGAATGGCCATAAAATCCCTCTTATCAGCTCAAGGGTATAAATATAAATACCTCAAAGCCATCCGTCGATATCATTTCCGATCAAACCCTACTTCATCGACTCAATCTTGAATCATTCTTCCACGGGCTATTATTGTTTTGCCCGATATTAAGAAATCGGCAACACCCCCAATTCTTCGGCAATTGAGTCTTCTTTCAGCATCGTGCCTAATTGATCGTTATTCAAAATGACGATAACAGATGCCCAGGGTGTTTATGGATCCGGAACCTACGTCGACACTACATTTACTCCAGTCCCTGAAGAGGCCCGGCGTATCCTGAAAGAACTTGCAGTTAGAACCCCAGGTTTCAGCCATGACCAGTCTCTAATCAACGGGGTCCGGTTTGAAGGATCTGATCTTCCTTGCGTCCCAGGGCCAATCAAGGTCGTAGCTGTTACAGCTGCCTTGCATGCCATGGTCGGTATTGTTGGTCATGAGATCCTGAGAATTCGTGGGATTCACACAGATGGCAAGACGACCATCAACACTGACCATGCGGGGCTTCATCTGGGGTCTGTTGCCCTTCCAAGCATCGACGGCATTGACGGGGCGGCTGCGGTAGCCTTGCCAACTGTTCCTCAATATACGTACGGCAAATTAGGAACGCCAGTCAAGCTCCGGACATCCGCAATCTACAAAACCAAAACGCCTGGTGCTTGGTACCAGCTCCACGGGTCTACCGATCCTTATCCGGTTCTAAAGGCCATAGGAGCTGATTCTGAGATCAAACTAGCCTCTGGAGATGAGGCATACCGGTATATAGAGGATCATGTGATGCGGTATTCTGCGCGAGATGTGGAGATGCTTATGGTTGAAAATGGTCTCTGTGGCTCCATTGTCTACGCTCCAGATGCCTGGCTTCAGACAACGATGGGAGCCCTTTTGGCAACTCATCCACTGGTCGATTACAAAAAGCAGAGCTTCGCCGCTGACTCGCCACCTGTGGACTTCCCGCCTATGAAAGCCAGTGACCATCGGCCGCTTGCAGGTGTAAAGGTATTGGAGTTATCCCGCATTATTGCTGCTCCAGCAGCCGGCTCAATTTTGTCTTCACTTGGTGCGGAGGTAATCCGAGTCCAGGTCAGAGACGCGCTTGATTTTACAGTGAGTTTATCCCAGATCAATGCTCGACGACTGCTAACGGAGCCATGGTAGCCATCGCAGCTCTGCCTCACTGCAGGTAAAAGGACATATGATATCAATATCAATGACGGATCAGATCGTGCCATTCTGCGTCGGCTGTTTGAAGATGCCGATGTGATCCTCCAAGGTTACCGACTTGGGTCCCTCACACGACGAGGGTTTGGTCTTGACGCAGCTCTGGAGGTTGCTAAACGACGAGGTCGCGGTGTGGTCTATCTGGATGAGAACTGCTACGGGCCTGAGGGTTACTATGCTGAGCGACCTGGATGGCAGCAGATAGCTGACGCAGCTGCCGGTAGCTCGTTTGTAACCGCAAAGGCGTACGGTTTTCCAGACGGACAGGGCGTGCTTCCAAGCCTGCCAATCTCTGATATGTCGACCGGGATCGTGGGCGCTATAACAATCATGTCAATGCTGCGTGACCGTGCCAAATATGGTGGATCGTGGCATGGTAATGCCAGCCTCACAGCGTTCAATATGATGACACTGGAGCCATGGGTCGGGCTGTACCAGCCATCAGTTGTTGCGGAAATCCAGGATCTGTACCGATTCAGACCGATGACCAGTGACCTTCATGTTATAGAGCTCTACCTTTTAGTCTTAGAAGGCTGGAAGACGGCAGGAAAGGAGCGAGGCGAGCTGATGAGAAACGAGAAGTTCTTTGTGCACTTCAGAGACAGTGTCTATGGGAAGGATCTGCGCATTTTAGCACCAGTGGTGCAGTATGATGACCCAAAGTCTGCAGCAAGGTGGACATCTCCGCCCGTGCCATTCTGTCATTTTAAGAACCCTAGCTGGGAGGCCAACTAAAGTGGTAATTGGTTTGCGCCATCCCACAGCGATATGTGCAGTTTCTCCTCTAGTCATTCATCATTTTGCAATTACATTCAGTCAATATCAGGAAAAGATAATATTAGACGATAAGCGTATTATATTCATATGTGAAGACGAGTGTGGAGCTCAACAATCAAGTGGGCGGCGCTAGAAAGAGTACGGACCCTCTCTTCTTCACGACATCAACTACATCGGTAGAATACTTTTTGATGCCTGGACTGCAGCTGTACCGGGAGAAATCAATAGTTCTCTTATCAAATGTGGAAGCGCGTCAACATCGCAGTTACTTCCCAATCACCAGCCCAAACCTCTGACCCGCTATCTTCAAGTGAACTAGCTGAGAGGCTAGGCGAAGTCCTCAATGAGATACACAAACGAGCCCCAGAACCTCGGATCTTGAGGGGCGGCAGTTACTTTTGGCACTCCTCAGAATGTTGGAGGTGCTATAAAAGATCGACACCTGAATATACGGTCTGATGTGGACGGACAAAGGAATGGCAATGTATAGGAAATTCATGTAACTAACTACAGAACTAGGCGACGCAGAGTCGTTCGAGGAAGGAAAAGCCGTGAGTTTAATCAAAAAGTACACTCTGGCATTCCCCAAAATAGAATAGCGTAAGCGGAAGCGGGACACTTGTTCAGAAACCAGCTTGTCTATGAAGGAGAAAACTTTTGGAATATTGCTGTGGTTGGGTAGACTGACATTACTATATCGCGTCACGCTGGGTAATTGATATTCTAATACCGAATGCCTCCAGAATAGCTACAATTAAGGGTTAGAGCTCCTGGTTCTGAACAGCTGTCACGCTTACGCTACTCCATTTGGGGGAACTTTTCTATCTATCACGTATTCTTCTTATAGCCAGTGTCTCCATATGAGTAAGAATGCACCTAAATCTGGTCTACCTAGGCTAGGATTCCTCCCAAAAAGTTACCTGACAAAACCAAATCTCGTACACAAGTCAATGAAATACTAGATATACCACTACCACTACTAGAGTAATAGAAACTACCCGTACTATGCCAGAAAAAAGCCAAAGGAATCGTATCTTAATCGTAAAGACTCAATTAAACATATCATTGACCCCAATATAAACATAAATATAAACACCATATCACACCAAGGGAAGAGAACAATGGACTAACGAAGCCAGGAGACGAAACTGGCCCCGGCCCGAATTGAATCTAGAAACGAAAAAAAATGGAAATGAAAATCTTAGTCAAAAGTTGAGTCTCTTATAGCGCTCTTTAAAGGTGGCTTTCAAACTGGCAGCTCTATAGATGAAGAAGGAGCTTATAGAAAATCTACTAAAAGGAGTGCAGTCATCTGCTATAATCTTTGAGCAGATCGAATCGGAGCATAATAAAGTTACTGACACCTAATTTGTTCTACTTTTGCGCATGTGGTAGATAGAGCGCAGGTGTCTAAGTTCTTGGAACTTTGTGGTTTTACGAGCACCCTGTACAGGCCAAGTGACGCATTTGCCCTTACAGTAGATAGTCGTGGACTGCGCATGAATTCCGATAATATACTAGAAACAAAAGCGAACAAAGCCATATAGCTCTCTGTTTTTAATCAATATGATCCTAGAGACTGATGACCACGTCACGAATCCTCAGAGTCACTCTCAACCACCCTAACCTGGTCACAAATCAATTGAACAACAAGAGGTATTTGAATCTCATCCATCTCCCAAAAATTGATCCCAAGTTCTCGTATCTTTTCATGGTGCTCGGGGTCATATTTGTCGCGTTCTAAAAGGAATTTAACCATTCGCTCATACCAAATCTCCTGCAAGAAGTCCATCAACGGAAGCCCGAGGGCAACAAACTGAGAATCAAACTCAAATACCAGCTTTTCAAACCTTTCAAGATCAACTTTCTGCTCTTCTCTGATTTCCTGAAGGTCTGATTCGTCACGCTGGAGCTTGGTGCAACATGTGTGACTCAGACTTAGCCCATCAAACGTGAGACTTCTGATCATTGCGTGGCATATCTCGTGCTTGGACTGGCTCCCAGTGCGATCGAGGAGGAATTCAAGAAATCGCCGAAAACAGGATGCAACTTGGCCAATGTGTTGATCGCCCAGATACAAATCATCGACAACATTCCGCAGAGCAATCGATAATGGAGTGCATCCATCAAGAGAACATGAACAAGAACATGCATCCCTGGTTGATAAAGAAAACAGATGCATGTCAATTTGGTGAAAGTGATGTAGTACAACGTAAGGGTCGAAATGGCCATCTAACTGGAATTGAAGGTAGATCTGCCAAGCCAATCTTCCATTTATCCAATGTAAAACCGTAGTATTTGACCCAGGAAATTTCCGAAAAGGGTTCGCTCCATTTGAAATCATCCATGCAGTAGCCATATATGTTGAATTCCACCAGAAGCCTGAGTTTATGCATTGGACCATTAATGGTGTACATCTCTCTTCGGGGAGTATTTCCACGTCTGTAAATCCAGCCTCATATATATTGTCCAGAATCTCAGTGGGTAGATCATAAGAAAAGAGAGATTTTCTTTCAGAAGTCATCAATGTTTGATCGATTTTGTGTCCGAGTCCCTTTGCTATTAATGCATCACATAGTGCAGGAGCATATGTATCAGGGATTCCAGTCTCGCCTTTCCTGAGATCAGATAATTCACCAGGACTTATATGCGCTTCCGCTATATCTAGGAGCTTCCTGCGTCTTTTGGCTAGCTCCTTGATAAGTAAACCTCTCAGTATATTAGACGAACTTCTCTCAATGTCTTGGTGCGAAATTATGTATCCGGCCTTAAGGAGGATATTGCAAGATTCAACATATTCATCGATTTTATTGTCTTCATCCTCGATACCAAATCTTCCACCAAATCCTCTATCTGGATCATGGTACCGACGGGGTAAATGGATGCTTGATTGTGCTTTCAGCAGTAATGTGACACCGGCGGGCCAGCCCATTGCCAGCTGGAGTAACGTAATTCCACCAAAGGTATCTTCAAGTTGGGAAGACGATAGTTTTGACTCGAGAAGGTCTCGTAAATCTCTCTCTGACTCTCGGAGAACTGCCATAAATTCAGATGGCAGGTCGAGAGAATCCTCATCCCTGCGTAAAAGGCTTTGCATGTTTTTCTTTTCGATCCATGTGCTCGGGGCCCAATTTATCGGCCCGCATCTTTCGATAATGTAAGAGGCTAGATGATGTGCTTCTTCTGTCCAAGTAAAACTTTTGCAAAGCTTGCGAAAGAAGGAAAATGGATTCCGATAGTTTGTCGTGACATTATGACCAAACATATATTTGCAGAATTTGCGAAGTGCCGGAATTGCAAGAGGTATGAACCAAGCATAGTGGCCTGGGAAAGCCAAATCTATCAGGGAGAGATGGCGTCCAAACTCCGAGTCAGGGGACATTCCAACTGCCAATAGTTCATCAGTAGGCCTTATCTTCCCTTCTGAAATAGCAAACTGGATTGTCTGGATCCAATCGTCAATTTTTTTGGAAAACTCGAACTCATTTAGAGAGAGTACAAAATAATATCCGAAAGATCCTTCTTCATAGAACATCATGCCTAAGCAGCTTTCAGGGCTAACAACAGTATGGCAATGTAATGACACGATCGGAAATATGCCTGGCTCGGTTGAGAGACAAAATGTTCCAGTGAAAGCGCGGCTCAGCCACCTGCTATAAAACCTGTATTGTTTTCTTCCCTGTTTGGCTCGAATATTCTTCCAATTGTAGGCAAGCGGTGAGCCACAGCCCTGGACACTAGAGTCCCCACGATAAGGTAATGAGTAGGGTGTTGGTTCTTGAAAGACGGTTTGGTGAGAGGTCGTCGTGATGGAAAGTTGGAGTGTGTCCATTTTCTCCATGAGAAGATCTTGTTTGAAGCCAAAAATATCTTGCTTCGCCCCGAATTTATGTAACTCGCGTGCTGAAAACACATTCAATGCTGTGTTTAGATCCATTTCCATACTTTGCAGACAATCTCGAACTTCAAAAAGCTCTTCCTTTTTGAAATGATAGACCGCTGTTTCCCATGTCCTTCGAGCTCTGGAGCGTACACCCGTTGCCGCAACTTGAGCTCGCTCATACTGTTTAATTGGCCCATTCAGCTTATCTAGGTATGCTTGTAGACCTAATGCCTTTGACTCGAGATCTTCGGCGACATCCGGTAAATCGTTCTCCGTTTCTTCTATTAACTCGCGTAAGTTTTTTAGCAATGAACGGATATTGGAGGCTTTTGTTGCAAGGTATTGCATATCATCGCTTTGACCTTGGGCATTTTGAGCATAGCGGATGATCGCGTTGCAAATAGACAACCCGAGAGAAATGACCCCGACGGCGCTGCCGGTAACAGAGAGAGGGTCGGACATTTCTGATCATAAACTGAGATTTGAAAAAGGAGGGGGAGAATCGAGTCAAAGACAAAGGGAGAAGAGGCATTCTGTATTTCGGGCTGGGGAGGCAGTGTCTGAGGCTGAGGCTGAGGCTGAGGCTGAGATGCATGCGCTGGCAACCACGTCATCCTTGCAGGGGTCTAGTTGTTTGCGAGGGATTTGCAAAGCTCTCCGACTTCAGTATCCGGACGCTTGACGAAAACACCAGTCTCATCTCGCTCAAGAATCAAAGTGGACCGCAAGTGGATCCTGGTCTTCGCATCTACGGTGAAAACGTCCTCGTGGTCTCGAGGCTACCAAATCTGCAGAAGCCAATGGAAATACCAGACACAACCACTAAACAGTGTCCTACAGATACTACAGATTCTACTCTACTCTCCCAGAAAAAAGGCACTTAAAGGAAAATAAATCTAATCTTAGACTCAATTAAACATATCATTACTCCCAATATAAACATAAACATAAACACCACATCACACCAAGGGAAGAGAACAAGGGACTCACAAAGCCAGGAGACGAAACTGGCCCGGCCCAAATCTAGAAACAAAAAAATGAAAACAAAGGTGCAACATGAAACATGAAACATGAAAAGACAAACATAAGTCACAGAGTCATCACGTCTCAAAGGGAAATGGGGATGGGAAGGGAGTAGTAGCATCATCTATATGCGAACACAAAACACAACAGGGGCAGGGGACACAATGCAACGCAATGCAATGCAATCTAACCCAGTCACAGTCTCGCCGACTGACCTAAAACTGCGAAACAGCAACAGCAACAGCCTGCGACTCACTGTGACTAATACTGACATTAACAGACTTAACACCAGCAGCCTTAGCAGCAGCCGCAGCCTGACCATGAAGCTCAACAACGGGTGCACCAGTAGCATCAACCCCAATCTCAATATCCTTCAAAGCAGCACCAGCACCCTGGCTAGAAACACCAAGGGACTTGAAAACAGCCTCCTTAGCGCTCCAGCGGCCCGCAAATGAGGACTGGGGAGACGCGGCCTTGCGACAGTAGGCTTGTTCGGTTGGGGTGAAGTTTCGCTCGACGAAGGTGTCATTGTCGATGTTTACTGCGTCGATGTTTTCGACGTCGACGCCGACCTTTGAGTTTTCGGTTGCGTGGGCTTTGGCCAACGACTCGACCATTTGCGCGGTTTGCGCACTTTCTTCGGTCTTGGGGGCTGTGGATGCGTACTTCAGTTCGGAAGTCTTTTTGTCGACGCTGACGCGGTAGTCTGGGTTTAGGAAGATCTTGCTTTGCTGGTCATCTTCGTAGGGGGCCTTGGACTTGGCGACGAAGATGGAGTTGTTGATCAGACCGTTGTGGAAGTAGCGGTAGGCCTTCTTTTGACGGGCTTCGACCTTGGACTTGTAGGTTGCGTATTGGGCTGCGTCCAGAGTGGCATACAGGTACTTGGGGTGAATACCGATGACCTGGGCGCCCTTTTGACCGAAACCGAAGGATGTCACGCTGAATGCCTTGACGCCGTCGGTTTGGATGCTGCGGCTGGGATAGACGATGTAGTCGAATTTCTCCATCACTTTGTCCACGTTGTCCGCGTTGCGGTTACCGGGGACGAGACCGGATTCCAGCACTTGGAGACACCCGTTGAACATCCAGGCTCCGGCGGCACCCTTGGGGTGACCGGTGAGGTACTTCTGGAAGATACCCAAGACGGCGTTACCCTTCTTGCGACCGAGGTGCTTGAGTTGTTGGCAGATGACGTCGGACTCGTTCTTGTCGTTGGCAACGGTGGATGTACCGTGGAAAGAGGCGACGTCGATGTCGTCGACGGTCAGACCCCAGGTTGCAAGGGCACCGCGGAGAGGAGCGATGCGCGAATCCTGCTTCCAGAAGTTGTTGCCCAGGCTGAACTGAGCATCCTTCTCTTGGCGGATGGCTTCGCGCTCGATGTGCTGGGCGCGCTCTTGCAGGTACTCGGACTCGTTGAAGGTCTCGTCGCCCTGGGCCTTCATGGCCTCGGCCTCCTCGCGGAGATAGAGCAGTTCAGACTCCTGCCATTCCTTGATCTGCTTCTTGCGCAGATCCATCTGGCGACGGCGGTACTTGATGTCCAGCAGAGGCGAGGGGAACTTGCCGGGGTTCTCACGGGCAGTGGTGAGGACACCTTGGCCGGGAGCGGGTACGGAGCGACCGATCTTGTCAGTGGCGGTGGTGGTCAGGGCAATGATACCGTGGATGGGGACACCCATGTCCAGAGCGAGCTGGGCACTCATGATCAGTTGCATACCGCAACCCTGGGACTCCATGAAGCCGGCACGGGTAGTGGTGGTAGGACGCGACATCTCCTGGGGAGTACGGCCGTGAGCGAACTCATCCTCGGCATTGCTGGTAGCCTTCATGTTGGCGAACTCGTAAGAGCCCTCCTCTTGGAAGTCATCGAAACCACCAACGAAGCAGACACGGGCCTTGCCCTCGACAATGGTCTCGTAACCAATGTCAACGGACTCGACAGCAGTGGCGCAGGCACCGACGGGGGTCTTGATGGGACCGGTGGAAGACAGCAGCAGCATGTTCACCCAGGCGCTCATCGTGTTGATGAAAGACTCCTGCAGGATATCCTTCTGCAGAGGCTTGTCCAGGTAACGATCCTTGTACATACCGCGCAGAGCGTGGGTACCACCGATACCGGAACCAATGCAGTTACCAACCTCAGACAGGTGGACATACTTGTAGAACTCGTACGGGTCGGTGATACCAGCGGACAGCATCGACTCGGCGGTACACACCAGGACGAACAGGGTGACGGGGTCGACCTGCTCGATGATATCATCGGGGATACCGTAGCGGCTGGCATCCCAGCCGGTGGGGACCTGACCAGCGACCAGGCGGTCGAACTGCAGAGCCTTGGGGATGAGCAGGTTGGCACCCTTGCGAAGACGGACAGTGAATTCGCCAGAGTCGGGGATCTCGAAGATCTCGACCTTGTCGCCGTGCTCACGCTTGAACTCCTCGGCAGTCTCCTTGGAGGCCTCGAAGGGCTCGAGGTCCTCCTGGATGACGATCTCCTGCAGCAGCTGCTTCTTCTTGGGGTCGTAACCCTTGAACAGCTCGGGCTCGATCAGACGGATACCGGTGTGCTCGAGAATGTACTTCTCGTACTTGGGCTTGACATCCTTGTCGTCGACGGGGTCGCCGGTCTTGGCATCAACCCAGCCGGAGTAGGACTTGCCCTTGAGGGGACCGTTGTGGTGCTTGATCAGACCCATGATCCAGGCCATCTCAACGCAGCCCTCCAGGGAGAACTTGCCGCTGGACTCCATCTCCCAACGGGTACGGGAGTTACCCCAAGGACCGACCTCGGAGAAACCAGTGACGACAACAACCTTGTCCAAGTTGACCATACCCTTGAGAGACTCGTTGATGGGCTTGACCTCCTCCCAGTCGGGAAGCTTGGGGAACTCGAACTTGATGTTGGCACGGGGCTCGGCAACGACCTTCTTGTACAGAACGCCGCTGTCCTCGCCGTTGACAACCTTGTGCTCGATGGCGGTCTCCTTGATGACAGCCTGGCGGACATCGCTGGTCTCCATGATGTCGGTGCGCAGCTTGGTCATCAATCCCTTGAGGTCGGGGATGAACTGCAGACCACCGTTCAGATCGGCCCAGACGGGGTCGAGCTGGCAGAGGTTGACGACGGCAGGGACATCAGACCCAGAAGGTTGAAAGCCATCTCCTGCTGAGAGAAGGTGCGGACACCAAGCTTCTCAACACCCTCGGCAACCATGTTGTTGCCGCTCATCAGACCAGTACCACGGGTCCAGCCAATGACTGCACCGCAAATGGTGAGGTAGTTGCCCCAGTTCTCCGAGTACCAACGGTTGAACAGGGTCTCCAGAGCCAGCTTGGACTCGGAGTAGAGACCATCGTTACCGAAGGTACCGTGGTTGGGGGACAGAGGCAGAACGACCTGGGCGGGACGAGTCTCGAAGCCGTGAGCCTGCTTCTGGGTCTTGACGGAACCCAGCATGCGGAGCAGGTTGGTCAACATGATACGGTGAGCCAGCTCAGACTTGGAATCGATGTTGTCAATCTCGCGTCCATTCTCGGGGATGGCAGCGAAGGGAACAACGAAGTCGAGATCCCAGCCAAGACCCTTCTTGGTGTCGTAGATGTAGTCGACAAGGGCCTCGACATCCTGCTTGCTACCCTGGTTGAAGGGCACAACAACAAGCTGGGAGCCGCGGCCACCGTAACGGGCGTACATGGCCTGGTAGTACTCGGTCACCTCACGAGAGAATCGGCTGGTGGTAACAACAACCTTGGCACCACCACTGATGAGACCCTGCAGGACCTCAGCACCAATAGAACCAGCACCAGCGCCAGTCATGAGGACATTCTTGCCCTGGAAGGTGAGACCTCCAGAGGCAGCGGACTCGAGAACGTTCAGGTAGATACCGGTAAGCTTCTTGTTGTAGTCCCAGCTGTCTCCGCTCTTCTTCTTCAGGTGGAGGAAGGGAATGGTCTCGACCTTGCCGGGGTTAAGAGGACGCTTGATGCCCGACTTGTTGCCACCCTCCTGGGGCATGATCTGGCTCTCGTTCATGTTCAAGGCGTGCAGGACGTCCTTGTACAGAGCATCGAACTGGAGTTGGGAAGACTTGGAGAGATGATGTTGCTTGCGGATGAGCTTGTAAACGTTCTTCAGGTCATTCTGCACCTTGTTGCGGTTGCTGTACTCGGAGATGGGACCACCGTCAGCCATCTGCTTGACGTAGTGCTCCAGCTTGCGGGCACTGGACCGGGACACCTCCTTGTAGCCGATGGTGCCCTTGGAGTCGATGGTCGTCTCGGGGCCGGTAGGGACGTTGACATCCTTGTAGACGGGGGGCACATCCATGACCTCCTTGCAGTTCTCGATGAGTTGTTGGCCCAGCTCCTTGGCCAATTTGTAGGTCTCGCCGCGCTCAGTGGGGCAGTTGTCAATGTGGTACTGCATGAAGTCGAGGAGAAGAGGGTTGGAGCGGTTCATGATGCGAATGCAACGGCTGACAATTTCACGATCCACCACTTGGAGGCGACCGAAAATGATATCGTAGTACATGCTCAGGGCGTCCTGACGAGCCCAGTTCCAAGAGGAGTCGTAGACACGAGCCTTGAGGGGATCGAAGGAGGGCTCAATGCCGGAGGCGTAGAAGTCGCCGTGCTCGGCCTGCCACAGATCGATTTGTGATTGAAGAGCCTTCTGGGTTTCTTGAGAGGTAATGAAAGCCTTGTCACCGGCACGCAGGTCCATCTTCAAGTAGCGGGCAATCACCTCGAGCTGCTGCTTGAACAGAGCCCGTTGATCCTTGGTCAGAGCATCAATGGCAGCGGGGTCCATCATCATACCGCCGCCACCACCACCGGCGTCACCACCGGCGGCAGGAGTAGACAGGTTGATGCCAGCGCTGGCGGCGTATTTGTTGGTGACATCGTCGAGGAAGGCCTTGGCATCGGCCTCTGAGCCAAGACGGGAGGCCGGCTCCATTGTAATGGCAAGCAGGAGGACACCGTCCTGACGACCGGAGCCCAGACCCCAGCGGGTTTCCAAGTATTTGCGCACAGCTGTGATATTGAAGCCACCGGGCATCTTTGAGGAGACGGTTCGGGCAATGAGGGAGGAGGATTGCTTGCCCAATTGGCCGTTGAAAGTGGCCTGCATGGCGGCACCAAGCTCATCGAGGGGAGTGTCCTCGGGCTTTTCGGGAGTTGAGCCGAATTCCTTGCCCAGATCACCCAGGATTTCATTTTGTAATGTAGATTTACCTAGAAGCGGGAGATCGACGTTAGCGGGGGTTCATTGGGGTATGACATTGGAACCATTGCTGGATTTACTCACCTCCAACGAGATCTTTAATAGCTTTTGTCAATGGCACATCGGCCAGACCCTTCTTCAGCTTCTGCGCCACGAGAGATCGCAGAATATCGACGGCAGTGACGGGAACATCTTCGACAGCGGCGGCGGGACCAGCACTGGGGGCTGCAGGTGCAGCAGCAACAGGAGCAGCGGCGGGAGCTGAACCACCGGAAGCAGGGGCGGCATCCGCAGCGGGGGTTGGCTCGGGCTCATCCTCTACGGGATCGACATCGTAGTAGATCTCCTTGGCGTCCTTATTGTAACAGAGGATTTGACGTTGCACGGAGGTAGCGGCATCATAAGCCTCATACTTGGAGGCGAGTGTGCGGCGGGCCATTCCACCGAGGGTATCTGCGGGACCAATCTCAACAATGCGCTCAGTGCGCTGTTCAGCGAGAACGACATCTTGGGTTTCAATCCATCGGACGGGGGAGGCGAATTGGTAGGCGAGTAGCTCCACCAACAAGGTGTGTGCCAGCTCCTGCTCGATCTCGGGACGCATGATGGTGTGAGAGAAGGGGTATCGTTGAGGGAGGGAGGAGGTAGGGAGGAGGAGATATATTAAGTTTGTTGTAAGTGTAGGACCAGCGTCCTCGGATGGCGCGACGGGGGGGAGGTGGTGTCGCAGTCGGGGGACAATTGCAGGTGTTTAATAGAAGAAACCCCCAAAAGAAGAGAATAGGGAAATTAAAAAGTTGACAAGTAATGACAATGAGGAGAAGGGAAGAGGAGAGGAGAGGGGAGGAGGAGGAGTGTCAAGGAAGGACTGGAGGTTGACCCGATGGGGATGGGAAGCAAAAAAAAAAAGGTGGGAGTTGATAGCTGGTAATACAATTACAGTTACAATGGGTGTGGTGGGTGGGCAGTAACCAGTAGCCAGTGGTGGTGGTGGGCAGTAAGGCGGTGGGCAGTATCAGTACTCAGTATCAGTAACCACTAGGGTGATGGTACCACTGGTGGGCGGTATGTAAGTAAGTACTGACAGGTACTGGATGCAGTTGAGTAATCAAGTCAACATTTACTGGTGGTAACCCAGTAGTTAGTGGTAACTATAACTACAAAGTCCGGCATTCGGCCGGATGTTGAGTATGGGTGGCCAAGTGGAGGAGTGTACTGTGCCTGATTCTACAGTATCAGAGTGGCACTACTACAGTAGCACTAGAGTATACTAGAGTATACTCTATACTCTCCACTCTTCCTCCATAAAATACATACTGTAACAATCCCAACGCCCCAGCGTCCCACTAAAAACGAAGATTACCAACAAACTCGTTGAATTCGGCGGGGCCACGCTAGTCCCCTTTGGGTGATTCAACTGATCTTTTTTTTTGTTGCTTCCACCACCACCACCACCACCTCCTCCACCATTGCTGCCCTGCCGACTTTGACTACTTCCTCTGTCCTCCTCCTCCACCTCCACCTCCTCTACTCCTCCCCCTCTTCAGTTCTTGCTTTTTACTTTACTTAATCTTATTTCGTGTCAATTGAGATATCTAGAGGTATCTACTCCTTGCTCTCCTCCACCACCACCACCACCACCACCACCACCACCACACCGCAGCTGCTAACCACCACAGTCAATTGACCACGACTCCCGATAGAGATAGAGGGGATTTACGACTGCATATACATTAAACACCTCCTACGACTCCTCATCTTCTCCTTCTCACCACTACCACCACTCCCACCATGTACGGCACATCCACCGGCCCCCAGACCGGTATCAATACCCCCCCCTCCTCCCAGTCACTGCGCCCCCTCATCCTGTCGCATGGCTCTCTCGAATTCTCTTTCCTCGTTCCTACTTCCGTTCACTTTCATGCCTCCCAGTTGAAGGACGGCTTCGCCACATCATTACCCGAACCTACAGATGAATTGGCCCAGGATGATGAGCCCTCCTCCGTCGCCGAGTTGGTCGCCCGCTACATTGGTCATGTCGCCCGCGAAGTCGAGGCCGGAGAGGATGATACCCAGGGCAGCTATGATGAGGTCCTCAAGCTGGTTCTGAATGAGTTCGAGCGTGCTTTTATGCGCGGTAACGACGTTCACGCCGTCGCCGCTGCTCTCCCCGGTATCGTCGAGAAGAAAAACCAGGTCGTCGAGGCCTATTATGCCGGACGTGCCGCCGCCGGCCGGCCCACAAAGCCCTACGATTCGGCGCTCTTCCGCGCTGCCTCTGACGAGGCGGCCGGTATTTACACCGTCTTCGGTGGTCAGGGTAACATTGAGGAGTACTTTGACGAGCTGCGCGCTGTTTATACTACTTACCCTTCCTTCGTCGAGGACCTCATTGTCTCCTCTGCAGAGCTCCTGCAATCGCTCTCTCGGGATCCCGAGGCCAGCAAGCAGTACCCTAAGGGTCTGGATATTATCCGCTGGCTCCAGGACCGCGATGCCCAACCCGATACCGACTACCTGGTCTCCGCCCCCGTCAGTCTTCCTCTGATCGGTTTGGTCCAGCTGGCTCACTACACCGTCACCTGCAAGGTCCTGGGCCGCCAGCCCGGCGATCTGCTGGAGCGTATCCGGGGAACTACTGGTCACTCGCAAGGCGTTGTGACTGCGGCCGCTATTGCTACGGCCACCAGCTGGGAGTCCTTCGCCCAGGCTTCCCGCAATGCTCTGACCATGCTCTTCTGGATCGGTCTGCGCAGTCAACAGGCCTACCCCCGTACTTCCATTGCCCCCTCTGTCCTGCAGGACTCGATCGAGAATGGCGAGGGTACCCCCACTCCCATGCTTTCCATCCGTGATCTGTCCCGCGCTCAGGTCCAGGAGCACATTGATGCCACCAACCAGCACTTGCCCGAGGACCGCCACATCGCCATCTCCCTGGTCAACAGTGCTCGCAACTTCGTTGTCACCGGTCCTCCCATCTCTCTCTACGGTCTGAACCTGCGTCTCCGCAAGGTCAAGGCCCCTACTGGTCTCGATCAGAACCGTGTTCCCTTCACTGAGCGCAAGGTTCGCTTCGTCAACCGTTTCCTCCCCATCACCGCCCCCTTCCACAGCCAGTACCTCACCTCTGCCTATGAGCGTATCCTGGAGGACCTCGAGGATGTCGATATCCCCGCCAAGTCCCTCGTCATTCCCGTTTTCCACACCAAGACTGGCGATGACCTGCGCCAGCTGGGCGATGAAAGCGCCGTCCCCGCTCTGGTTCGCATGATCACTCATGATCCTGTCAACTGGGAGCAGGCCACTGTCTTCCCCAGTGCCACTCACATCGTTGACTTCGGCCCTGGTGGCATTTCCGGTCTCGGTGTTCTGACCAACCGCAACAAGGATGGTACCGGTGTCCGAGTCATTCTGGCTGGCGAGATGGATGGTACCAACGCCGAGGTTGGCTACAAGCCTGAGCTGTTCGACCGTGACGAGCACTCCGTCAAGTATGCCACCGACTGGGTGAAGGAGCATGGCCCTCGCCTCGTGCAGACTTCCACCGGTCAGACCTACGTCGACACCAAGATGAGTCGTCTGCTCGGCATCCCCCCTGTTATGGTCGCCGGTATGACCCCTACTACTGTCGCCTGGGACTTCGTGGCCGCTACCATGAACGCCGGTTACCACGTCGAGCTGGGTGGTGGTGGTTACTACAACGCCAAGACTATGACCGCCGCTGTCAACAAGATCGAGAAGGTCATCCCCCCTGGCCGTGGTATCACTATCAACTTGATCTATGTCAACCCCCGTGCCATGGCCTGGCAGATCCCTCTGATCGGTCGCCTGCGCGCTGATGGTGTCCCCATCGAGGGTCTCACCATTGGTGCTGGTGTGCCCTCTATTGAGGTTGCCAACGAGTACATCGAGACTCTGGGTATCAAGCACATTGCTTTTAAGCCCGGCTCCGTCGACGCTATCCAGCAGGTCATCAACATCGCCAAGGCCAACCCCAAGTTCCCCATTCTCCTCCAGTGGACCGGTGGTCGTGGCGGTGGTCACCACTCTTTCGAGGATTTCCACCAGCCCATCCTCCAGATGTACGGCCGTATTCGCAAGCAAGACAACATCGTTCTTGTTGCTGGCAGTGGTTTCGGTGGCGCTGAGGACACTTACCCTTACCTCTCCGGTACCTGGTCCGGCAAGTTCGGCTACCCTGCCATGCCCTTCGATGGTTGTCTCTTCGGTTCCCGTGTGATGGTCGCCAAGGAGGCCCACACTTCCAAGAACGCCAAGAAGGCGATCGTCGATGCCCCTGGTGTTGCCGATGAGGAGTGGGAGAAGACCTACAAGGGCGCCACTGGTGGTGTCATCACCGTTCTCTCCGAGATGGGCGAGCCTATCCACAAGCTCGCTACTCGTGGTGTTCTGTTCTGGCAGGAGATGGACCAGAAGATCTTCAAGCTTGACAAGGCCAAGCGTGTTCCTGAGCTGAAGAAGCAGCGCAACTACATCATCAAGAAGCTCAATGATGACTTCCACAAGGTGTGGTTCGGCCGCAACGCTGCCAATGAGACCGTCGATCTGGAGGATATGACCTATGCTGAGGTTGTCCACCGTATGGTCGAGCTCATGTACGTTAAGCATGAGTCTCGCTGGATCGACGACTCGCTGAAGCGTCTCACCGGTGATGTCCTCCGCCGTGTCGAGGAGCGTTTCACCACTGCCAATGGCCAGGCTTCCCTTCTGCAGAACTACTCCGAGCTGGACACCCCTTACCCCGCTGTTGACAACATTCTTGCTGCCTACCCCGAGGCTGCCTCCCAACTAATCAACGCTCAAGATGTGCAGCACTTCCTTCTCCTCTGCCAGCGCCGTGGTCAGAAGCCCGTTCCCTTCGTCCCCGTTCTGGATGAGAACTTCGAGTACTTCTTCAAGAAGGACTCTCTGTGGCAGAGCGAGGATCTCGAGGCTGTTGTTGACCAGGATGTCGGCCGTACCTGTATTCTGCAGGGTCCCATGGCCGCTCACTTCTCCAAGATCATGGATGAGCCTGTTCAGGACATTCTTGATGGCGTCCACAACGGTCACATTGCTGGCCTGCTCCGTGATGTCTACGGTGGTGACAAGTCCAAGATCCCCGTGATCGAGTACTTCGGCGGCAGACTGTCCAACCCTGAAGATGAGCCCGAGCTGGATGGTCTCACTGTCTCTGAGGAGCCCAACAAGCTCAGCTTCCGTCTGTCCGCTTCTCCCTCCGCTGTCCTCCCCGATGACGACCAGTGGCTGCGTCTCCTCGCCGGCGATTCCTACTCTTGGCGTCACGCTCTCTTCCAGGCCGATGTCTATGTCCAGGGTCACCGTTTCCAGACCAACCCCATGAAGCGCATCGTTGCCCCCACTGGCGGCCTCTACGTCGAGATCGCCAACCCCAACACTCCTGCCAAGACTGTCATCACTGTCCGTGAGCCCTACCAGTCTGGCAAGCTCGTCAAGACCGTTGAGGCCAAGATGAACGAGAACGGCCAGATCAGCCTGACCCTGTTCGAGGGCCGCACCGCCGAGAATGGCGTTGTTCCCCTGAACTTCCTCTTCACTTACCACCCGGAGACCGGCTACGCCCCCATCCGTGAGGTTATGGGTGACCGCAACGACCGCATCAAAGAGTTCTACTACCGTATCTGGTTCGGCAACAAGGATGTCCCCTTCGACACCCCCACCACTGCCACTTTCAACGGTGGAACCGAGACCATCACCTCGCAGGCTGTTGCTGACTTCGTCCACGCCGTCGGTAACACCGGTGAGGCCTTCGTCGACCGCCCCGGCAAGGAAGTCTACGCTCCTATGGACTTTGCTATTGTTGCTGGCTGGAAGGCCATCACCAAGCCCATCTTCCCCCGTACCATCGACGGTGATCTGCTCAAGCTGGTCCACCTGTCCAACGGCTTCAAGATGGTTCCTGGTGCCCAGCCCCTGAAGGTTGGCGATGTTCTGGACACCACTGCCCAGATCAACGCTGTCATCAACAACGAGTCTGGCAAGATGGTCGAGGTTTGCGGTACCATCAAGCGCGATGGCCAGGCTATCATGCACGTCACTAGCCAGTTCTTGTACCGTGGTGCCTACACCGACTTTGAGAACACCTTCCAGCGCAAGGAGGAGGTTCCCATGCAGGTTCACCTGGCTACCAGCCGTGACGTTGCCATCCTCCGCTCTAAGGAGTGGTTCCGCGTGGATGAGAGCGACATCGAGCTGCTCGGCCAGACCCTCACTTTCCGTCTGCAGTCTCTGATCCGCTTCAAGAACACCACTGTCTTCAGCAACGTTCAGACCATCGGTCAGGTCCTGCTGGAGCTTCCCACCAAGGAGGTTGTTCAGGTCGCTTCCGTGGAGTACGAGGCCGGTGCCTCCCACGGCAACCCCGTCATCGACTACCTCCAGCGTAACGGTAACTCCATCGAGCAGCCCATCCACTTCGAGAACCCCATCCCGCTCAGTGGCAAGACTGCTCTGGAGCTGCGTGCCCCGGCCTCCAACGAGACCTACGCTCGTGTCTCTGGCGATTACAACCCCATCCACGTGTCGCGTGTCTTCTCCAGCTATGCCAACCTACCCGGCACCATCACTCACGGCATGTACAGCAGTGCCGCCGTGCGCAGCCTGGTCGAGACCTGGGCCGCCGAGAACAACATCGGCCGTGTCCGTGGCTTCCACGTCTCCCTGGTCGGTATGGTTCTGCCTAACGACATGATCACCGTCAAGCTCCAGCACGTCGGTATGATTGCCGGTCGCAAGCTCATCAAGGTCGAGGCCTTCAACAAGGAGACCGAGGAGAAGGTTCTGGACGGCGAGGCCGAGGTCGAGCAGCCCATCACTTCCTACGTCTTCACTGGTCAAGGTTCCCAGGAGCAGGGCATGGGTATGGAGCTCTATGCCAGCAGCCCCGTCGCCAAGGAGGTCTGGGACCGTGCCGATCGTCACTTCATCGAGAACTACGGTCTCTCCATCATCGATATCGTCAAGAACAACCCCAAGGAACTCACCGTCTACTTCGGTGGTCCCCGTGGTAAGGCTATTCGCCAGAACTACATCTCGATGACCTTCGAGTCTGTCAACGCCGATGGCTCCATCAAGTCAGAGAAGATCTTCAAGGAGGTCGACGAGACTACCGCCTCGTACACCTACCGCTCTCCTACCGGTCTGCTTTCCGCTACCCAGTTCACCCAGCCCGCCCTCACCCTCATGGAGAAGGCCTCATTCGAGGACATGCGCTCCAAGGGTCTGGTCCAGCGCGACAGCAGCTTCGCCGGTCACTCTCTGGGTGAATACTCCGCCCTGGCCGCCCTGGCCGACGTCATGCCCATCGAGTCCCTGGTCTCCGTCGTCTTCTACCGCGGTCTGACCATGCAAGTCGCCGTCGAGCGCGACGCCCAAGGCCGCTCCAACTACTCCATGTGCGCCGTCAACCCGAGCCGTATCTCCAAGACCTTCAACGAGCAAGCTCTCCAATACGTCGTGGAAAACATCTCCGAAACCACCGGCTGGCTCCTCGAGATCGTCAACTACAACGTCGCCAACATGCAATACGTCGCAGCCGGTGACCTCCGCGCCCTAGACTGCCTAACCAACCTACTGAACTTCCTCAAGGCTCAGAACATCGACATCCCCGCCCTGATGGAGAGCATGTCCATCGAAGACGTCAAGGCCCACCTCGTCAGCATTATTCAAGAATGCGTCAAGCAAACCGAAGCCAAGCCCCGCCCCATTAACCTGGAGCGTGGTTTCGCTACCATCCCGCTCAAGGGCATTGATGTCCCCTTCCACAGTACTTTCCTGCGCTCGGGTGTTAAGCCTTTCCGCTCTTTCTTGCTTAAGAAGATTAATAAGACTACTATTGATCCGAGCAAGTTGATCGGCAAGTACATTCCCAATGTTACGGCTAGACCGTTCGAGATTACGAAGGAGTACTTTGAAGATGTTTATCGTTTGACGAACTCTCCTCGTATCGCTTCTATTCTCGCGAACTGGGATAAGTATGAGGAGGGTGGTGAGGCTGCTGCTCGTGCTTAGGTGAGGCTAGCCCTGAGTTGGAGCTGGAGTTGGAGCTGAAGTTGGACTTTCGAGGTGTGTGATTTTTGTCATGTCATGTCATTGTCATTGCATTGCATTGCCGATGCCAGTACCTAATGTGTGTGTGCATGTGTTTTTCTTTTTCATTTTTTCCTTTTTCCTTTTGTATCTCCCATAGAAAGACCTGTCAATCAGGTCGTGATGTGACATGTCTCTGTTCTGTCTGGTTTTTTGTGGATTTTTGGCGCTATTTACTGTGGCATGTATATCTTTGATGTTAAATGTTAAGAGTTGATTCAGTTCATTTTATTTTATATTATTTCATTTTATTCTACTTCATTCTGCTCCTTAAGTCTGGGAATTCGAGTACTTCTTTTCCTGCGTATTTACTAGTTAGTTGCCTTTGTAGACCCCCAGTAACTTGAAAACAGTCACCATGATCCGGCCAACTCATTGATATAATATCTCAATCTTGGAAACACTACAGTGCTGTACTCGCACCCCTTTCAACCTACAAATACAGGAATTTGCCAGGTCTTCATATATTCCAAGATTTGTATCTGACATTGAACCAAAACCTGAACCTTATTCTATACTCGATTCGATTATCACCATGTAACTATGGAATGGCATGGGATGGAATGCCTCACCAGGTGGGATTCGACACAGCAAAAAAAAATAGGCGGAATAGTACCAAAAAAAATACAGCGCTAGTCTAAAGAGAGCCAAAAAGTGCGGACACACAGTTCAAGTTCCTACTAGTTAGTATATTCTGGACCGCGGACGATAGCCGACTGGCTCGGGCTCCCCCGTAGCTTAATTTTGTATTTTACGAGTACCCTTGGATCTTCTTGTAAAGGTTACAGGCGCTGCTTCATGTAGAGCCCCTTTGTCAATAGCGGCCATTTTTACTCATAGTAGATACACCTGGGCAGTGGGCAGTACGGGTACTCCGTAGTTCGAGAAATCATCTCAAACTCCCACTCTTCTATTCCTATTTAATTTTCACTTCAATCGGCGTTACCGATCCTAACTTTTTACGTGGGTCTTGAGGCTTAAATTCCAGGGACTGGCCCCTGAAAAGTTGGGGGCTATCGAAATAGCGCGTCTAATTTGGGACTAAAGCCTCGCTAACAGCGACGGGGACCGGAATACCAGCAGTACTAGCGGCCATTTCCTTCTAAAATCCGGCCGTGAACTCCGGAGGCTGATTTTACAAGGTTTATTTATAACGCCGGGTCCAGACTGATTCTGAGTCCGTCTAAGTTTCTCACCTTCGTCTTTCGTTTCTTTCCAAGGTGTTTATCGGGATATTCAACTTTTTCATCATCATTCTTTCATTTTTCCATTATACATCATTGCGAATATCCTCATCCAACAAAATGGCTCCCACCACCACAACCATGATATTTCGCCTCCTCGCATTATCCGCAGCTCTAAGCCAGGCGACTGCATCCTTCAGCCTCAATATCTCCGGCCCAAGCTGGGACTATACAACCAAGGACCTAGCACCCACCACCTCCCAATCATGCAAAGAAGCCTACAGCGCCAGTATCAACTGTGATGAAACTCTTCTCAAGCTCGTGGCGTCCTTGGACATAAACTTCCACCCGGATAATTCGGATTTGCGACAAACTTGCACTACGACCTGTAAAGACTCGCTGGATGATTATGTCAAGAATGTTAAGGATGCTTGTGACCAGGATGGGGATCTGGCTGGTCTGGATCAGGGGAGATCTCTTGATTTCTCGGTTCCTGTTTCGACGGTTGGGGAGGTTTTTCAGTATATGTATGGTCGGGGTTGTGCGATGAATGGGTAAGCAAAATAAAGCTGACTACTTTGGTCCTTGGGTGGAATACATGTGCTTACATTTCTTTGCAGAACTGACTACTGCTACCCAACCTTCGCGGAAAGCGATAGCTGGGGCAGCGAGGATTTCTCATGCAGCGACAACTGTGCAATGAAATTCATGCAAAACGCCCACAACCAACCTGGTTCCGGATATTTCTTCTTCTACTTCACCCTTAGCAACCAGTCCTCGTGGTGGGAAGATGTTTTTGCGGGTGGTTGGAAGACTGTTGTTAAATGCGGCAAGGGTGGAAGTGGAAGTGGAAGCTCTGTCAGTTCGAGCGTGAGCTCGTCAAAGACTGATTCTGTTGACTCTTCCTCTTCTTCTTCTTCTTCTTCTTCTTCTTCTTCTTCTTCTTCAACCAGTCTAAGTAATGGCAATGCTGTTTCTACGACTTCGACTTCGACTGCGGCTATGAGGAGTACTACTAGTACTGCTCCTGCTAATTCGGCTACTGCTACTAGTGGTGCTTCGAGGCTTAGAATTCTCTTCTTTTAGATCCTGGGCGTGGGTGTATATGCTTTAAGCATTTTGGATGTACTTTTAATGTAATTAATTATGAAAAATATGGGTATCAAATTCATTATTCTTATATTAGGCAGATACAAGGTTGTATTATGTTCCCGAAACTATTCATTAGAACTAGTATACTAGCTTACTTATCTTACGTATACTGTATATGAATCTTCGTATCCGTTACTGATATAAAACTGCTGAGTATGTAACCTTTGGACTGTTCAGAGTACTTATGTCACAGTATTTACTCCTACTAAATCTACTAAATCCGAGTCACCACCGCACAGAATCCAAACTTGAACCTAAATGTAATCCCAGATAATACTTGTAGTCTGATCAAATAAAATAACTTTGTCCAAATTCAAATTCAAATTCAAATTCATTTGTTCAGGTTCGTTGTATTGGAGCCCTGTGGCTCATCTTGGCTTGGCTTGGCTTGGCTTGGTTTAGATTTAGATTTAGCACAAAGTATTGGCAATTATCATACATCAGATTCCTGTATTGAATGAAACGAACTTCATTCTATCTTCAGTCTTGTCCAGTCCAGTCAAATCAGACCAGACCAGACCAGACCCGAATCTCGACGGTATCCCCATCCTCATCTTGAGCCACCAAGCTATCAATCACTATCACCATCCACCTAGATACCCCTGCCCTTTCTCTCTTCCTTTCTTGCTTTCTTTCGCTGTGCACTTCTTTCCACATCCTCTCTTCTTCTCTTCTCTTCTCTTCTCCTCACCCACTCACTCACCCTCCCAATCCAAGCTTAGAATAGGAACTACCCCTACCCCTTCCAAGGACCAGGCTGCAACAACCTCGTCTCCTTAATGTAAACACTAACATCCTTGACAATAGCAATAAATCTCCGATGATTCTCCTTACTATCGCCAATGCGAGGTCGGAATTTCCGCAACAGATCACTGCTCTGGATACCTGTTGCCGGAATTGCGGCGTGGATTTCCGCGGGTGTTGGGAAGGGTTGGTTTCCTGGGATAGGTGTTGATCGGCCTGGGTATATGGGGTTAGCAATGCGAATATAAAATAGACTGGGTGAAAAGAAATGAATGCTGATTCGGGGGGGGTGCTTACCTCTCGCGCCCTCGGGACTACTAGCCCGACTCCCAGAGAAACTCCGTCCACCAGCAATAGGACTACCAGCGCGTGAACCAACAGGCGTTCCAGTCCTGGATTGCCCTGGCAGAGTAAGCTTAAGTTTCTTCGGTTTACCGCTCTCGCTCATTTCAGCGCCTGAACCGGCCATATCGACGTCGCTACCTGAACCAGATCCGCCGAGAGGAATATTTCGAACGCGTTTCTTACCCGCTGCTGCTGCGGTGGGCGAAATTGGTCGCGATGTAGGTTGCGGTGTTGGGTGCGAAGAGGCGTGCTTGTTCTTGGCCTTCTTGCGAGATGTGTCTGTTCCACTTGCGTCGGAGCCGTTGGGGGATCCGAGGCGTTTGCGGGAAGTGGCTGATTTCTTTAGCGGGTCGGTGTATTTTGGTCGGCCTGAGGGAGTGTTGTTGCCTTTTGATGAGCCGGAGTCCTTTTGTTGATTCTTTTCTTCTTCGGCCTTTTTCTTTTCTTCTTCTTTTTGGCGCTCGGTTTCGCTGTCGTCGGAGCTCTGGATATCGTTAGTCAACGAGTTACTGGTGACATTTCAAGCTGGAAATGGAAATGGAAACCAAATCTCCAGAGCAGGGCACGGCAGGGTAGTCTTACCTCCTCATCAGTGTAAGGATTAAAATCCGACCCAGAACTATAATCATAATTCTTCTCACGCTTCTTCAACGCCTTCCGCACCTTCTTACCCTGAACATGACGAGCCTCCTTCTCCCACTTCTCGCGCTTCTCCTCTTCCTCATAATCCTTCTCATTCTTAAGATCAAACACATTTGCCTTGAGCTGATCTTCCTTAATCCGTTTCTCTGCAGCCTTGGTATCCTCATCCTGATCATTGAACAGATCATCACCATGCTCCTCATCATCCGCAAATCGATCCTCTTCGAAATCCATCTCTCCACCCTCAAGACCCTCCCGTCCATTCTGAGTCCCCTGCTTGCCAAAGAAAACCTTCCGAGACTTCGCATACTGGTCTAGCTGACTCTTCTCCATAATCTCAGCCTGTTTCTCCATAAACCATCTCGGATCCTTGATTCGCTTCGCCATATGTTTCTCCGCTTCTTCGATAGTAAGAGCCTTGAACTGACTCTTCGCACTGAACTTATACCACTTCTCCGCGGGAATCATCCGCACCTTCGCCTGCCCCTGCTGACCCTGTCCATGATCAAACATAAAAACAGCATGCGTCTCCGAAAGCGCAGCCTCATAATTCCCAACCCAGATATTGCGATTATCAAAATCTTCAAGATGCCACGGCAAAGCCTCCTCATATCTAACCCTAGCACGCGCCAATTCCTCGGGAGTCATATCACTCTTAAAAACCTGCTGAGTCTTCTGTTTCGGCGCATTAGGTCTCTTCGAAGATCCAGCCGCAGGAGCAATTTGAGCCTGATTCTCCGCACGCTCTTTATCGCGTAGTGCGCGCTTTGCGTCCATGGCTTCTTTATCTGCTTCGCTAAGTTGTTCGCCTCCTGGTCCGACTAGACGTTCGGAATTGGATTCGTGGGATCGAGTGCGTGGGTCGCGGCGGTGTAGACGGACTGGTCGGGTGAATTGGGACTCGTCGCGGGGATCGACGGGTCGTTTTGCGGCGAAGCGGGCGATGTGGTGTTTCATTCCTTCTAGGAGGGCGCGTTTGGTTGTTACCACGGGATAATCGGTGTAGGTTGTTGAGAGGAGGGGTCCACTGAAGCCGTTTACGGAGTGGTCGGCTGCGTTGGTGTTGGCGCTGGCGTTGGTGTTGGGAGGTATAGCTGACAGGGCAGGGTTCTCGGAGGAAGCTTGCGGGTTTTGGGGCCGTGTTGGGAGCGTTTTGATTGATGTTGCGGGTACTTGGCGGAGTTGACCTGGTCGAGATGGAGGTGCGAGACCTCCTGGTGCACCTGTGGCGGCCTTCACTGGACCTCTTCGCTTTGGGCGAACTAAGGGGTCTGCTTGTCTGGGGCGACGCATTCGCATTGGCGGAGCTCCGTTTGGCCCGGTTGGCGTTCGGCCGTTGGAGGGGTTTGTTGGCGTCGACATGGTGGACGAAGAGGGGTTGGCTTGACTTGGTGTATTGTGTTTCTCGATCAAACAGGGGAGCGCATCGGAGAGATGGCGCTGTTGATGAGGGGAGAGGGCGCGAGTGAGGTGAGGTGAGGTGAAGTGAGGTCAGTGACCGATAGTGACTTAGTCATCGGGCTTGGCATTGGGCTGTCCCCGTCCCCGGGTGAACAAAGAGATTATCAGTTGGAGAGACGGGATCATGAGATAGGACATACCTGGGCATCCATGGATTTAATTGGATTTAATAGCTGAATAAGCAAAGAAATATTTGAAAGGATTACCCTATACTTCACTTCTTTCATCATATCACTTTTCATAACTAACAGTTCGTGACATCATTCATTCAGTAGCACACCATTATATACCTGACTCGTATGAGTACAAACAACTCCTCATTCATCGATCATGATCATGATAATTCCAAGCCCTCGGTTATAGTCCAAACTTCTCCCCAGGCTCCAACCGCCTATAAGGGCAAGCAACCCAATCACAACCCTGTTTATAAATCTCCGTTCCCCACCACTTAAACCCATCAACCCAACCAGGATAAATAAACGCAAAGAAAACCACAATAACAGCAAAAGCCAAACCCGAATCCAAAGCCGCAGAAAGAGTCATAGCATACTTCTCCCACCAAGCCGTCCTCCTCCTCCGAATAACATAATTAAACACAAAACAAACAAGTGCCCAAATACTAAAATTCAACCCCGTAGCCGGCGGGATCCAACTCAAACTCCCAAACAGGATCGGGAAATTCACCTTACGCCAGAAATTCTTTCGACTGCGTCGGCGAGGATCCACGCTCCCAACGGAGCGATGGCGCCGATTAGGAACGCCCACACGAGGGGCCGGTAGAGGCCGTCTGGTCCGAAGAAACGTTGTGGTCCCCACAACGCCCCAGAGAATACTGCCGTTGAAGTGGACTCGGGCGATGGGGCAGTTGAAGCCGTTCATTGCTTCGGGTGTGCAGAGGAGTGGGATGTGGGTGAACATCCAGTTGAGGACGCCGATTTGGGTTAGACTTGATACGAGGGTTGCCATCATTTGGACGCCGAATAGGATTCGGGGTGGGATTTTCATGTAATGGCCGAGTTTTAGGTCGGAGGAGAATTTGATGCCTTGCGCGGAACTGATGTAGGAATATGTCACGAAGATCATGTTTGCGACTGGTCGGCCTGGGAAAACGATGCCGCAGATCAGTTGGCAGATTAGGTAGAGACTGCTGTGTTGGTTTGTGACGGCCATTATGATGCCGACGGGAATGAAGAAGATGCAGGTTATTCCTAAGGGCGAGGAATAGTCCGTACCAGGGTAGGTGTACGGGGTAGCTAGAGGAGAAGTTAGTAATCTTCACCTATCCTGCTAAAAGGGATAATTAAACGTACTGCTCCACAGTAAATGTTGCGGTAGCAAGCATTGTGACAAGCACAATGAGATACCATGTTATGGGCGCATCTTTGTAGCGTCTCATAAGACGGCAATGGACATCTTCCATGCCCAGAGGCATCTCTCGATTCGCATCTTGAGAGACATCACCCGAGGAATCAAAGTTGCGACGGCCGGGAGGAGGAACTTGTTCTGTTCGCAGAGGTTGGTAGGTCTCCATTCCGGGTAATTCTCGGCGCTCGTCGAATGCTTTGCGTGTTTGTTGCCAAATATCCTTGCCATACCAGCAGATGGTGTGGGTGACTAGCGAGGTTAGGGCAGCGAATTGAACACCATAAGATAGGACGTATGTGATGGGTAGATATACGGGCGAGTAGTCCGCGTAGGCCTTTTCGTCGAATAGAAAGTCCGGAGTTAAGATCCGGCTCACGTCGTATGGGTGCCCAGTGTTGTCGAATACTGCCGCGGAGAGGATGGGCATATAGGACGAAAAGAGCACATTTTTGTAGTCTAGACCAGTCAGAGATGAGATGAAAAGAAATATACGCTCGAGCATGCGGCATGCCGCATTCAACTTACACAAAATCGGAGCCATGGCCCAAATGACAATGACCAACCCAGTCACAATGTTCGCAGCAGCCCACCAAGGCGTCAATAGCGGAGACCCAATATAGGCGATTTGAGCCCAGTCAAACGTCAACGGAAACATTCCCAGACCGGATGCAACTCCAAACAGATTCGAAACCACGACATTTTTAGGAGCAAACCAAGTGATCACGTTGAAGTAGCTCAACGCAGGCATCAGTAAACCCGGAACGAAATACCAGAGAAAAGCACCCGTCCAAACGACGACAAAGAACTTGTATCGAGAGATACTCCACCCGTTAGCCTTCTTATTGGCATTCTTGTGCATTGTTGAAAACATCGCTGTCGACATGAGAGTACCGGGCCAAATCATGGCGGATGGTCGAACGAGGAATCGTCTTGTGAGGCCGGCGAATGCGTATCCAAGGACTTGCGTGGAAATAATAAGCAGCAATTGGTATAGTATTGGAACTTCCTGCTGGTAGAATTTGTGTTGTTCCACGATGACCTGTTCACGTATTAGTAAAGGATACAAAGAGCAATCCATATGCATGCGTGTATACTGAAAGTGTTAACTCTAACTTGGGTTAGGGCATATCTCACATCTGTAGCAAAAGCAAATCCAAAAGAAACATTGCTGCTAATATAAACGCAAGCATGTTCCTTCTCATTCCACCGACCCTGCGCCAACCAAAGACGCATCCTAGCTAACCAATTGATCTCCGGAGCATCAATTTCGCCAGAAAGAAGTTCACGATGATGCAAGGTTCCATTCTCAAAGACCTCGAGCGGATCACCCGTCCGTTTAAGAACCGCGTCCCAGAATTTCCCAAGAGGATGAACGAGGACAAGCGCAATGATCGGTGTAATAGCAACGCTGGGATATCGAAGAGAGAAAAAGAGATTGGCCGCTGAACCTGTCAGTGAGAAAAGTAGGGAAAGAATCCACATGCGCGGGGTATTGATTGACAGAGTGATATCGTCTGTGGCTGGGACTGTAGCTCGAACTTGGGCGTATGGTGAGTTATCCGGAGGATCTTCCTCGGTTGATTTGGTATCTTCTCCATCTAGGTCCAAGGTGTCTTCCTCGTCACTTGTAATGTATGGCGATGAGGCTGGTGTTTCTTGTACCACGGGGTTACCAGGTACCGCTAGGCCCGTTGCGAACGAGTATTTGGAATCGGCGCCCATTCCTACATCGGAGGTTGCTTCGGAAGGTCGACGATTCCTCCTATACCAGCCGCTGCTTTTTCGTCGACCCGACGAATGTGATCGTCGGGGTTTGGATCGGCGTCCCTCATTTGAGGGCCCACCGGTGCAGCTATCGGGGCTGGTCCGTGGATCTTGAGTCCGATTGTGTCTCTGTCTCTCGGACTGGGGGGGGAGGTTTCGGGGTCATCGGAATCCTCTTGCGGGATGCGCACGGCTCCGTACGAGGTCGAGCCCAGCGCGGGCGAGGTGCGAATAAGAGGGGCGCGCGACATGAAGCTCCCAATACGCTGGGTGAAGGAGCCGGGGGAGCCGGGGGAGGGGGAGGAGGGAGGGGAGTTTATGGAGTGGTATGAGTCGTCACATTCATCGTCGAGGGGATCGGGGAGGTCGAGCTGAGGAGTTTCGTTTGGGTTTTGGCTTTGGTTATGGCTGTAGTTGGAGTCGGAGTTGTGGTTGTGGTTGACTCGATCCGATTCGGCGGGAAGCGTCTCGCCCCTCGGCGGCGGGGGACAAGACTGCTTCCGCGTCTGCAGCGGAATGGCAGCCGTGATGGGTGATTGTGGGGAGATATCACTGGAATTGATTCCCCAGAGCTGTGCGCAGGAAAGAGGATCACCGATTTAGCTGAAAATGAAGTGGGAGAGAAATCCGGAAGTGGGAGAAAAGAGAAGATAGTGAGAGAGGTGGATTCGCCCCACACCGCCGTAGCAGCAGTTGAAGTATGAACTTGGACATGAACATGAACATTTATATTCAGGAATTACTGGCGAGGTACTGGCGAGGTACTTCAATTGAATGTATATTGAATGTATTTTGCTGTACGTTTCTGTACATTGTGTACATCGTGTACATTGCTGTATTCATTCTATGGATATCTTATACACTTCTATACTCCTTCTTTTTGCTTAAAATAGCTCCGTCACCTGGTTATCTTCATCGACGCGCGGCGCTTCAATCTGCGCTTGTCCACCCTCCTCCTTACCCTCACCCTCCTCATCACGCATAAGAACTTGCACCAGTCGATCACAAGCCTCCTGCACATTCTCATCATCCACATTCATATGACACTCTCGAATCACCGGGTACACCTTCACCTGGCGCATAAGGTCCCGACCTTCCCGAGTGGTAGTCAAGAGCATGAGAGTCTCCACATGGGTAGTGATGATAGTGGGATCACTATCGCGCTTCTTATCCGGAGGCAATAGCTGCAGATCCGGCAACATGGATAACATATCCTCGTCAGAGTACTCCTCAGGACCGGTAATGGGCAGCAGCAAGTAGGGGAGCAGATTAGCCGCGTCCTCGTCGAAAAGCATCGGGTGCGAGTCAACATCGAAAGCGACATTCTTGATGGTGGAGGCGACTCCCTTGCGACGGATATCGCTCTTGTGTTCCGTAAAGACGGTCAGCTTGGTGATAGGTACCACCCCGTCGTACTCTTGGCGGGTGGTGAAGTATTTCCGTCCTTCCTCGGTTTGAGACAGATCGGCGAAGAAGTAGGAGAGGTAGTCGAAGTTGGCATTTTTGTTGAGACCGCCCTCGGCACCCTTGACGAAACAGTCCATGAGTTGGTCGATGGCGTGTGCGGAGGTTGAGACGTTCTCGGGGATGCGGCGCTTTACGGCGAATAGTTTTTGTAGGGCTGAGGATTTGGCCATGTTGGCTAGTAGAGTTGCGAATTCGTCCGCATTAGGCTCTTTGATGCTCTGAATATGTGGAATCAAAGGTTAGTTAGTGATTGTGAGAATGCGTGGCGGGGCGCGGGCATGGACGGACCGTCAATTTGAAAAGCAGGGTCTCGATGAATTCGTCATCCTCGGCGAGGACCTTTAGGACTTCCTCGTCGCTTGACAGGTTGATCAGGATTGTCAAGGCATTCTTCGCAATGGGCTATATAAAAGCGCGGTCAGTGTGGCTGTTCTCAGCGGAATGAACACGGAGATGGAGAGAGGCACGCACGGTATAGTCCAAGGCCAGGAGCTTCAAGTCACGGACGGGGAGTAATTGGTGACGCTTAAAGAGACTGGGTTGAGCGGTAGAGAAACCAACCAGGTTCTCGGTGGCTAAACGGGTCAGTTTCGTTCCTGGGTGATCATGGTATATGGGCCAGGCTTACCAATGCCTCGAATCTGAGTGTTACCGTGGTGGAGGAATTCCACCAGCTAGTAGAGTCAGTTGATGTAGTCAAAGTAAGGGTGTAGGCTTCAGTGCTCACCTCTTCAAGTTCTGTAGGCATTGTGTTGGGGGGATGTGAGTGTGTAGAAGTGAAGAGAAGTGAAGAGTGAAGCGACAATCTTTTTTTTTCTGCCAAAGTGGGGGAACTCCGACGTCACCGCGGGGTTCCATTTGGATCTATGAACAGATTTTATATTCAGATTTATATATTACAAAGTTGGGGTTTGAATCAGAATTATAACTATAATTATAATTAGTTTCTTGGATAGGAATATAATTAATTGGCTCAACCAAGTTACATTTTAATTCTCTACTCACAATGACCTCTCTTTCCATGTCTTCCTACTATGCTCCGGGCGGTATACATACTACTAAATAGTACTAGACTACTCCCTCAACCCCAACTTAACCTCCCCGGATTTCCCTTCCCCTTCTCACTTCTCCAGAACACCGCGACTCCCCAATCCCCACCATGGCCACCCCCAATTTAAACGACATCCACGACACCCTGATCGATCTAGCCTATAAAGCCGGAGATATCATCAACAATGCCCTCCCAGACATAAGCGGTCCGGGATCCAAGAAGAACAGTATGAGACACAGAACAAGAGAAGAAAAACAACTTGAACTAACCCCTATCCCCTCCCTCCAGGCGCCGATCTAGTAACCGAATACGACCGCGCAGTCGAAACCATGATCTCAACTTCTCTAAAAGAGAAATACCCAGACTATGCGTAGGTCCAGCCGAGCCCAACCCCCCCACCACTTACACCCACTTACTACACCCTTACTTTTATCCTTACCCTCGGTTCTAATATGCTATCTCCAGCTTCCACGGCGAAGAAACCTACACCCCAACAACCCCCCCTAACAAACGCACCAACATTCATCATAGACCCAATCGACGGCACAATAAACTTCATCCACAATTTCCCCCACGCCTGCGTCTCCCTCGGCTTCGCAATCAACAAAATCCCAACCGTAGGAATTGTCTACAACCCCTCCACAAAAACCCTCTACTCCGCCATCAAGGGTCAGGGAGCTTTCAAGAATCAGAGCCGCGATAATTCTCAACGTGAACGTCTTCCACTCCGCAAACCCGAACCTTTGACCGGCCTATCAAATGCCCTACTCGCAATTGAATGGGGCTCAGATCGCAGCGGACCGAATTGGACCGTAAAAACACGCACGTTTGAAAAATTAGGAGCCAGTAAGGAAGATGGTGGTGCTATGGTGCGCTCGTTTCGGAGTTTGGGGAGTGCGGCGTTGAATATTTGTGCTGTTGCTGAGGGGGTTGTTGATGTTTATTGGGAGGGGGGGTTGTTGGGAGTGGGATGTTTGTGCTGGGTGGGTTATTCTTAATGAGGCGGGGGGTTTGGTTGTTGATGGGAATCCGGGTAGGTGGGAGGATGAGGTTAGTCTTGATGGGAGGAGGTATTTGGTAATTCGGGGGGCGGAGGAGAAAGGGCAGAGGGAGATTGTTGAGGAGTTTTGGGGGTTTATTCAGGGGAGGTTGACATATTAGTTGGTTAATGCAGGAAGTCTTGTCTTGTCTTGTATTCTGATGTGATTAGATTAGAGATCTATGGAATTACTATACTATACTATAGTATACTATTGTATACTATAGTATAGCATGGTTCACTCAAGTTGAAGTTACGGTATGTCCAGATCTGTCTGGGTATCATTATATACAATCTCTATATTTCCCAACATTCACCATCCACCCACCCACTCAGTCATCCCCATGGGGCTACTACGCTGGCCGAAGAGCCGGAGACCAGCGATAACCCGCATCCTCATCATCCTCATCCAAGCCAGATTCACAATCATCATCCTCGTCGACCTGCCGATCCGTCCAACGCGCCGAGTCCTGGCGGGATACATCCGTATAATGCGAGTGTGCACGTTCATGTCCGTGTCCGTGTCCATGGGTGCTGGCCGTTTTATGAGACGAGGTATCGAAATCATTACCATTCCCCGCCGGGCCCGGGCCTTGGAGGGCCTCGCTCTCGCATCGTTCGCATGTTGGCGTGAGGTCGTCACCCTGGTTGTTGCCTTGAGTTTCCCCTTGGTGTGTCTCTGTCTCTGTCACTGCCTGGAGGGGCGTACCCGCAGAATCCCTTTCGCCAGTCTTGGCCTTGGTGCTGGTCTTACTCTTATCACACTGCCCTTCAACTTCATCCCCCGAACTCGTCGGTCCCACGTTCAGAGACTTAGCCCGATCAGAATCCCGATTAAGCGTATCGTCTTCAGATATAGAAGCGGGACCAAAGTGCGTGTCAACGAGGTGTTTCACAACAGGCCATCCATACGCATTAGTGAACATGCGCCGCACAATAATATTATTATGAGCATCTGGTTCCAGACGAACTAGGACCTTGCGCCAGGTTAGATCACGATGATAAGCTCGGGCGATCTTTTCTTCGACTTTGAGACCACTCTCGCCGGTCTGAGGTTGCTGCTGCTGCTGCTGCTGGCTTGGTGTGCCTAAACTGGATGATGAGGGAGGAACCGTTTTTGAACTTTTGCCCGGTTGTAATGAGCCGAATGCGGTCGTTCGTCGCTTCATTGGCATCGGGGCAGGGATGTCATCAGGGTGGTAGATACGATCGTGGAAAATAGTTCGAGACCGTGCGGCGGGGTCTCAGGATAAATTCGCTCGGAGGTAATGGTGGCATGAGCAAATCTCCTGCAGATTCGAAGAATGTTGTTTTCGGTGGTGTGTAGACTCCGGCGTCTTCTTCGTAGAGGGAGTTGCCTCGGACAGCTGATGGAGATGGCGACTCTTCAGTGTCGAAGGATCCGAGGGTCTGGCTTCGTTTGTAGATCTTCGCATGTTTGCCGCTTGGGGTGCTGTGTTTGACGTTTGGGGTTGACTTTGTATCTTTGGTCCGGAATAAAGAGAGGAAACTGCTCAAGGGACCGGAGTTATTCTCGGAGGTGTGTGCAGATGCAGATGCAGATGCAGAGTCATGGGCACTGCTATGATGTGAAGGAGGTCTGTGTTGCACGAGGAATTGTTCAGCACTCGGTGCCGAATTCTCACTATTCACAGCAATTGCTTCACGGCCTTGTAGCGCCGAAGCCCCATCCCCACCAGCTAGCTCCGGCATTTCAGCCGATCGTGCCAATTTAGGCGACGATTTCGAATTCGCCCCTGTCAATTCGGCCCAGCCCCATTCAGCCATAGTCCCCACTATACCATTCCCTCTCCTGGCCTTCTCAACCCGATCAAGACCCCGCCAATCAAGGAAGAGAAGGCAAGAAGTTCGCAGCGGAACAATTCCATCATTGACAACATTCGAATAAAGCGTTCGATGGTGAAATTTCTTCAATACCTCATGCGCAGGTCCACAAGGCAAGATACGCAATAGCGGTTTGGCGCCTGGGTCAGATGGTTGGCTTTGATCTTTTCCTGCGTCCGAACCTCGACCACCAATTATCGCACCCCATCCACTTCGCACTTTAGGCGCTGTCCAGCTGAGTCCGAGGTCTTGTCCTGTTCGGCCTACAAGGCCTAGATCCAGTGCGAAGCGGACATACATCGGATTTTCATTACTGAGGCCAAGAAATGGCGTTGCGAGGGCGATGAAGTTGATCGGTTGAATTCGGGTGAAGAATTCAGGTGAGTGTTTTTGAATGTATGCGATTGCGTATGTTTGGATCAGACCACCGAGTGAATGTCCGACGAAACTGATGCTGGTGATTTGATAGGCGTGGTCTTCGCCGTATAAAGAATCATCTCGGGTTTCGGGCAGTGAGTGAGGCTCCAGGGAAGGCTTGGCTTGTGTCTGGTCTTTGCGTGTGCTGAAAAATGGTTTCGTCTTTGATCCCTTCAGTGGGAAGTATGGCTGGTCTGGATATGTCATGAGCAAGATGTATTTTGCCAGACGTTTTCCGAGATATTGGATTCCACGCTCGGTACGGACGGCATTGCCGGAAAATCCCCTGACAATGACTTGTTCGGCGTCTCCCTCGGAGACACCTGTGTCTTTTTGCTTTTGTTGCTGGGATTTGTTCATGGCGGCGTCAATGCTTTCCTTGAGATATAGCATGTCGGCGCCGAGATTGCTATGCAAGCCATGCGTCAGTACCACCAGATGGATCTTCTTTTTCGGTGGTTTTGAGGCAGGCTTTGAGGCAGGCTTTGAGGTTTCGGGAGCAGTCACTTCCAGTTGCTCCAGATTAGACGTAATATCACCAACTTCATCTGTTTCCGCCTCGGTAGGCTGTGACGGCACCGACGGCAGCGGGGGACTATTCCAAAGACTAGCCGTATCATCGACGCGAAGCGTAACAGCCTGTGAAAATATCCCCTTTGTAGCAATCATCTGTTGGCCCCTCGTTCCTGGTCCCCATAACTCATTGAATTTACCCGGAGGACCAAGACTCGCCGTGGACGACCCACTACTAGAAAAGAACTCCATGGATTTTGCATCTCGTCCGATCAAAAGATCAAAGTGGACTACAGCGCTGTTTGAGAATATGACCTGCGACACGATCTCGATCACCCAGGTTACACTGTCATCTTGTCCAGGCGCAGTCTGGCCTACGGAGAGAGCATGTGAATCTCCGAAATGTGCCGGGATCTTAATCGTTGCATCCCAATTTCCTCCGGCTTTCAGGTATGGTTCGAATTGAGGGCTTCCCTCGAAGTCTTGCTCGGTGTATTTGGAATTCGGGTCGAATTTGGATGGGTAGCAGGCTGTGTAGAGGGTGTATGGGCCATGGAGATATGCGGCTCGGAGGGGGATTGCGGAGGTATTTTTCACCCGCACGTAAATGTCGGATGGGATGGGGAGGATTGGGTCTGATGCTGGTGTATATGTGAAGGTGTATCTGGGAGATGCATTTATTAGCTTTGCTTTCGCTCCTCTGGTCTGGGTCTCTAGATCTGTAGGTCTGGGTCTGGGTCTGTGCCTGCTGTTCAAATGGCTTGGCTTGGGCTTGGCTGCGTAGCGCGCGAGGGGGAATGGGGAATGGGGTGCGCGACAGTACCGCGACAGTATCAGGACTCACCTGGCGATTTCTCCTACGCGCACACTGCCAGTCTGATGAGCCAACAGCATCTCGGAACCCGAGATATCCTCTGTGGGAGTCTGGCGCCAACCCGTGAGTGTTTGGTAGCGGGATGCGCTTTCAGCGCGGGTGGGGATCGCTCCTTGATCGGGAGTTTGCGAAGCTGAGTAAGTTCGAGGGGTGATCAGCATCGAATATGGATGCTTCCATGGTATGATACTCGTATGGGTAATAGAATAGGGAGAACAAGGAAACTGGGGGAGGGGTGGAAGAACGGAAGTGTCGGAGTCTCTCGTACTTTCAGGGCAATCGATCTGCCCTCGTGATGCGCGGCCATCCCGCAGTGGATCGACGATGTATATGCACTGCCCCTTTACTACATTACTGTACTCTACTTTACTTCTCCCACTAGTTAACTATATACATAGTTAGTTAACTATCGGATATCCATTGCACTAATCACACTTGATAACATTTAACAACTCCCGCGCCTCCATACAAAGCTCCATCCACCCATCTTTCTCAACAGCAACAATCTTCCCATCAATACATAACCTCCTCCATCTCTCCTCATCCTCATGAAAATCAATTCGTACCCTTTCAACCTGCTGATACATAACAGACTCCTCACGAACATGCTGACCACCCTGATAAGCCAACGTCATAAGTCGCATAGCATCTTCCGGAGCCATAGGACCAAAGCGCAGGAATTGCATCTTCCCACCAAGAGCCTCCGAGTCAGGCGATATAAGAAACTCCTTCTCCAGTCTAGGCACTAGCGTTGCTAGCACATACATGTGCTCTTGGTCTGACAATATTCTCTGCCGGAGCTGAATACCGTTAGTAGACTCGGACGAATCTGTCCGAGTCGTGATAGTAATCCTCCCCCGGAACCGGTGAGACTCAGACCCATCTGATGGATGTAAAAGTTCCTGCGCCGCCATCTTGAACCGCTCTGATCCGAACTTTCGATACGCTGTCGTGTCACTGTCTGCCACTAGTGCGGCGTGGAGACCCCAACTCGCGACGACGGCGCCATACATGACTTGCTGCGAAACATTGCCAGCGCCAGCATCGGAGACATTGGTATCAATAGGCGCAGGCGCAGTAGGAATAGACGCCCGCCCACTCCCCTCCTCCGTAATAATCATACTCCCCGGCGAAACCCTCGCCGCAAATACCGGAAGCGACACCGGCTTTCCCTTAAGTAAGGCCTTCAAACTCGAAGCCGGACCTGATCGTAGTCCGATAGAACTTGCCATCGCATTCCCAGTTCCACAAGGGATCAAGGCGATATTAGGTACCGCCATTCGCTGGACACCACCATTCGCCGTACTTTCTTTCAAGTTGTCGCTTCTGTAAAAAACATCCAATATATCAATCAACCCCCCCATCACCGGATAAAAGTATAATCATCTGATCCACGCCGGCAGAAGCTCGAGGGAGAAACTGCTTCTCGGATAACGAGATGATAGACTGCGCTGACTGCGTTTCATGGGATTGGTAGGTAAGACCTAGTCCTTCTAGCAAAGGTTGGACGAGGTCGTTGAAGATGGACTTTGCGGTGCCGGTGCCGGATTTTGTTGATATTACCACTTGGATGGGCTCTGCACTTTGTTGACTCTTGAGGTGGGAGGGGATCTCGGTCTGGAATGGTGCCAGGGCTGGTGGGAGAGGAGTCGATATATCGATTTTGCCCAGGTGCATGGGGGTATTCTCCTGGTCTTGGTCTTGAGTTTGATCTTCTTTGCTTTTGAGAAATAAAATCCGATGGCCCTGGCCCTGGAGTCCTGTGTTTGGACTGGATACCACGCAAACGATGTAATCCAGTTCCACCTGGCCTTCATCGGCCCCGGAAGTCCATTTTAAGATATTGCCCTCCACGGAGACGGTGTCTGCTTCGGCGCTGTGTTTAGAGGACATTTTAAAGGGCGTGTTTTGTTTGCATCGAGTGTCGGGTCGGATCGGATTGTTGGGGGTAGATCGGTGATTTAAATCGTGGGATTTCGTGATCGGAGGTAGCCTCGAACGGTTGATAAGCGGCGGGGCAACTTAGGCGTTGTACATCCTGGGCATCCTTTGGGGCTGGTGGATTAATGTAGTGGGGGCGGAAGGTAAGTAATTTCTACGAGTATTATCTGGATTAGATTCAGATCTATGTTTACAAATTATTTATTATTTATCATTTATTATTTTTATTTGTTTCGATTGCTTATAAGGTAACGGAAAGTTAATGAAAAACATCATTGCAGACATACCCTACCTTACTCTAGCAAGAAGCGCCATCACCTTCAGGTTCAATCCTCAATCCAAGAAGTAAAAGAATACTAATACACAATACAATCAATATGCCAGCCAGCAAAAAACCAGAAAGAACGGTAAATATACATGGTGATACAGAGACCTGTAATCTGAAACTGAAAGTCATATGTCCAATGTTGTAAAAAAGAAACGTACATTCCTCCTATTCGGAGTGGTGTGGAGCCGAGTGGTCGAGATAGTCAGTCCTAAGGGTGCAGGTGCAATCATGGGCTACCCTCATCTTCCTCGGCCTGTGGAGCAATATGCTTGTCGCTGAGATTCACAGCAATAAACGACTTGGGAAGTTTGACTCTGTTGAGAAAGTTAGAAAAACATTGACATCATTCCCATTTCCTTTTTGCACGCAAGAACTTACGTGTCGAACTTCGCCTTAAGTGTTTCGATCACCTCTTTCCAGTCCTGATGCGCAGTCAAACTGCGTCGCGGGGCACAGCCAATGGCATGCCTAGAGTCCAATTGCACATCAAGCGGATCAAACGCGTGGCAGCCAGGACTGATAGAAATCCAAATGGAGTAAGAGTTAAGATCCGATTCGCTATCACGCGCCTCGTAAAGCTCAAAGCAGATCTGGGAAAGGTAGTCGAGTTCAGGAATGGCACTGCGGGCAATCTTCGTCTGGATACCACCTTCCAGGATACAGTTCATAAGTGTGTAGATATGAGACTCCTTGGTGAAGTAGAAGAAAGACTTTGCGTCTGGCGATGCTTGGACTTCTTCCAGATCGCGAACGATCTCTTGCAAGAGCGGGAGAGATGTCAGGAGGCCAATCTCGAGTTTCTCGCTGTCGGTGATGCCATATTCTTGCGGGGTCACGTAGTCAAATAACACCTTGGCTAACTTGTATAATTCCCGGAGTTTAGAGAGACGTTCGTCCATCTTGCATTTGGTCGAGCTTGAGCCGGGGAAAAGCTTGAAGTAATGGTCGTAGGAATCATCAAGTGCGCGAAGGTGCGGCAGTGACTCTGGGACATGAAGTCGCTTCTTCAATCCAAGTCGATGAGCAAATGTGTGATTCTCAGATCGCGATTCGTCACTTGTCTCCTTCTCCTTCTCATTGGAATCAGAACCGGCCTTTCCATTTCCATTCCCATCAGAAGTCGAGTCGGATTTGGACGAGCTTTTGCCTTTGACACTGCACCGGTCATCATCGTCACGGTCATTGTCAGGTGGCATGAAGACCCATTCCAGGAACTGTCGATTGTGGAGGGCATCGAATTTCATGCTATCATAAAGTTCAGATAACTTGCTCGGGTCTACCTTCTCCGTGTCGCAGAATTCGGCGAAGAGTTTCTCCCATCGCTCTTTGAAAAGTCTAGGGTCCTCTCCTGCACACCAACGTCCCTGGATGTTGGAAATCTCAGGGCTTTCGGCGCTCAGATCCTTTTGGCTCGGTTCGTCGGTGTTGTTAACCGATGAGGTAGGAGATTTGGCTGCGTCCGACTCAAGCTTGCTGAAATTGTGACGCATGACGCTTCGGTGGAATTTCATCAGCTCGACAACCGTAGCCAGCACAACAGATGGCTCGGGAATATTGCTGTCCTTGGGCCATGCGAATTGTGAAGGTGCCGACCCTTCTCTCAGAAGAAGCTTAAGCTTCTTCTTAACCTTGTCCATGACATCCTTGGCAGCATTTGAATCATCGAGCAGATCCTTTCGAACCTGTAAGAAGTCTTCTGGTAGCTCCTTCTGGTCGAGGAATGAACAGGCCCAGATTTGTGCTATTGACAATTGTTAGCATAGACACTTTTAGTCGACCATACCATCAAAACCTACCGCTCGTGCTCACTCTCCTTTCCGAGCTAGTGAAAAGGCGGACATTGTTGAGAGCTTCTTTGTTCATCAGCTTGAGATCATCTCGCATGTTCAGCCCAAGGTCCTGCGACTGGTAACGAGCAGCATGCGTTGGCTCTCCTCCCCACTTGATAACAAGCTGGAGTTTGTCCAGGATGAGGTCGTTCTCTACTGCAGAGAAGCGGGAAAATGTGGGGCCTGAAATCGAATCACTGCGTGTCTGTGACTTTCGCAGTGCCTCAGCTTCTGGTGTTTCACCAGGAATAGGCGAGAGGGGTTCTTCGGTTTCCATTTCGGCCGGTGGTGGTGGTGGTGGTGCTGCTGTGGGCGTGCTAGCTGAGGAGTCTTGTTCACGCATTTCTTCTGGTCTGCGCTTCCGGAACATAGGCTTGATCTGGACTTTTGTTCCAGGCCAGCCACCCTTCTTATCTAAAGAGGTACGAAGCAGTTTCAGCTTCTCGGTGTCCTCTAGTCCTTGTTCTAAGGCGGTCTTGACGGCATCTGAGACACTAGACAACGCGGCAGCACCCTTAATCACCACCTCTTCCTGGTGTCCCTTGAGTAGATCCACAAAAGGCTGACTATGGAAAGTGAACTTGAACTTTTGCTTTGGAGTACGGTCGGCATGTCGAACCACCGCCACCATTCCCTTGAGTTTCCACGAGTGTTTGGAGGCAGGTGGTGGCGCAGGGGCTTCTTCATTGGTTTGGTGAACCGATATCGCAGGGGATTTTGTGTTGGAAGGGCTGTAACCACGGGTGTCAGAGTGGCTCTCTCGAGGGGGCAGGCTACCAAGGTTGGGAACTGGATCAACAGCCTCCAGGCCAGACGACGATGCGAGCGAAGGTGTGGCAGTCGATGTATCTGACGGGGTTGCTTCATGCGACCTGGAAAGTCTGGATGTACTCGGGGACTTCAACAAGGTCTTCAATGCTTGTCGGTGAGAGCCCGCAGTGCTTTTCCTAGAAGGACCCATATCCGGCGATGGCGGCTCCAACGATTCCATTGATCCAAACCTCTTCATTCGATCAACCATGAAAGTATCGCGGAGAATTTTGGCGCACTTATCATAATAGTCATTGTTATCTTTGACAAAACTCCAGCCATTCACGTCAATGACATAGCTTCTATCTTCCACACGAAGCATATCAAAGCCGCAGATTCGTTGGCCAAATCCGTTCGATATCTTGGATGCAATCGCTGCTTCGTCCTTGGTCAATTGAGTGATATAACGGATTTCTTTGCCGTGGGTGTTGCGTCGGACCAATCCATCCACAACCGGCGACTTGCGTGTTTCGGCGTGGCAAAAGTCAGGGCCAACGGTGTAGGCCTTGACATCTTCGGCATTGTCGACACGTAGGAATTGCTCGTACAGGTAACTTGTCTCCGTCTCGGTGACCGATCTGGGCACAGAAAGCTCGGGGTCATACTCCGAGCTCTTGTTTCCAACCTTGCGGAATAGCCTACGTCCACCTCCCCCATACTGCTGGTCATTAGGGAAGTAGATGTGAATGTTGTGGTCTTCGCCATTCACTGGCTTTTCCACGAAAGGTTTGCGGAAGACTTTGCCATCAACCACCAATGCCTCGCCATCCTCGGACATGGACACTTTCTGTGTTCTCGGGGCACCGCCTCCTGTTCCATCTTCCGGTCCATCCAGCTTCACTCCCGTCAATTTGTAGATGTGCTGTGCGAGTTCTGCCGATTCGAGAACGGGACCACCATCACGGTTTACCTCGAGCCTCTTAGGAGTGGGTACTCCCATCTGGTCCAAGATCATGAGACATAGTCGGCGATCCCACAGCACCTGCTGCATGGGTAAATCATTGACGCAGAAAGGCTTGCGGAGCTTGGCGTATGCGATCGCCTTATCGAGAGGGAACCCATCGGAGAAGAAAGCGATCAAGAAATCACAGACCGGCCAGTTTTCGACGGCTTCATCGAGGATGACTTTGTCACCGAATACAATGACTTCGAATTCACCCTTGGATTGGAGTCGAGTCAAGATATTCTGGCTGGGCTTGCTCCGAGCTTTCACATCCAAAGCACAGACTCCAATCCTCCACTTAGGCGGACCAGCATCCGCCTCGCTAATGGAGCTGGCAGCGGTGCTTACAGCAGTACTCCCACTGAATCTTCGAGCGGCCCGACTAGATGATCGGGTCGAGTTGCCGATTAGAGGAGCCGGGCGGGATTCGGAGGCAGAGGTAGCATCGGGTTTGGTTGGCTTTGTCGGGCTTTGGTGTTTAAGCGATGCATCGAGGGTAGAGGAGTCTTTCGGGTCTAAATCTATGGGAGGGACTGGTCGGAGGGTATCTAAGCCCCCTTTGTCTGGCGATGTATCGGTGGAGGTGCCATTGTTGAGGTCATCGGCATCCATGTCGGTGAGGGCAGATTGCGCCGCGGAGGGGTAAGGTGGGGGAATCTCAAAGGCGAAGAATGGGACGAAAGGCGGAAACCGAGAGGAGAATGAATGACTCTATACTAGACCAATTACCCTGGGGGTGGAGGGTTACTGGACAAGTAGAGGCATGCGAGGGAAAGAGAGGGAGAGTGGAGGAGAGAAAGATGGAGAAGAGAGGAGAGGAAGAGGCGAATGTCATTGCCCGCATTCAATTCTGCGGGACGATCGCCCTTTCCGGCGCAATCATCACTTGCATACACGCACTTGCCACTTTAAATACACCTGGGTATTAGTAGACTTATATATATGTATATATGTATATAGATTTGTTATGGTAATATGATATATCTATACTAAATACTTATGCTTGTATCCTAGTTGGTCTGGTGACGGTGATAAAAATAGCATCATCCTTGGTGTAAACAATTATGGAACACTGTTATGAAGGTAGATTTAAAGATTTATCATATACTCTATATACTCTATGCTGCATATTCTATACTTTAGATATATCCTCTAATTTACATGGAATATCATATGGAATATCATACTACTAACTAAGCGCTGGTATCTGCACTGCATCAAAGGCGGTCTGGAGCTCCGCCGCGGAGATAGATATTAATACTAGGTAGACTTGAGATGATAAAAAGAGAAGAAGAGTAAGGAATTGTTGAGAGAAAAATAAGAATAAATATTAATAATTAAGAAATTAGCATTTCAAGCTATTATTCCAATTCATGACCCTCCTCGAATCACTCTATCTCATGGCATTGGTGATTTCCCCAGGGTGCTTATACTCCTACTCCTCCGCTGCACGGCAGAACGGAAGGGTCCACTTTTTTTTTCTGCTTCAATTTTCCCCGTCGATGATCTGATCTCCAACTCCCCAACTTTTTCCCTCTTTTCGCATCTTCGTCCGCAACAATGCCGGCCGTGGCGAATGAGAGACATGACCAGCCTCTAGCAAAGAGGCAAAAGAGAGCCCCCGATGCTCAACTCCGCTCCAAACCCCGTGGCGGCTCCAAAATCTTCGCGCCTTTCCGGGTATGTCTTAAACTGGCGAGAGGAATTCCTCAACCTTCTAGCTAACCCTTGAAAAAAAAAGACTCTAGGACTCGTCTCACCGACCCCTGTCCCCTTCACCAGCGTGCGCTTGGGCAAATCAACCTACCAGATCACCACCTCGGTAGGCCACTCGCTGCAAACTTACGACTTGCGCAAAGGCCTGAACCTCGTCTTCCTCACTCGCCCGGAAACCCCAGAGATTATCACCGCGACCTATGCCTGGCAGGATAAGACTTTCGCCGCATGGGGTCATCTTCGACCCCGGTCGTCGGGAGGCATTTGGGTCTTCAAGCGTGGCAAGCGTGTTGCTAGCCTCGACAGCCCGGGTCTCGACGCGCCCATTGAACGATTGATGGTCTTTGGTTCGTGGGTGGTTGGTTGCTGGGCGGGTGGATTGGAGGTTTGGAAGACTGGCACCTACGAACATTATGCTAGCTTGCGCCCTCGTTCTGCCCCGGACGCATCGTCGGCGGAATTGGTTTATACAGGTGCCCTGTGCAACATGCCAACTTATCTCAACAAGATCTTTGTCGGCCGAACTGATGGTGGGATCGATATCTGGAATCTTCGCAGCGGGAAGTTGATTTACACTCTACCGGCGCCGTCTACGGATGCTGGCCCCGTGACCGCGATGCAGTCCACCCCGGCTCTATCACTCCTCGCTGTGGCCCATAAGAGCGGCGCTCTGTCAATCCAGAGCGTTGACTCGGGTCAACTGGTTCTCAGTCTGCGGACAGCATCTTCCCGTACACCCGCCGTAACATCGATCACTTTCCGAAGCGACGGTCTGGGAGCCGGCCACGATGGTCGACAGGCGGGTGTGATGGCTACCGCAGCTAGTGGAAGCGGCGATATCACGATGTGGGACTTGAACGAGGGTGGTCGCGTGGCTGGTATCCTGCGTGGCGCCCATCGAGTCTCCAGAAGCGAGTCCAGCATGGGTGTCAACCGGGTCGAATTCCTGGACAACCAGCCCGTTCTAGTCTCGACTGGAGACGACAATGCTCTGAAAACCTGGATTTTTGACGAAACTCCATTCTCGCCTACTCCCCGACCTCTCCATTCTCGCGGTGGCCACTCTGGCGCCGTCAGTGCTCTTGACTTCCTGCCCGCAGCCTCCGACGGCTCCGACTCCGGTGGGAAGTGGTTGCTCAGTGCTAGCAAGGACTGTAGTCTCTGGGGTCTAAGTCTGCGTAAGGATAGCCAACATACAGAGATTTCGCAGGGTAACTTGGAAAGCAAGGCGAAGAAACTTGGACCGTCAGGCTCGAGCGCTGTTATGGTGGATGAGCTAAAGGCACCCGAGGTCACTTGCGTGGCTTGCTCGCTGAATCGTGATGGGGGTATGGGAACTAAGTCTTCGGGTCCTATCTGGTCTAACCCGAAGGGAGGAAATGCCGATGCCACCAGCTTGACCGGGTGGGAAAGTGTTGTCACTGGCCACCGAGGAGATAAGTATGCCAGGACCTGGTTCTGGGGCAAAAAGAAGGCAGGACGTTGGGCCTTTGCTACAAGCGATGGAACTGAAGTCAAGGTATGTGAATTTGCTACGCTGTTCAGCTGCAGCCAGTGTCACTAACTCGAGAAATAGAGCGTCGCAATGTCCCAGTGCGGTACTTTCGCCGTTGTTGGATCCGCAGGAGGCGCTGTTGATATGTTCAACATGCAGTCCGGTATGCACCGCCAGAGCTTCCCATCCCGTTTGCCAAAGTCGGGCTTGGCGAAGCGAAGCACAGTCACTCTGTCGTCTTTGAGCGCACAGGAGGCCAAACACACCAAAGCTGTCACCGGCTTGATGATTGACAACCTCAATCGAACCGTGGTCAGTTGTGGTCTGGATGGCAAAGTCAAGGTACGACATTCTCACCCCATACATCTGCCCCACCGTACTAACATTCATACCAGTTCTGGGATTTGCTCTCAGGGTCATTAATCGATCAGCTGGATTGGCATCCAATGGCTGCCGTCACAGGACTTCGCTATAGTAAAACAAGCGAGCTGGTCGCCTTTAGCTGTGATGATCTTTCAATTCGCGTGGTCGATCTCGAGACCAGAAAGCTTGTCCGTGAATTCTGGGGATGCGTTGGCCAAGTAAATGATTTCATCTTCTCTAATGACGGTCGCTGGGTCATCGCCGCCTCAATGGATTCCGTGATTCGAGTATGGGACCTGCCAACCGGGCATCTCATTGATATTTTCCGCGTGTCTAGTACTTGCACTTCTCTCGCTATGCCCTCTACTGGAGAATTCCTGGCAACCGCCCATGCAGGAAGCATTGGTGTCAGCCTCTGGAGTAACCGCAGTCTTTTCATGTCGGTATCTACCAAGAATCTCGACGAAGATGTTATTGAGGACGTTGGCGTGCCGACCACCTCGGGCGAAAGTGGTGCGGGACTTGTTGAGGCTGCTTTCGTGGACGAGACTGAACAGGACGAGACGGAGGGACCTGTGCTCGCTACTGATCAACTGCGCAAGGACATGATGACCCTCAGTCTGGTTCCTCGCAGCAGATGGCAAGGCCTCTTGCACCTTGATTCTATCAAGGTATGTAATAGGACAATATCCCCTCCCGGTCCAATATATTGATTTTTCTAACTATTTGACTACAGGAACGTAATCGTCCCAAGGAAGCTCCCAAGGCCCCTGAAAAGGCGCCCTTCTTCCTGCCATCCCTTCACGGTAAAGACGCGACCTCTTCGCCGAACCCAGCCGCAACCGCTGCCGACGCCGAACTGGGCTCCCTTGTGCAAAGCGCAGAGGCAGAGCGATCCAGAGTCTCTAAGATGAAGTCCGGGTTCACTGGATCTTCCGATTCCCCCATCACGCAGCTCTTGGAGTCCGGTCACGATTCCGGCAACTATGACCCAATGATCGAGCATCTCAAATCTCTTTCACCTGCCCGAGCTGATCTGGAGATCCGTTCCCTGGACCCGCGTGTGCAGAATGGTTTCTCGGAGCTGGCCGGCTTTGTCGATGCTCTGACCATGCGCTTGAAATCGAGAAGGGACTTTGAATTGGTCAATGCCTGGATGGCTGTTTTCTTGAAGATTCATTCTGATACTGTTGGGCTCTGTGCTCGTCAGGATGAGCCTGAGTACCGCCTGCTGCGGAAGGCTTTGAGCACTTGGGCGAAGGAACAGGAACAGGAAGGGAAGCGTCTGGCTGGATTGGTGGGATACTGTCGTGGTGTCGTGGGCTTCCTTAGGTCTGCGCGCTAAGCTGAGCTGAGCTGAGCTGAGCCATGTCAAAAGCGAGTTGCAAATTTTTGGACTTATGGCGTAAATAGAGAAATCTTGCCTTGACGTATTATATTATTGGAACGGAAATCAAATTACATTTACATATCAATATTCTCGAAGTAATCCTAACTCCTGCTTCCTTCTCTTGGGTAGACTCTTACGAGTAAGCCCTACCCTACTCTGTGATAGATAGTAAATAATTCAACGAAGACAATTAAAAATACCGGGGATCCTGGATCCTGACTAATCTTCCAATTTTTGATTTCAAGGCCAACCGCCCCTCTACATTTCGCTTCCCCCGCGTCAATTCATCTGATATGGGAATTTCATATCTCACCAGGCATCTACTGCCATACGCTGAGACCATTTCATTCGGATCTCGCAATAACGCCGAACCCGAACTCTCACACCAGCAAAATGTCGTAATCGATGGTCCGAGCCTGGTGTACGATGTCTACCATCGCCTGCTCGCCAATATGCACCCAGGCTGCGACATCCTGGACGTCCAGCCGACATGTAACGAGGTCAGCCGTGGATTTGTGGCTTTCCTTTGTAAATTGGATAGTCTGGGCGTTGAAGTGTATATACTCTCCTCTGAAATTTTAATTTTTTGTATCTAACCATTTAACAGAAAAGGAATTTGCTTTGACGGCGCTCTCCCTATTTCAAAGCGCCACACAAGATTATCCCGCGTTGAAAAGTCCAGAAAGAAATTGGAGTTATGTCGACGTCAGGCTCTACCTCCAAGATCCAGGACCGAAACTCGGCGGGAAATGTCTTCATCGGTCATCTTTGGCCAGATATGGAATTCTGGTCGTAGTCTCCCCGCGCGATGGAAAAATTTGCCGGAAAATCCGTTCATGGTTTCTGCTGTTTTTGAAGATCTTTGCGGTCGTTGGAGTAGGGAGCGGGCTTGGAATGAATTTCAATATCGGCTCGATGTCAGTCTTCTTCCCGAAGATGAATATCCCTGGAAGAATATTACGGTGATGGTTCCGGGTGAGGCGGATACTGAATGTGCTCGCTTGGCAAAGAGTACTAAATCGGCTATTTTAACGAGTGATTCGGACCTTTTGGTTCATGATCTTGGTGTTGAGGGTTCGGTTGTTTTTCTTAACTCGCTGCAGTTGACCGAGGAGAGTGAGAGTGAGAGTACAGAGGACTCAAACTCAAATTCAAATTCGAACTCAACTCAAGCATTGAAATTAAAACTTTGTGGACAAGGCATAACTCCTCACACTTTATCTCGTCAACTTGGAATTCCTAATATCCAACGCTTTGCCTACGAGCTTCGTGAAGATCCGCACGCCCCTTTCTCTAAGCTCCTCCGCCTGGCCAGAGAATATAAATATGGCGACGATGAAAAACGCTCTGTTGAATATTGTGATTTTCTTCGCGAGTATGAGTATGGGCCTAGCCCTAGCCCTCATGCAACCAAAGACTCGGAGGAAAGCTTGAAGCTTTTCACTCAAGGAATGGATCCTAGGGTCTCTGAATTATTCTGGCAATTTGATTCCCCGGATACATATACCCAAGCCTCTCAATTCCATGTCTATCTCGGAATTCTCCACGAGGACTCTTCTCGGCGCTGTGCTTGGGAGCAAGCTCGTTCTTATCGCTCACTTGGCTATGCCCTGCTCAATCTGAGCTGCCCTGCAACACACCAGTCCCAGACTATCTATGAATTTGTTCGGCGAGGAGGAAGAATTGTCGCGGAGCAGGTCACCCTCGCTGGCGAGAAGACTGTGATTTCTGACCTTGGACACCTCCAAGGACGTCTGGATCTAGCTCGAAGTACCTTTGACCGTCGTGATTCATCGTCAGACTTTTGGTTCTTATTTGCTCTCTCGGAGGCTTATCAAGAATTATCGAATACAACGACCCCACCAACAGCAAAACAACTGCAAGGGTTCCTGGGCAAGGGCTTTATGGGCAAAGGCACTGATTGGGGTGATATTCACCTCCTAGCTCAGGTCCAGGCTGTTCTGTACTCTCTTCGAGTTTTGCAGCAACTTATTCAAATTGCGGCAAAGACTTATGATGTTGGGCCGTATCGGACTGTCTTGAGGGACCTGCCTCCTCTATATCTTCTCATGAGGTCACGGCATGAAATTGTCCAGGGGTTTTCTGAAAATGAGGGCTGTCGGAAAGTCGTTCATCAGATGATTAAGACTTATGGCTGAGTAGAACAACTGCCATTGTCATATATACTATACAGTTCAAATATACTGGAACCCAGTTTCTGGATGGGTATATCCTACGTGCCAATTCTTTAAACAGGTTTCTTTCTCTCTTCTTCAAGACACGACTCGTATCTATTGGGAAAATGGATTTATGGCCCCATTGTGGCTGCCTTGGTAGGAAACTATTGAGCTATGTACAAGAATCGGTGCACGGGAAACACCCCGTAGTAGCGCTTTTTCTGACGCCTGGGATATCACCGAAATATGGGGATATCACATGAATTCCAGCGAAGAGCTGGTTGGTGTTTTGCTTTTTTTGGTTGCAGATACTGCCATTCTGCCAGGACCGCGAGCGGTATGAATCGCAATTTGTGACCAGCACAGATATTAAATGTACGTACGCAGTAGCCCACACCACTTGTTTGCACAGAACCCCCAACATCCACTGTAGCGTAGCAGGGATGTGAAGGGCCACTGGTACGCCCGAATCGGCTCAGCCGGAGCAAATTCAAGGTTGGAGATTTTCTATTTGAGTCCAGTTGTGCAAGGGCGGAGCGGTGGGAACGCAGTCGGGCGGAGATTTCAAGGAGACTCTTTATCACTTTTCGGGGGCATCGGGGAGACGTTCGATCACGTATTTTCCTCTTGCGACGCTCATAATTGGGGCACCAGGGATTTTGCTGATGGGGATATTAGTTTTTTCTTCTTTTCTTCTTCTTCTCGGGACCTCGGTCTAGTTGTGCTTTGCACTAGGCGAGCAGAGGGTAACTCAAACTTACCGAATTCGTCGCTTGAGATCACGATCGTTTGTCGCCACAATATAGACACGGTGCTTGATGATCCGATCAACGAGGCAGTCATCGGCATATGTACCCTTGTGATCGCACTTGATTCTCTCGAAGCGAGGGTCTTTGGCAACGCGCAATGCCAGGCGGTACTTCTGGCCCAGTTTCTCCAACTCGGCAATCACGCAGTCGGTAATGACGGGCGTGCATTTGGCGTAGAGGCAGTCCATCATGGTGGGGATGATTTCCAACTTGTGTTGGATGGTATGGGAGATAAAATTGGTATCGACGAGCACGGAGTAGGGGGGTGTCAGGGCGGTGTTATATTGGAAGAAAAGAGACGAAGGAGCCTGGGGTCTAGAAGAGAAGGGAAGAGACTGTGTTAGTTCAATCGCAAGGAAGCAGTGAGGGGGAGAGAAAGGGAGGGACCAAACGAACGCTTCGCGGACCAAGTCATCGGATTTGGGCTTTTTCTCTTCCTTGTTCGTGGGTTCCTTTCTGTATAGATTTGTGTCAGTCGTGATGGGTGAGAAGGAGGCGCCGAAAGCGCAGAAATTTGCGGGGAGGGGTTCAACGAACAGGCGATTATCACGGAGAGAGATAGCTCTCTTTGCTTGAGCGAACTTGCGCGATTTCTTGTGAACACCCATCGTAGCGAATGTCGTTGGAAATGAGTCGACAGCTAATTTCGCGAACTGACCAAAGCGGTGCAAGTCCGAAAGATTCAAAGATTTTTGTTATCGCCCTATCAGTGCTGACTCAGCGTCTTGGCATGCCAATCCTATGGTTACCAGTACCGCCCCGTCGGGTCCACCAAAGCCATGGATGGTTCGGAACGATAATTGTTTAACATTATTTGGATAGGTTCTTTTTAGTCCAATTATGTGGGTTATTAATGGGGGAATCAATACCGGCAACGAAAAAACTTCAAAAAGCCATCTCACTGCCCTCAACGCCTATCATCAAAACTGGATTACTCCAATATGGTGGATCTACTTTACATATAACATAACTATAGAACTTTTCTGAAAAGTGTCAATTGCTCTTTATCATGAAAGATAATGATGAAATTCCAAAAAGAAATATTGACTGAGTTAATTGATTACTCTTCCTCCCATGGCGGAATAACACTGCCATCTGCACGATGCCGATTCATCGACCTGATGATATCCATAGGTCCCATCCCGGTTCGTTGCATATGCCGCACTAAGCCCTCCGGTCCCTGCTCAATATCATCATACCAATCCTCGCCGTCATAGTCTTCATATCCATCGAAGTCCTCATCCATGTCGCTGTCTAAATCCGGATCGTCTAGATTCGGCATCCTGTACGGATAGATCTGAAAATCGACTTTGGATGGCTGGAACAGTTGTTGATGCTGAATGAAAATTTCTTGCGGAGTCCCCTTGTCTGGTATATGTTGTCCGGGAAGCATAATAGGTTGCGAGACATCCGATGTAAGAACTTTGAACTTCGCAAAGTCGGGATAGAGCTTTTTTCGGCAAGCCTTCGCGATGTTGCGGATCTCCTTTCGAAAAGATAATTCGCAGTCATCGATGGTGAATTCATTGATACATTTAGGTAATTCCGGATGCAGCGGACAAATGGCGTGTGATATTTGAATTTTCTTGAGAGCAGAGAATTCGCGGAAAGAGCCAATATTGACATGACTGGAGATATGCCGCTCAAGTTCCTGAATATCCCTGGCCATTGTATCTCGATGGTAGGTAAGACAGAAGGCCTCAAGAGTGTCTTTTTGCAAAAGCATAGCTTCATGGGCCTCCGCAGCATTAAACTCAGCACGCGGGTTTTGAATCGTTATTGTAGCACGCTGCATGCTGGGGACTGACTCGAAGTTCATGTAGTTAAACGACTTCAGTCCCCTGCAAGCTTGCATAAGCTTTTGAAGAGCACTGGCATCGATGTGGCATTGGTTGAATATGATATTCTCCAGTCCCAATGCCCCCGGGGTCCAGCTAGATGGAAATAAATCACCATTGAGGTCGCCTAGTTCAAAATGCGCAGCCTTGAGTTTCGGGAGAGTAAGGAGCTTTTCATATTGACTGATGGGGTACGCGGTGAACATGTCTTCACATTCAATGGAGAAGGCTGTGAGACCGGATAAAAATAATGGGTTCCGGTCAAAGAGATGATCAAACGCTTTGAGAACAGAGGATTCTCCTGCTGCCAGACTCAGATCTGAAAGATTCGGGGTCTTTGCGACTAGAATGGCGGTAAAAATGCCGAGGTCTGTCTCCTCCATGCCTTGAATCCAGATCTGCTCTTGGTCACCCAAGTCGAGGTCTTGAATTGCGCTTTTAAAAAGGGCTTTTTCCTCGGCCTTGAGGCTCTTTCCATACGGTATGCACCGAGTCGTATGAGCTTCGCATGGTACGATAGACAAATCCTTTACATGCTTTGCCAGATCTGGACGTTGGCAGATGGTCCTTGCAAAGGATATGACCGAGCTCAGGTGGTCTAGCAGTCCATCTGTGTAAAAGGAGCGATAAAGAAATGGCTGTGCTGCCTCACATAAGGTACGCGAAACAAGGCATAGATTTTGTAGATCGACTTCCTCGTCATGGTCGTCGTCCGTTGCAAGCAAATGTTCAGGGGGCGGGGTATTCTCGCTGATAAAAGTCAGGATATGGATAAGGAGCTCATTGGGGAGATCTTGTAAGCTTGGCATTTCCAAGTCTCTGATATTCCTATGGGCCTCGAGGCAGTATATAAGTGCTGCGGTAGTTGAAATGATTCACAATTTTTCCGTCACTTCTGTAACGATATGCCTATCCTGATGCCTATCTCGTTACCCATGTCACGTGTCCACACCATATAATCTACTATTGCCTATTTCCTATGTACCATATAGATAGCTTCGTCTCTTTTCTTCCTTCTCTAGTTTTCTTACTTTTTCGTTTAATATTACATACTACATTACTAGACATCGCCATAACCCACTGGGTAATTAATGGGTTACCCATTTTAACCTATTTCAACCTATTTATATATAAAACAGATGTCTTAGTATTTATTATGAATATTATTTTATAATAACTAAGATCTAGTTAAGAATATAACTAAAGATAGATATATTATAATCCAAGATAAATTTACCTATTTAAGGTAAATAATCCTAGATCCCTGAGACTGATTAGGATTACTAAAAAAGGACCTAAGGTCCCCAAAAACCTACCCTAGGTTTAAATAGCAAAAAGAACAAGGTTCTATTATAAAAATATTATTAGACATATAAGACAGGAAGTCCTACAAGTAGACATCGCCAGAACCCATGTCAACCATGACCCAACCCAACCCAACCCAGCCCAAAATGGGTTTTGGGTCTAATTCTATAACCCATTGATGGGTTTTGGGTTGAGACCCTTAACCCAAAACCCACATGGGGACCCAGTGGGTCCCCATTTTGGTGTAAACAGAACAAATATGCCAAGTATTCAAATACGGTCTGTATTATATCTGTTTTTAGGCCTTATATATAGGTATTTTTAGTTTTTTACTCAATAATAATATTATTTTATATTATATATATATATATATTACAGGTTAGAAAGGTTAAAAATAGTATATTAAAAAATAAAATAAATTACAGAGTTCTATAGTAAAGATAGTGGTATACCCTACTAGATTATATATATATCTTTATATAAAGTCTTACTTTTTTAATAACTTTTTTAATACTTAATATCTAGATCCTAAATTTTAAATATAGAATAATGAATATTAGATAAAGCTATATATAAAATATTAAGATCTTAATCCTTCTAGAAAAAAAAGATATAGAACTGGTATTCAAATACAGTATATAAAAATTATGAAAAATTATAAAAGAATTATGCTAAAATGGGTCTAAATGGGTCGAAATGGGTTACCTATTTATAACCCACTGGGTTTTGGGTTAGGTTAGGTTCTAGCTACTATAACCCAAAACCCAGTGGGTTGGGTTTTGGGTCGGCATGTTTAACCTAAAATGGGTTATGGCGATGTCTACCTACAAGCATCAGAGGATGTTTGAATAGCTTCAGTGATTACCAAAAGAGGAAATAGTATTAGAGGGATGCCCTTAGGCTTAGTAATCGATAGGTTAGATCAAAGAGATCAAAAGAAGATGTTCATCTTAATAGGTTTGCTGGGGGTTACAGTGTAATGGTTACTAAGTTGTCAGGCTAGAGACCTGTGACTAGGCAAGGATATCGGATAGTAGAGATCAGATTAGACAGTTGATATACAGACTAATTCTTAAAGAGATTAAGAATCCTGAATACTTATAGGATCTTAAATATATTAGGGTTCGGGTGGGCCTTAATATATAGGTAACTCGAAGAGAATTCGGTTTCGGATCGGTATTAAGTATCGGAGGTATTGTATACTTAGAATTCTATAATAATTTATCCTCCTCTCTGAGTAATAACCGACCCGGGTATCAACAAAGGTAAGAATTAGATTAAACAGACTAAACTTAATAGTGTTACCTCGATCAAAGGCTCTCAGGTATATCCTAATTCGGTATATTTGTATGTAGATATAAATAAAGTAATATACTCTCTTTATTACCTCTATAATAAAAGCTTCCTTCTATAACTCTTTTAATCCTTACTTTTCTCTTATCTTTATTTTCTTTAATCTTAATCTATTCCTTCTTGTCCTTAATTTATTATCCTTTTGTTATATTAGCTACTGCTGCTGCCGCTAGTACTGCCGGTGCTCTGATTATAGTTATAGGTCCTTCTAGAGGCACTAGGGGTACTGCTTATTAAGGTAAAGATTATACGAAAGGTAAGGGTTGTACTGCTTCTACTTCTGCTTCTGTTTCTGCTAGAGGAGATAGAGATAATAGGGGCGATAGAGGAGATAGAGGTAATAGTAATAATAGACCGCTAGAAGATAATAGGCCTGGTAATAACTTACGTTCTCTTTGTGCTTACTTCGTACATCCTTTCTTTGCTGCTTATATAAAGTATATAGCGAAGGTAGCTCTTTGTCCTCCTATAGATAAGATTCCTGAAATTCAGTATAACTAGGATTATACTAATTCTGTTTTCTGAGAACCTTAAGTAGATTTTCTAGATCCTAGTTTCTAAGGTTTTTAGCAGTAAATAATATTTACTTACCTAGTAATCTAGCTTACTATAGTTAAAATAAGAGCTAGAGAATATTTTATTAAAGAAACTAGATAGACTAGTTCTAATAATAGAAGTATAATTAGAATTATTTGTATTTTAAGAGAGAAATAGATAAGGTCTGTTTCTAAAATAAAAGAGATTTAGATTTAAATTAAAGTTATTTTAATTTAGGTTTAATCTAAAACTATAAAAGCTTTTTAGATATAAATACTTAGGATCTTTTAGTCTTATTCTTTACTATTAGACTAGTTTAGAAATAAGTTATTAAGTTATAGGTATTTTAAGCTTAAATTTATATTATTATTAAATAGATTATACTTTTATATCTTTACTTTATTAAATTTCTATATACTCTATACTTTTTCTACCTATTCTATATAAGTAGTAGGTATATTCTTTATATATTATTAAATATATAGGGTTAACTATTATTATAGCTTTAATATATAACAGTAAGCTTATTTATCTTAGGATACCTAGAGTAGATAATACTTTAGATCTATAAGATAATAATAAAAAGTCTTTAGTTCTTTATTAATTTATTAGTAATAGTACTCTATCTTATTACTAACTTCTCTAGTAAAGATATTTTTATTATATATTAAAGTAAAAGTCTATTCTTTAAAGTACTTCTAGTTACTAAGGTATTTATTATTATTATCCTTAAGGTATCTCTCTTCTATAGTCTAATTATTTTTATAATTAGAATTAAGATCCTTAACTTCTATAAGAATCTTTATCTTCTTATTCTTATAAACCCTAGAATTATCTTAGAAAATATAACTAAGTTAAAAAAGCTAATTCTCTTACTTCTAAATACTAAATAATCTTTTAAACTTATTAACCCTAAAACTCTCTACTTTCTTATATTTCTTAGCTTTAATTTACCTATAATTTATAGGTAGGCTATTTAAGAAGTCTTCTATATAAATTTTAGAGACTTAAGCAGTAAGTTTCTTAAGATATATATAAACTGCTAAAAACTTCTTAAGGTACTTAATTTTACGCTTTTTTTCTTTTAGACTCTCTTAATTAAGTTCTATAATACTTCTAGTTATAGGTTTACTTATAATTACTTAGATCTATATTCTATATAGAGAAAAGAATAATAATATATTAATAATATATTTAGTAGTCTTATAGATAGATATCTAGTCTAGTTTAGGTTTAATAGAGATTCTAGGTTAATCTAGGATTAATTTAACTTTAGGCTATTAAATAGCTAGAGGAGATATAGTAGATTTAGAATAAGTACTATTATAAGAGAATATAGGGTTTTAATATATAGAGGGTACTATCTTTAATCTTTAGATAGTTAATAAAGAAGAATTAGAATTATAATAGTTACTAAGTTATTAGGCTAGAGACCTATAACTAGATAAGGATATTAGATAGTAGAGATTAGATTAGATAGTTAATATACAGACTAATTCTTAAAGAGATTAAGAATCCTAAATATTTATAGAATCTTAAATATATTAGGGTTCAGATAGGCCTTAATATATAGGTAACTTAAAGAGGATTTAGCTTCAGATCAGCATTGAGTGTCAGAGATATTATATACTCAGAATCCTGTAATACTTAGATTTTAGCCAAATTAGAAATTAAGGTAGCAGTCACACACTGACCTAATTAACCGCCCGCTAATTAGGTCACCCACGATTAAACGATCTTTCATAATTAAACAATCCTTTTTGTATTCTATCGCTATTTTCTACTACCACAAAGGCCTAGGGTATCTAGGATCTGTTATATACACTTCCTCGCCACCAGTAGTTATATATAAAGCTTATTTTTGGTCGGAATAGGCATATCCGGGGCCTCTGGGGCCTCTAAGCTCTCTGTATTTATATTATCCTTTGTAATAGTCTTCTCTTACTTAGCAATATTATCAGCAACGTAGCATATAGCGTTGTATATTGTTAATAGACTATATTTTCCGACCTGTTACCTTAATTTATATATAATTTTAGGAGGTTTTAGTAATTAGTTTTACAATACGTTGTCTATAATACTAATAAGGTCTACCTTGCTAATACAGATCCTAGTATATCGATTAATTATAGTATAAAGCTTTAGTAAAATTACCTTTTTATTAGTATCTAAAAGCTTCTTAATTTTGTCTGTTAATTAGTATACTAAAAAACTATTTCTGAGAGATAATATAGGTAAATCTAAGCTAATTTATACAGTAGGATCTATACTATTAAATATCTAAAGATTACAGTTATTATAACTAAGCTCTTCTATTAATAGCTCGATAACTAGCTCTGGCTTAAATAGAATAAGGCTATATATAGTAAATAACTTACAAATAGTACGTAGTATTATTGTTTCCTGGTAAATAGTCTTAATCTCTCGAAAAAAAGAAGCTACTATCGTATATATCTCTACCCTAGCTTACAACCTTATTATTTTTAGCCTTAAAGTATTACTTTAATATACAAAAGAGGCTTCTATTAAGTAGCTAAATTAGATTTATAGTATAGGATAGGAAAACGTAAGGAATAATATTATTAATCCTATATATTTCTAAGAATTCCTATAT